AAAGGATAACTAAAGATGAATTCACAAGTACCTCGTTAGCATCATGAAAGGAATCTTGAGTAAAGAGTAAAGGAAAAAAGTCTACGTAATCAAGTGCGTCTTTATCTTATTAGATATACAAGATGACATTCAATTAGGCTTTTTACTCAAAGTGCAACATTAGTAGGTGTTCTTTTTCTTGTACGACTGTGAGTCTATGTAACCTCAATTAGTGGTTGGAAGCAGGCACAGAAAAAGAACTGGAAGGAGAAGTATAACCAACATCGCCAGTGAAAAAAGGAGAAGGAGAGACAACAGAAGAAGGCGGTAAGTAATTTAGTATATACGAGAAACTTTCAGCCATATAAAAGAAAAAAGAATTAAAGTCGAATGTAAATAATAGAAGATTACTGCTTCATTGCTGAATTCGTTCTGTTCAATAAATGCTTGGACAAGCTTGGTGATGTACAAATGAATCATTCGGCTTTTTTCTTTATCTAAGGGTTAGTTGAATTGACAGTGAAATAAAGAAAAAAAGATTTGGCAACTGAGTTGCTCGCCAAAGCAAAGATGACTTGTACGGAATAAAGAAAGGATCAATCGGTACGCAATAAAATCAGGTTTCTTATGCACCACTCCCTTTCAAACATGTTCTCAGAGTACCGAATAGAGAGGGGATGGTTCATATAACCGTGACTAGAGAAGGGGCAGTCCTAAAAAAATACCAAATGCATAAATGTATTAATGACGAATACTTTGTCCACCCCAAAGGAAGATGCTTTGAGAATATAGCTGCTATTAGTTTTATAGTGTTTTTATTCTTTTTATATTGTCCTATAATTTTCTTCCTTAACACAAGTCATTTATCTTTAGATGTGCTTGATAAATGACTTGTTTATGTGATAAATGATAAAAAACCTGTTTATTGTGTGAAATGTAGTCAATTGAGAAAACATATTTTATAAACAAACAATTTTTTTTATGAAATGACTAATTACTTTCTCTTCTTTAAGAAACTTTATATTTATGCAAAAGTGGTTGCTTGTAGAGTGGATGGGAGTGTTTTCTAGCCACCCTCTCTCTACCCGGTACTCTGCGAGAATGTCCGATAGACGATGGTCCCTAAGAAAAAAAGGGTTGATGCATAAGAAACCTAAAAAAAAAATACTTTATTATAGTAAGTGGCTGCAGTTGTCTGCTTTGCTTCCAAGATTGGCAGAAACAACTAAGTCAAAAAATTCAACTTGGCCTCTGTATTGGTCGTTTCTCTTAAAGCGAAAAATTAATTGGTCCTTTACGTCCCAATCTTGGCAGTATGGGCCAATATTACCAGTACTTTATGAACAAGATTATCTGTTCAGACCAAGTTTTTTTGCCAACATGTCCATTTGTGGGCGAACCATTTGCCGATATAGCCAAGAGGAGAGCTGCTTAGAGAAGCCACGGTTGTTGGCACCGATTGAAGCAAGCATAGCCATTGTGGCACGAACTTTAGCAGCACCTGCTTTCACCAAGTCTTTAGAGCTAAAGAGTCCTTTTGCCTTGAAAGGAACTCCGAGGTAAGAGAAGATAGCCTGTCGTGGAATTACAGTACCAGAAAGAGCATAGTCAGTGTCGTCCTTCTCAGGCACAAGAATTACACATTTCGTAAGGTTCCGTCAATATCCCAGTGTCAGGCTATGTTCAGTACATTGGTCGAGAAGAGGTTGAAAAGTTTCCTTGGTGGCAATCAGTACAACATCATCTACTTAGAGCAAGCAATTGATAGATGTAATGAGATCGTTGGCAGAAATATCTTCATTGAGAGGTATAGTACGTAACAATCGAGAAAGGCTATCAATATAGTGCGAGTAAAGGCATGATGAAAGGATAGAACCTTGTAGTACCCCAGTTCGTGGTGTGAAGCTATACGACTTAGTGTTGGAAAGAAGAACTTCAATTGAGGTATCATTGAACATGTTCTGTAACAAAGCTAATAGCGCAGGAGACACTGTAGGCTGTAATCGGCGCCAAATGACATTGCAATCTACTGTATCATAGGCTGATTTTATATCCAAGAAGGCAAGTACTGGCGTGATCCTGTGTTGACGGCGTAGACTGTTACAGATTTCAGCGAGACAAAGAGCTTGATCTAGTGCACTTCTGCATTCTCTAAATCCACCTTGAGCAATGTCTAAGCGAGATGCTTGGTCTTGAAGTGGTTCTTTGAGGCATGTCTCGAATATTTTTCTAAAGACGGAGGTAAGACTGATAGGGCGGTAGTTAGCTGGATCAGTCATATCGCCTTTCTTATGGATTGGAATCACTTGTGCCACTCGCCAACAATGTGATGTGTATGGCCATCTCCAACATAAACCAAAAATGTATAAAAGCAAAGGAGCAAGGGCTGTCCGAATTAGTCGCAGTGTTTCTACCTGAATATGATCCACACCTGGTACTTTTCTCGAAAGTAGCTTCTGTATTACTGAAGTAACATCATCCAAGTCCAAAGGAAGCATCTCGTTATGGGGCGCTGGTGAAATAGTAACAACGAAGGGACTCGATTCAGCTGGTAATAGAGCCATTGAATATAGTCTCCAAATGTGATGCCATGGTATTCGAAGCCACTTGAGCGCCTTCTGGTAAGATGAATGTAGGAGCAATTTTTCTATTTCTTTTGATACAGCTGTTATGTCGAATGGTGTTGCCATAGTCATCAGATGCTAGTTTTTGGCAATATTGCCTCCAAACAAAATGTCGCCGTTGTTTGATGAGCCGTCACATTACTGCTTTTGCTTGTTGGCCCTCTATCCAAAAGGAAAGTTCGTTAAGACCATCTGCTCTACGCCACTTTTTGTAGCACTGTTCTCTGTGCTCTGATGCTGTCTGCATTTCCTTTGTCCAAAAATCGTGCATATAATCGTTCCAGTGTTCTTTACGTCCACATGAAGAGTCTAATGCGTCATATATAGCAGTACATAATGTACTGAAAAAATTCTCAATGAAAGTTGCTACTTCTGTCCTCTGCTGAGGTTATATATTTGCATCCATCATAGGTGAGAGAATCGTCGAGTTGCTTTGGAACTGATCTATATACTTATTTCATACTTTTTCGTCTATCAGTTTCCCCGGTCGCCATATGATTCTAGGATTTTCTGAAGGTAGTGGTGGTGCCGAATTAGTTAGAAAATCGAGATGCATCAATTTGTGATCTGAGACTAGAGACATATCTTCACAAATAGTAAGCTCTAGGTTGAGAAGCTCATTAGTACTAAGAAAGTAGTCAACAATACTGCTACCGCTTTGTCGAAGTCAGTTTGGGTTTCCCAGTTGTAATCGACTGTTTCACACGATAAGGTTGTTGCCTTGAATCCATTCCTTAACTATCAATCCATGTCGCCTGTAAATGATCCCATTCGAGTACTAAAATCTCCGCAAATGATTGACTGTGTTGTGTTCCTTCATGAAAGTGGTAATGATTCAAGTATTGTCTGCACAGTTCCTCTTGATTCATGTAGTGGTATACATAAACAATGGAGTTCTTCCCTGTCGCTCGGTAGATGGTGATTATACGATCACGACCATCAGTTTGACCCACCTTCCCTTCGTTTACCCCGAAGAAATTGGGAAGGGTTTAGAGCAGAGCTTGGACCCATTTGGAAAGATCCTGGATGTGGGTATAACAACTGAACCTAAATTAGGTATTTTTATGGGATCTGGTTATGCAGTAATTGGTAAAGACAAGAACGACGCACAATATCAAGATTTGGATCACACTATTAGCTGGTGCGAATCTTCAGACCAAATTTTTCATTGTAAATGATATAATATGTCTACCTGGTGTAGATATTGCCACCAAACGGGTCATAATAAGTTTGAATGTGAAAAATCTAGAGCACGAATCATCTACTACAACTGTCAACACCTAGGACACCGATCATTTGAATGTCCTCGCAAAGCGCCCCTGAATCCATCAAAAAAGCGCAGAACACCAGCATCCAAGAAGCAAAATGTTGAGGACGTCTTACCTCATGCCATTAAGGAGGATCAGCCGGCCCCTTCTACTGAAGCCTTAAAATCGCAACATGCATCAAAGGACCAACGTGTCGCCCTTCCTCGAACAAAGAAGAATTTGAAATAGACAATCGTAAAAGATTCCATCAGCGCTTTTGATATTTTGAAAACTGACGGAAGTGATGGTGAAGGCCCCGATTATATGCCGAGTAAATTCCATGATAGTGATAGTGAGTTAGATGCAGTGAAGGAGGACGCAATGATAGCCTTGGCTGATTTATTGCTTGTCTAAATGGATCTCAAAATGTCTTTGATGCAACAAATACATCAATTGCAAAAAAAGAGCCGCCGAAGGATCATCAAGTGAAATCGAACGTAACAATTTGACTGACCTTCATCGTCAATTAACTCAGCTAGAAGAAACAATACAGAAGAGTTTCTCTTCTGTGGAGTAGTAGAAATAATAAGCCACAAACATCATATCTGACATAATCAGTTAGATATCCACCTATCTTAGGAAACATACTCTACTCCTAGACGATTTTGATTCATCCAAATATTTTCTCTCTGCTTTCTTAATTCTCAGCTTATCCATGCTACACCCCTCCGCAATGTGTAGCTAAAACACATCTTTTTGCATAATAAAATACTATACAAAAAAAAAAAGAAAAGAAAAAAAAAAACTGATCCAACTGAAATCAGATAAGATCATCTCTAGATACTTCCAAAGAAAAGAAACGAGTCTATAAGATAAAAAAGGCGACTTCATTTGAACACCACCTTCAAATGTGCATTCAGAGTTTGTGATACACTGTAATCAGTACAAAGAAGACTCTTTTTAATAGATATTGACTATCAAATCGGTACTTATTTCTACATCATTCAGCACAAGAGATATAGACGAGCAATATTTGCTATGGTACATGATGTTTATGAGGCTTAAAAGAGCAGTTTTGAGCATACTAAACGCAAAGAAAACTCCAACGCATTTGACGCATCAAAGATAAAAAGAACAAGTTATGCCCAGCATAAAGCAGATAGAGTCAACTTCATCTAAAACTCACTGCATGTTGCTATGAAGTAAACTGGATTCCATCTTGACTGCATAAACATATTGACGCTTTTTAGACACCCCTGTGGATTGACTATCCGCCATTAAAAAAAAACAATTTTTTTCTTTCTCTTTTAAAGCATGTCGAAACAGAACAGTGGATTCCAAACACGAAAACAACAGATCGTTTCTTCACTTGTTGAATATGTAGATCCTGAAAGAAGAGACAAATCACCCAAGGGTTTTATTGACGCACCTATTCTCGATCTCATGCATGTCATCAATCAACATCCTGACTATTATACCACCAGTAGTTGTTCTGGTCGTGTTGCTGTTTATTGTGAAGGCTTAGAAAAAGATCCAGAAGAACAAGTCGATCCCAATGCGATCACAGAAAAGACAACAAAGGGTGGCACTTGGTTATATGTGAGTCATGATCCTGTTCCTATTCCTACCACAACCGATGACTGGATTACACAGCTCTTGTTTGGACAACCTGTCAAGTTCAATACAGAGAAACCAAAAGATATCTTGAAGAGGCAATTGATCTATTTCAAATTTGAGCCTTTGGTGAGTGACAACATGGCATCATACATTGGATTGACAAGTCAGTATAGATTTTGCATGTCGAAGCATCCAGCCAAACAACAGCCATGCATCTGTTAAGTACAGCCTATCAAGTAGGCTACCAAAACTCAGGCATCACTCCTTCACGTCGCCATATGTTGGCTATCCGAAGCACACACAAGATTGATACACCTATTGCATTTATTCATAACAATGAAATTCATGCTCTTGTCGACTCAGACTATCTCTTGTTATTATTGACCATGGCAAATCAAAAGTTCGAACAGAATATGGCTCGTATGAAAGTGTTTGAAGAGACCATGAAGACTGAATTAACCAAACTCGATACAAAGCCTGTATGGGAACCTAAAGAAGAACGAATCCAGCGTATGCGTCAAGAAGGACTTGCTAAAAGAACAGAGAAAAAGAAGAAACCTTCTCCTGCTTTAGAAGACTTGTTGGATCAGGTTGTCTTGTAAAATAATAAAATAGTGCCTAAAATAAGTCCATCTGTATTTGAATCTGATGACCCTGTTTTGGTGTGTCGTTAAAACTGATATTTCGTCATTCCCTTTTTTTAACCTTTTCTTCTATACGATAATAATCTACAAGGTAAAAAAAAAAAAAACACCCATCCATCCTTTTTATCCGTTTCAACCGCTTACGCTATGGATGGATGAATCGATTGAAACGTATCATTTTAGATAGATATTGACTTTATTTTTTTTCTATATCTGCATATAGTATGGCTGAACAACAACAACCTACATTCAAGCTTGTTCTTGGTAATTCGATTCAGTTCTTTTGATTGGCATGACTAACCTCTTTCGTAGTCGGTGATGGTGGTACCGGTAAGACCACTTTTGTCAAGCGTCACTTGACTGGTGAATTCGAAAAGAAATATGTTGGTATGTGATGACGCGTCTAGAACACACATAGGCTTATTTATCGCTTTCATCTTAGCCACTCTTGGTGTTGAAGTTCACCCTCTCACTTTCCACACCAATTTTGGTGCTATTGTTTTCAACACTTGGGATACTGCCGGTCAAGAAAAGTTTGGTGGTCTTCGTGATGGTTATTAGTATGTTATTCTTTTAGTTGTTTGTCGATTCGCTTATTCACCTGTATCTATATATAGCATCAACGGTCAATGTGCTATTATCATGTTTGATGTTACTTCTAGAATTACTTACAAGAACGTTCCCAACTGGCACCGTGATCTTGTCCGTGTCTGTGAAAACATTCCTATTGTCCTCTGTGGTAACAAGGTCGATGTGAAGGTAAAAGCAAGACACGATATAATATCCAGATTAACACAGCTATCATCATAGGAACGTAAGGTCAAGGCCAAGACCATCACTTTCCACAGAAAGAAGAACTTGCAGTACTACGATATCTCTGCCAAGTCCAACTACAACTTTGAAAAGCCTTTCCTTTGGTTGGCACGCAAGTTGATTGGTAACCCCAACTTGGAATTCGTTGCTGCTCCTGCTCTTGCTCCTCCTGAAGTTCAAGTTGATCCTGCATTGATGCAACAATACAATAACGAAATGGAAGAAGCTGCCGCTCAACCTCTTCCTGAGGAAGATGATGATTTGTAAATTATATATAAAGAGGAACGATATAAAGTTAACTTGTATACATACAAGAACCCTCCTATTTTCAAGTACAATTAAAGCCATCTTCCATTTTTCTTTTTAAATTTTATGCACACATATCATTGTCCAGTACGAATCAAATGTATACTCTATTTTATTCAATGGAAAAAAAGATATACACTCCATGGTAAAGAAAAAAAAGAAATACGAAATCGCTTATTTGAGCTTCTTCTTGGGACGAAGTTGGTTAGTGTGACCACACTTTCTCTTACGACAGTTAGTAGCACGAGGAGGAAGACGAGCATAACACTTGCGGCAAATCATCTTTTCACAGTTGTACTTAGAAGCCAAAGCCTTAAGAGAGGGTTCAATAATACCACCACGAAGACGGAGAACCAAATGGAGAGTAGATTCCTTTTGGATGTTGTAATCGCTCAAGGAACGACCATCTTCCAATTGCTTACCAGCAAAGATAAGACGTTGTTGGTCTGGGGGAATACCTTCCTTGTCTTGGATCTTTTGCTTGACATTGTCAATGGTGTCGGAGCTGTTTGTAACTTTTTTAGCATATCACACGCTTGGTTTTCAATCTTTACCTTTCGACCTCCAAAGTGATGGTCTTGCCAGTCAAAGTCTTTACGAAGATTTGCATAGTAAAAACTACATGGATTTTAGTTGATATGGTGCTGGATGGATGGCATGGACTATTTACCTTTACGAGACGGTGAATAGAGGAGGAATTCAAACAATCCATGGGGATAGGGGATGTCTTCATCAAGAAAAAAAAATGGCGGCTCTTCAATGCGTTCCGGTCCGTGTACTGTGACTTTTTTCGGCTTGCACATCGACTTGGAATCGCGTACTTCAACAGACGCGTTTCCCTTTTTTTTTTTGTTTAAAATGAAGCATGACTTGAAACAACGGTTTCCCGGTAGAGAAAAGCAAATTGATCAACTTTCTTATGTGAGCTATGGTGTAGGTTACTTTACAAAAAAAAAAAAAAAAGAAGAACAGCTGCTCATGTTCCTCTCATAGTCTCAACAGAATGATTACTCACCTCAGAGTATCTTTATCTATGGACCTCCATCGACAGGCAAAACAACGCTTGTCACTGAATTCTTTGCACCTTTTGCACTCTATGTAAACTGCATTGAATGTTTTACACCTCGTCTTTTATTCGAACGTGCGTTTGATGCCCTTGAAAAACACCAACCTTCTCATTTGAATCAGTACAGTTCTCTAAGAAAGATCGACACAGCACAACAATTGGTCAGAGCATTCAAAGAGACTTTATGTCCATCTCAACCCACTTACTATCTTGTACGTGACCCTACTTTGCAATAAGCATCTCATCTGTTTACTAGGTCCTTGATCACGCTGAACGTATTCGAGATATGCCAGGCCATATTTTACCTGTTCTTTTACGACTCTCTGAACTCACAGAACGTAATATCTGTGTGGTTATGATATCCAACATTGTGTTTGAAAAGTTCCGGATCAAAGGTGGTTCCATGGACCCTTATCTGATCCGATTTCCTGAATACACGCGTGAAGACACGCTTCGGATCCTCCAGCTCGATTATCAAGTGACAGATGACCTTGATCTTGATTTCTACACAGGGTTTCTTCAAGTGATTTATGCCATGTTCCAAATCAACTGTAAAGACATCAACGAATTACGCTACCTTGCTTCTTTACTGTACCCTATCTACATCAAACCCATTCAAGAAGGTCGATTGGACAAGAAAGAAAAAGCCAGATTGTTGCATGAAGCCAAGCCTTATTTCGCAAATGCGACCGAGAAGCTTTATCTCAGAGAAATCTCGAGTGCAGAATGGACACAAGACATGCAGGCCAATGGTCAGTCAACACCCGACATCGAATTACCGTTCTATACCAAATTTCTGTTGATTGCAGCCTATTTAGCCTCTTATAATCCACCTCGGTTTGATGTACGGTATTTTGCCAAGACAGCAGAAGAACGCAAAAAGAAAAAAGGAGGTGGGACACGTAAAGGTCGAGTGGATCGATTAGGTGGTAAAATGCGTCAACAGTTGTTAGGTCCAAAAGCGTTTCCTGTTGAACGTATGTTGGCTATTTTCTATAGTATTCTAGAAGACAGTCTGGAAGACACAGTCGATATTCAGTTACAAATCACCAGTTTGACTACACTGAGATTATTAGTGAGGACAACCCAGATGGAACGATTGGATACAGCCAAATACAAGTGTAATGTCAATTTCGAATTTATTCGATCGATAGCCAAAAGTGTTCGGTTTGAAATTGAACATTATCTCTATGATTTTAATTAATCAAAAAAAAAAAAAAGAAAGAGGGGGGGGTATATCATGACTTAAATAGCAAGATCTTTCTCAATCACATCTTCATCTTGTTCTAATTGTTGAATTGTTTCAATATGTCTTGCTCTTTCAATTAAAGAAATCATGTCTTCTGTTGTGCCTACTGAAGTCGTAATAAAAGGATGCTGAATGTTTGTTAGTAAGATATATAAAGACAAGAAACTTACTTTTAAAAGTGTGTTTGTATCTGGTCTTTGAGAGGGATCCATGGTAGTACAGAGTGCTAAAAAGTCTTTAAAATGATCAGACCAACGATCTGGTTCATACAACGAAGGTAATCCATGAGCAGCAATTAAATACAGTGCTTTTAAGGGAGGATGTTCTATATAAGGGGGTGCATTCTGTGCCATTTCATAGAGCAAGACACCTAAACTCCAAATATCCACTTTGGTGTCGTATTCTTGGCCTGTAATGACTTCAGGTGCCATCCAATAAGGTGTACCTACAATCGAATGTCGCTTGGGTTCAGATGGACTTAATTGAGCACATTGACTGAAATCAGCTAACGATAGATAAGTCAGAATGAACCATTGTGTTTATGCTTACTTAGTTTGACATCACCACGCACATTCATCAGAATGTTGTCACTACGAATATCACGGTGAATGCGATTCAGTCGATGAATGCGAGTTAATGCTCTCAAGATATCTCTTGTGATACGCGCAATCAAACTCTCTTCAATACAGATACAAGGTTCTTGTTCACTATTTTCTAATGCAAGGATGTCGGATAAGGCCATGTCCATCAATTCCATCACCACCTACATATATATATATATTGACATCAGCCTATCAAATAAATACGGACACTTACCCAAATCTCCTCTTCTGTCATATAACTCGTAATAAACTCAACCACATTTGGATGTCGACTCATTTTCATGGTGATCAACTCATGCTTGATTTTACTCATCTTAGCTGTGGCTGTCTTGGGGATCTTTTTGATGGCTACTGCACGGTCTGTGGCTATATGTTTAGCAGCATAAAGTGGACCTGATTCGCCCTCTGCAATCAATTCAAATTGATGATAAATACTGCTTGGATCTTTGGTTGGATTGTCTGCAATATCCTGTGTGACTATTGGTATGGGTGGTAAACTTGATTTTGTAATGGCGGGTGTATCTAAATAGAGATCAACAACGCTCCTTATCACGTGGTCTTTACCTTGTTGTTGTTCTTGTTGTTGTTCTTGTTCTTCTTCTTCTTCTTCTTCATGTTGAATCTCTTGGACTGCCTCTAATACTTCTGTTGAAAATGAAGATTCCTTTGGTTGAATGGCTGGTAATTCTGTACGAAACATGGCATCAGGACTCTCGACTATTTTCATGGTCCGCTTTTCATTCCATTTCTGTCGATAGCTTGATTTACTCAGGACATGTTGCCATTCTTTAGGCAAACCTTTGAATCCAACACCATCCTCATCTAATTCAACATGGATATGATGCTGAATATTAAAGGGCTGTCCTATGGCTGCATCTTGTGGGGCTGATGGTAAATGAGTGTGACAGAAGATCAATCAGTCCAACTTACATTCACAGATAGGCACAAGACTTGGATGTAAGCATGTTGTGTCAAGAATATCATCACTTGGGAAATCCCCTTGCCAGACATCAGGTAGACCCATAAACTTGCCACTGTCATCATCGTATTCGACATGTATCCCATGTTCAAATTTAGTAGGTTTGCCAATATCCAGAATACGTTCTCCATGTTGGTTCTTCCAAGCTAAGGCTTTAGATGGCATGGTGGCTGCTGAGACATTATGATGGTGATAGAGTCTTTTTAAAGTGGCTGTGGATCCAAATCGTCGAAGTCCCTTAGTATTGCTAGGGGACCTTGATATATGTTGAAAAGTATGATTAGGTGCTGAATGAACAGAAGAAGCAGAATGTGTATTGCCCATACTAAAGGCTTCTTCTTTATATTAAAAAAAAAAAAAGAAAAAGAAAAAAAAAAAAAAAAAAAAAAAAAAACTCTTTTAATTCACTTTATATCCTTGTGTCACTGTCTTGAACAGGCTACTAAGAACGTTTTTTTTTTTTTTTTTTTTTTTATAAAAATCACTCCTTTTCTTTCAATATGAAGCCTTTTATTCCATCTTCAAATAACAGTCAGAAAGAACCAACACCTAAAGGTGAGTTATATTTCAAAGTTGACTTGTATCTTAAACTGTGTATACAATAGGTTCAAAGAGACTCTGTCGTAATGTCATTATCCATGGCTTTTGTAAATTTCAAGACAAAGGATGTGAGTTTAATCATGAGACAGTAAGTAAACAACAACAACACTCTATGATTCATTGATGGATAGGATAAAACCATTGTCTTGCCTCCGCAGTCAGAAAAGTAAATAATAGATAGGATATTGTACTATTTAGGATACTTAACTATTGACTCATTAGAAGTGTATCTATTGATGCACCTATTTTTGTACCTACTTCTTCTTCTAAACAAGGTAAAGAACACAATAGGTTAATATTATATGTTATTTATTTATTTATTTAATAGCCAGATCAAGGTATATATCTATATATCTATATATCTAATTATATGCATTTATCTATCTATCTATAGCATAACACCACAGAGATCCAATACATTTCCACAGTTTGGCAATCATAATTTCTATTCATCTTCAGACCCTTATTATTATAGTCAGCCACCTATTGTAAGCAACACAGTCTATTATCTATCTATCTATCTATCTATCTATCTATCTATTGCTTATGGCCTGTATAGCTTCAATACCATCAATATCCACCTACTCTACCTCATATCTCTAATTTAGCTACACAACAACGCCTAGTTCAATCGTTCTATATTCCTGATAACCTAAGGGAACAATTGATCAAAAGAAACGAATCTACACTCATGACAGCAGTTGGCAAAGAAACAGGTTTGCCTGAAGAAGTCCATGTCTATCATTCTCTATATCCCTTAGAAGACAAACCAGGTCATTTACTGGGTCATGCTTCTTGGGTCTATAAGGCTATCTGTAAAACCAATGGCAAATACTATACACTGATTCGAATTGAAGGTATGTAGAAGCAATGGAAGAAATTCATCCTATCTATGTTATATAGGGTTTCGATTAGTGAACGAACAAGCCATGCATGTCATTAAACAATGGCGTAAAATGAAGCATGCCAATATTGTATCCATTCGAGAAGCATTTACCACAAGAGCCTTTGGTGATTCATGTAAGCATATATATATAGATATCAAATGTATTTTATTGATAATCTATAGCCCTGATATTTGTCTATGATTATCATCCTTGTTCCATCACCTTGTCGGAAGCTTATTTCTCTCCTCATGCACAGGCCATGTTACATGCGCGATTCCAAGCAGCTGGGATGAATGGTATTCCGGTGCCTGAAACTACGCTGTGGAGTTTTATCACTCAAATGGCTTCTGCTCTTCAAACTGTTCATCGTGCAGGATTGGCTGCCAGGAATATCAAACCCAACAAGATTATCATGACCAGTAAGAACAGGTAAATATATCAGCTTATGTTGTTGGTTCTAAATTGTTGAATCTATATAGACTACGTATCTGTTGTACTGGACTCATGGATGTATTACAATATGATGGTACACATCAACAAAAGATAGCCATGCATCAACAAGAAGATCTACTCTCCTTGGGTCAATTGATTGTATCGCTTGCCTGTCATACACAGACAACTCATGTCTCGTCTTTTGAACATATCTCTCGGTTTTATTCGCCTGATTTAAAGAATGTCATTTATTATTTACTAGGTAAACCATCACATGATAAATCAATGGATGATGTGATCAGTATGGTCGGTCCTCGTATGCTACATGAATTCAATAGTAGTCAATAGTAAGTACTAGATTCTCTTTCTTTTATTTATATATATATATGTAGTTATACAGACACATTAGAAGCCAATCTGAGTCATGAATTAGAGAACAGTCGACTGGTTCGATTACTGGTCAAACTGAACTTTATTAATGAACGACCCGAGTAAGTTAAACGACACGGTGTCTATATCATGTATTATTGAAACATTCATTGTAGATTTGATCAGGATCCTGCTTGGTCAGAATCAGGTGAAAAATTCATGATCAAGTTATTTCGAGATTATATCTTTCATCAAGTCAATGAAGTAGGTGTGCCTATGGTAGATATGGCCCATGTCATTGCTTGTCTCAACAAGGTAAAAAGATATGTGTATTCAATACAGTGTAGCTTATTCTATTAAAAAAAAAAAAAAAAAAAAAAAAAAAAGTTGGATGCTGGTGTAGATGAAAAGATATTGTTGACTTCCCGAGATGATCAAGCGTCTATCATTGTTACATACAAAGAATTAAAAGCATGTATTGCTTCAGCATTTAATGATGTCTACAATAGAAAGCAATAAAATTAATAAGCAACTTGAAGCTTTAATCGATAGTTTTGGTTTCTTTGTTTAAACATAAAATCAGTATTATGGAAAGCACGAACACAACGCCATGCTTCACTTTCAGAATCAAATTTGATCAAGAATTTAGAGACTGTGGATTGTTCCTTACTAACAACACAAATGAGATGATTGTATACATACATATATCTTACTTACGTTCTTAATCTCAAGACATGATCAGGTGTGCCTTGAGAAGGGAAAAAGTTTCTAGCACGCAAGAATCCCAATACATGTTCTGGCTGTGTCTTGAATGGTAAACCTGTCATGATCACAGAACGACCAGCAGCATGGGATGCATCAGCCAAATGAGTTAATTCAGAACGACGATGCTTATTCATGATACTGTTGCTTGTTGAATCCGCATGACCAATCTATTCTCTCATCAGTTCATCTCTCTCTCTCTCTCTTTCTGATCAAGACACTTACATGACTCATCTTAACAATATGTCCACCTAAAGCACGTCGATTACCGTATTCTACAAGGCGACGGGCATCTTCAGAAGAAGCCATGGCCACAACCACACGACCATTAAAATTAAATTCTTGATTACGACAAAAGATCACTAATAGCTTATCAATCAACTGAAGGTCTATGTACGCATGCTTACTTTCATCAATCGTCTTATCGCCCTTGGGAAAAGCTTCTCGGGCCAATTTGTTGATATCCTCAAAAGTGGCTGTAGGAGGCATATGATCCACTTGAACAAAACGTGTGGGTTCACTGTAGGTCTTGTTCTGTCGGCGTTGTTTTTTAGCTTGGTCAATAAACTTGTCAGTTAAAGACTCAGCAAAGTTCTCATGATGAACAACAGAAGTATGCAAGGACCGGCATACAGTAGGGATGCGAAAGAATGGACGAACAAATGACATTGAGAAACAAAAAAAAAAAAAATAGAAAACACACAGGGTACGCCCGCTTTCACAAAAAAAAAAAGAAATAAGGGGCTAGAATTGAATACCCGCATTTGGATTCCAAGTAAACATGAATGCTTTCATAGCCAAAGAAAAAATAAAAAAACAAGAAAAACAGTTGTATCCCCTATCTTGACCTAAGTAAACTCAAGACAACATAGCATAGATATCTTTTACTTTCCGTCTATCGGTGGACCTGTCAAACGGACAATGTCCAAGATGACAAGCCACTCAATGAAAATGAGCCAATCATAACATCCTTTCTTCAAATTTTTTTTTTTTCGAAAAAAAACATAGTTCAATTTTTTTTCTTGAAAATAGATATCCCTCCTTCTCTTTTCCCTAGCATATCGTAAGTGGAGTGGCTTGTTGATTTAGAGAACTTACTATCTTTCTTTTTGATTAGAAAAATGAGTTCCGAATTGGTCTGGGCTATCATCAGAAACAACAACTCTTTCCTCGTCAAGCGTCCTGGTGTTCAATTCTCTTCTGAACCCTCCAACTTGAAGAACGTCAACTCTTTCAAGTACTCTGGTCTTGCTAACTACAAGGTAAGTGATATCGACAATGGGATCAAAAAAAAATATATATTAATTTCCATAGTCTGTTGCCATTCTCCCTGCTGCTCGTGGTGTTCGTGTCACTACCCGCAAGGCTAAGAAGGAAAACTCTCCTGCCAAGTCTGCCAACACTGTTGTGATTGCCAAGACTCGTCGTCAAACTTCCAAGTCTGTTGCTAACTTGATTGCCAAGAGCAAGTACAGACCCGATCTCCGTGCTGTAAGTTAGATGACTATATATCAAAAACTCTAGATATTGATTTCCATCTATAGGCTGCTGTTGCTCGTGCTTCTGCTCTCATTTCTACTCAACAACCCAAGAAGGTCCACGCTAAGCGTGAATCAAAGGGTGTTCGTGCCAACAAGGCTTAAATATACGAATAACAATAAAAAAAAAATGTAAAGCACCACTACTTTTTATTTATTTACAAGAAGTTTGTTCTAACGATCTTAATCGCTCTTCAAGCTGAACGACATACGCATCCGCTTCATCACGGTATTCTTGATATTCCAAGTGTTGCCATAATAACTGAAATGCCATGGTAGTTGCGGATGCTATGACTGTACATTTGACAAGGGGTGTGCCATATTTATAATAAAATGAACCTGTGTTTCTGCTGGTGCTATAGGCACGTCGTTGGACTGTTCTTGAAAGGACTTTATGGAAGAGCATGGAAAGAGAAATATTAAAAAAAAACAAGACAGCCCCCCTTACTTCACTTGCGGGAACTGGGTTTAAAACAAACGAAGATCATTTTTCAAGACAAAAAGTTCATGTATAACTTGAATAACCAATCGACACTGTATATAGCTTATGCTTCTATTAACTAAAAATAAATAAATAAAGGGAGATGCTTCACTAAAGCCATCTTCAATCTTATAGGAGCATATTTGCATGAGAGGATTCTGTGACTGTCTATTTAAAAAATACCCAAAGAGACGGGGGCATCACCCAGACAAATTTTTTTGCTCTCTTTTTTTTTATATACTATGTTGCGTACACTTGCACGTCCTCTTTATTCTTCATCATTATATTCTCGCTCAAGCCTTTTACACACTTCTGCTACTGTCAGAAACACGGCTGGTAAATAAGAAAAATAACTCAAGCGTCTGTTTTATTCACTCTGATAGAACCACAAACAACTGCACGAAAGCCTTCTGCAGCACCTAAAGGCACAGTGTTAAAAGGCATTCAGTACTTGAAGGACAAACAAGATCCAGTTGCATTAGACGATGCTGAATACCCCGAATGGTTATGGGACTTATTAGACGAAAAGAAACAAAAACAAAAGACAACTAAACCAAGTAATCGTCAATATCATAGAAAACAAAATAGAGATGCCATTAAAGCAATGAACTTTATGAAGGACAAGAAGAACTAATAATAATAAAAAAAAGCAACTTTTACCAAGGACGTTGAGCAGGGAAAGCAGATTGTCCGTCTAAATGGAAAGATCAGCAATTGAATGTAGAGATATGACTTACATTGCATGGATCCTTGAGGAGTAAAGATATTATTTCCAGCTTGTTGCGGTGGTTGGAATCCTGTCATTTGAGGTTGCATAAAACCAGTCGGTTGATGAGACTGTAAAGGACTTTGATGGAATGCTTGAGGACTAGGAGTAGAGAATTGAACACCTGTCATTTGAGCTTGTAAAGGAGAGAGTGTGGGCGAGCCAAATGGATTCGCAGGAGCTAAACAAAGATTGAGATGTGTTGTTGCATTATAAGAGAAATAGACTTACTAGCAGTGCCCCAATGTCTACCTGTAGGTTGAGCACTCATGGTTTGTGTTCTTTGAATTGGATTGTTAAATTCGCCTTGCTGTCCAGCAGCGGGACCAGGAGAAGAGTGAGGTACCAAAGGTGGAGGCAGAACAGAAGAAAGAGGCGCTGTTTGCTGTTGATATCCGCCTACGGGTTGATTGGAAGCAGGGAAACCTGTCATTTGAGGTTGGAGTCCTTGCCATGGCGAAGAAGAAGAAGAGGATGGAGGCTGTTGGGGTACAGATGGCTGCCATTGACCAAGTGTAGGATCAGAAGAAAGTCTATTGCTGGGTGTGGGTCTTGGACGACCAGCACTACCCACAGGCTGATTCGACTGGGCACTGAATCCAGTGGGTTGAGCATTGAATCCAGTGGGTTGAACATTGAATCCAGTAGGCTGAGCATTGAATCCAGTAGGTTGAGCATTGAATCCAGTAGGTTGAGCATTGAATCCAGTAGGTTGAGCATTGAATCCAGTAGGTTGAGCAGCAAATGAGGGCTGCAATTGAGGTGGCTGTTGGGCTAATTGCTGTTGCAATTGCTGTTGTTGAGCTTGTAACTGTAACATTTGTTGTTGCTGTTGCTGTTGTTGTTGTTGAGTGCCTGTCTGCATGGCTAATTGCTTTTGAAGTTCTAACTGTTGCTGCGTCAGCTTTTGTAGCTCTTCTAATTGTTTCTGTTGTTCTTTGGCTTGTTTCTGTAAAGCCATTAATTGGATCTTATGGATCTGCTCTTCTTCTTCTCTACGCTTGCGTTCAGCTTCAGCAGCTTGGATTTCTTCAGGTGTAGGTCCAGTGGGTTGAGGTGGTTGAGTTGGTGGTGGAGGAGGAGGAGGAGGAACAGCTGCTGGTGTCTTGGCAGGAGTTAAGGCAACAAAAGAACTAGAATCTTTACGAGGAGCCCAGGCATCATCATTGAAGCCCATCAAATCTCCTGCAGGTTTTTCGGGTTCTTTTCCTTTACCATCAGAACTGTTTAATTGACCACCAATAAAGTCTAACAGATCAGGGTGAACATCTTTAGGTGCAGATACACTGGGTTTAGGTCTAGAGACAGAAGCAGATCGTGTTGGCTTTTCTCTCGCCTCTATTTCGCTTTGAAGTTTTCTAGCATACTCTTCATCTTTAGCAATCTGAAGCTCTCTTGTCTTTTGTTCATCTAGCTCTTGTTCAGATGCTTCAGGCTTGCCTGTTTCAATGTACCGTTGAATGCGTTGTACATGTTCTTCTTTAAGACCTAATGTCTTCATCTGCTTATGTGTCAAGTTCTGAATGTCACTGTCATCTAGTTTTTCAACTTTAAAGGCAGAAGCGTATTGAAGTGATGCTTGCATAGGAATACCAACAAGCATAAACCAATCAAACCAGTCCCATCTATCGTTGAATTTCTTCTCTTGAGGAGGACGAGGAGGCATGGCAGGTGTAGGTTCAGGAGAAGCTGGCTTGGGTTGTCTCGTATGCTCTTCAACCCAACGAATATCATCGGCACACATCTTTTCAACAGGCACATCAATCTTGACACCATTCAGTTTATGAAGACGTAGTTTTCCATTATGATAGTCAATGAATTGAGCTTCTACTTTAAACGAACCACTACGGTCTGTCCATGTTCTGATCTTGGTTGGGTCAGGCTTAGGCAAGTCTTGATGACGGTTGGATTTAGAAGCAGATCGAGCAAGAGTCGCTTTACGTTCAGCTTCTTTACGTTTATAGTCTTCTTCCAGTTGTTTTTGACGAGCCAGTTCAGCACGTTTCGCTGCTTCTTGAGCCTGTCGACGCTTTTCTTCTTCTTCACGACGTCTTTCTTCCTCTTCACGACGTCTTTCTTCTTCTTTACGTCTTTTTTCTTCTTCTTCTTCTTCTTGGCGGCGTCTTTTACGTTCATTTTCTTCTTGTTCATGACGTCGAATACGTTCTCGTTCTTCTTCTTCCGCAAGACGTTGTTGATATAAAGCTCGTTCTTCTTCTTCTCGTCTTCTTCTGATTTCTTCTTTATCTTCAACACGGGGAATGGAAGGTGCAATAGCAGCAGCAGCAGCAGCAGCAGTAGTGTGCTCATCATTTTCTTCATCGTCAAATTGAATATAAGAGGAAGGTACTAAGCCAATTTCACCCTCTACTTTTTGAACACGCCACCAACCATCTGTTCTTTCGTAATCCAGGACATACAATTGCTCATTCTCTTCAACAGACAATTCATCGCCACCTTCTGCTTGGAAAGAATAAAGGGAAATACCCCATTTTGGAATACAGTTTGATTCCTCTTCCTCTTCCTCTACTTCTTCCTCTGGTTGCTGTTGTTGTTCAATATGGGGTGTAATGGCTGCTGCAGGAGAAGCCATTTGTTGTTGTTGTTGTTGTTGTTGTTGTTGGTTTAAATGTGTATTGGATGCTTGAGCAGCTCTTATAGAATCAGCAATTTTAACAAGAATCGCTTTTGCTTCTGATTTAGAAGAAGCTTGAAGATCCAATACAGCTTGTTTAGTACCTTCTATTTCAATATGCAAATTCTTGCCATCATAAAGATACTTGGTGACATCTAAAATAGGATACTGTTGAACAGGAGATGCTTTATCTGTCTCACTGCCATAACAAATCATGCCATTGCCAATAAACAAGCTGCCCTTTCCTTTCTTCTTCTTCTTTTTGGCTGGATCATATTCCTGCACATTCCAAGATTGTGCTTCATCGGCAATTATTTCTCGCGTTGTGGAGCCAGTCTATGATGTCATGTATGTGAGTACAGAGCTACAAAATAAATACACATTACAGGTTGAGACAAGATAGGTTGTACTGGAGGAGGAGGAACAGGTGCTGTTACTGAAGGAGCAGGAGGAGCAGGAGGAGCAGGAACAGGTGTTGTGACTGGGGGTTCGTCAAGTTGCTCAGGTTGATGGTCGTCAAGGCTGATAACATAGTTACTAGGTGCCAGACCAATGTCACCTTTGCTTGACTTGACAAGAAACCAATCTGGGTCGTCTTTTTCTAATAACACCATCTCATCACCTTCTTCAAACGACAATTCCTCTTCTTGCTGAGCTACATAGTCATATTCTGCACGCACTCTTCCAATAGGTTGTACCTATGACTCTGTGTTAGTATCATACAAGTATCTTGTATATACATGTATACTTCTTCAAGATAAGTAGCAGGCACTAGACCAATCGGTCCTTGTTCTTCCCCGGTGTTTTGCTTTAATTCAGTTTTCCACCAGTCATCGTCTTCTTTCTCAATCACATACAGAATATCGTCTTGCTTTATACTGAGTTCGTCTTCTGTCCGAGCCTCATAATCATACAGTGCCTGACACACTTGAATATATCGCATGGTTTTCTAGAATAAAGAAGAGAGAGAAGAAAAATATATATATATATAAAAAAGAGAGAGAGTATTTATTTATCCGTGTATGATGACGATCTTTTTTTTTTTTTTCCAAGACCATGTTGTTCTTTTCCTTTTTGATATTACATCACACAAGCTTATTTATTCCTTCTTGAACTTTTCATTCAACACTTCTCTAAAGCCAGAAATGATTTCATTCTCTCGCTTAATCTTTTGTTCTTGAGCATGTTGTAAAACCAGACGCTTTTCTTCTGCAGAAATGACTTGATTTTCTTTACGAAGACGGACAGCATTCATACGTTGATGTCTACATGAATGTGAATCATACAGTTTGTTTGTGTACGTATGCTTACCTGCTACCACTCATGACATAACCTGCTCTTTCAAAATCTGCAATTTGATCCCCAGATAACCCAATTTCACCACGGCGAGGAATACGTTTACCTTCTTTGACATAAGCAGCCATAGCAGACCCTTCACCAGGTAACAATGCATCACCGTACACTTTATCATTATGAGAATTATTGTCCACTAAGGGAACAGGACCCACAGAAGCCAAGTCTTCAGGAAGAGGCACTAAGATAATGTTAGAGATTGACTTGATTGTTTTCGTTTTTTACCCTTCTTCTCTACCCACAGATCTTGTAATGTATCTAAATGAGATTGATTGACTTTGACTTTTTCTTTTGAAGAATCACTTTCGTCATCATCAGAATAATGTCTCTTCTTTTTATTCTTCTTTCGACTACTCTTTTTATGTTTACTGCTGCTGCTGCTCTTTTTGTGTTTATGACGATGACGACGTCGACGGTGTTCTTCTGATGATGATGATGACGATGCATCTGTATCCTCATTGTCTGTGTCTCGATGCTTTTTTAATCGAAGTGTATCTTCAGGTGTTAAAGAACGAGCACGTTCAGGAGAAGGTGCCCAGATGGTCTTGTTGGATTCAATCCTGACTCTTGTGCGACTAAAACAAGAATGAATTGCATGTTTTCAGTATTGATGAGCTTACAATTCAGAGTAACTTTCTTCAGGTCGAATCTGAATGTTGTCTATTTCAGTTGTTTTGTATCTGTCGGGAGAACGACGTCTATCGCTTGAACGATACCTTTTTGGAGAAGGCGAATCATGTCGTTTATGATCTGATCGTCTATCTAAAGAGCGTCTTCTAGAATAAGACTCTCTTCTAGGAGAAGGTGAACGTCGTCTATAAGAAGGAGATCGTTTTCTTGGTGAAGGGGATCGAGAATAAGAAGCCATTGTATTTAGAAAAAAAGAAAAAAAAGAAAAAGAAAAAGAATTTTTTTTTCTCTTTAAGGTCTTTTTTTTTTTATTATTATTATTGATTGATTTAGAACAACGCCACTTGTTCATGCCTCTTTTCTACCTGTAAAAGCATGAATTATATTGACTTTTGTTCTATCATTCTTCTTCTTTACGCGTCTTGCCCTGTGCTCTTAAATGGTAAGATGAAAGATATTCATCAACTCCGAACGCGTCTCTTTTAAAAAGCGTTATTTTTATTATTTTTATTTTTTTATTTCTTTTTAAACCAACACATGGAATCACTTCGAACAGTTATTTCTCGGCTGTTTGCTGATTTACAAGACACTCAAGCAAGTCCGGTAAAGATAGTAGTATTAACTCTCTTTCTTTCTTTCGTGTCATACTCACCAGTATATAGGATTGGTTAAATATAGAGAAAGAAAATACGCAAACGTTCAATGGGTAAGAAAGGAACTGTTTCAATACATGTCATCAACAAGTACTTTTATAGGCTATTTAACAGAAACCCTTCTAAAAGAAGAAGGCTATATTTACTTCACCCTGAAACGCATCATGAACCAATCTATGAGAACAAGATCATTCACCATATCAACTCTACTCATCGTATTGACTATGAAGCATTAGCAGCTGATTTTGTTCGAGCATGTCAAGTAGGCGGTGGCAATGTGGTGAGTCTCTTTATTGACATAAAATAGATAAAACTGATCGGTAGATAGACTGAACAATTGAAAGTGATCATGTTAAAGTACAGAGAACCACCATTGACCTTGGAGAAATCATGTCGACTTGTTACTTTTCTACACCATATTCTTAAAGTGATACCAGTCATTCCTGCAAATACGAGTCAGAAACCATTTCCTTTAGGCTCTTTATTAGAGGATGTCACACTCACCCTATCTACATTGCAACCTGCTATTTGGATCACTACTGTTCAATTCATGCTCTCTTGTCTCAAAAGTGCATCTCAACAGCAAATCTATCATGCAGGTGTTACGATACCTGTCATGTTGAGTATTATTAAGCATATCTTGTTAGAATTGACTCGACTGCCTTCTACAGACATGTCCACACTACAAGAGAAATGCTTCTCAGTAGGCAAAGCATTGTTGGATTTATTCCTTGTTCATCATGAACTCAATCCCTCAACAAAACAAACAGGAACTATCTCTTATTACGATGTCGTCTATTCATTTCCTGAACTCTATGGTCATTTCTTAAATGCTCAACATATCCCTACAACAACTGCTTTACAGCCTTCCATTGTCAATCAGAATATTTGGCTGATGACATTAGACTATCTGACCGTGTCTGTTTTGCAAGATCATCGTCTGATTGATCGCATACCTACTTTGATGGCTATCAATATCATCAAGCACATTTTAAGGGAAATCAATACATTACCTTCTGATTTGACCACTTCGCAAGTCAACTGTTTAAACAAGGGCAAAGAGTTGATTAATCTGCTATTATTGGGTCCTACAGGGGATGGTGCAGGTGCAGTATCGCATTACGATGTCATTGTTGCTGTAAGTGAATATGACAAACAAAACAAACAAACTCATCAAGATTAGCTTCCTGATGTCTATGGACATTTTCAACATGGTACATTTGCTCAAAGTGTTCATTGGGCTATGGAAAAGTTTATTAATGAATTGGGTAAACGAAGACGCCATTTGGCCTTCTTGATGATGCCACCAGATGCATCATGGCCACTCATTTCCCAGATGAGCAGAAGACATGAATACAATGATTTAACAACCAGAACAAGCTATCATATGTTTGAAGGCGATTTGGTAACATGATTCTTGTATGAATCTCACTAATACGTCTAGATTGAGTTTGTGAAAGAAGGCAGTTCAACCAATATTCAAACCCATTTTAGAGACATGCTATTTCAACGCGCATCTATGGACGAGTTTAGAGAACTTGCCATGTCACTCACACAGACGGGCCTTGATACGACACTGATCAGAAAAGCCATGGTAGCCAAAGTAAGAGATGTCATTCGATGCATTCAACACTATAGTCAGCATGGAAAGAGAGATGATCAAGATACACAGAGTAAGTGTGTGCATTCTCGTCTGATGTCTACTGACATGCAGCCTAGTGTCTGAAAAAGAACAAGAAGCATTTAACCCAGCAACTGCTTCCATACGTGGTGAAGACATCAAGATGATGATTCCTGATAATGTTGATTTATGGGAGCTCATGACAGAAACAGCAGATCAGTTGTATAGTTTTGTGTCTGCAGAGTAAGTAATAACTTGGGTTTATCGATAGACTGACGATGACTAGCTTCTTTACGTATGAAGATATCCTTCAGGACTTTTTTGATCTTGTATTCAAACCTAATGGAGAGCCTTATTTGCCCAATGCAAAAAACCACATCACAAAAGACAATGGGCTTGTTTGGTTATTGCTTCAGTTGTTTTGTAAGTTGTCAATAGGTTTTGATAGCATGTTCATAGTCCATCTAGATATTGAAAAGGTGTCTAAAGAAGTCATTCAAAAAGACTTTGAACAAGATGAAAAGCTGTTTGACAAACTCGTTCGTTTATACAATCAAGAACAAACAGAATCAAAAGATGCGTTTACATTACGTGACCTGGCATTGCAATGTGCTGTGAACCATCAAAAGGCCAATATCAAAGATGTGGCTAATATCAAGCATCGACACCCTTTGATTGCAGCTTCATTACAGCATGCTGGTCTGTGTTATCAAATCCAAGCTTATTTTGGTAGTTATTATCATAGCAATGTGCCTACCAACTCGACGCTGTTCAGTCACCTGGATCTACAAGAAATGACCAAAATCGCTATGGAAAGTCAACTCAGACAAGATGTTGTTCCCTATACGCTTTATGTCTATCTGGTGCCTACAAAAGCAGATGTACATACACTAGGACATCCCTCAACTACCTATATCAAGGGTGGTACATTAAATTACAAACTACTTGACTTACTCTGTGTAAATGCGAAGCACAGATTATTGCAAGTAATTTATAAAATGATGCTCGACAGTGAAACAGGACCAAGATACCAGTCTACGACCGTATCTCCTGTAGCTTGTGTACCACCTAATGTGATAGATGTAGTCTATAAGCTATTATACAGTGCTCCTTGTTCGTAAGTTCTTTGACGCACCCTACACAACCCTAAATGGCTCACCTGTGTTTTGTAGAGCAGAATTGATGATTAAAGAAATCTTTGATAAATTAAGAAGATGTGATAAAGCAATCAAAATGAAGCATACAACAGATCCCAACCCAACTCAGCCACAATTGCCAGATCACACCATGCGATGGCTTCAAACTATCTTGCAACTCATGAACTATCGATTTATTCGGTTTCTTAAATACTCGCCACTTTCTTCTGGTCTATTGCATTATATTCGTTATTCTATCTCTTGTCTCGAGAACAGACAATGTTATCAGACGCTTGAATCTTTTGCTATCAATATCATTGTAAGTTGTGGGGGTTTTTTTATGTATTTATCCTTCTTTATAGCATATGCAAATCGACGTCAAACTGTTACGCTCATTAGATGATCCTCACCGAGAAAAACCCATTTGGTTTGCAGAATCAGAAATGCTGGCGAGATTAACAGTATGTACAATCAGTCGTCTGATCAAAACAAGAGGTCAAGCAGATATCAAAACAGATCAAATCCATCGTGTACTCTCAAGTTTGTATGAATATCGCATTGAGTGGTCTCCTGAAGCCATGGCATTCTTTCCGCCTGCAGTTCAATCGTTCTATAAGACCACAAACCAGTCTATTCATGCTCGTCCCTCTATCACGCCACAAAAGGTTCAACATTTGATTGCCAACAACAAGGCATTTACAGCTTATATCTTGCAAGGTTCTTCTGAAGCAGAGCGCATCGTAACCCAATTCTTTTCTGTCTTGGAGAATCAACCTATTTTGCTCTGTACGATGTGGGTCATTGCAATCACACGAAACACAACAGAGTGCTTTAATATGGCAGCAATTCGTAAATTACTGATGCTGATTTCTCCCTCAAGAATGGCTACAAGTACCATTGATCTGATTGATTTCATCCTGAGTGTGGAGTATCCTCCCAATAGCTCAGAATTTGTAAGTAGATAGAGACGAGGTCCTGTATATTGATCGTCTATAGTTGTATGCTTTGCTGGATACGTTTATTTGGAAAAATCAATGGATCAATTTCAACCATGTCTTGTTTGCTTTCCTTAAAGGAGGAGGTAGTGCTGACAGAACAACAAAAGCCATGCACTATGTTCGCTACCTTTTACTCGAATCCAAAGAGTTCCAGAACCGTATTAGCTTGTGGGACTCACTCAACTTTAGTCATCGTCATTGGACTGAAGAAGATCACCATGAAAAACTGATGCAGTACTTGCAAAAATATCCTGAATATCATGAATTTGAAAGCTATGCTATGCCTTCTATGGAAATCCCTCACCAACAAGCTAAACTGCCCATTTACTTTTCAAATGTAGTGAGCGATTTCATTTCTTTTATGGAAAATCTCATGATGCGATTGATTGAGTATGCTCAAACCGACTTGTTGGCTGATATTTTGGATCACTATGGACATTTGTTTTATCTTCATCAGTGTCCATTGGCCTTTGTGGTCAATATGCTATTGTATTATCATTCATCTTCTACATTGCGCAACCCTCGTATACTTAAACGATTGTTGCGCTTGTTAGGCAAGTATATTGGTCGCAGAAAAAAAAAAGAGAGAGACTCATTTGTGTGTAGATTTTGACCAATACACCATTCTAAAAGAAGCAGAAGCATATGCAACAGATGACAAGGACGATGGAAGTGCATTCAATTCGACTTATTTTGAGAAAGTGATTTACAAGCTTGCAGGCAGTAATGTATACTGAACATAGGAAGTCCTATAAGCTCACATTCATCTATAGACATCAACCCTCAAAAGTGTGCACCAAGAACAAACCCTCATTTACCAGAACGTCATTTTCGTGAAATTGGTAGTCCTGCAGTAGAAGGCATTTTGACAGCTGCATTGGAAATCATGGTTACACCTGTTCCTCCTTCTACTGTGATTCGCCAATTACTCGACCTGGCTCTTTTACGAGAATCTCATCATGTAGGTGTATCTGCACTTACACTTCATGCCATTGGCCTGTTAATACCTGTACTTCCTCAAAAAGAGTATGTGCATCCTATTTTTATCGAACTGAATGAAGTTATTGGATCTGATCCTTATTTACTTGAAGTATCAGAACCTTGTCGACTTGTAAGTCAATGCGAAACAATTCACCTGACTGACAAGCATGTAGATACGATGTGGCATACCTCGTAGTGTGAATGGCAAATTTATCATGGCACAATCGTTACCAGACATGACAACCATCTCACTCAAAGATACCTTAGGCGAACGAATTCGTAAAGCCATGATATTTCCTTACATATTTAACGACTACACGTTTAATTTACATAACTACAGTACGAATGGACCCAACAGCTTTTTATGTTTGTTCCATAGTATCATACATTATTCCAGTCTCGACATCTTTTCGGTCTTTTTAGAATATACACAGACACTACGTCAGTCAGGACAAGTCAAGACTGATGTCCAGTTACTCTATATGTGTTTCCTTATTGGACCAGCATTACATCGTATTGAAAAGCTAGATAGCGGCGATGCAGGTGTAAGTACCCCCAAAAAAAAGGAAATGTTGCGTTGACTTATAGCTTGTGTATATAGTTTTTGATTGAATTAATGTATATGGTCAAGCAAGTAACAACACATATGGATCTAAAAGATGGATGGACAACACAGGCGTTGGAGCAAGTATATGACTTTCTGTATCATATTCGCACTCGATTTGTTAAATCAAATGAGTTGGCTAACCAATTGAAAGACATTATCAAGTCCATGAACCCACCTACTTGCCAAAGATTGTTAAGACTAGTTTCTGAGAAAAAAGCTGAATAAAATACACAAGCACTTTTTTTTTTTTTGAAATATATAAGACTCCGAAGAAAACGGTTGTTGCGCTTTTGCAGAGATAGCAGGAGACTGGTTAGATGTGTAAAATCTATTGTTGAAATCAGGAAAGCTCAATCGGTTTCCTCTTTATATTCTAACAATGAGGTATCCCAAAACATTTCTATCTTTTCACAAGTCATTTTGGTCTCTATCTTTGTTCTGTAACGCTGTAATGCTGCAAAAAACAACAATCATTCACAAAAAGCCAAAATTTCAAGACTAAAAACAAGAATAATTCCTTTCGTCGGCTACAGGGTTCGAACCTGTGCAGGCAAAGCCTATTAGATTTCAAGTCTAACTCCTTAACCACTCGGACAAACCGACTAAAGTAAAAGTAAAATTTTTTATATATAGATGATATTCAAAATCATAGTAAAAACACGATGATCTTCCAATTTTTCTGTTTGGTTCTTGTTATTTTGCATACGCAAATATGTACGGTGTTACATAACTCAGATCATTTTGCTTTTTTTTTTTTTTTATAAAAAGCTATGGTTCTGAAAAAAATATGACGCAAAAAATTTATCAATACATTATATATACAGATATCATTACGCGTTATTCTCTGTTCTAATCCAATTGATTTAATTCATGACTTGTGTGACTGAAGGGAATAACAAACGATGATGGATACATATTGTGAAAAAACGAGAGTTATGGTCCATTGTAATCATTATAGATAGATTGTCTTTTTCTTATAAGTTCCTACTTTGATTGACTTGATTGATGTTTTTGCAACTGCAATTTACTAACCATACAGTCCAAGTGCTAAAGACTAGCATTATGCTATAATGACATCTATGCTTTTTTGTGTCAATGTCTGAGTTCAAACCTTTGGACCATTTGGTTCAATGCTCACCCTCACTTTTTTCTGTTCGTTTTATCTTAATGCTCCTACCGAAATTCACATTCCTGCTGAAAGGACCGGCCCATTTACAGCCTTTCAAAACGCGTTTGTTTTCAACAGGCATAAGTCTAACCGAAAATGTTCGAGGCATTATGAGAAAAGTTCCTTTACCTGTTGTTGTTGTAACGACGTCCAAGCCTGACGATCGCAATCACCGAAGAGGCATTACCGTATCGTCTTTTACGTCTGTATGTTTACACCCAGAGCCACTCGTATCGTTTTGTGTCCAAACGCCTTCTCGTGCATCCGACCTACTTCATTCTTCAGGCAGCATGGTGCTAAACTTATTATCACATGAACAAGTTCTACAATCCATCGCTTTCTCGTCACCCAACAAAGATCAATTTAAAGACGTTCCATTCTTTGACGATCCAGCCACAGGTCTGCCTGTCTTAATGGGTACAGTAGGCGCTATGCATTGTGAAAAGTATAAAGTGATTGAACTAGGCGATCATGAACTATGGATCACTAAAGTACTCAAAATAGAAGAAGGGGTTGGAGGAGAGCATGGTATACGCGAAGAAGCACAACCATTACTCTATTATGAAAGAAACTATTGCAGTGTGGGTGACCAAGTATTTATGAAGGCATTTATGGACGATAATGACCAATCAGGGCATAAATGGATGCATAGGGCTCATTTGAGAATGGCATGGAACTTAATTCGAGAATTAGGGCCAGTGGCAGCAGAACCAGTCATTAAAGAAACCATGCGAACACATTTCAATAACAACAAAAAGTACAAGAGTAAAGACTACCATGAAACAATCACTTCTTTTTATATTGCGCTAGTGTCTGCAGCTATCAACTCATACCACGGCCGAGACAGCCATGATTTCTTTGCTTTGGTAGAAAAGTTTCCACAATTACTCAATGTCAAACTGATAGAAGAATACTATTCACCTGAAGTATTGTTTTCAAAAGAAGCTAAAGAAGCATTTATGAAACCAGATCGAAAGCCTTTACCGACACAGTTGCTTGAAGAATAGAGCATTTATTTGATGATGTACAAAATCCAAAAATGGGATACAAACAGGAGGGGCAGACAAAAAAAAAAAAAGAATTAGTTATAGAAATAAAAAGGTTTGTTTCTTCATTGAATTAAAGAAGAGGATAGATACAGGCACACCCGAACGAGTAAATTAAATTCTGTATAATACTCGAAAAAAAAATGAGTAAAAGCAAACCAATGTTTTGGTTTGCGCAGGCAATGATGGATGTGTTACTCTACTAATGTGGCTGAGTCTCTATATAAAAGCCATTTGGTTTCAACTCTTGTTTCTTTTCATTTTTTTTCTTCATCGTTCAAAATATGGCACCACTTGACATTAAAATAGAAATTGTGCTAGACAAAAACAATGTAAAATATTATCCAGGAGATTCAATTGAAGCCAAAATATTTTTAACGTCCAACCAAAACTGTAGTTTGCATGACTTTCGCCTAAACTGGACAGGCCTTATTCAAGTACAACCTGTTCAATTCAACAAGGAAAATCGTATTTATTTTAACGAGTGCTGGAAACTCGGTCCTACATTGATTAAATCAAATACAAAGACATCTAAAGGGAACAGCAACGTGCCTTTTTACCATACTCGCCTGATCCTATCTTCCAACAATTACGATCCTGAACCAAGACTTGATCTACCAAAGAACAAAACGGTAGGACTATCTTTTGTAGTCCATGTGCCAAACGATCGCCCGTTACCTAGCTGTACAGAATTAAGCGCATCACCAAACAAGATTATGTACTTTTTGGAAGCATTTATCTTGGATCAAGACAGTAAACTGTTCCTGACACAAAAATCAGTTCCTGTCTATGAAGCTATTTATACACGTACGCCTGATATGATGATACCTCAAAGAATAGAACAAGTATTTATGGTGTCTTTATTCACTCAAGAAAAGAAGGAATTCGCATCTGCCATGCGCGTTACTTTACCTTGTCGAGGCAGTCAAGCGGGCATTGCTATTCCTGTTTCTATTTCTATTTGGAATAACATGGAATTTACTCGAAGACAAGGTATTTCTGTCTCTTTATTTCGTATCAATCAAATCCTGGCTAATGGAAGGTAAACAGGCAAAAGAATTAGGCCCATTTAGTTAACGTGGTTCTTAGAGCATATACATCGCAAGGAGAAAAGATTCATCGTGTGGTAGCAGACCTAGACATCACAGGACAAGACAGCCATAACAACCAAAAAATGCAAGTTATACGTGTAGGATTACCAATTCCTAAAGGCACTATGCCAACCATTACTTTTGAACAAAGTCAGTTAATATCTGTCAGCTATTTCATTCGAGTTCAGATCTTTGCTCAAGAAGGTGTCTATACAACATCAGAGGGTAAAAAATCTCAGTTCATGATGGTTGATTTACCATTTATTGTGGGCACATTGACAACACCCTCATTCACAACCTCATCTTCATCTTCATCACCTGTCATTACGCCTCTTTCATCGCCTGGACAAACGTATAACTCACTATCCAGTGTTCTTAACACCCATCAGCCCAATATGCAACCTAGTTTTGATTCTTATTCTTCTTCTGGCAAATCCATCACTGATCCTACATCACCTACATTAGGTTCTGTAAGTCCTGAGTCAACAAAAAAATCACCAAGAGGAAGCATTAGTGGTATATTTAGAAAGTCATCAACGGGTGGTGCATCTGTATCATCAGGCCAATCTTCATCTGATAACGAAAAAAAGAAAAAGAGTGTGTTTTCAACATTAAAGTTGTACAGCCGTAGCAAAAAGCAGACTGAAGAGCCTCAACCAGAAGTAAATCCTACTGTTATAATGACACCCAAGAATGAGCAGCGTGGCGTATTTAATCTTTTTGATGACAATATTACGGATGATGAATTAGATGATAACAAAAAAAATGTCCCGCCTACTCCAGCTATTGTTCCACAGCCTGAACAACCGACAAAGCAACCAGCTAAAGTGTTTAATATGTTTCCTGATGATGATTCCGACGAAGAAGAGCAAAAACAAGAACCAATCAAAGAACCAGAAAGTCAAGCAAGAGTGTTTAATATGTTTCCTGATGATGATTCTGATGAAGAAGGAGAAGAAATGCCCGCAAAAGAAACCATGGATCAACAGCCAAAAGTATTCCAGATGTTTGAAGATGATGACAGTGATTCTGACGAAAGTGTTGTGCGTGATTTACAAGTCTCCACTAATCAAGCTGAGCTCTTACAAGATGAGCGAGTCAAACCACATCATCAAGAGCAAAAGCCGAATGAAGTGATTTACAAGCCCAATACTCTAGATGATTCAACCACAGATGAAGAGAATTTTCATGATGATTTACTGAGTGCATTAGCTCTTAGAGAGAAGTTGTTGCTGTCAAATCATGATAAATAAATATACTTTTTATTTATCATTATTCCTGTACTGATGGCTAAGGATTAGACAATTACATCAATATTCAAGGCATTTAACTTTTAAGGCTGGCAGTATGTGTATTTATTAAAGATAGAACATTTGTTTGTATCCAGAAAGAACTTGTAGAACGAAAGAAAAAAATGAATTCACCTTTCTTTCGTCTAAAAAATTTTCTAGTATGATGGTCTGATCACTCTTGGTGACGCTCCGGATTTTGCTATAATCCCTTGTGAAAGACTGTATCTCTTAGATGTCAGCAATTGTTTCAAGCGCCAAGTAATTGAAGACATTGTGAAATGGTGTCCTTTACTTGTGGTGTTAGTATTGCCATCTGCAGCATTGAACAAGATAAGATACAAAGAATACTGACTCTAAGGAGCAACGAACGAAACATTTGACATATCCTTTTTAGGACATATTAAAGGTTAGCCCAGATGAAGGCTATTTTCTTTGGGATTATATAAAACTCATATAATCGTACTGAATGCTTCCACAAAAGCATTGTCTTAAAGATATTTCATCTGACTAGTCACTTTGCTTTACATGCACTATGAATTATGACTCTAATTACGCTCCCACCTATGATCCAACTTTCACTCCTTTAACCTTCACTATATGGAATTTTACTGGTCTCTCTCATCCGACAATATCTGCAGTTACCAACCCATTACAGTCGAGTTCACTCTTATTTATTACTGAAACACGGCTGTTGCCTCTACTTCAATGTCATACATACTGGCAGCAATATCACACATATGCAATACCTGTTTCGTCTGCTTACCGTATTTAAATGGGCATAACTTTACTAGTCAATCCTGATTATCCATTTTCAGTGACCTGCTTCTCATCAACGTCACCTTATAGTCTCTCCTGTCAAGTCTCTCACTTTCTTATCCATTGTCTCTATCTGCCACCCTCTTTGTCGGATGAAGAATGTATCAATGTACTAAATGACCTACCTCTGTCAAGCAACTCCTCCCAAACAAACACTATCTTTTGCAGGGACTCCCAATGCAAGACACAAACAAATACTTGGCGACTCATTGACGAGCCCAAGGAGTACTCGCTTGTTTGACTGGGCTAATAACTTGGGACTCACCTGCTGGAATGAACGATTGGCTAAAGGTGTGCCTACATACTATACACAGCATGGAAACCAAACCAAAAAAAGCATCATAGATATGTTCTTTAGCTTGACTGATGACTTGATCAATACACGAATGGAGGTCATTCAAGATTCTCATATGGGTTCCACTCATTTCCCTGTATCCCTCTCCTTCTTATGTACTCAAACTCCCATTGGTCAACCCAGCCATCCTAGACTCCTATGGAAATTGGCTAGACTACAAGAGCTCCCAGTTCGTCAGCTGTATCAAGATTTATTTGCTATTAAGGCTTCGCCGCTGCTTGCTGACCTTCGTGACTTAGTTAATTATACAATTGATTTATACAAAGGATACGTTGATAATTCCTTTACCTCTACTCAGGATTCACCATCTTCGTTCTCTTTGGATATCGATTACCTGACAGTTAGACTCACAGCACTTATTCATTCCTGCTTAGACCAAGTAGTTGGTAGGCAAAGACTTCGCTTATCCTCTAATGTATGGTTCTGGACAGACAATCTACAATCGTTGTCTGACGCTCGTAAGAATGCTCACCGACAGTGAAGGCCTAACACTCCCGGTAGCATTGGTAAAGCTTTACTTTAAAAAGAATATCGTAGAGTATATCAGTCTTTCACAGTTGAAATTAAACGACAATGTCGTCAGTCGTGGAATCAATTTTGCGAAAAACTATCTTCTAATCCACTCGAAGATACAGTCGCTGCTTTCAGTCGTATGAAAAAAAATCGCATGAGAACTCCTGCACTTTTACGTCCACAAGGAGCTCAAGTTGCTGCTAATGTTATGGCTGGCCATCTTCAAGATGTCTATGCTGGTAATTTCCTACCGCTGCCGCATCAACGAAGAAACAAGACGCCTAAACTCCCTTTAGGCCCTAATCTGACAGACTCTGATGTTCATTATCTTGAAAAGAATATCCTTTCGTCTAACCTGGACTCAATTCTGAAACTTATTGACGCCAATGACCCTAATGCCTGCCCTTTTAGAGAAGACACCATCTGTCATGCTCTTACCAAAAAAAAATCGCTCGTAAAAAAGCACATGGCCAAGATCATCTCAGGACTGAAATGCCGATATCTTTAGAAGATACGCTTGTTCCACTACTATGCACCAAATCCAAGATAAATGAAATAACATACAAAGTTCCTCGCTTATGGCGCTCTGCTCAAGTTGTTCCAATACACAAAAAAGGGTCTCTAAATGACTCTGCTAATTTTCGGCCAATCAGCCTCACATCATGCTTAAGGAAACTGATGGAAGTACGCTTGGCTCTCACTCTCTATGGGAAAGCTCCTCCACTTGATCCTGTCCAAGGTGGGTTTAGAACTAATCGAGGGATCATTGACCAAGCTCTTGCCCTACATGAACTTTGGCGGCAACACACCTTTGATCATAAGGGTGAACGGCCTGTACTAGCTTTTTTAGTCATCAAGCAAGCCTACAATCGTACTGACCGAACGATAGTTTGGCAATTGCTAAAAAATTCTTGTATTTCCCTGCCTCTTTTAGGTATTTTACAATACCCTTTTGATCAGGTTGAAATTGAAGTAATTATCTCAGGTTTTAACTCCACCGCCTTCTATCCTTCTACTGGTGTGCTACAAGGCTCCATATTGTCCCCCTTCCTATACTCTTTGTATATTGACTCCCTTCCAAAAATGTTTCGCGGCATGCATCTCCCACCAGCAGCAAGGAAAATAGAAGAGTCAATCCTAAGAGACTCTATAACAGTCTTTGGATCAATAGTCTACTATATGCAGATGATGTTGTGATTGTTGGCACACCGCTCACTATGAAATCATTACTCAACCGTGCACAGTGCCACTCTCTAAGCCTTGGATATCATTGGAATCCATTAAAATGTGTCATCGTCACCGGTCTTCCTGCTCCTAGCCAGCCATACTCAATCTATGATACGCCAATCCCAATAGCGTTGTCTTTTGAATATCTGGGCATTCCGTTCAATACTAAGGCTCAAATTGGTGTCTCCCTTCTGATTCGTCGAAACACGCAGTCTGCTCTCACAGCTATGCGTGCTGGGTTCTCTTCTCTGGGATTCTTTAACCAAATTCGTCTCTCTAAACTGACCACTGCTGGTCTATACAGTACGTTTATGTGTCCGAAATTGGAGTATGGTATTTGCCTTGGTCTTTACTGAAAATCCGATTTTGCGATTCTGTATCAATAGCCATTTAAAGGGAAAAACTAGATCATTTAAACTGATGACCAACCTTCCTTCCATGGCCGAACGCAGAGAGCCTCGTCTTCAAGATGATGAGCCGTTTCGAAACGCTTCCAGAAGACACACTGATAATGCAACTAGTGGCACACGTTGATACGTATTTCTTTGCTCGGTAACAGCAGATTTTTCTTTGGCCACAAGTATCAAACAAGAATCACATCTGGTTGCAACTTAGCAATAGCTATAATACGCTTTTCGAATGGGTCGAAGCCGATAGAAACGTCAAGAAGCAACTCTTGGGACTTCGTCAGCGTAATTTGGATGCTCTTCGTGCACAAATAGATGCCCCTGTCTTCATCTCTGACTGCAGGCCCTTTGTTGGTTGGATTGATTCTATCTTTCTGCTGCCTATGTCGATCTATGACCGTCAAAAGATCCTCTGTTGACGCCTTTGGTGGATTCCGAAGTACATTTCTACTTTCTCATGTGGTTCATCACCTATCAGTAGAAGACATGTACTTGGTTGCCTGAGCGCTGCTGAACGCTTACGGTTACCAGCTGATATACAGCCTAGTCCAATTGATTATGTCTTGAACCAGTTGCCTAGATTATCATACCCTCCAAGCCTACAAGCTCAAAGATTTGACCGCTACATACGATTGTCAAATTGGTGGCCAATCATTTGCCAACTACTTCTTGAAATTGAGATTATGGATCTTCCCGACAAGACCTACTCAAGCGAAGAAAAAGATACCTCTGGTTTAACTTTTCTCCTTTGGCTGATAGCCTCACTATATCCAGTATAAATCGACAGCTAATTCTCTCCTCCGTCCTGCGGTGTTTATACTTCCATTATGCACCTATCTTTTCCTTTTGTTTTTTTCTTTCTTATCTCTTCTTACCTGTATATACTATAGTACATCATCGTCTATGTTTCCTGCCCTTTTTTTCTCATGTTTATCACTCTATAGTTTTTTTTGTACTTTTCTTTTTTTGAACTGATGGTTAGACATTTACCCCATAGAGCCCAGTCTTCAAAACCTTTCAAATAAATATAAACTCTTACTGGGATCATAAAGGCAAAATGACGATTTTTTGACTTTTTCAAAACTTACGATATTTTTGCATAAATATGTTCTTTTATGTATGTTCAAACACAAGAAACTCAAAAAAGGGAATTAGAAGATAAAAATGATGGCTTGTTCCGAAAAACATTCACGCCTGCAGCGGGCTGCCAATACACTTTTGGTGCTACTATTCTGCTTATCAGATTTGCTCAAAAGAACTGTAAAGAGAGTTGGTTATTTCGATTCCACTTACTATAAAAAATCAATCATACCTACACTGTATACATGATATAACTTTAGTCCTCAATTTATATCTTTTTCGAGTATCAAGCTCATTTTACGATCTTGATTCATAAACAAAATAGTTATTTGACTCCTAATGTGTAAGTGTATATTTTCCTTCTATTTTGCTCATTTTATGATAGAGTAAAATTCTTTATAACCTCAAGTAGAGTATCACCTTGCCTATATTCTCTTTTTAAATAAAAGCTTATCTAACTACATGCACGAAGAATAATTTAAAAGAATAATCAAGATTTCTGCTATAAAACGATTAAATTAAGATGTTCAAGGGTTGTTGATCTTCTACTCTAAGCCTAAATTCAACAAGTATCTCTGGTCATAAATAGTAAATCAAAGAACGCATAAGATAGGATAAATGAAGATAATGAGAGTATTGGCATTCTTTTAACAGAGACGACCTTAATTCTCGTACAAATTTGAATTCATCAAAGGCACAAAGACAACCGGAACAAACTTTGAAGATCGAAAATACCAAAATGAATTTTCTTTTTGGATCTTTGAAAGTAGCCATATCTTATGTTTATTATCGCTGAATGTGGCGTGACTATAGAATTGAACCAACGAAATTCAGCTTTGTACGCTTCCCCCCTTTATTTTTTTCCAGATACCAAAAAAAAAAAACTTGCCATACGAATATTAAATGAACCCACCACCAGACGCACATAAATATATACAAACACACGTCGCCCATAACCAAAGACAACTACAATTTATTCGTTCTTGCTTTGCAGCAATAGCAGGCTCAGTAGCAGGTATTCTTGGGCTCCAGAATCTGTCTGGTTTTCTGTTTTACGCGGTGAGCTGGATCATCTTGTCGATTCTGTTAGTGGTGAAAACAGCAGGCAACAAAGGTTATTTTATTCATGGCTATCGCGATGTAGTATTGGACGGTGCTTTAGGTGGTTTGTTGTCCTATATTCTATTTCATACTTTATTATATGGTCTTGTACATTTATATCAATAATTTCTACAAGAGTTTTCCACGTTAAAATAAATTCAAACGATTTTTTTTTTTTTTTTTTTTTTTTTTTTTTGAAAATTGATTATAAATACTCTTTGTTTTTCTTTTATATTCCTTTTCTCTTTTCATCTTTATATCAACAGCCAATGTCAATTATTTATTTGCCATCTATGAAGACGTTATTGGAAAAGAATAAACAATTTTCAGATACATCTTGTCAAGAAGAAAAGTCTGTCATGATTGACCGTCTGATTGATGTCTCTGCAGAAATTATTGACTCAATATGGTCAAAGAAACAAAAACCAACCTCTAAAATCATCATGCCCACCAATGAATTTATACGAGAAATCATTCAACGATCAAGAGCCACTTATTCTATGCTTCGACTTGCCCTGTTTTATATCTTTCGTATTCGCAACTTAATACCTCAAAGCACACATTGTATTGTATGTTGCGGAAGACGTATGTTTCTTGCTGCTCTTATGCTTGCCTCAAAGTACCTTCATGACAGGAATTATCGGAATAGAACGTGGGCTAAAATTGCTAATTTAGATGTAGCGGAAATCTCTGCTTCAGAATTTGTCTTTCTAAAATTAATTGACTATAGACTCTATGTTTCTAAACTGCTTTATGATAGATGGGTTTTTCTTTTGCATGAACATGTCCAAAAGAAACAATTGATCCATATATATACACAGCAAAAAGTTAGTCTTCCCGTTATTCAGCTGGCATCTCCCACCCTTACACAAGAAGACGACAGTCAAAGTGAAATGTCTTCACCCGCTACATCTTACAGTAGTAGTAGCAGCATGGCATCACCTCATACACCTTCTCCTTCTACTCTCCATTTACCATGTAAAAAGCGACCTATTGAAGACCCCAGTCTACCGGTGACTAAGCATCCTCGCATATCGTCATGATCATCATCCTATTTTTTTTTGTACATATCATAATCGTATACCAACATTTTTTAATAAAGCCATTTTATTTTTCGGATCTTGAACATTTTTTGATATCTTTTTCCTTTTCAACTCAGAAACGGCCTGATTTTTTTTAATTGCAGAAACCAAGCTAGTTCTGACAACATTCGACAACCAAAAAAAAAGTCATACGTTTATGACGCATGACAACAAACAGACCTATTTAAATTGAAGCTGAGACAAGGGAAAAACTTAAACTCTTTTTTTCTTGATGTTGACTTGTCTGAAACCAGACGATATAAGTCATAGGATAAAATACATGAAGAAGGTGTTATGCAATATACTTGTTCCTACTAACAAAAAAAGATAAATCAAAGTTGGCAAGCGTAAAAATATAAATTTCTCACACTTTATTTATATACTTTTTATGTTGCATGCTGAAGCAGAATAAATAAGGGTGAAAGAGTAAAAGAGAGAAAAGAAAAGAAAAGAAAATAAACAAAGGGAAAAAGCAGTATATTTATATACTCGTTTTTTTTTTGCATGTGAAAATAAGAATGAATACCCTATAGTCAAAAAAAATATTCGTTTATTCACTTTTTTGTGCAACCATGCGAACAGACCATCAAATTGAGCCCCTCTTTTTAACAGAATTTTTTTTGTGTATCAAAATTTGATGTTTCGACAAAAAAGGCCTATCTCACAACCATCAATAATCTTAACCGGATTTCCCACACCCCATTTTTTTTATCCTTTTACTATCTCATTCTCTTTTTTTTTACAAAGTTTATAGAGCATAAACAAAGTCACAATTTCCATATATATTGAACAAGAAGGGTGTATAGTAAAGTATACTTCTTCTCTTCTTCTACTTATCATGTCCAATTATAACTTTTACTCAAACGATAGTCTATATTATTCGCCTCCTTCAAGAACACTCAGTGAAACAGACCTAAAAGACCTTTTCGAGCCTCTTGTTGACCTGACTTTATTTCAAGACTTATCTCCTTCAGCTGTTGAAGCATCTTCACCCAAGACAACAGATTCGCTATCGGATAATGATTCTTCACCTCATTCACAATATATAAGCTTCTTGAAGGACCCTGAACTCGTGATCCATGTAAATTCAGTCTTTTTTCTCTAAAAAAAATTTGCTTATCTTTCTCTTTATATAAAATCTAGGAACCACCAAATGATTTCTTTCTCAACTATTTAACTTGCGACATGTAAATTCTTGTCATAGCCTTGATTTCTTTATTTTACTAACTGCTTTTCTTGTTATGGTAGGCCTCCTGAAAAGCCACTTTATACGAATGAAGAAAGGTAAAATATATATATATATATATATAAATACCTCATTTGAGCTACAAAAAGACTAATGTTCTTAAACAGCAACCGCCCTCAGATTCGCATTCTCGGGGTGCCAAGCACAGGCGCCAAATCGCGCGTCGAAACTCAGATAAAGTTGTGTATCCAATTAATGACAAAAGATGAAAAGAAAGTAGTCGACTGGTCCTATATTCGTCTGGGTGAAAACATGCTTGCCAGATCTCGATTGCGTAAAAGCCAACAACAAGTAAAACCATTAGATGGGTCAATTGCTACTATGGTATCAGACGAATCCAAGGTATTGCAACTAGAGGCTAAAGTGATATGTGCCAGCAGTAGTAACACGGATCATCCGGTTCGAATGTGTGTGGGCTGTGTACGACGTGAGGTAAAATAAGATCCACAAGATTTTTGGATGGAAAGACTCATCTCCACATTCGCTTTTCTATATTTAGAGGAAGCGGGCCGAAAGAACAAAAGATGGCAAGTCAAAGGATCTTGTTGTTCTATCTCAAGACATGGAAGCCGAAAGAGACCGCATCTTATTGTTTAATTGCAATCCAATGATCAACTTCTCATCGGGAGATGCTATTTTGCCTACCAGAATTACGTGCTATTGTAGACATCATAATGAAAAGGAAGGATTTAGGTACGCTAGTCTTATCAGTTTTTGGGTTTGGCATTAAACCTTATTGTTTTAGGATTTGTTTTGCGATGAAGAACCATCAAGGCCATGTTGTAGCTACGGGTATTTCTCCACCTATTATGATAACAGATGATCATAAAAGCTCAAAACAAAAGAACAGCCGCAAGAGGTCAAGAGATGAAAATACGCATATCATTTCACGTCCTGACACTCCAGCTCCTTCTCGTCGAGGCTCTATGTCTACAGGTGAAGAAAAAAACACGTTGACTTCACTTTCATTAGAAGACGGAGAGGATAGCGAAGAAGAGCAAGGTCTTTCCACACCCACAAGCCTTGAATTCATGCAGCCTGGATTCAATCTCGCACCTCAGCCTACTCCAAGCGAGGAATGGCCATTTAATCGCCGCCGTCGCACGATTCAAGGTTATACTTCTTCAGATGCCTCTGCAAACGCGCTTATCAACTCCATGCTTGACAGAGTGCCGCAACTTGAGCGCCTCGTACCATCACAAGGACCTACCTATGGCGGCATAGAAGTGACCTTATTAGGTTCCGGGTTTTACCGAGGTTTGACTTGTTTGTTTGGTGAACATGCTGCCACGACTGTCTATTGGAATGCCAATACAATGGTATGTCTCTTACCGCCTGCCGCACAGACGGGTCCTGTGGTTGTGTCATTCAAAGAGCATCCTTTGGTACTTGAAGGTCAAGATGTAGCAATTTTTACTTATTATGATGCAAGTGATCATGCCTTACTTGAACTCGCATTGCAAGTGGTAGGTCTAAAAATGACGGGGAAACTTCACGATGCAAAACACGTTGCCATGCGGATTGTTCAGGGAGGAGATCAACAAAACTCGTCTTATCAAAGCTCTGTTTTGGAAGCTGTTGAGCAGTCGGATCAACTGATAGACTATACACAAACAAACAATCAAGGTCACACGTTGCTTCATTTAGCTGTATTACTCAACAACGAAGCTTTGGTAAGAGCACTGATTGCTAGCTATCAATACCGTCCTGCTCAAGAAAAACTCGCATTTCTGAATACGCAAGATAAGAATAATATGACAGCACTTCATCTCGCTTGTCAAAGCAAGTCAAGAGACTTAGTGCGAGTATTGCTTTATGTGGGAGCGAGCTCAAACCTCCAATCAAATTGGGGACTGCCGTCGTCTCTATGTCAGGAAGAATCAGATCTTCTAGATTTACTTGATTTGTACAATAAGAATAACTCTATAAGGCGAAAACCACTTTCTAGAAGAAATAGTCATATGAGCCATCGGTTTCATAGTTTGAGTAGTACAGATTCAATCAAAGTTATCGTTTCGCCTTCAATGGAATTAGACGGCTTAGGCTTTGTGCGTCACAAACTAAATTGTCGCCTTTATCTCTTTTGGGTGCCGATGTTTATAGGTAAGTTTATTCTTTTGTTTGGCTTATATTGATTGTTCCTCATAGTGGCTATCTGTTTACTCTTTATACGCCTGTTAGACCAATCCGGGTTACTAAACCTGGAAATGTTCCCTAGAAGCCGTCCTTACGGAATTTCTTTATCTATTTGAGTTATTTATATCCTATTTATGCATTTGTTCATTCATCCATTCATTTTTTTTTCAAGCATATTTAAACATTTTATTTTGTTTTAGTAGAGTTTTTCTATATATTATTAGAATGAAAACACCTGTAGCATACAATAAAGTTCCATTTCTCTGAAGATAGTTTCATCTCTTTCCCATAAAAAGTTCTTATCATTGATATAGACTTTATTGAACAATATAAATTTGTGATACAGAAACAATCTAGACACATGTTTACAAGTTAGGGTATGTAAATAGGAGAAGCTTTAAAAGGAATAAAAGCGTATTTTCTCTTTTTCTATGACGAAATTAGGGGATCGATTTAGATGCTATTTTGCCTCTAAAGATACAAATAGCTTTAATAGAACCTTAGTTGGACCGAGTAGAGGAGAGTCGATTCAAACTGTATGATTAAATTGAGTACTAACCAGATATAACTGTACTCATAATGAAAGAAGCAAGATCAAATAACAAAAGAATGGCAAGGTATTTTGATTTAATTCTGCAAATTAGTTTGCTATTTTAACGAATACAATGACCTCGGTGGTCTGAGCAACTTATCCAAGGTATACATTCAGTTTGAGAGACCCAATATCTTTTACATGGTTTTAGAGATCAATCTTCTTTTGCTTTGAAAAAAAAAGAATTTATTATCTTATGTGTCTAAATTCGCCTCATGAATAATGCTTGTAACCCTACGATCTTTATTTTTTCTCTTTCTCTTGCTATTATACAGAACAGTATATTTTTTTTTCTTGCGTTTTAAACAATATGACTAGAAAAGACAGGCGTATTTAAGACATACAAAAAAAGAAACAAGGATATTTTATTGAATACATTCTTCTATCATACCTTTGCCCACATCTTTGGTTGTAATCTATACTTTAGATATAGTGTTACAAAAGATGACAAGACAAAAGCTAGGCCGGTAAACATTTGTTGCGAAAAGAACAAATGCTTGTTGGTTGCTGTCTGTATTGCTCCTGCCAGAGAAGGACCAAATCTTGCAGCTGTCATAAAAAACAAGTAAAGGCAGATACCAGAAGGATATTTCTCCATACCAGTGATAGCCACCGTGATCGGTGCCACTATTTTTGTAAGTACACCTTTAATAAACACAAATCCTAAAACTTACATAAAGAAAATACAGCACCACTCATAAAACCATAAATAAGGATAAATATCAAGAGTGTAATGAACGAATTCGCAAACGTCCAAATAAACAACGAGCTTAGACCGCATACAAACAAGAACATGATGTTGGTATTGACGACACCAACATGATCACCCAAAAATCTATCCCTTGTTTAGTGTCGATGGATCCTACATGAATTACTTACCCTGAAAAGATCCGACCCAATACATTGACAGCTGAGAAGACAGCAACAAGTGTTGATCCCTGAGAAGGTTTTAATCCAATCTTGGTTGCATGTGACGGAAGATAAAAGGCGGGAATAAAGTAAGACAGCATGCTCAAGTTGCCAACAATACACCAAATAATAAAGTTACTGTCTTTACAGATACTCATGTCCATCATATTAGCCAATTGAAACTTCTTGGTAGCATTCCCGGGTAATTTAGACTTTTTTTCACGTAATAATAATGTTGATAATAGACTGATAACGAATGTGATGATCCCCAAGACACGGTAACACCTACATATGTTTGTTTGTTAATAATAATAAAAAAACAATGTGACATAATTATCTGTCAAGAACATACCAAGCTCCACCCAGTGATTCATTCAGCGATGTCATAACAAATGGCATAATCAAACCACCGACACCAGAACCGCTTACCATAACACCCATAGCAAATCCTCTTCTTTTGACAAACCATTGAGGTGATATAGACATAGAAACCTACAAGGTCGAATTGATATAAAGTCTAATGAAGTGTTACTTACAATATACAAAAGTGCAGCACCCATGCCATGCATCACACTCTGAGTAATATACAATTGCCAAACTTGAGTAGAAAAGCTTGCCAAGATCAGACCAGCTGATATCAAAATAGTACCAAAAAATAATAACCAACGAGCACCCACAAGTGACATAAATAAGGGTGTAACAGGACCCATAAGACCACAAAAAGAAAACCCAATGGTGCCAACAAAGCTAAGTTCAGTAGAATCAACAGATCCCTTAAACACTTCACGATCAAAATAGTCTTGCATGACGCCTATATTATTTTAGAAACAGAAAAGATCGACAGTGACACACGACATAAAAAAAAAGGTCCGTGTGCTTTATCTACTTTACCCCTATTTAAGTTTAGTATCAGATCTAACCTATTATTTCTTTATTACTTACCAACTTGATAATGTACACATACTAATTGCTTGAGCCAGGAATCCACTAAATAATATCACCCATCGGTATGGATCTTCGTTTGATGTAAATTCTTGGTCATCAAACTTTATTTCTTGATTTTTTTTCTCTGAAATATAGCCTGAATCAGATAGACTTCCTCTTAATAACCTATCCACTATAGACATCATATGAGTCAAGCCAAGAAGGTAATGTTAGGCTTACATCGTGTAGGTTGTTGTGAGTGAATTGTGCTTCCCTCTGTCACACTGGTATTGGAAGACACTATTGTTCTGTTATCCTCTAATGATGCATTTAAATATTGATCTTCTTGATCGAATTGAACGACTGATATTCTTATTGTTGTTTCGGGCATATCGCTTGAAAGAAAGAAAGAAAAAAGAACAAGTAAAAAAGAGAGTCAGAAAGAAGATTATTTTAAAGGAGATGCAAGACTAGTGTATATGAAAAAGGAGCGAAAGAAAAATGACAACGACAAGAGTAGAAAACAAAACAACTCTAAGGGGTGGAGGGGGAAGATGGATTCTGTAATATAGAATTTGTTTTTTTTTTCCGTTTTATGAGCAACGGGTCAGTTTTTATAGAAATTTGATCATTAATATATAGAAACATTGTTTGAACAAGTTATTCCTCGGCTAGTATATGACATCCAATCTGTTCTTAAAATGATTATTTTAGGTTTCTTTCATGTTGTTTCCGATGAACATAGGAAGCATCAATGCCATTGTGTTGCGATGATCGTAATAGCCGAGGCAGGAAAGACGTCATGCTATGTTTAAATATAGAAATGAAAAAGATCGACAACTGCAGATGTCAACAACTTAACATTTAAGACCATTCTTACTCCTATTCCAAGACACTAAAATAAGGCATTCTTCCCCTTACATATTATAAAGAAAAATAAATAAATAGCACGCATACTTCAGGGAGTTGCTTATCGATAAGGTTATTTTATACCAGACAAGTGTGTATTTGGTTTGGATTAGAATGGTGCTTTTGTCTTGTAGAGATCAACCGTAGATTGACTTGCAAGTGAATGTCCAAAATAGCGTTTTTCCTGATTGACATAAGAAGCTGTTAAGTTAATGGTTATTGACTTACCATCATTGTTTGCCAGGTACCAAACTTCAATGCATATTCTTTTTGCAAATCAAAATCTGATTTAGAATCACTCAAGGATTGATCTTTGAATTGATCAGATACAATGCCATGGATAAATGCATGTTGCGAATCGCAATATTCAGTTGAAGAGACAAATAAATACGAGCAGAATCTTCTATGACACCATAAAGACTCATAGCCAGGATATTTGATGATCAATTGGTCTAGCCATTCCATATGTCTTCTATAGTCTTTTATCTTCAAGTACTGAATGATACGTTGTAAATATTGCAACCCCGAAAAATCACTGATATTGAGTTCAATCCAGCAACATGTTTGGTCGTATTCTTGTTGTGCTCTTGGTAGAGAGCAATGGCTTAACAAAATCCAAGTGCGATATGTCCATGCATAATAGTTTCGGGGGTAAGCTGCTGATGACACCTTGGCAAGTTTTAATTCTTTTTCAATATCCATCTCTTGAGCAAACTGTGTCAAAATCCATTGTCGATGATACCAAGCAATTGAACTCTTAGCATGCCTTGGAATAGTGAAAATAAGTTCAATCAAAGCCAATTCTTGCTTTGGATCAATGTGATTAGACAGCAATAATTGCTTTCTATACCTTTTTTGAGTTTGATAATTCATTTTTTATACTTTTTTACCTCTTGTTCATGGCTGTATAATTATCAGGCTTTAATAAAATCATGATACGCGTTACTTTCTCGAGTTGTTTGGAGTCGTTTTGATCAAGTGCTATAAAACGGCCATGCGCTTGCTTGAGTAAAACAGCAAGTTCAGGCTTAGCAATACCCAGTTTTGATTCAATAACAACCAGAGGATGAAATTCTTGACTCTCAAAGGGTAGTTGGTCTATGTCTGGTGTGAATGGCAATAACCCTATTTCATCACTATGAATACGCGTGTCAATTCAACGAAACAGATGCTCATGGCAAAGTTAAAAAAAAAAAAAAAAAAAAAAGATAAAGCGTGTACACACATTCTATGTTCTTCTAAAGCCTTCCACAGCTTATCAAATAACTCTATCATTTTATAAAAGAAAAGAAAAAAAGCAAAGAAAAATCGAGTCGGATTTAACACTATTTGAATGAATTCATGCAGGCTTTTTATTATTGTTATTATTATTATTACTTAGGCTTTGATCTTTTTGCTTGATGGTGTTACTGTTGCTGTAAAACGAGAACGCTAAGACATAAAAATGTTAGCTTTTATATATAAAGAGATATTTTACCTTGTCTCCTGCTTTGTGATGATGTTCTTCTTCATATTTTTCCAAAAATTCCTTTGGCAAATAACTTTGCTTAATTGTCTAATTTTATCCAGTGAGTCGATTAGAGAGTCATGACTGGAATTTCTTACCTCTGCTTGAATAGCCCCTTGAGGCAACAATTGATAGAGTTTTGTATGAAGTGTGACATGTCCAGTATAAGCATTCAAAGGCCAAGATGCCTCTTTGCATCTTGACTTGATCAACAAACAAGCCAAATCGCTCAACATGTATGAATTCTATTTCATGTCAACAGCGCTCTTTTTTTTTTTTTTTCTTCCTTTACCTTGCTTAATTCAGGAACCACCATATCTTTTGACAATTTGATCTTTTGAACAATATGATACAAAAAGGCCACATTTTCAGATGTAGCCACGCAAGCCAAATAGAATCTAAAGTACTGAGCCAACACTTCTAAATCTTCAACAGCTTCTGAAAAGTCAGGATGATGAGCCAATAAGTGAATCAAGCGGATCAAGGCAGAATCCAATACATTCGCTTCGCCTTGTTGAGCTTGAGTAGTTGAGACTCGTTTTTGGATAAAACTCTTGACCTGCTTCAATAAGACAGTTTCAGGCTCATGAGCACAGAGGAAGAGTAAAGCATAGTAACGAGAATGGATTTGATCCGTATGAAGGCCCTTCATAAGTGATTCAGCAAATTCTTGACGAACATAGAAACAAGTATCTTGTAAAGTAATGCCTAGTTTTTCAAACTTGGTCACGGTGAGTTGGTTCATGTATTTCTCATATTGAGTGAGTTTGACAATGGCTCTTGAAGCGCCTAATCGAAGATGTGAAGTTTCTGCGGCACTAATCAAGGTTCATAAGCCTTTTTTTTTTGTTATAATGCCTACACTTACTTTGTCTTGTCTGTCAAAGCACCATCACAAGATAAATCAAGCAAGGCTTCGAGAATACCAAAGATCTTTTGAATAACGTAATCTTCAGGCCCAACATCGTCTTTAGAAGCAGTTAAATAGTTTACCAATAATCGAATACCCATTAATTTTTGCTTGGACAGGTCAGGCAAATTTTCATAGACTTCCCATTCAGGATTATCAGATGAAAACTGAGAAAAAAAAATAAGTCTAGGTTGTGAGTGTTGTACTTACTTCTTTTGTCTTGGCTATCAATAGAACAGCTTCAACAAAACGAATAATGGAGTCAATAGAGGGAGTAATGAGCTCATGTGCGTATAATGTAAAATTGGAAAGACCAGTAAGAGTGGCAAGCAAACGGTTAGACTTCAAGAGTAATTCATCACACATGTTTGAAACTAGTTCTGCAGAAATCACATCTGCATCCTTCATATTGGCAAGGGCAATGGAAGCATAATTGGCTTGAGTTACACTTCCTTCTGTCACAAAGCTCATTAAACGATCACTCACATCACTACAAGAAAGATGAATCGCTATTCTACGGGCAATGGCAACTTACTCTTTGTAAGCCATCTTTCCATGAGAGTCCTTGCTGATTTCAGAAAGAAGTTTAAGGCCTTCTTCAGCTAAGCACACATAAGAATCATAACTCAACATGCATAATAAGCTTTTTTACCTGCATTCTCATCTTCAGACATAACTTCCTTGATGATATCATTCAAATGACTGGTATACATGGAAGGAAACGTAGTAGAGATTTCTTTTAGAATGTCTTGAGCTACAACAGATCTTTGACTAGATACTGTTTGTCTTCTTCCACGTAGTGTTCTACTCATCTTCAACAAATGAGCAACATTGCTCTTGCTCAAGATGATAGGACAAGCTCTGTTTAAAATAGCTTGAAAGATTTCAACAATAGCAGATTGATCATCATTTAAACTGGCCAACAATTTTTTCTATATCAATATTAGCTTTCTTTCTGTTTCCCTTTCCTTTTCTTTTTTCGGTATTTACCTTTGCAACCAGTACTTGTTTATAGGTACGGCTGAGATCAATAGCAGTCTTTAATGCCTTGATATCTTTATCGTTGCCTCTTTGAAGGAAGGACCTTAAAGCATTCAATGTTCTTGGCTTATCAGCGAATTGGGCAGCCAAATACTTCATAAATTCATCGTTCTTGCTTTCCTCATGTTCATTTGTGCTATTCTCATTCACCTAATCACATAAGACAACAAGATAATTGTGTAATCAACACTTACCACTCTTTGACACATATCGACATAGGTATGTAAGTTTTCGTTAAACATTTTTTGTTTACGAACAAGGGCAGCGAATGCCAGTCTTTCTTTCTCATGAAGAGACTCAAAGACAACGACTAATCTTTCAGTTCTTTCTTCATCATTTTCGTCTTCTGGAAGAATATACTTGAGCAATGCATGTTCCATGTCCATACTATAGATAGATGAATACATCATTCTATGTTTAGGCCTACTTACGTAACAGAAGCATCACCCAAATAGAGACAGTACAGTAAGCGATCAGGAATCCAACCCACTTTATCCATCACAGTCTTTTCATGAGCATGGATACGAGCATAGTAATGATTGTACACAGACCCCATGGTTTTCATGGCTTCTACTCGAACAGGATGCTAACCATCATTAAGATCAGATAAGATTAAGATCAACCTACTTTCTTATCCTTGATTCTATCACTGATCAATTCCAACAACTCCTTGTCCAATTGCTTAATATCGAGTTCAGTCATAGTTTCACCCACAACTTTACAGGCAGCAGCACGGACTCTTTCATCAGGATCAGATAATCTGTCTTTGAAACAATCTATGGACACATATCAATGAAAGATTTCTTCCTTATTGTGAATACCTGTTAATTCAGACATGGATTCAGGATGATGTTTAAAGATATCCACCGACATCTCTAGCCATTTGACACGCAACTGAATTGACTTGTCATGACGTCTAGAGGAAGCATGAGTCATTTGCTAGTTTCTTTTTGGTCAATACCTTCCAAGCCATGTCTTCCAAATAGCAGGGTATTTAGCAGCTACATTCAATGAAGATTCAGCAAACATATGTCCTAATGTCTCTGTTGCCAACTGACGAACATGAATGTGGTCTACTCTCATTTCTTCCTGCAGTAATGGCAAGACATTCAATAGTAAATCAGGTGTGACAGCATTCATTTTACGAATAAGGTGATGTGCTCTTTTGATTTCTTCTAAATCTTCTTCTGTTTCATCTGTGTTACTGACAGAAATCAATGTATCTGAAAAGTACTGCATAAAAATAGAAAGAAAATACATATAAGCACAGAGCAGAATCAAGTGATAAGACTTACTTGAAAAATGCGTCTTTGAAGTGCATTAGGACAAGCATAACAAATATCCAATGTCATCAGATAAGCAGGGTTATCAGATCCCTGAACAATTAGAGATCAGTCGTGTTCAAGATTGGATTAAGTTACCTTATCAAACTTGTCGAATTGGTCCAAAATAAGTTCTGTAAATTCAGCACTCATAGCACCGACATCATCGATCAATTGAATTAGCACATCTGTCATACACAATTCTACATTTCTGGCCAATGTGCCTCTACAAAATAAAATAAAAAAAAGAAAGAGAAAGATGTAAGCTCATATACACATAATCCTCTAGTTACTTTTCAGACACAGTAAAGAATTCTTCAATTAAAGGCAACACGATTTCTTCAGAATCTTCAATATCATTCAAAAGCAAGAAAGTCTTGACAGATTGTAAGTTTTCCAAAAGATAAAAGCGATAAGGAAATTCAGGTGTTTCAGTACCGAAATGTGAAAGCTCACTGACAAAGAAGGCAAAGATAGTCTAATGGTATTTCAATAACTTGTTGAATTCAATAAGTTATTACCTTAAGTGTATCATTGGAGTAAGGACATTCAGGAGCATGTAAACGAATGATATCAGCAAGACAACAAGCAGTTAAAGCCTTGATAGTCTTGTCCTTGTTATTGATAATTGTTTTGTGAACAAGTTCCTGAGTCACATTTTCAAGGGATGATTTGTCCACATTTTGATCCAATTCTTTTAACTGTTCATGAAGGTTCTATAGACAATAATGATCAACAAGCGCGTTGTACCTTTTTTTTTAATTTTACCTTTAGCAAGTCTTTTAGTTGAGGTACTTTTTTTGTGCTTAATAGAGACTCTGAGAAATTCAAGACAGGGGCTTCTTCTTCCATTTGAGAGTCGATAAGCTCAGATGTCTGAGTGTTGGAAGGTTCATCAAGATCCATATTGCAAGAAACACGCGTCAAACAGAAAAAAAAATATAGAAATAAAAAGACGCGTTAAAGAAAAAGAATACAGCAAATTTCTCTTTCCGCTCAATGCATGCTGACGTAGCATATACTGTTTTGATTTTATGAAATAATCAAGAGACTTTCCTGAATAAAGCAAGTGTCATGTTCAATAAGAGAATGCTATTGAATAGCATTCTTCCCCTCTTTTTTTTTTCTTTATTTCATAGCATTACAATAATACCATACAAAACACTTGTTTAAGACAAAACAACGCTATCAATTCCAGATCCGCAGAATTGCCCAAAAGAACCAAACAACTTGAAGATATTCCATTATGCAAGTTGTTCTTTTTTTTTTTTTTTTTTTGTAGCATCACAGAAATCAATGCCATCTTTTGATAAGAAACAAAACAAGTGAATGTAAAATGATTTGAGCAGTGATAATTACAGATGGCCTTCAACTATTTCCTATGCATCACTTCACTACTTGTTCTCTGTCGGTAGTTTTTTTTTTTTGACTAGATGAACAATGATGAGGATGAATTTTATTTCTTATTTTCTGATTGGTCAATAGTATAATGCGATGATGTCAGCATCTCCGTTTTATTTTTTTTTGCGTGTACGTATTTTCACTTTCACTTTCTTTTTCTCTCTTTACAAATATTAAGCGCATAGTCAATAAGCAAGACATCATATATTAGCTCTTTCTTTCTTTTTTTGGCACTAATAAGACTAAATACTGAATATGGCTTCTCAACAACACTCAAGGTAAACTTGTCATCTTTATTATTGTGTATGTATTGAGATTCTCTAGCCACGAAAACGACAACTGGAAAAAGACACTCAGCCTTCCTAAAAAAGACACGCGGCCTCAAACAGAGGTTAGATGGTGAATGTTGGTTGTACATGCACGAGATTGACTTGTTCTATAGGATGTTACTGCTACTAAAGGAAACGAGTTTGAAGACTACTTTTTAAAGCGAGAATTATTGATGGGTATCTTTGAAGCAGGTTTCGAACACCCTTCTCCTATTCAAGAAGAGGCGATTCCTATCGCACTCACAGGTCGAGATATTCTTGCCAGAGCTAAGAATGGTACTGGCAAAACGGCCGCTTTTGTGATTCCTACGCTTGAAAAGATCAATAACAAGAAAGCCAAGATTCAAGCTCTCTTGCTCGTCCCTACTCGTGAATTGGCACTCCAGACAGCTCAAGTATGCAAAACATTGGGTAAGCATTTGAACATCCAAGTGATGGTCACCACAGGTGGTACAACTCTCAAAGACGACATTATGCGTCTAGGTGAGACTGTACATGTTGTTGTGGGTACTCCCGGACGTATTCTTGATTTAGCCTCCAAGAATGTTGCTGATTTCAGTGAGGCCAGCACATTTGTGATGGACGAGGCTGACAAGCTCTTGTCGCCCGAGTTTACACCCATTATCGATCAACTGATTAGTTATTTCCCCAAGGATAGACAGATCATGTTGTTCAGTGCTACTTTTCCCATGATTGTCAAGTCTTTTAAGGAAAAGTACCTTGTGAAGCCTTATGAAATCAACTTGATGGACGAATTAACTTTACGTGGTGTGACCCAATACTATGCTTATGTTGAAGAGAAGCAAAAGGTACACTGTTTGAACACTTTGTTTTCCAAGGTAAGTCTCTCTATTGAATTCTATGCACTTGTCTCTAATCACTGTTGAATATATATATATATATATAGCTTCAAATCAACCAATCTATTATTTTCTGTAACTCCACTAACCGTGTTGAATTGTTGGCCAAAAAGATCACTGAATTGGGTTATTCCTGCTTTTATTCTCATGCTAAAATGCTTCAATCTCACCGTAACCGTGTTTTCCATGACTTTAGAAACGGTGTTTGTCGTAACTTGGTCTGTTCTGACTTATTGACGCGTGGTATTGATATCCAGGCTGTCAATGTAGTCATTAACTTTGATTTCCCCAAGAATGCAGAAACTTATCTTCACAGAATTGGTCGTTCAGGTCGTTTTGGTCACTTGGGTTTAGCCATCAATCTGATTACATATGAAGATCGCTTTAATCTTTACAAGATTGAGCGTGAATTGGGCACTGAAATCCAACCTATTCCTCCTGTCATTGACAAGACATTGTATGTTGCCCCTAACGCACTTGAAGATGCTCAAGTTCAACAACCCAACCGTCAACAGGCTATTGCTACTCGTCAACAGCAACAACAACGTGAAGTCTTTTCTCCATCAAACAATCATCACTCTAATTATCCTCAACAACAACAACAACAACAACAACAACAACAACAACAATATCAACAAATGAATGGTCAACAACATCAACAACATCAACAAGGTAATGGGCAAAGAGGTTATCATCACCACGGTAGAGGAAATGGACGTCGTAATAACATGCAAAGAGGTCATCAATCTTCGAGATCATAAAGCTAGTTTTTTTTTCTTTTTTTTTTCTCTTCTTCTTTTGTCGCCCTCCTTACTGTAAATAAGTTTTAGAAGATCCCCTTACCCACTATTTCTTTTTTTTTTCTTTCTCTGTTTCCACACACACACACACACACATTCTCTCTTCTCACTAAAAAAAAAAAAAAAAAAAGAAACTCCTTTTTTCTTCAAAAAGACTTTACTCTATAAAATGTTTGATATATATATATATATGTATGTATGTTTATAAAAAGTTTGATTTAAAGGTAATTGAGGACAGTTTCAGCGGGAGCTTCAGAAGGAAATCCTTCAAGACCAGAAGGGTTATTGCTTTGCCAGTTCCATAAAGAAGCACAAGCCTCATCTAAACTGAATTCAGCCTTCCAGTTCAACTCCTTGTTTGCCTTGGAAGGATCAGCAGTAAGGTTAGGAACATCACCAGGACGACGACCCACAATTTTATGAGGTAATTCACGACCAACAGCCTTTTCAAAAGCATGGACCATTTCCAAGACAGTAGAACCTACACCAGTACCAAGGTTATATTCAACACAGCCAGGTTTATCTTCAAGTTTCTTTAAAGCAGCCAAATGGCCTTTAGCCAAATCAACCACATGGATATAATCTCTATTGTGATTGAGTTAGATACATAAGCCCTTCTGTCTTTTCTTTTTTTTTTTTTCTTCAGTTACCTGATACAAGTACCATCACGAGTAGGATAATCACTACCAAACACAGACAAGTATTCGCGCTTACCAATAGCCACTTGAGCAAAGTAGGGCATCAAGTTGTTAGGAATGCCAGTAGGGTTTTCACCCAAGATGCCAGAAGGATGAGCACCAGCAGGGTTAAAGTAACGAAGTAAAGCGGCATTCCATTCTTTTTCAGCGGTACAAAGATCGCGAATAATATGCTCGACAAACAACTTTGTACGTCCATAAGGGCTCTTTGCATCCTAGAGACCGCGCGTTTAATATTGCTCACTTATCTTTTTGAATACTTACAGTAGGACTAGTTTCAGGGATAGGAATGATAGGGGGTTCACCATACACAGTAGCAGAAGAAGAAAAGACAACGTTCTTTACGTTAGCTTCTTTCATGGCTTGCAACAAGACAATAGTACCAGTGATATTGTTGTAATAGTAGTCAAGAGGAATTTCAGTAGATTCACCTACAGCCTTAAGACCGGCAAAGTGAATAACAGAGTCGATAGGGTGACGGCTAAAGACTTCTAAAAGAGCCTTTTTATCGAGAATATCGGCCTTGTAAAAGATGGGCTTCTTGCCAGTAATTTTTTCAATACGACGAACGGCTTCGTAAGAAGCATTGTAGAGATTATCGTAGATAACAACTTCACGGCCAGCATTTAACAATTCGATAACAGTGTGTGAGCCTGTCATATCCTATAAGTCACTTTGCTCTATATCCACTTCCTTTATTTTTCTTACCGATATAACCAGCACCACCAGTGACAAGAACAGCTTTCTGGACCATGTTTAATAAAAGAAAAGTTTATCTTCTAAAGAAAAGAAAAAAGAAACAAGTTGAAGAGGGAACTATATTTATAGTAGTTGTCTATTTTAAAACCCGATTCCAATCTAAGAATGGTAACTTTTTTCTTAGGTAAGCCATTTATTAAAAAACCTAAAAAAAACTTAGGTAAGCCATTTAATCAGAAAACTAAAAAAAAAAAAAAAACGCTTAGGTAATCTGTCGACTTTACCAAACAAAGCAACTGTCATTCTAAAAACAGCGCCTTTACTTGTTTAGAAGAAAAATCAATACACATTTTGCCAGAATAATGTTGCAAGAAAAAATGGGCTGTGTCGCACAATCCAAAAGAAAAATATTAACAGCAAATGAGTTTGTTGTACTTTGGTTCAAGTCCATTAAATTCCAACAGTGTTTAGAGAAAAAGACTTGATGTAGATGCATGGCCAGGTCTCTAAAGAGTGTGATCAATTTTCTCCTGAAATCTTTTGAGCAAGATGTTTTGGCTTCTTTCTCTTTTTTTTTTTTTTTTTTTTTTACACTCAACTACAGTAAAAGTTACATGTTTGTCAAAAGCTACAATGTTAAAATGCTCGATGATTCACTAGAAAAATATTTTAGCAGAGAAGGAGTCAATGTGTATAGTAGAAGATGGTCCGTATTTGATAGCAAATTGCAACAAAAACGAATAGATAAATGTATGGGATATTTGTTCCTATTGCCGTATCTTCATTTTATATGATTCGCTTTCATTTCATTTAACCCTAAACGAATAAACAAATTCTACAATACTCGAGTGCGTTTTCTATTCATGTAATGTCTAATAGTGTTTGCCAATTCCAACTTTCTCAACAAGCCTGACAAATATCAAATATTAAGCAGAGATTCTCAAGTAAATGGTGCAATACACTCATGAATGACTTGGGATGAAAAGACCTATATGATTGGGAGCACAATTAGTTTTATAAGGCAAGTCATCATCATTGTCGAGGCATTTTTTTTTAGAAAGATATCCTATCTACTTGAAGAGCGACTATTTTTGTAAACACATATTGAGTTTGAAGAAGTACAATCATTTCGACAAGCATGAACTATACCAAGCCTTTCTATTTTGCTCTATAACCTTCTTTTTTAATACAAGTAAATCTCTTTACACACGTTTGATCAAATATTAAATAACAATGAGATAAGGTAAGTCGATGGTATAAAAATTGCATATATGATAAACTAGAGACAATTTTCTGTTTCTAATGCAAAAAAAAAAAAAAAAAAAAAAAAAAAAAAAAAAAAAAAAAAAAAAAAAAAAAATACAAGTCATCATAGGACATGATGGATTCAGGATCGTTATCAGTTCAGATATGTGTTTAGGTAGTTAATAAAGCTAGGAATTATATTTTACAGTTTATTTATGAAGGTGTTCCTCCTGTTAATGAAGCAACGTATTCAGCCATTTGATCCATATACTTTTGATAATCTGATTTAGTTGTCTCCAGCTTGTCATCTAAATCCTTCACTTGTTTTGTCAATCTTTCGACTTCAGCAGCCAGTGATAGTTTTTCTGACTCTTCTGCAACTAATTTTTCTTTGGCCGATTGATACAGGGCTGCCAATCGAACTGCTTTACTATCTACTGATTGGACCTTTTCATTCAAGTTACTGATTTGTATCTCGTAAAAGGCCTTTAATTTCTCTTCACGGACTTGGATATCATGATCATCATACTGTTTTGTTGCTTCTTCAACTATCTCCGGCTCTTTTTCTTCTTCTTTAGGCAATGCATCCATACCACGATAGACAAAGACTTCCTCGTCCTCTTCCTCTTCTTGTTGTTGTTGTGGCTTTGATGACTCTTGAAATGTATTTTCTGTTTTTTTTGGATATACAAATACCTCTTCTTCCTCTTCTTTAGCTTCTATAATATCAACTTGAGTTTCTTTATCAAATCCTACAACTTCTTTTTTTTCATTTGCTTTTTCAAGTTCTTGTAAAGTTTTCTCTAAGCTTAATTTCTAGAAATTGAATTTAGTTCAAGAAAACACAAATCAGCCCTACCTCTTGCTCAATCTCTTGTTGTAATTGCGCATTCTCCAAAGCAAGTTGGTCATTCAATGATCGCAATTCGTTGATTGTCTTCGATTCTGTTCTTTCGTTTGCTTCCACTGTAGCCAATAAACTGTTTATCTTTTGCTCTTGCTCCTGAATTTTGGCTTCGTATTCACTCTGTTGCTCCTGTGTCTTTTCTTTTTCATGGAATGATTGTTGATCCTTTTCTATCAACAGGTTATTTAATTCAGACTTTGTATCCTCAAGTTGTTGAACAAGATCTGATAATTCTTGAGAGAAAGTCTTTGTGGACATGAATAGCCTCTCTGCAATTTCAGCAGGTAATTGCTGCATGGTATCCTACGATACACTCTAAGCAAAACGATCAAAACATCAGTTACTTACATTGGCACCCAAACTAGATATATACTGTCTTGCTTGCTCTTCTAATTCCTCTAATGCTTTAGAAGCTGGCAAAGCATCCTGTAAGGTAATTTCTTTCTTGTCTAAATGTCCTACTTTGGCAAGCAAAATAGCGCGCAAACTTTGTATTTCTGATACTAAATGTATATCATTATTTTTTATCTCTTCCTCTTTTGTTTTCAGTAACTCCTTCTGCCTAAGTTTCGGTCGTCAATTTCTCCCACTTATGCTTTTTATCTAAACTTACTCTTCAAGTTGTTTCCTTAATGCTTCCACCTCTTCATGATTCCCTGAAACAATAGGTGTTACAGAAATATTGTTTTTAGCTTCAGCTTGCAAATTGGCATTTTCATCAGACAACTCAGAGACACGTTTTTCGAGATCATGGATTTGATTTCTTAATTGCTCCGTCTTTTCTTCAAGTTCAAGTTTTTCAGAATGAAGCTCTTCGTTTCTCTCAATCTTTGTCTGCAAATCCTTTTGTGCTTCTTCAAGCGCTTGCTTACTCTTTTCTAATTCTTTTTTAATAGAGCCTCCAAGTAAAGAGAAATGAGACCCTTTCTATAGAACAAGATTGTCAGAGACAGAATGCTACGAACAAAAATTTACCTGTTCATTCTCTTGAACAGCCTGAATGCGCTTTGTTAGTCTTTCATTATGAAAAGCTAACAGATCTAGTTGTTCTTGAAGCTAAAGAAAAAGAAAAAACGGATAAAAATCATCGATAGGATCCAGTTTTTATACCTTTCTCAACTCTTTTTCTTTTTCCTTGACGTTGCCTTGAAGAGACACGTTTGAAGCTTGTTCTTTTATCACTGCTTTTTTCAATACAGCGTGTTGAGCTTTTAAACTTGGTCGAGTCAGGCTTCATAGTCTATGTATAAGTTAAGCTTACCGAGAATATTGTTGAAATAACTTCGCATATCTCTGTGATAACTCTTCCGCAGAAGCGGGAATAGCTCCTACGGTTTTATGAATATGGATATAGTTCAAGTACGGCTTATTACCTGCGTTTAGAGTAGCATGTCTTGAGAGCATACCATCACTCATCTTATGAGAGAAAAATAGAAAGGAAAAAAAAATGCGAACCAAAGAATACCAATGTTACCCCTTTCTGGTATTGAAAATGACGCATCATTTGGTCTTGTTTTTATTTTACCGATAAGCCAAGTCTGCTGATAAATATGCCAACAAAATAAATGGATATAATTGATGCCAAAGACTATAAATACCCTTTATCTATTATATTTTTGTGTTTCTGATGCGATATATATGACTTTAATCGAAAATAAAGGTGCAATGACTGTTGTCTTGTAGTTTGGATTTAGTAAAAATGTTTATTTTAAAGGGAGCTATAGGTTACACTGTGTTTACATAAAGAGTTTGTAATGCGTTTGTTACAACGCAACCGTATCTGGTCTTTATTATCGAAAAAGAAGTCTAGAAATAAAGCGTAATTTTATGTTGCTAGGCAACGTATTCCCGAATCAGAAGGTTTCCTTGTGTTAATTTACTGTTGAACAGTTACTAACAGCGAAGTTATTGCTTTTTTTGTCTATTTATTTTGATAGCATGCCATCAAGGGTTGAATTTATCTGAAGATCCTTAAGATATGATGATACTTGAAATAATTCTTCATGGTGAATATTTCCTGAAAGTTTTTTTTTTTTTTTTTTTTTTTTTTTTTGAACAGAGTACAAAGTAAAGGAATGGTATAAACCGTTGCTTTTTCGCCTCCCTCTCTCTTTTGCTTTGCATGCATATCTCAATCTCTTTTCTTTTGTTTTACTATAAGCATATATTTCAATTTATCCCTTTGCTAATAAAGAGAATGGATTTTCTTGATCACTAAGGAATAAGCCACGCATCTAAAAGGGAAGCGCACGTCTATCTAGATTTTTAAAAGCACGATAAAAAAGAAAAAAAATGCTTTTATCTCTATATTTTTCCTTTTTTATTCTTTTTTTTTGAGAAAATGTTGCCTGCAGGGTAAAAAACAAAAAAAGTATATATTTGTTGCTCAAAGCGTACTTAACTTTCTTTATTAGTCAGAAGAAACACAACGACGAAGACTTCAATCAAGATGACTCTGATGATTCTGATTCCAAACCCACCAAACGTTCTGGAAGAAGAAAGATCAAGATTGAATATATTGAAGATAAGAACAGGAGACATATCACTTTTTCAAAGCGTAAAGCTGGTATTATGAAAAAGGTAATATATACAAATTTGTTCTCGCTTCCTTGTTTAACTGTTTCTTTTTTTAGGCTTATGAACTATCTACTTTAACAGGAACTCAAGTGTTGCTGTTGGTTGTCTCAGAAACTGGTCTTGTCTATACCTTCACAACTACTAAACTGCAACCTATTGTTACTAAGCCAGAAGGCAAAAATCTTATTCAAAACTGTCTAAACACCCCCGACCCAACAGTACCAGAGGTATATATAAAGACGCGTTTTTCTTTAGGTCGCATGATGTAACTCGTTTCCAATTATAGACAAACACGGACATTCAAACGGAAGAAACTAGCAGTAGCAACAATAACTTTAGTGCAGCTCGCCCACAACAACAACAACAACAACAACAGCAGCAACAGCATCAACAACAGGTAGAAGCAAGTAATGCTTCATCTGTTACTACTTCTGTCGTCAACCGTATGCCCGAAGACTCTAAAAATGTAATTTCTCCTTATAAACTTGTCACTAATGTATATTGATAGCCATTGTCACCTCAAACAGCTGCATCTCATAGTCCAATGATGCAGTCTTCTCCACTCGTCATTAGGCAATCCAACATGATTCCTCCTGTTAACAATGCGCCCAGTGGTCCTAATGCAGGTAATCCACCTAGCAATCCTCAGAGTAGCAACATGCCTTACGCCAATCAGCCTCCTCAAATGGCCATGCCACCTTACAGCCAACAACCTAGATATCCAAACTATAACAATGGTAGTTTACCTCAACCATATCAACAAGCTTATGGTCAACAACCTTATTATCATCAGTCACAACAACCAGCTTATAGTCAAGGATCTGGTTTGCCTTCTTTACCTCATTCACAACACCAGCCACAAAATGCAGGTGGTTACTGGTCATACAATGGTGATCAGCAACAAGGTAACAATGGAGGGAATCCTGCTAATGCTAACAGAGGATCTAATATCAAACAAGAATAAGCCTTTTTTCTTTATTATATATCTATATCTATATATTTTATCCATCTATCCCAATAAAAAAAAAAATATTATTTTATTTTCAGGTACCAGTTTTTCTTTTTCCTATTGAATTTCCGCCTTTTTCCTTTTCCTTTTCTTCTTATTGCATAAACGCGTCTATGGACCAAAATACTGTATATCAGCTCTTTGTATCCACATATCACCCAGATCCAAATGTTCATAGACAAGCAGAACTAAATATAAAAAATGTAAAGACACGAATTAATTTTAATAATATGATTAACTCTAATAGGTTGAAACACACGTTGGTTTCTTACCTTTGGTGCTTCAAATACAAGCTTCTGAAGAGCTTGAATTAGGTGCACGTCAAGCAGGTAAAGAAAATAAAAAATGACACAAAAAAAAAGGAAATTAATCAATTTACGCTAGCTGCTATTTATTTCAAAAATCGTATTTCAAAAGCATGGAGTGGATCCAAAGAGATGAGTTTAGATGAACAGGATAAATCAATGATTAGAGCCAATATTATTTATACACTTGTCACTGCTCCTGTAGCTGTAAAGTAAGTATAGACATATTTATGTGAATTATGTCTCATGAATAGAGTACAACTGGCTGCTTCCTTGAATACCATTCTCAGCTATGATTTTCCCGGAAATTGGCCAACATTTATAAACCAGCTTGAGCAGTTTTTGACATCAGAAGACATTCGTGTTATACATACTGGATTGATTGCATTACAAGAAGTTGTCAAAGTGTTTCAGTAAGTCAAATTTATTTTGTAGTATTTACTGACATGCACCTGTTTTAAGATGGAAATCAGTCGAAAGAAGAGAACCTTTACGGCAGATCATTCAACTGACATTTCCTGCTATTCATGCCATTTGCAATAAGCTCATTCAAACAGACAGTGATGATGCTGCAGAACTATTAAAGCTAGCACTTAAAACATACCATTCAAGCATTCAAGTTGAATTACCCAAGTGTTTACAAGATCATGCTTCTCTAGTACCATGGGCCACTCTTTTTCTCCAATTAGTTGACAAAAAGATCCCTTATCAAGCCTTACCTGCCAATCGTGAACAATACATTTGGGTCAAAGCAAAGAAGTGGGCATATCATTGTCTTAACCGTTTGTTTGGAAAGTACGGTAATCCTGCTCTACTTCCTTCTAGTCTTACAAAATACACTGGATTTGCCAAGATATTTATTGCTCAGTTTGCACCCAACATCTTACAGACTTATTTACATCAAATTGATGGCTGGATCAAAGGAGAATACTGGATCTCAAACAAATGTTTAGCTCTCTCTGCTGCGTTTTTTGATGAGAGTATCAAACATAAAATTACATGGAAGATTATTAAGCCATACACAGATATTTTGATTGCTCAATTCTTGTTTCCGCAGCTTTGTTTCTCTATGGAAGATGAACAGCTGTGGACTGAGGATGCAGTAGAATATGTTCACAAGCGAATTGGTAATACGAAGGTTCTTATAACATGGTATTGACTTCTCTTTTCTAGATCCTCTCGAGGACTTTCATGCCACACAAGATAATGCGATTGCACTCTTGGTTAATTTAGCCAGAAATCGTAAAGAACACACATTTATGCCTATCCTGCGATTTGTCAATGACGTACTTACTCGATATATGGAAACGCCTGAGGATCAAAAAAATGGACGTGATAAAGATAGTGCTTTATGTATGATGGGTGCTTTGTCTCTTATGATTATGCAGGATGAGGATGAATCAAATATGTCAGATAGAATGGAGGATTTCTTTGTAACACATGTGTTTCCTGAATTTAAGAGTCGATTTCCTTATTTACGTGCAAGAGTAGTGTTATTCTAAGCATGGTTGAGTATTGATTCTCTATGAATAGGCATGCGATGTGACAAGACACTTTAGCAACTTGGAATTTACGAGCGAGCAGGTAATCTCAAAAAGAAAGAGCGTGTAATGATTTATAAGTGTAAAGAACCTTGGTGTCTTGTATCAACATGTCTTGGACTGCCTTCGTGATTCTGAACTTCCTGTAAGAGTACAAGCAGCACTTGCTTTACAGACCATGATTCAATACGAAGTTGGTATGTGCCAATTTATCAACAGAAGATGGAGACTCTAACGCATAGCATAGTTCAACAAGTTATGGCCCCACATCTTCCTTTCATTATGCAAGAGCTACTGAACTTGACAAATGAGATTGACATTGACACTTTAGCCATTGTTATGGAAGAATTTGTTCGTGTGTTTGCAGAACAACTAACTCCTTTTGCTGTTCAGCTCTGCAGTCAATTACGAGATACCTTTCTGCGCATCATGGAGGAAATTGTACATACATACCGTCAGCAAAATGAAAACGAATTGGTTGAACAAGATAAAAATACAGATGAAGCAAATGACAAAATCATGGCAGCCATGGGTGTCTTGAAGACTATAGGCGCATTGATTTTGAGTCTAGAGAGCACGCCAGATATGTTTCAACAAATCGAACATGAATTATTACCCGTCATTCAATATACATTCGAGAATCGTGTAGTTGATTTGTACGACGAGGTGTTTGAAATCATTGATTCTTGTGTCTATTCATCCAAACGTGTCTCGTCTACAATGTGGCATGCCTTTGAACTGATGTATCGTGAATTCAAAGATACGGGCGTTAGTTTTATGTGTGAAATGGTATCTGCTTTGGATAACTTTATTGCTTATGGTCGAGATATGTTCATTGGAAATGACCAGTTGAAGCAGATGATGTTTGAAATGATTGATTTTGTTATGAAGAGCGAGCTTGCATCAGAAGAAGATTATGTATGCGCTTGTAAATTGATGGAATCTATCTTGCTTCATTGCAGAGGATCTGTTGATATGGTAAGCAAGACTTGTATGTTATATCATTGACTAACAAGACGTAGTGTATTGCACCCTTTTTAGACCTTTCATTTCGATACATTTCAGCAGGCCAAATGGAAACCATTGAATTTAAAGTACATTGTCTTGAAGTGGTAAGCATGAATTGATATTAGACGAATGTATTTAAAGTACATACTTAGGTGATCAACTGCCTGTATTACAATCCATTATTGACATTGGGTATTCTTGAAGAACACCAATGGACTCAAGGCTTCTTTTCACTTTGGCTCTCTACATTAGATAAGTTCTCAAGGTATGTAAAGTGATAGATGAGGTGTCTTTGTTTTGAACTTTGTTTGGTAGAGTACATGACAAAAAGCTAGTTATACTTGCACTCTGCTCTTTATTGGCATTGCCTACTGATCGTATTCCAATGTCATTGCAATCTGGATGGTCGCAAATTTTGACGAGTATTTCTCATGTTTTTGAAAGTTTGCCAAAGGCTGTTGAAAGTAAGTCAATTGACATTATTCATTTGTATTTATGAAAATAGACCGTGAGCAAATGGAACAATCTTATAATCAAGAGCGTGAAGGAGAGGGAGAAGAAGAAGAGGAAGAGGGAGAGGAAGATGAAGAAAATGATGATGACGAAGAAGAGGAAGAGGAAGAGGAGGAGGAGGAAGAAGAAGAAGAGGAAGAAGAAAGCGAAGAAGAGAAAGAAGAAGAAGCTGACCAAGATACTGAGGATAATGATGAAGGTAATTAACACGATTTGTTATTCATGTAAAATCCTAATTGGAAATAGACGGTAATATCCAAGATGAAGACACAGAGTATTTAGAGTATTTGGCACAACAAGTAGCCGATAAAGACAAGCAAGAAGAAAATATCGCTGATGAGAACGAGGATGATGATGAAATTGCTGAAGAAATTTTCTTTGAGTCTCCATTAGATGATATTGATCCCTATATTTGCTTTGAACAAGTCTTTAGAGGTGAGTGTAGTACTATGATTAAACAAATAACTTATACCTGGATAGATCTACAACAACATCGTCCTGATTTGTATTCTCATTTAACCAAAGATTTGGGTTTAAAGCATCAAAACAATATTATGGAGGCTTTGTCAACTGCTGAAAAGAATCGCAATCGCTTGTCAACTATGTAGTTTGATGTTATAAAGTTCTGAAGATAGAGTTTTTATTTGAAACTAGACGATATTGGCTATCATAAGATGCTTGTCAGAGGCTATAGAATACACTAAAGATATTGAATTAAAATAAGAGGCAATAATCGCATGCTAAGTATAAGGATATTCATAATCCTCGCCTAATATGATCAATGTAAGCCACATAAATATCCTATACATTATTTGAAAGCCCAATGTTTAAAGAATACACGTTGTAACCAGACTCGTTGATAAATACTTATATTTCTATAAAGTATAATTATCATAAACTATCTTCTTTCATTTGTAAGGTGTCATTGGTCTTATTAGATCATCCAAAGGACATTGCTCCTCTTATACTAAAAGCATTTTGCCATAAAAAAATCACACAAAGGCAGTATATTATAATTTTTAAAAGTTATGTTTATTGATTATTGAAGCAAGCCAGAGGAAGCAACTTTGTGTCTGACTGCTCTTTGGCATATATCTCTTTCAATGTCTTGATGATCATAGCCTATGTTTGCCATTGTTTAGAGCAAAGTGAAGAGAAATATTTTTAAGGAGAATGATTACCTTGACTGTCAGGATCGCTTCGAGCATGTCCTTGATGAGGGGAAGTCGGCTTCATTTATTAGAGGTGTGAAACTTCCCACCTCCAGCATCTTATAGACTGCTTTATGGTTCAGTTCCATTTCATAAATATAGCAGTTGAAGCCTAAAAGAGAATATATTTAACTTCACATACTTGTACACGTTAAATAGGTCACATACCATCCACATGCAGACCGGCAACAACAGGGGAGTCAAGGCCAGACTTCACCAGTTTGTCAAGCATTTGCTTCATCGTTAAATCCAACTTTACGAAATCATTGCTATTGCGATTTCGTAAAGGGAATTTCACTTCAGCAATGAAAAGCTCAGACAGTTGCCATCGGCACCGTCGACAAAGCAAGTGAAGTCCGACTTCAGGACGCAAGTAGACAGCTTCTTGTTGGGCCATTCATACTCCTAATCGTCATATTCGTCATATTCGTTATCTTGGCCGAGAATCACATCAAGGGCATCTGATGTGTAATTCTTTATAAAGGTATCTTCAACAACACTATATTGCTTCCAAGTCTTGAACCTTGGTGCCCTACAAATCGAAAGAAAGCTTAATACTTTTTCGCGAGCACTTACGATATAAGCACAGAAACAACCAAATATAGATCATTGCTTAACTTCACTCCATTTGAATTATATAGTTCATTTACATAGTCGCAAATTAGTCTTGCCTTTTGTTCTCTTGCCAGATAGATAGTCAAGAAAATATTAGGGAGAGCAAGGATACTCTAATTGTTTAGCATATTTACCGATTTTAATTTGAGCAACCATGTGTCAGCAGCATCTGAAAGTCGACATTCCTGGTTGTTAAAGTTGATGACTGCTGTTACTTGCTTGCTGATAGAGACTTGAAGGTGTTGTATTATTGATTTTGCTTTTTCTTCTGAAAAGAAAAATACATTCGCCAAGTCTGAGATTGTTAACAAAGTGACCAAAGGCAGCATAGATACCATTGACGACTGTAGTGGGATGAAAAAGATCATGACAGCGAAGAGTTCTAGAGAAGAAGGGTAGCAACGGATTGCCTTTATCTGGAGATATGATCGCAAAGTGTTTTGTCAGAAAAACTCGGAGCTGAGTAGGTTGATCGGACGAACTAAACAGAGTAAAAAGCCATTTCATCTGCAACGTCGCTTGTTCAAACAAAGTACCTTATTAAAAAGACACTTGGTTCCCCTAAATCAAAGAAAGGGAAGGCTCTTTTATAAAAAATGTCAAAGTGTTAGGAGACTTATTTTAGCTTTATGATGTACAATACATGAAAGGTGGTCTTTGGTGCATAATATAAATTACCATATACCCACAATTATAATTTGGCTAATCACTTTTTCTATAGTAAAAGATACATTCAGCTCAAAGGGCACATTACCATTTGCATGATTTAATGAGATCGATAATATGTTTAAAATCAGAGCAATCTACCTCAAATACAAAGTTTTAGGACTGGAAACCAATCAAGGCTTGTTACTCATCACTAAATGCCAATAAATAGCAAGAAATAGTATAGATGAATATAGATGAATATAGATGAGCATGGATGAACACTTGCAGCCATGAGTGAGCATACTTAATCAAGGATGATTATGGATGATCATGGATGACCCTGAATGAGCAGAGAACAGTAAAGTTTTTTTTTTTTTTTTTTTTTTTTTTTTTTTTTTTTTTTTTTTTTTTTTTTTTTTTTTGCATCTTTATTTTGTAATTTTGAAGTAAAAATAAAAATTTAGTTAGAACTGTCAAGTTCTACAAAATTCTTATTTTCGATTCTTTTAATTTTATATCGCTATTTGATCTAGCTCAAACAAAAAGAAAAGAAAAGAGAAAAACGAGTTTTTTTTTTTTTATTTTATTTGTTTTCATTTGAAAGCGATTGTTTTTTAGAAATATTTTTTTTTATCAACACAAATGGTACACTTGTGTATCTGTCAGATTTAAATTAAGCCTTATTTTCAAAATTGCTTTTTATGTAAAATCAATAGTTTAAATTATTTGAATTTGGTCAGCCCATAGGAATAACTAAACCAAACTAGACTAAAAAATTCTTTAAAGAAACAAGGATAAGAAGTGCATAGAGAAAAAAGTGCTAATTTAATGATGTTTGTAAACGTATGTTTGTAGCCAAAGCAGAAAGGGAGACAGCTGATTGGTTGTCGGAAAGAGCAGAATATTTGCAGCACCATGCTTTATAGAGGCCATCTATGATAGAAGAAGATGTACAGAAGCTTATTCGACACATGTTATGGGTTAGCTGAGCATAGCATGTATATTGAGGTACCGGGAAATATGTGAATGAAAGAAGTATGTGCGACAGAAACACAATTTAGGACTACCTCCAGGTAGTCAAACCAGTCGCCAGCAAATTAGACGGATGCGCTCGAGATTGGTTCTAGAAAGCTAAAGAAACAAGCGTTGTTGACACCAATATACTACAGCGCAAGTAATGGAAGAAAAATGTAATTGCTTGCGTTGTAGTGATAGAGGGTAGCATGGTCATAGATGAGCGGACTTTATTAGCAATTGCTTATGCTAAGTCTTTAAGGCTTGAGATGTCTCTAGTTATAGAAGAAATTCAGAAATCTAAAAAAAAAGAAGAATTTGTTGTGGGATGACTCTACCAGAAAGAGTATACTCAGTGAGGTCTTTCTCAGGTATGACGATAACACATTTTGTAGAGTCCCATCTACAGTCTAATGTGAGACTATATTCAGCACATTGATTTCACTTCGATTTTATTTTGGTCGAAAAAAAAATTATTGAAAACCTCTTAAATATCAGAACTCTTTAATGAATGTAATGGATTCACAAAAAAAAAACCATCATCTTCAGAACGCTCAACCAACTCAATCTCCGACATTATTTATGCCGACATGGCAAGTATGCCATTTATGTACTTGAAAAAATATTTTCTAGAAAAAAATAAAATCACTGCTTTAGAATATAGCTAAAATATTTTTTGCAATGACAAAAAATTAAAAAATAGAAAAATTCTGATTTTTCTGTTCTAAATTAATAAAAAAAACTGATTTTTAATTTTTCTGTTTTGAATAAATAAATGAGTCTACCGGATAGTGATTTTACTGCTTTAGTTCAAAAGCGGGACTACTGGTTGGTAGGCTCATTTATTTATTCAAAACAGAAAAATTGAAAAATAAGCTTTTTTAAAAATCTAAGCAGAAAAATTAGAAATTTTCTATTTTTTAATTTTTTGTCATTGCACAAAATATTTTTAATTTATTTTACAATAGTGGTTTTATTTTAAAATGGTGGTTTTTATTATTTTTCAAAAGATATTTTTTTGAGTACACAAATAGCATATTTGTAATTTCGGCATACCTGTTGATATTTTTAATATTTTTGAAAATACTTTTTTTTTCTTTTGTAATCTTGTTACACTGATCACAAAGTCTTGAAATCTAAGAGTCTTCCCATAGTTTTCCCATTGCTTTAGCTACATTTCTTGTAGAGTTATCGCAATCTTTAGGAAGAGGCTTTGAGCACTAAAATTTATGCTTGGACCAGAAAATTAGAATAAGAAAGGTATGATTTAGCATCTAAACTTATTCAGCCAGTGCGCTATACTGCCCTCCAAGCTGCTAGCCCTTCCTTTTGTCTGGAATCGGACTCACAAGTCAGCTACATCCTTCCCTTCAATAAATTTTAGCAAACTCTAATCAAGCAAGCGGCCGACAACGTCTTTACTTTCCAAGTGACAGCTTTAGTAATTCGAGCTCTTTCTTGAATGCTTTTGATCATCAAGTTTTTGATCAGGTTACTTGTTGTAACTGTAGTGCCCATATCGCCTATAGCGACCATAATGGCGACCATAATAGCGACCATAATAGCGATCATGGCAACCATACACCACAGCTCAAACGGTTGCATTTTTCTTCTATATTTAAATGAAAATTCGGCTAAGGATTCCATTCAATGAGGGAAGGATTCCTAAACCCTTGATGGAAACTCTCTGCATTCAATGGGAAATTTAATCCATCGCTTACGCTGTGATGTACAATGAAAAAAGAAAATAGAAAAATTATCTGGAATGTTTATTGTACTGAGATCGCAATCTTTCACTTTTTGTATTATGCTTTATTGCCTCGATATTGCCTTGGTAGTCTTTTAAAAGGCATTTTTTCTAGCTCACTCTTCTGTATCTTTTGTTTCTAAATTGTTCAACAAATTCCTTGAGTTCGTTATAATAGGCTTGGTTATATTTTTTTGACTCAATATCTATTTTTTAAATATATTAAAGCTGGATTTTCAGGGATAGGTGTTACATCTCTTCTAGTTGTAATTTGTTTGTCTATTCAAATAAATTGAAGTACCTTCGACATATAGAAGCGCCTTATCAAGGGACACAATATTACCATTTTGAATAGAGCTCTTAATTTTACCAAGTTGGGCATAATTGTTGTCACACATTGTTCTGATTCCTTTTGTTAACTCTTCTTCAGGTAATTGTCAAAAGTTGTTTATAAATATCTTGTACAGAAGTTCCACTATTGTATCTTAACCACCACTAACGAAATGTACTATAGAAGCTTTTTGTGAGCACAAAAATAAACCAATAGCCTTTAGAGGATCAAACTGTTCAGCTGATTGAATTTTTGATAATGTTGTCGATGATATTAAAATGCAACACTTTACTCAAAACAGACTAGGAACTTATTTACTAAATGGATGACTTGTGGCTGGGGCTAGTATGCTGCTTATTGACGAGGCAGCGCTGGATACTCCAACTATCAAAACAACTGGATATTTCTCATACGGTTTTCTTATGTCCCTCTCCCTATTGCACATGTTTGCAGAGTACCGGGTAGAGAGGAAGTAACTAGAGAACGCTCTATTCATTCCAAAAAGCAACCACATTTGTATAAGTATGTGATCTTTTAAAAAAGAGGAAGCACTGTAGTCATTTTTATGGAAAAGAGAAGAAAAAAAATTTTTTTTGTAAGGGAGACTTGCTCCAATTTTATTTTAAGTCCTTTAGACGTCAAAAGAGTGGAAGAAAAGACTGTGATATTATAAGATCTAGACTAAGGAAAGGGAAATGAGCCTGTGGTAGAAGAAATCGAGAAAAGAATAAGAGTTTAAGAGAGCTTGATAGATACTTGAAATGGAGAGAACATCATGAGTAGTGAGAGAGGAACTGGAAAGGAAAGCGGAGGAGAGAATTTACGGTTCATAATCAAGGCGGGATTCATCATGCAGCTTATTTGCTAAGCGGAAAACTGTCTTGGTTATAGTTTTGGAGAGGAATGGGTTTTCAGAAAAAACAGATTGCCAGTGAGCTTGCCAGAGGGCTAGAGCAGTGCATGCAAAGATTTGGAAGGTACTTAAGGAAGGAAAATGGAGGAGAGAAACACGAGGGATAACAACCCGAAGGAGGAGGACTTGACGTAGGAGATTGACCGAAGGTGCACGGATGTTGGGATTGATGTACTTGGAGAAGACATGAGACCAAACATCATACTTGGTAGGGCAGAGGAAATAAAAGTGATCAAGGGTATCAATGGAAGTAATGAGATTTGAAGGACAGTGGATACAAAAGTTATTAGGAACTGTATGGGGCATAAGACGATGTAGGTGAAAACGGTTGTTGACTTTGTTGTGAAGCATCCTGTAGAGGACATTGCGAGCAGGGAGAGGGATATTGAGAGACCAAAAGAGTTTCCAGTTAGGCGATAGGCGGGGATCAGGCGGTATAGGAGGGGAGGAGCTATGGCATAATTTACGATAAGAATGAGTGGAAGATGTAATGGGGAATTGAGAGTATGTAAGGGCTGAAATGAATGTCTGTAAATCAGTGGGACTAATATGTGAGGTTGAAGGAAGAATAGAAAAGGAAGAAATACGAGGAGCAGGAGAAAAGAGTGACAGGACAAAGGGATTGAGGAAGAGCTTTTTTTGACGAAAGTGTAGTAAAGCGCGGTAGGTGGCCGATTCAAAACGAGGAACTTCTTGCCGAGAGCGAAACCGAAGGCATTCACTAGAAGAATCAAAAACAAAAATGTGATTACCTGTTAAGTCTAGCATACTGGGATTGTGTTTGAAGTATTCATTTTTAGAAATAGGAGGGTTGGATGGAGGTGGAGAAGGATAGATAGAATGTAGAAGTTCAGGAAGTGGAAGGCGAAGGCAAACGTGAAGGGGGACATGACAATTGGAGAAGTTGTGGGGTAGATAATCTATAGCTAACAAAATACGGTTGAAGTAAGGAATGTCAATAGAAAGCTTTTTTCGTATAAAGGGGAATAACAAAGGCCAGTGGTAAGTAGGGTATTGTGGGGAACAAAGGAAGAAAGAGAGGGTAAATTGGAGATAAGGAAGTGAAGGTAAAGAAATAGCAAAAGAGTGAGGAACTAATAAAGGGTAGACCCATCGCCATTGAAGAGCTCTCTGTTGTAGATGAGGATCAATGACGCTAAGTCCACCTTGAGAACGAGGTAAAATGAGTGTTGAGAAAGGAATGGTACCAAAGCGGCTGCTGCCTTTATTATGGATTAGGACTACTTGTGCGACTCGTCAACAGTGAGGCGTGTATGGCCAACACCAACGTAGATCAAAAATATAGAAATCAATAGACCACTAAAATTTGTGATGCTTGCACAAAAATTAAGCTAAAGCCATAAAAGATTCACAGTAATAGCTGTAGGTGTCAGGAACTACTCATGAATGCAATGGATTCACAAAAATTGTTTAAACGTCGCTCGCATTTATGCCGATGTGCAAGTATGCCAGTTGTGTACTCAAAAAAAAATTTTCTAAAAAAAAATAAAACTCACTTTTGATATACATCGAAGATACTTTCTATAGTCATAAAAAATAAAAGAAAAGTAGAAATTCTTAATTTTTCTGTTTCAAATTAATAGAAGAAGCCAACCTTTCAATTTTCTAGTTTTAAATAAATAGACGAGTCTACCGGATGATGATTCTACTGTTTTAGTTTAAAAGACAAATTGCTACCTGGTAGATTCGTTTTTAATTCAAAACAGAAAAATTGAAAGACAAGGTTTTTTTTATTAATTTGAAACAGAAAATTTAAAAATTTTCATCTTTTTTTATTTTAAAGTAGCGGTTTTAATTTTAAAAAAGTGTTTTTTATTATTTTCAAAAAAAAAAAATTTTGAGTACACAATTGGCATACTTGTAATTTCGGTATACCTGTTGATATTTTTATTATTTTTGAAAATGTTTTTTTTTCTTTATCTTTTTTTGTAAGCGTATCACACGGATCATGAAGGCCTGAGATCTACGAGTATTTTCATACTTTTTTTATTGCTCTAGCTAACTTTTTCGTAGAGTTATTGCAATCTTTAGGAAGAGGCTTTGAACACTAAAATTTATGCTTGGACCAGAAAAATAGAATAAGAAAGGTATGGCTCAGCATCTAAGCTTACTCAGCCAACGGGCGACACTGCTCTCAAAGCTGTTAGTTCTTCCTTTTTCTATGAAATCGGGCTCGAGAGTCAACTACACCCTTCCCTTAAATAAATTTTAGCAAATTCTAGTCAAGTAAGTAGCAGTTAGAAACCTTATTTGGAAAGCAACTGTCAGCCATCTGTAACGTCTTCACCTCCCAAATGACAACACCAGTAATCTGAACTCTTTCTTAAATGCTTTTGATCATCAGATTCTTGAACAGGTTCAATCTTACAGCAGAATGATTGCTACGACCATAGCAATCAAAACAACCATAATAGCGGTCATAGCGATCATACACCACAGACTAAGCGATTACATTTTTCTTCCGTCCCTTACGCTGTAGCGATAAAAAAAACCTACGTAAAAGCTCGTAAGCCTCAGGCATACGTGATCAGTATGAAGGACTTGCAAAAAAAAAAAAAATAATAAAAAAAAAATATTCTCAAAATTAATAAAAATATCAACAGTTATGCCGAAATTACAAGTATGCCATTTGCATACTCAAAAAAATTTTTTTTTGAAAAATAATAAAAACCACTATTGTAAATTAAATCAAGAGTATTTTCTGCAATGACAAAAAATAAAAAAGAAGTAAATTTTCCAATTTTTCTGCTTAAAATTTTAAAAGAAGCTTGTTCTTCAATTTTTCTGTTCTAAAATAAAAAACGAATCTACCGAATAATAATCTTACTGTTTTAGTTTAAAGAAGAGATTACTGGTTGGTAGATTCGTTTTTTATTTTAGAACAGAAAAATTGAAGAACAAGCTTCTTTTAAAATTTTAAGCAGAAAAATTGGAAAATTTACTTCTTTTTTATTTTTTGTCATTGCAGAAAATACTCTTGATTTAATTTACAATAGTGGTTTTTATTATTTTTCAAAAAAAAATTTTTTTGAGTATGCAAATGGCATACTTGTAATTTCGGCATAACTGTTGATATTTTTATTAATTTTGAGAATATTTTTTTTTTATTATTTTTTTTTTTTTTGCAAGTCCTTCATACTGATCACGTATGCCTGAGGCTTACGAGCTTTTACGTAGGTTTTTTTTATCGCTACAGCGTAAGGGACGGAAGAAAAATGTAATCGCTTAGTCTGTGGTGTATGATCGCTATGACCGCTATTATGGTTGTTTTGATTGCTATGGTCGTAGCAATCATTCTGCTGTAAGATTGAACCTGTTCAAGAATCTGATGATCAAAAGCATTTAAGAAAGAGTTCAGATTACTGGTGTTGTCATTTGGGAGGTGAAGACGTTACAGATGGCTGACAGTTGCTTTCCAAATAAGGTTTCTAACTGCTACTTACTTGACTAGAATTTGCTAAAATTTATTTAAGGGAAGGGTGTAGTTGACTCTCGAGCCCGATTTCATAGAAAAAGGAAGAACTAACAGCTTTGAGAGCAGTGTCGCCCGTTGGCTGAGTAAGCTTAGATGCTGAGCCATACCTTTCTTATTCTATTTTTCTGGTCCAAGCATAAATTTTAGTGTTCAAAGCCTCTTCCTAAAGATTGCAATAACTCTACGAAAAAGTTAGCTAGAGCAATAAAAAAAGTATGAAAATACTCGTAGATCTCAGGCCTTCATGATCCGTGTGATACGCTTACAAAAAAAGATAAAGAAAAAAAAACATTTTCAAAAATAATAAAAATATCAACAGGTATACCGAAATTACAAGTATGCCAATTGTGTACTCAAAATTTTTTTTTTTTGAAAATAATAAAAAACACTTTTTTAAAATTAAAACCGCTACTTTAAAATAAAAAAAGATGAAAATTTTTAAATTTTCTGTTTCAAATTAATAAAAAAAACCTTGTCTTTCAATTTTTCTGTTTTGAATTAAAAACGAATCTACCAGGTAGCAATTTGTCTTTTAAACTAAAACAGTAGAATCATCATCCGGTAGACTCGTCTATTTATTTAAAACTAGAAAATTGAAAGGTTGGCTTCTTCTATTAATTTGAAACAGAAAAATTAAGAATTTCTACTTTTCTTTTATTTTTTATGACTATAGAAAGTATCTTCGATGTATATCAAAAGTGAGTTTTATTTTTTTTTAGAAAATTTTTTTTTGAGTACACAACTGGCATACTTGCACATCGGCATAAATGCGAGCGACGTTTAAACAATTTTTGTGAATCCATTGCATTCATGAGTAGTTCCTGACACCTACAGCTATTACTGTGAATCTTTTATGGCTTTAGCTTAATTTTTGTGCAAGCATCACAAATTTTAGTGGTCTATTGATTTCTATATTTTTGATCTACGTTGGTGTTGGCCATACACGCCTCACTGTTGACGAGTCGCACAAGTAGTCCTAATCCATAATAAAGGCAGCAGCCGCTTTGGTACCATTCCTTTCTCAACACTCATTTTACCTCGTTCTCAAGGTGGACTTAGCGTCATTGATCCTCATCTACAACAGAGAGCTCTTCAATGGCGATGGGTCTACCCTTTATTAGTTCCTCACTCTTTTGCTATTTCTTTACCTTCACTTCCTTATCTCCAATTTACCCTCTCTTTCTTCCTTTGTTCCCCACAATACCCTACTTACCACTGGCCTTTGTTATTCCCCTTTATACGAAAAAAGCTTTCTATTGACATTCCTTACTTCAACCGTATTTTGTTAGCTATAGATTATCTACCCCACAACTTCTCCAATTGTCATGTCCCCCTTCACGTTTGCCTTCGCCTTCCACTTCCTGAACTTCTACATTCTATCTATCCTTCTCCACCTCCATCCAACCCTCCTATTTCTAAAAATGAATACTTCAAACACAATCCCAGTATGCTAGACTTAACAGGTAATCACATTTTTGTTTTTGATTCTTCTAGTGAATGCCTTCGGTTTCGCTCTCGGCAAGAAGTTCCTCGTTTTGAATCGGCCACCTACCGCGCTTTACTACACTTTCGTCAAAAAAAGCTCTTCCTCAATCCCTTTGTCCTGTCACTCTTTTCTCCTGCTCCTCGTATTTCTTCCTTTTCTATTCTTCCTTCAACCTCACATATTAGTCCCACTGATTTACAGACATTCATTTCAGCCCTTACATACTCTCAATTCCCCATTACATCTTCCACTCATTCTTATCGTAAATTATGCCATAGCTCCTCCCCTCCTATACCGCCTGATCCCCGCCTATCGCCTAACTGGAAACTCTTTTGGTCTCTCAATATCCCTCTCCCTGCTCGCAATGTCCTCTACAGGATGCTTCACAACAAAGTCAACAACCGTTTTCACCTACATCGTCTTATGCCCCATACAGTTCCTAATAACTTTTGTATCCACTGTCCTTCAAATCTCATTACTTCCATTGATACCCTTGATCACTTTTATTTCCTCTGCCCTACCAAGTATGATGTTTGGTCTCATGTCTTCTCCAAGTACATCAATCCCAACATCCGTGCACCTTCGGTCAATCTCCTACGTCAAGTCCTCCTCCTTCGGGTTGTTATCCCTCGTGTTTCTCTCCTCCATTTTCCTTCCTTAAGTACCTTCCAAATCTTTGCATGCACTGCTCTAGCCCTCTGGCAAGCTCACTGGCAATCTGTTTTTTCTGAAAACCCATTCCTCTCCAAAACTATAACCAAGACAGTTTTCCGCTTAGCAAATAAGCTGCATGATGAATCCCGCCTTGATTATGAACCGTAAATTCTCTCCTCCGCTTTCCTTTCCAGTTCCTCTCTCACTACTCATGATGTTCTCTCCATTTCAAGTATCTATCAAGCTCTCTTAAACTCTTATTCTTTTCTCGATTTCTTCTACCACAGGCTCATTTCCCTTTCCTTAGTCTAGATCTTATAATATCACAGTCTTTTCTTCCACTCTTTTGACGTCTAAAGGACTTAAAATAAAATTGGAGCAAGTCTCCCTTACAAAAAAAATTTTTTTTCTTCTCTTTTCCATAAAAATGACTACAGTGCTTCCTCTTTTTTAAAAGATCACATACTTATACAAATGTGGTTGCTTTTTGGAATGAATAGAGCGTTCTCTAGTTACTTCCTCTCTACCCGGTACTCTGCAAACATGTGCAATAGGGAGAGGGACATAAGAAAACCGTATGAGAAATATCCAGTTGTTTTGATAGTTGGAGTATCCAGCGCTGCCTCGTCAATAAGCAGCATACTAGCCCCAGCCACAAGTCATCCATTTAGTAAATAAGTTCCTAGTCTGTTTTGAGTAAAGTGTTGCATTTTAATATCATCGACAACATTATCAAAAATTCAATCAGCTGAACAGTTTGATCCTCTAAAGGCTATTGGTTTATTTTTGTGCTCACAAAAAGCTTCTATAGTACATTTCGTTAGTGGTGGTTAAGATACAATAGTGGAACTTCTGTACAAGATATTTATAAACAACTTTTGACAATTACCTGAAGAAGAGTTAACAAAAGGAATCAGAACAATGTGTGACAACAATTATGCCCAACTTGGTAAAATTAAGAGCTCTATTCAAAATGGTAATATTGTGTCCCTTGATAAGGCGCTTCTATATGTCGAAGGTACTTCAATTTATTTGAATAGACAAACAAATTACAACTAGAAGAGATGTAACACCTATCCCTGAAAATCCAGCTTTAATATATTTAAAAAATAGATATTGAGTCAAAAAAATATAACCAAGCCTATTATAACGAACTCAAGGAATTTGTTGAACAATTTAGAAACAAAAGATACAGAAGAGTGAGCTAGAAAAAATGCCTTTTAAAAGACTACCAAGGCAATATCGAGGCAATAAAGCATAATACAAAAAGTGAAAGATTGCGATCTCAGTACAATAAACATTCCAGATAATTTTTCTATTTTCTTTTTTCATTGTACATCACAGCGTAAGCGATGGATTAAATTTCCCATTGAATGCAGAGAGTTTCCATCAAGGGTTTAGGAATCCTTCCCTCATTGAATGGAATCCTTAGCCGAATTTTCATTTAAATATAGAAGAAAAATGCAACCGTTTGAGCTGTGGTGTATGGTTGCCATGATCGCTATTATGGTCGCTATTATGGTCGCCATTATGGTCGCTATAGGCGATATGGGCACTACAGTTACAACAAGTAACCTGATCAAAAACTTGATGATCAAAAGCATTCAAGAAAGAGCTCGAATTACTAAAGCTGTCACTTGGAAAGTAAAGACGTTGTCGGCCGCTTGCTTGATTAGAGTTTGCTAAAATTTATTGAAGGGAAGGATGTAGCTGACTTGTGAGTCCGATTCCAGACAAAAGGAAGGGCTAGCAGCTTGGAGGGCAGTATAGCGCACTGGCTGAATAAGTTTAGATGCTAAATCATACCTTTCTTATTCTAATTTTCTGGTCCAAGCATAAATTTTAGTGCTCAAAGCCTCTTCCTAAAGATTGCGATAACTCTACAAGAAATGTAGCTAAAGCAATGGGAAAACTATGGGAAGACTCTTAGATTTCAAGACTTTGTGATCAGTGTAACAAGATTACAAAAGAAAAAAAAAGTATTTTCAAAAATATTAAAAATATCAACAGGTATGCCGAAATTACAAATATGCTATTTGTGTACTCAAAAAAATATCTTTTGAAAAATAATAAAAACCACCATTTTAAAATAAAACCACTATTGTAAAATAAATTAAAAATATTTTGTGCAATGACAAAAAATTAAAAAATAGAAAATTTCTAATTTTTCTGCTTAGATTTTTAAAAAAGCTTATTTTTCAATTTTTCTGTTTTGAATAAATAAATGAGCCTACCAACCAGTAGTCCCGCTTTTGAACTAAAGCAGTAAAATCACTATCCGGTAGACTCATTTATTTATTCAAAACAGAAAAATTAAAAATCAGTTTTTTTTATTAATTTAGAACAGAAAAATCAGAATTTTTCTATTTTTTAATTTTTTGTCATTGCAAAAAATATTTTAGCTATATTCTAAAGCAGTGATTTTATTTTTTTCTAGAAAATATTTTTTCAAGTACATAAATGGCATACTTGCCATGTCGGCATAAATAATGTCGGAGATTGAGTTGGTTGAGCGTTCTGAAGATGATGGTTTTTTTTTTGTGAATCCATTACATTCATTAAAGAGTTCTGATATTTAAGAGGTTTTCAATAATTTTTTTTTCGACCAAAATAAAATCGAAGTGAAATCAATGTGCTGAATATAGTCTCACATTAGACTGTAGATGGGACTCTACAAAATGTGTTATCGTCATACCTGAGAAAGACCTCACTGAGTATACTCTTTCTGGTAGAGTCATCCCACAACAAATTCTTCTTTTTTTTTAGATTTCTGAATTTCTTCTATAACTAGAGACATCTCAAGCCTTAAAGACTTAGCATAAGCAATTGCTAATAAAGTCCGCTCATCTATGACCATGCTACCCTCTATCACTACAACGCAAGCAATTACATTTTTCTTCCATTACTTGCGCTGTAGTATATTGGTGTCAACAACGCTTGTTTCTTTAGCTTTCTAGAACCAATCTCGAGCGCATCCGTCTAATTTGCTGGCGACTGGTTTGACTACCTGGAGGTAGTCCTAAATTGTGTTTCTGTCGCACATACTTCTTTCATTCACATATTTCCCGGTACCTCAATATACATGCTATGCTCAGCTAACCCATAACATGTGTCGAATAAGCTTCTGTACATCTTCTTCTATCATAGATGGCCTCTATAAAGCATGGTGCTGCAAATATTCTGCTCTTTCCGACAACCAATCAGCTGTCTCCCTTTCTGCTTTGGCTACAAACATACGTTTACAAACATCATTAAATTAGCACTTTTTTCTCTATGCACTTCTTATCCTTGTTTCTTTAAAGAATTTTTTAGTCTAGTTTGGTTTAGTTATTCCTATGGGCTGACCAAATTCAAATAATTTAAACTATTGATTTTACATAAAAAGCAATTTTGAAAATAAGGCTTAATTTAAATCTGACAGATACACAAGTGTACCATTTGTGTTGATAAAAAAAAATATTTCTAAAAAACAATCGCTTTCAAATGAAAACAAATAAAATAAAAAAAAAAAAACTCGTTTTTCTCTTTTCTTTTCTTTTTGTTTGAGCTAGATCAAATAGCGATATAAAATTAAAAGAATCGAAAATAAGAATTTTGTAGAACTTGACAGTTCTAACTAAATTTTTATTTTTACTTCAAAATTACAAAATAAAGATGCAAAAAAAAAAAAAAAAAAAAAAAAAAAAAAAAAAAAAAAAAAAAAAAAAAAAAAACTTTACTGTTCTCTGCTCATTCAGGGTCATCCATGATCATCCATAATCATCCTTGATTAAGTATGCTCACTCATGGCTGCAAGTGTTCATCCATGCTCATCTATATTCATCTATATTCATCTATACTATTTCTTGCTATTTATTGGCATTTAGTGATGAGTAACAAGCCTTGATTGGTTTCCAGTCCTAAAACTTTGTATTTGAGGTAGATTGCTCTGATTTTAAACATATTATCGATCTCATTAAATCATGCAAATGGTAATGTGCCCTTTGAGCTGAATGTATCTTTTACTATAGAAAAAGTGATTAGCCAAATTATAATTGTGGGTATATGGTAATTTATATTATGCACCAAAGACCACCTTTCATGTATTGTACATCATAAAGCTAAAATAAGTCTCCTAACACTTTGACATTTTTTATAAAAGAGCCTTCCCTTTCTTTGATTTAGGGGAACCAAGTGTCTTTTTAATAAGGTACTTTGTTTGAACAAGCGACGTTGCAGATGAAATGGCTTTTTACTCTGTTTAGTTCGTCCGATCAACCTACTCAGCTCCGAGTTTTTCTGACAAAACACTTTGCGATCATATCTCCAGATAAAGGCAATCCGTTGCTACCCTTCTTCTCTAGAACTCTTCGCTGTCATGATCTTTTTCATCCCACTACAGTCGTCAATGGTATCTATGCTGCTTTTGGTCACTTTGTTAACAATCTCAGACTTGATAATGCGCCTCTCACCAACTCGCTTTACTTCCCGCTGATTAACATGTTCGAGGCGTTACCTCAACACCACTGGTTTTATCGACATTCAAAAGTGCCAGCCCCTCTCTTTCTCCTCTTTAATGAACAAAGTAACCGGTTACGTCTGAAGATCCGCTATGAATATGGGACATTGCCAGGGTTGTACCATCAGCTTTTTATAGACGTTCTTCGCAGACGTACAGTAGAAATTCAACCTTTTCTGTGGCAATATATCACGCAAGATGTGACACCCTCTACTTTCTCTGCTCCTGATGCTTTGACCAAGCAATTGACGGATACAAGACTGTAGCACTCTTTCTCTTCTAAGGAGTATTGTATACACCCATACGGTAACAAAACTAGACTCCAAATAAGGGCTTCTCGTACTGTGCTCTCTTTGTTTTGGAGGGTCTCAATGCTCCCTCAGGATAGAACACTATCGTATCGAGTGCTTCACCAAAAACTGCCCACTGCTAAAGAACTCTTTAAGATTGGCACTGTCTCTACTCATGCCTGTCGATTGTGCAAATCACAACCTAACTCTTATGACTATTTCATAGCCCATTGCCCTACCGAGTGGAGTGTTTGGGTCGAAATACTCAACTGTTAATACCCTTTGATATACTTTACCCCTTCCTCCCTCCACAAGATAATCACTTTTCAAGCTTTTCCACTTATCATTACAAGTCGCTCCAAGCTGATGCCCATCATTTCCATAGGCCAATGGAATATCTAGAAATTTTATTGGAACCTGATTCTCAACCAGGTTGCTTTTGAACCCTCTTGTATTATTTCTGATACAGTATCTCAGGTAGCCTTAATTACAAAAAGTCATTCTTTGCTTAAACAACCCAGATCATTGTATGATCTTTACTTCGTCATCCTTCACTTCTGTTTCTCTACGTCCCATCTCTCTGCGATGTGTAACTAAACAATACTTTTGTAAATAAAAACCAACTACAGAAAATTTCTTTTATTATGCTGTGGATGACATAATTCACATGATAAGTTATTAGGAATGGTTTATATAAACTTTATTGAGCATTATACATGTCATTCTACAATATTTCCTGACTCAATTATTTGGTTACCCATGATCAATCTCTAGTCCAGTAGTTTAAATCGATGAATACTCGTTTGGTTAGACAGTATTAAGTTTTGTTCCTGCAGTACACATCTCTATCATTCATATGTTTCCCAATACTAAAATATAAATACAAACCTTTGATACATTCAGATCGACGTTAAAACTATATTGCCTTTTCAATATTATTCTTGGAGAAATACATGGATAGGTGTAAATTTATTTTGAACGTCACGTCTATGACTTTTGTAACTTTTCAAAAGTTTTTTGGCGGTATAGCTACTTTCAGTAGCGAATAAACAAAAGTGGCAAAGACTACAAGGGGTTACATTTGCATAAAAACAGAACTCTCAGCAACCTCAGGAACAATATTCAAGTACAGCAAATCGTTGATTTAAATTCCAGAGTTTACAAATTCTCTGCAACATCGAGGAAGATGTCATTGAACCATATTTCTTTTCTCTGCTATTTTTGTATGGAGGCGAGCTTTTGACCAGTTATCAAATCAGCTGCTACTATTGAGAAACTAAAAATACAGAAATATAGAGAAATAAAGTCTGAACATTTATGAGTGTTTCGGATTCTATAAATCATCACTCTATCCTTAGCTGAAAAGTGTTAAATTTCGAAGAAAAAAAAGTCTGCCTGCAAAAAGTGACTCTCATAAACTAGATGTACTCTATTACTTTTCTTTATCTCTTTTCCATTAAGAAAGGGAGGTTTGTTTACTAAATCTCTTCCTATGAATTAATTAAATTTGTGTCATTAAAGATCAAATCAAGTCGTGTGCTTAAAAGAACCTTTTTACATAAGATCAATAAAGAAATGAACATTAGATAAAAGTATAACAATACTTATGTCAAAACAAATGTCATGATTTTGCGTCTACAAAGAGAGAGAGAGAGAGAGAAAAAAAAACGTCAAGACAAAATTGATTAAAGCAAACAAAAACATTAATTTTATTTAGGAATCAAAAAATAAAAAGACATATGCTTTTCACAGTATGCAGAATACAAGGCTTTTTTATGCTAACAAATGATATTTGAATCTTTATTTCCTTGGTCAGTATTGATGCTATATATAATAAAAGCTGCTTTTGCAATGAGCCATAGACGATCTTTTGATTTTGATGCAGAATCTGTAAGGTGTCTTACATCATAATAGATTCAACATTGCTCCTATGCTTCAGAGTCTGTCTCTTGATGCTGAAATTATTTTTTTTTCTATCGCTTTCTTGTTTTTGTGCTAGTGTAAAAAGTAATGCATTTATATTTCCATTTGCTTATTCCTAGAGATTTATAAAGCATACTTTTGCTTTAAAACGTAGTTCAGATACACATGATAGATGCTGCTTATTTTTATCTAATGGTTTAATCAATAAAGAAGAAAAAAATAGTAACCTTCAATGTCTATAAATAAGATGATTGTAGAACAAAAAGTAACCATACAGTTATAGCGTTGTGACGTATTACGTATTGTTATGATAGATCGAGAAAATAAAAATAACAACCTTTCTCTTCTTTTCTCTTGTTGCCAAACATGCTTCCTACATATGATGAATTACCTATTGATCCTAAATACCCTCCTAAAACTGCTTGGGGAGTCTGGGGAATAGGTGATAACTATGGCACGATTAATCTGTTGACACCAGAGCGTATAGCAAAGGCATTGGCATTACACTCACGTATCGTTTTCTGATTCTATTTGAATAGGCATCAACCTGTATTCGTCAGGGTACCACTTTCCCCCTCAACTGGAAACTTGAGCAACCAAACCCAGGTTTGTTTGGAAGAAAATTGATTCAACATGAATTCAAATGCGGTGAGCTTGGTAATACCAGTTTTTGGGATGATACCTACCATGAATTCAACACACAGGCATCCAGTCAATGGGATGGTCTAAGACATTTTCCACACTGCCCTTCTGGCTTGTTTTATAATGGTCTTGAGTCTTATACGATTGCCAAGGGACTCAATGAACTCACGGGGCGGTTAGGTATCCATCATGTGGCTCGACGAGGTATTGTAGGCCGTGCTGTCTTGCTTGATTATGGCCAATGGGCCATGAAACACAAGTCTGATTATCATCCATTTGACAGGGATGAAATCACAGTACAGGAACTAGATCAAGTGGCCCATGCTCAAGGAGTTGTGTTTGAAGAAGGTGATATTCTCTTGCTTCGTACAGGATGGATGGAAGCATATGAAAAGCAACACCGAGCATGGACAGACACACCTCCTGCTGCTGCGGGCGTTCTACCTTGTGAAGATACCTTTCGATGGTTATGGAATCATCATTTTGCTGCTGTTGCCTGTGATAATTTCTCATTTGAAGTATATCCTGTTCAAGATTGGAATACAAGTTGCCGTAAGTAAAATAGCTTGACTCTGTGTCATCCTCAACTTCTTTTAAATGTAGATTCAACATTGATAGGTGGGTTTGGATGTCCTATAGGTGAAATGTTTTATTTGGATGCATTAGCTGAGGATGCTGCTAAAGATCATATCTATGCTTATTTCTTTACCAGTGCACCTTTGAATAAGCAAAACGGAATTGCTTCTCCTCCCAATGCCATCTGCATTAAATAAACAAGTCTAATCATTTCTGGCCAAGGAGATAATTTTAAAAATAATTTGAAAACGTGCTTTTTCTTTCTTTTATTATCCATGACACAAGAACAAAGAATAGAGAAAATTAAACAATTAAGACAAGAACTTGGTCAGACCAAGCAGAGTTTGACAGATGAGGTAACCATAGTTAACCCTGGATACTGACTGACATCTCTTTAGTACCTTGAACAGTTCTTGATAGCTCGTAGTTGGAATACAGTAAGTTTAATTCAATAAATGTCTATATTAATCTATATTTAGACAGCAGCAAAAGAACAACTCTTGAAGACGTTTGAATGGCGTCAAAAGAACCAAGTCGATCTTCATCCTGTAGCTACTTGTGAAAATAAACTGCCTGTGTTGTATGCCGTACGCGGGTTTGACTCGGTACCTGATAGTAACTTAGAACCATTGCCAGGCGTATCTGAGTCTGTCTTGAGAATCAATACATTTATGGGTGGTTCCTGTCTTCATAAGGTGGATAAAGAAGGATGCCCTATCTATATTGAACGACTCGTAAGTCTCCATAAACCAACCATATAACTCACTATCATCAGGGCCATCATAAAGCCAAAGATATTGCCAAGCATTGTAAAGTAGAAGAAGTACAGGAATATCATATAGGATGTAATGAGTTCTTGCATCGTGTTGTCATGAAGGATTGCTCAAAAAAGGCAGGTCGTCATGTCAATCGAGAAACAGTCATTTTTGACTGTACTGGCATGGGATGGCACCGTAAGTAGTAGATTCCAAGAAATTCATTACTCATGATACAGAATTACATATGCCTGCCTTGAATTTCATTCGTGCTATTGCTGATTGTGATCAACAATACTATCCTGAGACACTCAATAAATTCTTTCTTGTGAATGCACCAAGTGCATTTGTCTATGTTTGGAAGATTGTGAAAGCATGGCTTGATCCCGGTGTAAGTATTGTCGAGTTAGATACATTATTCACTCACTCAATTAATGATAGACCATTGCTAAAATTCAAATTCTTGGATCAGACTATCAAAAGGCATTACTAGACCAAATTCCAGCTGAAAACTTGCCTGCCTTTCTAGGTGGAACATGCACCTGTCAACATATGGATGGCGGGTGTGTTCCTTCTCAGGTATTAAAGAATGCCAAACCATTGATAGCTCAAGACCATAATGAAAAAGTACCTACTGCTTACAACACAGATATTATGAATCAAGCTAAATCCTCTCCTCTCCTTCAAGGCCCCACTTTTTATACTGAAGAATAAATGCGTATACTTTTTTTTTTTTTATTAAAAAGGAACCGTGTGCGTTTAGTCAAAGAGACCTAAATCAAAGTGATGAGAGGAAGTCATGATTATATGGTTTAACTTACCGAAACCCATATCGTCATCAGATTCTTCCTTTTCTTCGGCCTTTTCTTCTTCAGCAGGAGCATCAGCAGCAGCACCGGCAGCGGCACCACCGGCAGCAACAGCAGGACCAGCACCAGGAGCACCAACGTTCAAAAGAAGAGCCTTGAGGTCTTGACCGGCGAGAGCCTTAGCGTAGAGAGAGAACCAGATAGGTTCAACTTCAATACCGGCAGCAGCAACAAGGGTTTGAAGCTTGTCAGCCTAATTCAATGTGAATGTCTGTCTTTTTGATGGTCATGCGACTTACAGTGATCTCAATGTTGTCATCTTCGAGGATGAGAGCGGCGTAAACGACAGCGAGTTCAGCAGACATGCTATAAAGACGGTTAAAACAAAGATGGATGGATGGATCACATACGTGCAACGGATGGATGTGAAAGGGAGAGAGGGAAGTGAATCCTTTGCCCATCTTGACTCTTATTAGGTTGATTCGCGTCACACACACACACTTGTTTATTTTAAAGACAGCTATTTTTTTTCTTTTTTTCTTTTTTTATTTATGATGAAGAGTACCATTATCAAGAAATTGTACAAGGTCTACTTCTTCGCGTCGTTTTCTCATACGAGCCTTGATTTGTTGTCGTTCTCTTTCTAACATGGTTAAAATAATAAACTGTTTAGATCTTTCTTGTTCCAATTCAGAAGCTTTTAGTTTTTGCCAATTCAGATGTTTGTTGCACTTTTTACTTGATGGACAGATTGTATAGGGTTTTTGTATCGGGTGTTGATGACTATCCAACAGTTGGTCTTGGTCTACTTGATCCACTTTTTCCCAATAGACATCAGGCCAAGCAAGTCTTGAATCAAATCCACACATGTCTTGTTCTTTTTGGATGGCAAATGACAATAGCTTTGATTTGAGTTCGCCTAATGCAATTACTGCTTTTGCTTGTAGTTTTTCATCCTTGACTCGTAGTAACCTTGATCGGTCATCGAGATCAGCATAGCTGCTTAGTTTACTTCGAGAGAGAGGGTTATAGTGATAGTCTAGGTCTTCTACTACTTTGGTCTTTTTCATTTCAGCCAGTTCAATACGAGCACGTGCGACTTGCATGCCACAAACATCTGTACAATATTTACTGAGGTGACCTAGATTCGTACCAATCCTGGCTGCATTATTACAGTTTGGATTAGCACATTTAGGTTTCCATATTGTCTTTTTTCCAGTGACTATAGACTATCAGTCAATATATATATATATATATATATATATATGTAGACACAAACTTACGTTTAGCACAACTATCACAGAAATACAGGTCAATAAATTCGCCTTGTTTTTCACTGATACCAATACATTCCCCATGAAACCATTGGTCACATTTATCACAGGCAATCATGAATCGAGTACCATCATAAGGGCTTTTACATATACAGTACAGTGTATTTTTATCTACAGAAATATCAGGTTTTGTTGTTTTATCATGCGGTAGTAATAACATGGTGGTAGGTGTGCCAGATGTACTTGAGATGGAAGATTCACTAGGTTGATTTCTCTGTAAAGGAGGTCTGCCTCTTTTTACTTTCTTTATAGGCTAATAAGAGATATAAGTATATATATATCTAATCAACAAAATACTTACTCTCTGTTGTTCTTCTTCTTTGAATAGTTTTTTTGTATCGTCTGATTCAGTCCCATTATCAGAAGCATCAGAGATAGAATGTACAGGGTATTGACTCGATGCCAGTGGGTATTGTTTATAATGTTCTTCAGGTGTCTCTACAGGTTGCCATTTGAGTACAGGTGCTATTCGTTTTCGTAAAGGTAAACGATTTGTGTTGGATTCTATGGAACGTAATAAAAGATCACTGTTGTTCTCTACTTGCTGAGACATGGTTTTATTATTATTATTATTATTATTATTTTTTTTTTACAAGGGATAAAAAATAAAATAAAATAAAATAAATGAATTCTAAGTGTAAATCTCTCTCTTTTTTTCTATGTCTCTCGCTCTCCTCTCTGTCTCTGTCTCTGTCTCTCTCTGTGTGTGTGTGCGTGTGTTTCTCCTGATGTGACGTACTTTTTTTTTTTTTTTTTATTTTTTATTTTTATTTATTTATTTTTAGGAGAGTGATAAACATTCTTCCTTCAGCCCCGAAAACCCAATACTTAACACGTTTCATTTTCTCTCTCTCTCTTTTCTTTTCTTTTCTTTTCTTAACAATCCCCGGTATAATTACTTTAAATGAACAAAAATACAGTTGGTGTATGTGTGCGTGTTATGTTTGGTACGGCAGCTACTTATTTAAGGTAAAATAACAATAAAAGAAAGAGTTATTTATCTCTTTAGACAGAGTAATCGAATGATCATGACAGGTTCAGCAGTATCCATTGTTGCTTTTTTGAGTAAGTGACAATATCTCTTTTGATGACCATTTAATTTTCCTTTTTGTTGTTAAGGTATTCGAGGATTATTTTCATCAAGGAGAACAAAATCAACTCATCTATCACCACTTGAACATTTAAAAGTGTTAAATAATGAACCAAGATCCATTTCTTCCATTTCATTTAACATGCCAGTCAATAATGTTCATCGTCGATTATAGATTTTATTAGGATGAATGATCAATATGACTAAAACCCAGATCAAGATACACATCATATTGACTAATAGAGACATATCAGCCTACGATTGCATATGTAGACTTACTGTTACAGATCATCAAGTCAGAAGCAAATTTATTGGTATTGATCTTCTTTGCTGTGGTCAGTCCATCACCACTCAAGATAATAAAGCTTGTTGAAAAGATAAACAAAGCTATAGATAATAATAGATTAAGTTCCTGAAAATACTTTATCTTGTCTGTCACAAAAGGTCCTTTTAATAACGTCTTGAATCGAACATGAGATACACCACCCAATAAAGAGATACACCAGAGTTCTAGTAACAAATAGTCAGATATGTTTCATCATACTATCGCTTTACCAATGCCATAGACAAGTTGAGGTATAATTTCTTTAAATGTAACATCATAAAGACCTGGCTGAGAAAAAGTGTATTGAATGACTGGAAACAGAATGATATTGATCATGGTCCTATAACTAGCATGAATCTACAGCCTATGATGTAGACACAATAGACTTACATGATAATATAAAATTTAAATTCTTTACTACTCATAAATCTTGCTTTGGCTACCAATTTAGCCAAGTATTTCCAAAAGCATTGCAATAAAAGTAATGTACCACTAGCCCATACTAAGTTATTTATCTTTTTTTTTTTTTTTTTTTTTTTACATTTGTAACGAGAATCCAACACATAAACTGTAATCTTATTCTGTCAATAGAGCATGTACTTTTGTAGGTTTGTTTTACCTGTAGGTAGGACAAGATCTCTGTCTGCCTGTGTCCAGAGTATTTCTGGCTTGGTTTGAATATGCCCTACAAGAACTGCATATCCTTCTTGATATTTAATCTTACAAGACATGATATCTAACAACCTATAAAAAGATCCCATTTTATGCTTCGTTTGCTTACCATAGTAGAGTTGAAATGGCAACATGATCAATAACCATGCTGTCACAAAACTCTTGAGGTCTCCCTGTTTAAATTTCGAAAACTGGAGACACCCAAATCCACCTGTTGTCTGGATGCGATACACAAGCCAAATAAAGACATAACTCAACCCAATGATTCTTTCTTTCCTCTCTTTTGTCAGTAATATCCTACATATCAATGGACCTACGTAAAAAACTATAGTCACTGAGATGGGTCATTGAAAAAGATAAAGAAAACGAGTTTTTCTTTCCTCCTCATAATATCCACTTTTTTTTTTAAAAAAAATAAGGAGGTAGGATCAAGGAGATTGACAAGTGGCAAAACAAACTCCGTAAGCGGACTTGACCATGGATTATTTTTTATAAGCAGAAATCCCACACCCATTCTCTTTTTTTTTTTTATTATTCTTTTTCTTTAATATGTCTATTGGAGGTCAAAATACTTCACATATACGTTCAGGGTAATATTATAAAAAAAATGGATGGACTGCTTATGTTTTAATAAAAATAGACATGAATTAGATCAAGCCAGACTCGAAGCTTATTTAATCCAACATGTCCCTGGATTTAAAAGACCTTTGCATATCAGTCAATTCCAATTTGGTCAATCCAACCCTACCTATTTATTAAAGGACGGCAAGTAAGTAGAAGAAAGGGAGAGAGAGAGAGAGAGGGAGGGGTATGAAATCAAACAAAAAGATCTCACGAATTCAAGCCAACAACAATATGTGCTTCGTAAAAAACCACCTGGTGCTTTGTTATCCAGTACAGCGCATGCTGTTGAACGAGAATATCGTATTATTCATGCTTTAGGCACACATACAGATGTGCCTGTACCTAAAGTATATGTGCTCTGTCGAGACATTGATGTGATTGGCACACCTTTTTATGTCATGGAGTTTCTCAAGGGACGCATCTTTGAAGATTGTCGTATGCTTTCTTTGCCTTTTGAAGAACGCAAACAACTGTAAGTTTCTTTCGATATGATACATCACTCATGACCTTAGGTGGTATGCTGCTATTCACACCTTGGCTAAATTACACAGTGTGGATTTCAAGACCATTGGTCTGGAAGACTATGGCCGTCACCATGGCTTTTATGATCGTCAGATGAAATCGCTTGCCAAAGTCTCTCATGCTCAAGCCAATGTGCAAGACGAAACAACAGGCGAACGTGTAGGCCCTATTCCGCGCTTACAGGAAATGTTTAACTGGTTTAAACAAAACCAAGCACGCGATCAAGCCACGATTGTCCATGGCGACTACAAAATAGACAACTTGATCTTTCATCCTACCGAACCCCGTGTGATCGGTGTGCTTGATTGGGAACTATCGACAATCGGCCATCCCTTTTCGGACCTCTCTAACCTGCTTCAACCGTTCTATGTCCCTGCGGTCGATAATGCAGGCCTGTTAGGATTCAAAGACGCTACAGACCCTTTGCCTATTCCTAGTGCTGATGAATTGATCAGCATCTATTGTCAACAACGCAAACAGGCTCTGGATCGATGGATGTTTGCCGTGGCCTTTTCGTTTTTCCGATTGTCTGTGATTTTGCAAGGGATTGCAGCTCGTGTGGCTCGTAAACAAGCATCGTCTGCTGAAGCAAAGACCTATGCTGCTCGATTTATTCCTGTAGCCAACATGGCACTTGATATCATAGACAAATCATATACGAGTAAACTTTAAATATGACCTCGAAGGGCAATTTGGCCCGTGACAAATGAGACCAGATCGTCTTGATTGTTTTTAACATGATATGCCTATCCATCAGGGAGAGATGAGTTCTAGAGAAATGCTGAATGCTTACTTTTTTTTTTTTTTTTTTTTTTTTTTTTTTTACTTTTTGAATGGCTTGTTTGTCTTTGATCGTCTCTAATTGATTAAAAGAGACCAAGTCTCCTTGAATGGTCTGTTTTAAAAACATCTCTGCCTAAACATAGAGAGATCAGTGGGATGTTTCATGACGATGTTTTCTTACTTTGTCAGCTGGTTCGCCTATTTGAATAGCCACCATATGAGTTGTTTGGTCCGTAATACCAAACGTTGTCAATGTTTTGCCAATCTAAGGAACACATAAGTATATCGATCCAAAACAAAACAAAAAAATTTACATTATTGGTGCCTCCAAAATTAAACAAAATTTCAGAGTGAAGACTGTATGTCTTGAGACTGCCTGCTGCTTCGTCAGACAAGGCACGTTGGGCTGCTAATAAGACAATAAACTTGTCAAGGACCTAGGTATGTATCAGCTTACTTGTTCATACTGGTATTCATACCAAAGACGCGTTGACTAAGGCCATATTCAACGTAATATCTTGTTGGTGGATTCTTTGTCTAAGTTCTGAAGCATTCTTGACGTTTTGAAACAAGGCAATATGGACCTGTTTATCAGGAAAGAGTTCTAAAGTATATGATTCCATATGAAAATAAAAAAAAAGAGAAAAGTGAAAAAAGTCACAGTAAGATCATCCTCCTGGACCACCCAAGCAATTCTAATTTTATGGTTCCGAACTGTTTCAAAACAAGTTTACTTAATAACATGTGAGATTCGTTACTTTAAGGTAAAGGGTCAATGCCACTCAAGAGGATGGGGGGGGGACTCTGATTGAGGCTAATAAAGGGTATAACACAACTTGGCCTGTTTTTTTTTCTTTCTTTCTTTACTTTTTATTTTCCTTTTTCTTTTTCGCTTTAACATGGAGATTTCTAAACTCTTAGTCCAAGATACAGAAGTCATTAAACCTTCAACAAAGAAAACTAAAATCAAAAAACGCCATGCATGTACTTGGCTTGGTTGCATGAAATCTTTTAGTGAGTCTATATATAAAAAAAATATCGTCTTATATACTTTTTTAATAGCCAGACCATCAGATATGACCCGACATTACCGTATTCATACAAATGATAGGTATAAATAAAGTTGACATATATACATATATTGATCCTATATATAGGCCCTATCAATGTCCTTTGGAATTCTGTGGTAAACGATTTATTCAGGTAACATAGACATGTATCCAATCAGATGATTCATAGTAATAGCGATCTGCTTTAACTGTTCATGAGCGTACACATTCTGGTGAAAAACCTCATATATGTAAATACCCTAGTTGTAACAAGAGCTTTGCAGACAGTAGTGCCTTAGCCAGACATAGGTAAATAAATAAATGATTTCTTTCTCATGCTTATGTGTAGGCGTATTCATTCACAACCTCGATTATATGTCTGTACAGAACCCGATTGTTCTAAAAGGTACAAACATGGCATTGTATACATGTCATTGATTCCATATCCCTTAGTTATATCAAAAAATCCCATTTGACAAGACATTTACGTCGAGGCCATTGCAAAGAAGACAATACACCCACAACACCTGTTGAACCTCCCATTTCATTGGATGAGCGATGGTATTTCGATAAACCCATCTTGGCTCATTATCCAACTTGTTATTTATAAAACATGATTATGTAACAACTTAAAACAAGTTTCAATAGCTGTAACACAATGATAAATAAAGAAAAAGGCAATTTTCTTTTTGAAAGTTCTTTTTGTTGTACAACATGAGTTAATTACATGATATCATGATTAGTTATACATATGACATGAATCTTTTTTATTTTCTAGCCTAGGTAGAAAAATTAAAAAAAAAAATAGGGTATGGGCATATAATTGAAGAAAGAAAAATTGGGTAGTATAACAGAGGAAAAAAAAAGAGAGAGAGAGAGCCAGCCTTAGATAATTGAAGAAAGAATAATAATAATAATAAAAAAATGAATAGATATCACCAAAAGAGAGAGTACATAGAGAGAGAGAAATAAAAAAAAAAAAAAAGACAATAAGAGAGAGAGAGAGAGAGAGAGAGAGAGAGAGAGAGAGAGAGGAGAGTTAATGACACCGAGAAAACTCATTTCTTGACCTCTATAACCGGTAAGAAAAAAATATGTATATGTATAAACAGAGTTTCTTGACGCATAGAACAATCCAATTTGTACCCATTTTCAATTGATTTAACTAGGAGATGGTTTCTTGGGACACATCATGGAGTAATGACCTTTTTGACCACAGTGAATACAACGACCGTCAGACATAGTTGCTTAAATATATAGATATAAAAAATAGGTGTATTCTTATAAAGTAAATAACAAAAAAAAAAAAAAAAAAAAAAAGAGGGAAAAGGCTGTTTATATACACTTATACATCTTATTTTTAGTTAGATGCCGATCTTCTCCGGCACGTGGCATTTAATGTAGCACAAGCCATTGGATTGGTGCAATGTCTTTATGAATAAAAAAAAAAAAAAAAAAAAAAAACCTATTGTTAATAAGACGCGGTTACGGAGGTAATGTATCTGCTCCGATTATTATCATAATTAATTGCATAACTCCGGTAATGAAACGTGTTTGATGTAACAATGAACAATATATACTCTTCTTTGCTTTCACAACGTGGATTGTTATGGGTACACACAGCCATTGTTATACACTGACCTCAAATAAGAATTAGCCCAGTTTTGTGTCATTCGAAGGTATCCTAATCCAAGAGCTTCTTTAATATACTTAAATGCGCTCAGTTTCTTGTCAAGATATTTATTTTAAGACAATATAAATAAATAAATAAATAGACATTTATACACTTTATTGAAATCAAGTAGAGAGCATAACTAATATTTACATTAGACTATAAATAAAATTAGTGGCAGATATGAACCAGCCTATGTAAATCTTCTCAATTGCATTCATACTACTACACAATATGACCAACCAATATTAAGCTGTGATGCCACCAAGTACTGATTTTTAGAAGAAAAAAAAAATTTTTTTTTTTTATGCTTCTCTTTCAAGGGTCAGCTATTTTGTGCTTTTATTCAAATGGTCTTGTTCAAGGCCATTGTATTGATAAAAATAACAATACGTGTCCTTATAGTTTAGCAGGCACTCGATCAGATCATGTTGATCCTCTTCATCATGCTTGTATGGAACCCGATGACTTTTACTCTCTCTTAATTCAATCTCATCACAGTCAAGAAAAAATAAATTTGCTTGTACGACGACCTAAAGATAATGATGCTGGCAATTTATTTACTCGTGAACACGACAACAATAACAAGTATGATTTCTTATTTCAAACACATCAATTTTTATCTGGTCAAAAGGCATTGGCTATTCAACACAAATACTTTGGTTCATCTCATGATGAACACGTCGTCGTTTGTATTGGCCCTGTCGAATGGAATCAACAAGACGAATCCAATGATGTCATTGCTTTATCATGATTCAAATGAAGCAACCCCGCCCCCCTTTTTTTTTATTTTTACTTTTCTTTATGATACAAGTATTCACTGATTTTGATGGCACTTTGTCCTTGGATGGTAAAATAAATAAAATTATTTTGTTTATTTATTTGCATTAGACACGGGTCTATTGTTGATTGATGATCATCGTTCAATGGGTCCTGAACGTAGACGCGTATTAGAACACGAAATTATGGATGGTGTCAAATCTTACAAGTAAGAGACCTCTTTGGATGCATTGACTGATCAACATGGTAGGGATGCACTTCAAGAAATGTGGAATTCAGTCCATATCTCTTGGGATGAAGCATGGTCTGAATACTTAAACCGTAAGTAAACTATGCTTTTTTTTTTATTTTTTAGCTCATCATGACTAGACTGTCGTGTTGATCCCGGGTTTCCTTCTTTTTATGATTATTGTCGAGAAAACAAGTTTCCTGTGACAGTGGTCAGCAGTGGTCTATCTCCTCTGGTTGAAAAGATCATGACTGACTTTTTAGGTGATAAAGCAAAAGACATTGAAGTCATTGCTAATGGAGGTCGCATTGAAGACAGAAACTGGCATATTATCTGGAGAGACGATAGTATTTATGGCAATGACAAGTCTAAAAGTAAGTTTTGTGTTGATGTCAGTACTTAAGTGTATGAATAGCACTTGCCAAGGCCCGTGAAACAGCAGAACAAGATACCATCTTTGTGTTTTGTGGTGATGGCGTATCTGACATTTCTGCTGCTAAACATGCCGATGTCTTGTTTGCTCGTAAAGGTCGTGATTTAGAATTCTATTGTAGACGAGAAGATATTCCTTTTATTCCTTTTGATACATTTAAAGATGTAGAAGACGTAGTTAGAAAGCTTGTTGATGGTAAAGCCAGAATAGAGAAATCAACCAGTGGTTTCTGTCAAGTAGTGGACAATTAAAGAACTATTTTATTATTATTGTTCATTTATTTATTTTATTTTATTTTATTTTATTATTTTATGCTACTTATCAAGTCCGACCACCGCAACAGGATTTTTTTTTTTCTTTGACCTTGAAGCAGATGGCTAGCCAAGTAGAAAATCCTCCCTTTTTTTGTAAAGAAAGATGGTAATGTTAAGCTTATAGAAAGTAGAAACACGTTTTGTATACAAACATATCAGATATAACCAAATGGATGGATGGATGGATGGATGGATATCAGAAAAGAAAAAAAAAAAAAGAAAAAAAGTTGAGCTTACATATCTTTGTTTTTATGCAAAACTTTGTTTCTACTTGAATATATATATATGACATATCACTTACATCTATATAGTCTCTCGTCGTTCCCGAAAGAACTACTTTCCAGCACATTATCCGTCTTCTTAACACCAACGTCGACGGTCGTGTCAAGATTCAGATTGCCTTGACTTCCATCAAAGGTGTGGGTCGTCGTTTCGCCAACATTGCCTGTAAGAAGGCTGATGTCGATCTCACCAAGAGAGCTGGTGAACTTTCTTCTGAAGAATTGGAACGTATTGTCACCATCCTCCAAAACCCTGCTCAATACAAGATCCCCAACTGGTTCCTTAACAGACAAAAGGATATTGTTGATGGCAAGTCCACTCAAGTGATCTCCAACGTTCTTGACACCAAGTACCGTGAAGATCTTGAACGTTTGAAGAAGATCCGTAACCACCGTGGTCTCCGTCACTACTGGGGTATCCGTGTCCGTGGTCAACACACCAAGACCACTGGTCGTCGTGGTCGTACTGTCGGTGTCTCCAAGAAGAAATAAACAAATAAATAAATAAAAAAAGGAGGAAATTCGTCTCGTTAAAGAGAGAAAGAGGGAATTTTTATTGAAAAAATAAAACATTCTTATTACTTATTAAACATGCATGTTGTAAGCTATATATATATATATATATATATATATATATGTATGTATGTATGTGTGTATGTATGTATGTATGTGTGTATGTATGTATGTATATAATTTAAAGTCTTCTAAAGGTCTTGAAAGAACCCGATCTGGCTCCAACCACATCGCCATCCAATTTGCTTAATCCCATCAAGAAATCACCCATTAACTCCTCTTGATCTTCTGCACTGTCTTCTATACTATGTAATGATCTTGTATCTAAAGAAATAGAAGCAGGGCGCTGTATGCCATCAAATGAAACCCGATCGCGTAAATTAATGATCGTAGGCGGCTGAGATGCTTTCTTCTTGACCACGGTCGATGCACTGAGCGATCGACCCAGTTTAGGCACAGAAGGTTCGGCAGATAAAGGGGTTGAATTTGAAATCTTGGGAAATGTGGTCTGTATCATAGGCTTAGAGGCAGCCAAGTGGCGAGAAGGTATCTGTTGTTGCTTTTCTTCCATGGTATGTGTAGGCAGTAACCAATCATGAGGAATTTCTAGGCTTTTTCGGTGATCATGGTGGCGTGGATTAGGCAACACAATATGGGGTCTCAGAATAGCAGAGTTGCGTCGATGTGTGTCTGAGGGTTCAACCGTGCTGTAGAGATCAGCACTTTGTGTCTTGCGATGACAGGATGGTGTCACCGGCTCCGTACTCTGTTGAACATCAAGAGAAGTAGACCGAGTATGGATAAGAGACAGATGGTTGAGTAAAAAGAGAGGATCATCTTTTAAGAATTGAATGGCTGTCTTCATGGTTGTGACGACAAAACTATAGACAGAACCCTCTACCATACGAGCTAATCGGTAATGCTGCATGTAATAAATCGAACTGGCAATACGTGGTACATGACTCTGTACAATAATATAGGCAAGTAAAGGAATCATTTCATCCGATGTCACCGAAGTATCTTGAACATGTTAGGGGCGCCTGTCTACATCTGTAGGACTTACCATGCATGCCATTGCCTGTACCCTGTATATAATCATGCACCGCTGAGGAGATGTGGTCCAAGGTTGTCTTGACCACCGCTAGTTTTTCAAGAGGCGTAAAAGCAATATGCTTCAATGTGGATGTGTAAGGTTCAATATGATCATTGGAATCCAATTGTCTCAAGGTGTCAATGGCTTGTTTGAAATCAGAAGCACGCATTTCTGAAATAGGATATCGAAGTGAGTATTGAGAGAGTTCGACATCTGAATAGCAATCACAAATGGTGTCTACATAGCGGTCGTGTGAAGCAAGTAAAGATTGTAAAGATTGAACCCAAATCTTTTTATGTAAAAATCCCATCACTACACTATATATATAAGAAGTCAGTCTTTATCTATGTATGTTTATATATATATGCCTTATTACTTTTCAACCAGTTCTAAAAATCGATCATGTTCAGAAGGTGTACGGCATGAATCTTGTAACAAGGTATTTCTTTCTAATATGGTCTATACAAAAAAAAAAAAAAAAAAAAAAAAAAAAAAAAAAAATGAGTCATAGAAATAATAGAGAGGATAATTACTCTGTATGTCTTCATATACATATGCTGTATTCTCTCTACAGTCGCTTTGTTATAACCTTTGATATATACATAGGAGTCAGTGAATTCTTGTACAGCCAATTGTAATTCATAAAGAGCTTCCAAATTTTCGGAAAACATATTCAAGAACTCTAAATCACTATATGAATTTTTAAGGGAGTTTTTATGAGTTTCAAACCTAAAGCATCTTCTGACTTTACGTTCTAGAGTTACGAACAGGCGGAATAGTAATGGCATGCTTTTGAAAGTGTTGGTATGTCTATCAAGTATAAGTAAGATAGATACCATGCTATGTCTCACTTACGGGAGGATCACCTTCTAATAATCTGTCAATCGAGAACAATCTGATTTTTTTGTTCTTCAAATACACTGTTTCTTCTTCCATGATATGCACTGTACGTTCTTCTTTAAAGCCTATATAGATGTCAGATTTTTTTTAAAAAAAAATACAGATATGTCACAGTTACCTAGAATCGTTGTGATGATAGGAAAGTCCAGTGCAATGATTTTCTGTTTTTGCTTCGTAGCAACGTATTGACCGCAGAAATAAGGAGATGGCTGAAAACAATGTGATTCTATATATCTAAATTTAAAAAAAAATTATGCAATGCCTCAATTTCTTACCAATGATATCTTTTGTCATGACCAGGCCTTGAATGGATTTAGAGTGTGGGATACACACTATAGCTGAGTCACAAAACAACGAGTGAAAATGAGTCGTGATATGTTTATAGAAAAAGTTCTCATCTATGTCTTCTGGTGTAAGGGATTCTGAGTTGTCTAGGATTGGCTCATCAGCAATACTGGTCTGTATTAAAGAAGAAAGTCTAGGATAAGCTGAAGAAGAAGAGTCGTTGAGAATACTTGACTTTTTTGTCTTTACGCCTGCTTTATGAAAAAAGGGCAAGTCCATGTTAGATAAAGAAAAATAAAAAAATAAAAAAATAAAAAGAAACAAAGAAGGGGAACATTTTATACGATTTTTCTCAACAAGACGAAAAAAAAAAAAGGGTGCGTACTACATATTTTTAGCTCAGTCACAATGATGGCACACACATACTTTTATTATTATTATTATTATGCATCATTCTCTTTTAAATTCTTTGTTTCGTTTTGATGTATAGAGAACTGCTCTTGTTAGTGTTGTTGTTGTTGTTGTACAAATTAAATAACCGCAGTTTTATCTGAAATAAAGTCTATCAACCTTATTCTATCGTGATACAGTGTAATAGATTTCCATGTCATTGGTTAAACAGTGCATAAATTTATTTATTTTTTTGTTGTAATAAGGAAAGCATTTCTCTTTAAACTGTCAAAAAAAAAAGAAGAAAAGAGAAAAAGCCACTCAGCAAATGAAATTGCTTTAAAGTAAGTTACTATTTTGAGGCTAAAATAAAATAAAATAAAAAAATAAAAAATGCGCCCCAAAAATAACATGGTGTGTTTTTTTCTTTTTTTATATTTCTTATCTTTTTCTTTCGTTCTTTCTTTTCATGCTATCACGACATTTAACAAACAAGATACTTGATATTCGTCTTGAAGAAGAAAAGTTTTATTTTCCTGGAGAGACTATTCAAGGTAAAAATTATAGAGAACATATAAACTTGAAAAAAAAAAAAGACCTCAACATGAAATAGGTTTTGTTATTGTTCACCCAAAAAGTGCAATCAAAGTCAACTGTATTCAACTCAAATTCTTTGGTGAAGTTTATATCAACCTGAAAGAAAAAGAATACAACACGTTATTTCAAAAGACACTTGCACTTTCGGTATACCCTAACAGCACTACACCTAAACAGACAACGTTAGATGCGACTGAACATAGTTTTCCTTTTGAATTCATTGTTCCAAAAAGCTCTGATTTACCGAGCTCCATGGAGGTAAGCTTATCTTACACACTCACCACACACTGAGTCTTGATATAGTTTGGTAAAAAAGGTCATATTCGATATACTATCCGTGCTGTATTGGACAGACCCATGGTACCAGAATCCCTGTGTCCCAAAACAGACTATATTGTGTCTTTGCTTGAATACATTGATATTGAACAACCTCAATTCAAAGTGCCACAAGAAAAGAGTCAAGACATTATGCTGCCAAAAGCAAAATACAATCAGAAATGCATGTTGAGAGCATCGATGCCTCGTTTAGGTTTCACAAGAGGTAATTTGTGAGTGATTGAATCTTGACTGACGAGTTTTAGGTGATATTGTGCCTCTCAAGGTCACAATTGATCATTTTACATCATATGAACGTAAACATGGTGTGACGGTGGACTTGGTTAGAACGGTTGAAATTAGAACAACGCGACACACGATCTTTAAAGAAGCTGTCTTAAAATCAACACCTTACGATATGCATATCACACATCAACAACAAGCCATCACTTGTCAAATCTTGATTCCAACATCTACACCCCCTTCCATTCGCTATAAAGATAAAGTGCTTCGATTTCATTATAAAGTTCGAATTTCAGCGGATTTTGGAAAGAAGGTAGTGTGTACCTTGGATCTGCCTATTGTGATTGGCACTTGGCCTCGCGCAGCTGTGCCTATTGACGATGATGATGAGGATGAGGATGATGAGCAAGAGGATAAGCAGAGTTCATTTCATTTAGACAGTTCCATTATTACAGAAAATGAAGATGATGATGAATCTTACAAGTCATGTTCCCTAGACGACACACGCCACTTGTCTTGGCAAGCTATTTCCGCGCAACCAAAAAACAATAACAGCGAATGGCCAGTGAGCAGATCAGACTCCGTCCATTCCAAGACATCCTCCACTAGTTCTTCTGAGCATTACTATTATCAACACATCAACCATTTATCAAGAAATACGTCACAATGTACGACTGTTTCATCGCCTGATAGACTTCCTTCTTACTACAACAACCTGAATACGAATGGCCATCATCGTTCATCTTCTATTTATTCAACAGAGTATCCTTCCAGTCAAAGACATAGTTATCATCAGCGACTATCGATGGCATCGATGCCTCCTTTGGTCACACAAAACCCGCCACCCCCGCCACAACCATTGAATTACCGATTTCCCATGACAAGGTATGGGGAGGAAGCCCCTTCTGTCCTGCTTGAAACAGATGTCCCTACGCATATTCTTGAACCCATCTCTACTCCACAACACAAAACACTCAATGTATCAGACAGTGATAGTAATAGTAATAGTAATAGTAATAGTAATGGTAGTAGTAATAGTAGCAGTAGTAGTAGTAGTAGTTCTTCTGAAGATTCAGACGAAGACGATTTACTTGCAATCATTGAGCGAAAAAAGAAAAAAGAACAAAAAAAGAAAGCCACACATTCATAATAGAACACACTGTAACATAGTACCATTTAGTAACAATAATAATAATAATAATAATAATAATAATAATAATAATTCTACAGCTTGGCATGTTGATCCAAGTTGACTTCTTGACATACTGCTTTCAAGTCCATCAAGACCTGTTGAATGATTTGAATAAATTCAGCCGTGGATTTTGTGTGGGCTACATGTTTGCATTCAATGCCAAATTTGACTAACTGAGGTGCAGCCATATAATTAATGCCGTAACCATCATGATACACAGTACCAAACCCAGTTCCCATCAAACGAATACCAGCATGAAGACCCGAGGTACTGAGACGCCAATGCTGTGACTCAGCAAACACAGGATCTGTAAAGATAGGATGCATAGGCACTGTCTCTCGTTTGCCATTCACGTACATTTGATGATCTGCATTCAACAGTCGAAGGCTAAATAAATGGCGGTCACAACCATAGCCATCACTGGCTGTTTGTGTGTACAGTCGATGCGTTGTTGTTGCTTTCACCAGAAGTTCGTACCGTTCTTTGTTGGTTGTGTCGGGTACATCAAAGGCCTCCACAAATGCTTTTGTTTCCATACTTAAGGTACGAATCGTTTCTGTTCTTCCTCGCAAGTATCGACGTGTCGCTGCTGTTTCATAAGTGGCTGTCACTTGATGATGTGCACGGTAATAAGCGAGTTGAAGTACCATCTGATAAAAGGCATCAGGAGGTACACGGCCTACTTTCTTGATCCAGTCTGTACCATAGTCTTCAAACACCAATACGTTCGAATCAGATAACTCAGCGACTTGATTGGCCTCTTCTTGTGCTTGTGCTAGATAGGTGTCCAAGACAGCATCACTCCTGAACACCAAATGCTCAAAAGAGCCACCAGGCTCACTTACAGACAAAGGGTAGATGAACCGATGTGAATGTTCACCGGGCGTAGGTTCTTTTAACATGTAATCAAAGATCCAACTGACAACCACCGCATCCACAGGCGAATGCTCGCCTGACATGGCACACATACCGTTGTTTTCTATCAAGAGCGTAATGGACTTGTCAAACCAGCGGTTGTGACCATGGCCTAGTCGTTGGTGCCCACAAAAGGCAGTCTTGGTCCATGCAGGATAGGCGGTGCCGTTCGAATGGTCGTCCAGAGCCACAGCAAACAAGGCGTCTTCGATCGTCTTGAGATGGTCTCGGTGATCAGGATCAAGGGTTAACAGATGATTGCGAGCCACAGCCCATTTATCACGCTGCCATGACGTGAGTAAAGGGATGGGAGGAGAAGGGTTTGATAATGTCTCAACATGATGAATTAAGTTTAAAAGTGATCTACTCCAAACTTTAAACACCGGCGTCATGCTAGCCTCACTTACTTTTCAATCTCGTCCGTGGACAGCAATACCCAAAACCCCTTTTTGAGTTCTTTGTAGACGTCAAGACGATAGACTTGGTCCCTTAAAAGAACAATGATATGGTGTACCTGTTTAGGATCTGCTTGTACAATGGCGTCGCAGTGGTACATAGGGACTCGTGTTACCGAAAAAATACGACTATTCTGCCACATGCATAATGCGGCATCCCCTTTCATCATGTCGATAGGAAGCGCTTCTCTGTGCTGACGATGAGTAACTTGGGTATATATATGTTTTTGAATTACCTATCAATCAATTCCTTGTACTCTAAACCACGTCGAATCATATGAGCAGCTCTTTTAATCTGAAAATGAGAAAACAGACGAGACGGTTGAATACCATGGTTTGAAAGTAATTGTTTGGGATGTGCTTTATCTTTTTGACCAAGAATGTACCAGTTGCTATTGACCATTAAAGGATCGCGCCATTCCAAGTAAGCTAACCAGAAAAAAAAACATGAATGTACAGCGCAAAAAAAAAAAAAAAAAAAAAAAAAAAAAAAATGAGATGGTACCTTTTCTTAGCCAAAAATTGTCTTCTAACCAATTGTTGGGAGAAACACGATCGAGGTCAATCAGACGCTGTTGAAGTGACTGACTTAAATCACTCTGGAGAAAATCATGGACAATGGCTTTTGATTTCTCATGTTCTTCAGGTGTTTGAAGAGGTAAAAGTGATTTTAGATAGAGTGCACATGTTTCTTCTAAGCGAGGTATAGGAAGTCTAGGTAAAGTATGTTGTAGACTAAAAGTAGGAGCTGAAGGAGACATGAAGAAATAAAAAACTCAAGAGAAAACTTTATTTATACACATTTTCTGTGTGTGTGTGTGTGTGTGTGTGTGTGTATGTATGTATGCCATGTGATATTCAGAAAATGTTGTGCATTTCACACGTACATCATAACGGTACATGTATCGAAAAAAGAGAGACTTTTGAGCTATTTTGACAGAAAAAAAAAACGTTGATATTGGATCACACAGTATTGTTAGGATACACCATTTCTCTGAAGTTGAAAACTGCCTAGTTGAACAAGGCCAATCGATTCCTCTCACAAGGAGTCAAAGTGAAGCCTTAGCTGTACTTTTGTCCTGATCCTATTAAACCATGCATATATAGAAAGAAAGAAAAAAACAATTGATTATCAAATCATTTCAATTGACCACTTTATAACAAGAAACAGGTTTTAATTGTTTACGAGTGTGAATCAAAGATAAACCTGTGGAAAAAACAGTGCGGAATAAAATGAAAAAAAAAAAAAAAAATACAGATACTTTAAAATTGATAGCAATTGTACATTCAAAATGTATACATTTAGCATTTTATATTTTTTTCAAGACTGTCCCTTCTCTAGCCACAGTTATATGAACCATCCCATCTCTATCCGGTACTCTACAAAGTTCAATTTGAACATGTTCAACAGGGGTAGTCTTTAAAGGGACGATCCATAAGAAAACCGTAAATTTGACCTTTGGTCACAAGTATAGCGTTTTTTCTTCAATCGTGAATTCATTCCTCACACCTTAATTCTGCTGAAGCAATCCATATATTACCTAAACTTCGTCACCCTCTCTTCTTCATGCACCGTCCCTCTCCACTGCAGTCCTTATCGGTTGCATCCTTTTAGGTATCTGTCGTACTCATTCGCAAATAGTATTCGACAATAGTCCTTTCTTCATTAGTTCTATTCTCTCTCTCTTATCCTTTTTGCTACTGCTGAGTTCTTCGTTAAGAAGGGCACCCCACACTACTCTCTTCCCCCGCTTTCTATATAGGTCCCACCTCTTTCATCTCTCTCTCTCTCTCTCTCTCTCTCTCTCTCTCTCTCTCTCCACTTAATAAACTTGAGCACCTTGCTCCCTAAAAGCAAAAGAATCTCAGTGTGCAATCCATTTCCGGAAATGTTGCATGAAAGCAATAGCATGAGCAATTGAAAGAACGACACGTAGAGTGACTGCCATTGGGCCGAATGAATGAAAGAAAGAAGAATGCTTGACTTGGGCCTTCATTGTCTTTTTCACATGTCCTTTAAAGACAGAACTCATGAGTTTCATGCCATGTGTGAGCGTATGCGCTCTCGCTCACAAACACCTACTTCTTTACTCGAGCGAAGAGCCCTTTTATCTCCTGAAGAAACAACCGTAAAGAAAACAACGCATACTCGCTCCGAGTTTTCTTTGATGGCAGCAGAAATTAGTCGACAGATTACCAATACAGCAGGAAAACTAGAGAAACTGACCAGATGTAAGTGAATGCATTCGAGATGGTCTTCTTATTTATTTTAGTGGCTAAACGAAAGACACTTTTTGACGACAAGCCTGTCGAAATTAGTGTAAGTGCTCCATCACGTTGACTTTTGTTATTCATTCATGTCTTTAGGAATTGACATTTATTATTAAGCAAGATATTGCAAAGTTAAACAAGCAAATTGCTATGCTACAGGACTATACAAAACACCAGAAACAACACTCGAAACAAGCAACCGAGCATACATCCAACGTCGTTGTGGCCTTACAGAGTAAATTAGCAGACACAAGCATGACATTTAAAGATGTATTGGAAATCAGAACAGAGGCAAGTTTCATAGACATTATGGCTTTCGTTGCTTATTCTCTCTATAGAATATGAAAATGTCCAAAGATAAGCGAGATCAATTTTTGTTTACAGCAGCAGAACAATCAGCAGAAGCCCAAATGGGTAAGTTTGATGTTTTTAGTCTCTATGATTTAATGCTTGTTAGCCAATTCACCCTTAATGAAGACACGTCGCCGTGGATTAGATACGCCTTCTGATGTAGCAATACAAGAACAAGAACAAGAACAAGAATCTACATTATCACTTGGTATACCCATGATCACACAACAACAGCAACAACAAATGATGGTAATGGAACAAGATAGATATATTGACCATCGTTCTTCTGCTATTGAAAGTATTGAGAGTACAATAGCTGAATTAGGCAGTATTTTTCAACAATTGGCTACCATGGTAGCAGAACAAAGAGAGACAGTACAAAGGTATAAAAAATATGGGCATAACATTCAATAACTAAAATTTGCTTCTATTTTAGAATTGATCAAAATACAGATGATATTGAAATGAACGTAATGGGAGCTCAAAGAGAACTATTGAAATACTACTCTAGTATTAGTTCTAATCGTTGGCTTATTATCAAAATATTTGTTACTATTGTCTTCTTCTTTCTTGTGTTTACTTTTGTTATGTAACACTAAGAATAAAGTGACTATTTTTATGTCTTAGACTCTTTTTTTTTCTTCTTTTTCTCTCTCTCTCTCTCTTTTTTTTATACCAACCATGTATCATTATAGTTATAATAATGAACAAGAAGACAACAGAAATAAGGCAGCCTATCATAACAGTAGTAATAGTAACAGCAATCATATGTCACTGTTTAGTCAACCACTAAACCATACAACTACTTTGGACGAACTACCAAGTCAGTTTTTAGATAATCAATATGACGCCAACGCTTTATTAAACGACTCTTTATTTGACTTTAATCATCATCAATGGGACTATTTGACTCAACCAACACCACCACCGCTACCACAACAACAACAACAACAACAACAGCAAGAAGCTATCTTATTATCGGACCCTAATTTTTTACGCCAACATCAACTGCTGCAGGACCAGCAAAGAGAAATGCAGATACGACTACAAGATGAAAATACTGGTAAAGAACAAGTCTCCAACTTAACAGCCATGCTAGAACCTAAAAAAGTACCTACAATGCCTCTACCAAAACCACAAAAACGTAATAGCAAACGACAGATAGTAAAATCAGAACCTGCCGATGACACAAAAATTGATCATCAACGACGATTTAATGAACTGCAAGCCCGTTTCAGAGTCAATTATGCGCGTAAACCCAGCACACAAATGACTTCCAAATCAACTCAGAAAACAACCAAGACTCAGCCTGCACCTTCTCCTGTGATTGCACATCGAAAATCACCTTCTCCTGTAAATAGTTGTCATGATGGAAGCAAATCACCCACCATCAAACTAGAACCGATCAAAAGTCCCCTTTTGCCACCTTCAAATGTCAATAATAAACAAGAAGAACCCACGATAGACAAATTATCTTCTTCTTTTCCTTCTCGTACCATGCCTATTCAGATTCAACGCATGTCTCGTCCCAATAGTTCACAGCCATTTGATGCAGAATCACATCAACGTCTGTTGGACAGCCAACTCGATAAAGTCGATTTCGATGATATTACTGTATCTGAACTGAAGGAAATGTTGAGGCAGCGAGGTAAGCCTGCTACAGGTAAAAAGGCAGTGTTGTTACAGCGGTTACAAGAAGAGCGAGAGATTGCCAAGGGAGGCAGAAGTCCAGGTGGCCGTACAAACAACAACCATCGTCATTCTCAGCCACTGCCCTTTTCAAGGCCAAGTCAACCTGTCGATCCACCTTTACGTCCTCGCTCTTTTCAAGGGAGTTCACCTGTCACGATTCAGCAAAGCCATGGTCAAGATACTCTCTTGCCACCTGGCTCTCCTGGTGGTCAACTTCATCGTTCGATTGCCAACATGCATATTGGATCACCGCCTACTACATCCAGACGTTATTCGCCTTATTCACCGCGATTAAGTAGTTCCCCAAAGACTTCAGGTCATGTTTATTCTTCATCGATGCCTTTGTCATCAGGCGATTTGTCATCCTCACCTCATCAGCCTGTCAGAGCACCAGCACCACCACCACCTCCTCCTCCTAAAACGAATCATGGCATGATGCTTTCCTCTTCTTATTCAATTGCAGCTAAGCAACCGACAGCAACACCAGGGCGGTACTATAACAACCCCAAGACATATAAACCATTTACATCTTCTGCACTTGCCACACCTGATAGAGAAGAAGATATCAACCCATTTGATCGTTATTATGCTAGTCAAGATGCAGCTATTGAAGAAGAAGAACAGGCGGACACAAATCCTATGGACTGGACAGATCCTGCTACGCTTGATCTATTATTACAACAAGGTAAACATATATATATATATGCGATATGTAAGCATGGCTAATCATGAATAGGCACGATCAATATGAACGTAGCAGAAATGCTTGGTCAGCCACTTTACAGCGACGATGTTGTCTTGACAAATGAGCAAATCATGGCTCTTTTGAATAGCCAGCAACAAGCACCTCCTTTTGAGTTCAAAATAGAAGATAACAGTAACTTTAACACTTATTATCAACAGCATGATTAAATTACCAATAAACTTCCTTCGGACTTTATTAGTAAGCAAGTCAATGTTTGATTATTGACACGTCATTAGTAATACAAGGATTACAAATTTTTTCTTCTTTGTTCAGTATAAATAATACGCGGTTGATTATTCTTTTTCGCTTTTTTTTTCTTTTTCATCATATTAAACATGTCTTTCCAAGAACCCAAGTCCCTTTCTGAATTCCAAGAATTAATCAACCAAGATAAGCTTGTTGTTGTTGATTTCCATGCTACCTGGTGTGGTCCTTGTAAGTTGATTGCTCCCAAGTTGAAGAACTTTGCTGAAGCCTACACCAACGTTGTCTTTGCCAAGGTTGATGTTGATGAAGTTCCCGTAAGTAGAGTAAAGAGAAGAGAGGGTAGCTGTATTAATTTATTTAGGATGTTGCTGGTGAATACCAAGTTCGTGCTATGCCTACTATCATGTACTTCAAGAACGGTCAAAAGCTCGGTGAAGTTGTTGGTGCCAATATCAAGAACATTGAAGATAAGCTCAAGGAATTTGCTGCTTAAGTGTATAAAATCTATATCCATTCGATAAATAAAAAGAAACTGTATATGACATGGCTTTTAAACGGCATTGATAAAATACGCGCTTTATTTAAAATGAAATGAATTTGTATATGTATAAAATGATTTTATGAACAGAAAATAATTATTGTCGCCATCCTGCATTTAATTGCATCAAGGTAAGAACAGCATCCATTGGATATTCGGGCTTCTTTCCTTCTTTTGTTTCCTCTTCTTTCGTTTCTTTATCGCCTTCTTCTTTGGGGGTTTCATCCACATGAGTACTGGGGCCGCCTTCTTCTTTGATTTCTGGCATGTCATTACTTGTGTTTGTTGTGGCTGAGTATTGCATGGGCGAATTATGTCCACTACTACTGGCAGCACTTGTTGTGTTTGTCGATAAGCCTTGTGCAATCACTTGTTGAAGTGCTTCATTGGTCACTGCGTTGTCTGGAAATTGGCTTGTTGGGTTTATTTGTGTTTCATTGTTCGTTTCATTTGTGTTGTTGTCTGTGGAACTTTCACCAGGCTGTGCTGCAGCTTGTTGGATACCGTTCGTAAGAGCCTACGCATAAATTGAGTATATACTTAGTTTATAATGTGTATGTCTTTACCAGCATGCTATTATTTAATTGTTCTAGCAATTGACGCTGTAAGTCTGTTGGGAAATCCAGTAATTTGGCTGCTGTGGCTGTGTCAATCTGAGGTAAAGGTGTGTAGTAATTAGGAATTTGACCAATGCCAGACATTTGGACATTGTCACCATTATTATCCGCAGCATGAGCTCGATTGTTTGCTTCAGCGTCACCTGAAGGTGTGGTAGTACTAGGAACACTCAAGACATTATTGACAAGATGCTTTCTACGTTCTTTTTCCATACGCTTTTGACGACGTTTTTCAAATTCTTCATTGATCCATTTCTGTTTTGCAGGCGAGTCACTAGGACCATATAGTTTTGTGGCTCTTTTGTTCACTCTGCATCTTAAATCATTGTCTTTGTCTTGAAAAGGATGAGTATAACTATACATAAACATTTTGAGACTTACTTCGTTCTTCATTATGAATACGCCATTTCTTTTTTCTTTCCCTGTTAGAAGCACGTATACTCTCTTTCTTTGCGATATCGATATCGGGAACATGACGTTGTTGTTGCTGGTGTTGGTCAAGACCTGTGTGGTCTAGAGCAGACTCGATTTGTTGAGGATGGGGGTGGATAGCTACATTATTGGCCTGAGCAGCAGCAACTGCGGCCGATAAGAAACTACTAGGCAGTGTGGCCGAGTTACTATTGACAGCAGCCAAAACAGCCTCGTGAAGCTGTTGAAATGGTTGGAAAGTGGAGGTGGGACTACTACTAGTCACAGTATTGTCTGTTGAAGCAGCAACGGTGGCAGTCTCATTGTTGGAAGTCACAGAGGGTGGTTCTTCACTTTTAATATGCGTGTTTTCCATTCTATTTCCCTTTTGCTTTTTTAATATTTTCTCCGTTATTGATAGAAAATAAGAGAACAAACTTGTTGGTCTGAAAACGTTGTTTTTTATGTGTGTGTGTGTACTTTATCAATACAAGGCGTGGGCCCTTTAAGCTGTATCCTAAAGAAAAAAAAGGAAAAAAATTAACAAGTGCTGCCCTCGTTTTTGATTCCAACGCCCAAAAAAAAACTTGTCCAATGATAGGTAGAGCGCTTGTGACGTCGATATCGGAAATAGCACATCCTTAGATTACCCCCATTAAGTGACGTCGACTAAGCTTGTGCCTTTTTTTAGTGAATTTCTAAAATAGTTAACTAAAGTGCATTTGTATTTTGATCTCTTCCTTTTAGTTCTCGATTGCATGAGTTACAGTGGTCATAGGCAAAGATAAGTACCTCTTCACAATAATACTATTGGACATTTTTTTTCTTAATAAAATTAAATGATCTTTGAAATTAAAAACTCTGAAGCTGTTTTTGGTGTCAAATTGAACTATCTATCTTATATAACAAAAAAAAAAAGTATACTTACCCACTATAAACGAAACATGTTAAAAAAATCCCCATCATAAATTCAAGTTCACCTACTTGTATGTAACTGACTCGCTTGTTTGACACTATTGATTTTCCTCAAAAGCAGGAGCAGTACACAGTGGATAATTAAAATTATCATTATATTGGTTACCACCACAAAGTGCATTCTTTAAAACAGAATCGATATGTCTATTGTTGTAAGCTTGAGAAGCATCTATAGAGAAAAGGAAATAAGCTAAACACATTCATCGTATGTTCCATTCTACCCAAAGCAACACACCACCAAAGCTAGGGAAGCGTTCACACATTTTCTCTGCAATTTTGACATCTGGGTTAGGGGAGACTGTGTGGGCCCAGATATTCCAAGTACCAAAGTTTTGAAGCCCACAAGGTCTATCGTCTAACTAATAAGTACAATGCTTTTTGGTATGATATGGCTTACAGAATTGAACATAGACAGCACCAAAGGGATAAGTGTTGAGGGTGCTTTGCAAAAGAGGATCAGGGTATGTGCAGTGAGGAGCAGCAATAACACAGTACTTTCTCTCATCATCCTCGACAAAAAGGTCCAATGCTTCGAGAAAATTGGCATAGTCTAGAGGAAAAAAAAAACGGGTCAATGCTTTTGGCTAGTTGTTTGACAACTTACAAGAAGTTCTACTCTCTTGAATATGAAGATTGACACTATTTTTATGAAAATGCATCAATACATGTACATTGGCAACACTTTTTCTTTCTCCCTACCCGTCCAAAACGGCGTCATCAAAAGGACGAATACCCGAATCACCACCCAAAAAGAGACTCCATACTGTTTCAACAAATTTAATCGTCTGAGATTTTGTTTCAAAACTGGTATCACCTCTAAGTCCACCTAAAGATAAAGTAACCAACTTGCCTTGCTTTGGCAATACTTGATATCAGAAGCAACCTTTCGACAGTCGGCCAATGCAGTACCAGAGAATGCACTATCAGTCTCGACACTACAGGACTCATATGTCTAATGTTAAACTTAATCTCGGTTTTGGTTATACTTTACATTGGCAAGATCAATTTGTGGTTTACCGCTTACACCGAAGGAAGTTGTCAAGAAAGCAACAGGAAGTACATCTACGGTATCATCTTCACAATAGTATCAAAGAGGCTGTTGCCATCCAGAAGAATCTTCTCAATTAGTAGCACCGTAAGAGTTTTGACCTCAATCTAAAAGAGTAATGGTGAGCGTCTTATATAAAAAAAGGTTAAATAGGCAATATTGTCATGAGCAGAGTAGTACTAATGGCGGATTTGGCAGCCCGCTACCATTTCTACCTTTCAGTTTTCCTTTTTTAACTTTTTTATGTTTGAGCATACGTAAAAGAACATATTGATGCAAGTTTTGAAAAAGTGAGAAATTTGTCATTTTGGCCTTATGATCCCCTTTACAGATCTTCATTTTTCACTATTTTGTGATTCGTGCGCGATAGAGACATTGTTGATATGATATATCTTAGTAATAACTGTTCCTCTGAGTCTAAAGAACATACTCAAAACCTTAGATCTGTAAGAATACTACAAAAAATGTTTGCTATAGCTCAAAAACAAAAAACATGTTTTTTAAACATAGCTCTCAACTTTAATAGCAGACATCCCATGCTCTTTATGTTTTTAGATACGTCGCTTAAATATCTACCAACTTTGTTAGTACGCTATTCTGATATCTCTGCGTTTTTGGATGCTTTTCGTCCATTGTTTCTTTTGAATCTCAATTTTTTTTATGTATTGGATGAAAGTTTTATTTTGAATGCATTCAATACGATTGTATGAGCCTTATATAATCCCGATAAATAGCCACCATCTGGGCTACCCCTTAATATGTCCTAAAAAGGATATGTCAAGTGTTTCGTTCGTAGTTTCTGAGAGTCAGTATTCTTTATATCTTGTCTTGTTCAATGCTACAGATGGCAATACCTATACCACAAGTAAAGGACACCATTCCACAATGTCTTCAATTACTTGGTACTTGACACAATTGCTGATATATAAGAGATACAGTCTTTCACAAGGGATTATAGCAAAATCCGGAGCACCACCAAGAGTGATCAGACCATTGCTTTATAATTTCTGACATTAAAATATCAATTTATACTCCACAACAGCCTGCCTATTCCAAGCTTCAAAGCATACCACCTACAAAAAAAACTAGTAATGCAATAAAAACTATCTTAAGCCGAAATGTTATCTCAGACATGTTTTTACGTAAATTACTCAAAAAGCGCGATTGCTGATTCAATTGATAGAAAACTTTCGACAAACCACTACATTTGTAAGATCCGATTTGGTTTAGACAATTTATTGTATACGATATTCTTTTGTTTTTAGAGTAGTTGCAAAACATGTTTTCGCTTTATAGCCTAGTTTTATATTTGCAGGACTTTTTCTTTAAAAAAGAAGAGCGCAATCTACTATATTCAGACATAGAGACTCATTTCTAATAGTATTACATATCTCTCAGGTATGCGTCTACATTCACATGCAATTAAAGTATAACTCAATTTGACAGTTACAGACTAACTATTTGGTCGTTTGACTTGCTCTTCATAAGATTTAGTAGTCATTCGCTTTTATAATTGCAGTTGTAATAATGGTTCTATATAACAGACGTCTACTTGAATGATATTTTTTAACTATAGGTTTCATTACTGTTTTTGTTAAAGTTTCTTTAATTATATTTTGTAAAGAATGTATTTTTAGATAGGTATGTATTACACAGAAAAGTGCATATCCAATCATGAAATCGCTTTAATTAAAAAGGTAAGAACAAATTTGTGTATTTTTAGGCATTTATTTTGAATTTGCCAGAATTCAACTGACATTGGACATCATGTTGATTGACGAGTACCCTATACGATCATGAGCAATTCGTAAATTATTTGTGGCTAAATCTTACCTAAACCAAAAAGTGTTTGGTAAGCTCTTGCTATCGATTTTGGTCAAGTCATGTTGAACTGCCGATACTCTTAGTAATTTGTCTGAACCTGTCCAGACTTCTTCCTCAATATCGCCTTGGTCTTCCGCATGTACCAAAGAGACCTTCAAAAGGGACGATTCAGTACTTCCAGTGTTACCTATAAACAAAACAAAACAAAACAAAGCGTTAGATAATAAATACTTGAATCATTTTCCCCTTCTTTGTTGTTAATTGCAATAATATATAGTACTACTCCATCCAATTTATATAGATCTTACCAAGAAGCAAGTAAGTGGAAGATCCGTCTTGAGAACGTTCAATAATAGAGTCCGTTTTGGGATACAAAATCTCTACACCTATATAAAGGATTAAATCCTCTGTTGTTATGTTTATTTCGCGCTTAAATTACACCTTCACACTGTTGTTCTTGTGCACTTATGACAGAAAAGAAGAAAAAGGAGGTGATCGATATTATATTGGCAAATTTCATATGAAGAACAAATAGCAAGCTGAAGCGATTGTGCTTATAGAAATAAAAATAGAAAGAAAGAAAGGATTCAAGAAAAGAAAGAGCAAGCACAGTGCTTATTGGCGGTTTTGTAAATCAAATTGCTTGTGTTACAGCTTATTTTACTGCCGTACATCAGAATTCAGCAACGCTTTTGATGTACTGACTAACACCTTTATATTTGAATTCAAATTTTTTTATGATATGTTGTTTTTTTCCTGAAATAATCCGTTTGGAAAACGCTTTTGATTCGGTTTTCTAAAGAGAAAGAAATGAACAAACCTTTCTTGCCAAGTTTGCGTCGTTTGTGCCTGACGACATTATGCACCAACTAGAACTATTCCTGATATTTGGATAGGGATGGCTGTCTACTCTATCCTTGGCTTGACATGAAACTTCGTTTTTATTACGTATTAGTATTAGCAACTACCAGTATCCAAGTAATATTATTCTGAACAAATTTAGTGCGCATTGATGACACTGTTTCTAGGGTGCAGTAGCTTCTTTTTGCTTTATTTTGATATCCTATGCTTATATGATATCAAACCTCTTTCATGTTTTGTTAGGGGATGCTATGTCTTGATCGTCTAATATGCTATTGATTAAAAAAAGGTTTCCTGAATGTTTTCAAACCAAAGCAATCAAAATAATATAGCGAATAGGCCTCTTCATTGATTCATGCTGCATAACAGTCTTTACTCAATCAAAGAAAAAGGGTATTCTAGGCATATCTGGTTATCACCAAAAAGCTATCTAATCTTCCACAATACTTGTCTTTAGAATAAGGGAGAGGACTTATGTTTCTATATTTACAAAAAGAAAACAAAGAAATTGTTTAATTTGACTACATTATCATGCGCTCTTTGTTCATCTAAGTGTATCAGGGTCACAGTGAGCTTTTCTCGATAAGCCGTGCAACAATCAATCTGTAAGTTTTATTTGGTGTAACTATCTAATCGGGTTTGAAAACTTGGCCTGCCGTCTACTATGGTTCCGTTCCCTCCTCATAACTATAAATAAAAATATAAGTCGAGATAATTTCTCTCTTTTTCTTTTTTTCTTCTGTTTTTCCTTTGCCTTATTAAAATGAAATTTTCCATTGCAGCTGCCTCTCTCTGTGCTCTTACTTTCTTATCCTCTGCTGTGAAAGCTGATAGTTATTCAGACGCTATCAAAGAATTCTGTGATGGTAAATCATTCAATTAAAAACACACTGTATGCTAATGTCTTTCAGGTCTCGACGTCACTGCTCCCACTGCTTCAGATGTATTTGTTGCTGGCCAAAACGCCACTGTTACTGTCAGTAAGTATCAAAGGAGACGAAAACGAGCCAAGAACATAATTAATTAACTATTTTTAGCTCGTGTTGCTAATAGTCACGAAAAGCAAATCACTGGTCTTGATGTAAGAATTCATGAACAAAGAAATTGTTGAATTGAACTAACTGATTCACTATAGTTGTATTCGGTTGATAGTTCTGGTAACCCCAAGTATGTCCAAAATGTTTGGGCCGGTTCCTATTCCTTGGGCACTTCTGCTTCCCTTTCTGATCAAGTTCCTTCTAACTCTACTGCTGGTCTTTACTATTATCGGTAATTAATTAAAACAAAAATCAGAGAACTGTCATTAACATTTTCTCCTTTTTTAGTGTCTGGGTCACTAACATCATTAACGGTGGCCATGGTCCTGATTGCCTCAAGACCTCAAAGACTTTCAAGGTCACCACTGGTTCTCATACCAACGCTGCTGGTTTTACATACTATGAACAATCATTAGATGACAGCGACTACTATCATCCTGAATTCGCCAAGGGTTGCTTTGGTTTGAAGGTTCAAAACCCTGCAGAAGGTTCAACTCAAACACAAGGAAGCCATGTTGCTGTCATGTTGAGTCGTGATAGTGCTTCTCAAACCAATACTTTGAAACGTCTTGAACTTATCAAGTCTTCCAATGGTCAAGAAGAATCAGTCGAAACTGTTTGGGAAGGTGACGAACTTTTGACAGATGCTTTCACTATCAAGGATCACTTGAACATTCCTAGTGACAAGTTCGACTCTAGTGCTTCTTACTACTATAAGGCTGATGTGACCAGTGACAGTGGTGAAACTTGTAGCTTCCAATCTGGTGCTTTCAAGGTCGCTTCTGCCTAATAATAGCTTTTTAATACCGTTTCATCCATCAGCTATAATACACAAATTCAATATTATACACATTCTATTACATATATAACTGTTTTTATACATTCGTTCATAAAAAAAAATAAGTGGTTCTTTTTTTTTAATTAATTTTAACAAGTGATTTCAGCAAGACTTGCCAAAATGTATGTAGAGGTACTTTCAGTGCCATCAGAAGGAAGATCAAAGAATAATTGTCTAGCTAAATCAGTATGTGTTTCAAAGCAATCACCATTTTGGAACAATTCGCCACCTCGTTCAATACAAGACTTGTTCAGATTAATCCACTTGTCCCAAAACTTTTTAGCTGAATTGTTGACAATAAGAGGAAGATCCAACCATTCCATGTTTGATTTGTGCTGCTTGTAAAGAATAGACAGGATCTCGACAGCAATTTGTCGTTCGACAGGATCAGTGAACCAACCCAAGAAAGATTCTACAGCCAAAGCAAAGTTAAATTCTTCGGGTGTCTTTTCCAACACAATTGGATCACGAGGCAAATTATAGTTTCTAATGATCAAACCCTTGGAATTATCCAGAATAGACCAAACTTGAGGGAAGAATTGAGAAGATGGTACACGATTGAGCGCACCGTCGTTCTTGCGTCGACGCAACCAGCGACCATTGGAATTTGGGAAAAAGTTGCTTATGTTGTCCTTAGTAATCGTGTCTTGAGAACTGTCGTGCTTGCTTTCCAATTCAATGACTTTTTCAATCAATTGAGTAGGACCGTCGTTGGATGATAAATGAGCCTCTGAAACGCTCTCAACGTCCCCCTTTTCTCCAATAAACACATAGGAATCACGGTATTGAATGTCTCTAATTTTAGTACTTCCCAAGCTCTCTAATGCAAAAATAGCTTCTTCTGTCAAATTTTCAACAAATTCATCTTTGGATGCAATCACGACGATCATTCCTTCTGCTAACCAATCCAGGAATTTAGCAAACTCTTTGCTCTCTTCTTTGGAGATGTGAGTGTCAAAAGAGGCACGTTCCAGAATGATATTCTCGTTGCGGTCAATAGCCCAGACATGAATACCTCGAGAATTGGCTTCCATAACAGAACCATTAATTTCAACCTTGGCAAAATTACCAGAAAAGTAACCACCGGATTGAGCTTTAATTGTGATGGATCTATTATTGGTGTCTGATACTAATGGGATATAGCTATTATCGTCATCACCATCGTTTTGTTGTTGTTGTTGTGTGTTGGGAACCATCAAGAATCCTCCAGGACGATCTCGTACTACTAAATCATTAGCATGGCAGAGACGGGGACCTGAAAGAACAGTAAACAAGAGAGACTTGAGCTCATAAGGAGAAAGTTGAAACAAGTATTCAACGGATTCTTCTTCATCACTGTTGTTGACACGACTAATTTCTTCTCGCAAGGCAATAATGATGTAATGCGTTCTAAGACGAAGAATACCTTCAAACATTTCAGGTCGTGTTCTTATGAAATGGCCCAGGTAGATAATAATTTCTTGAACAACAGGACCTTCACGCACATCATCGATGCTTTTTTTTTGTGATGATTAGTACATTATGTTTGCTTGTAACTCATGTACTTACCAGTGCTCGCGAATCATCTTGTTTAAGGTATCTGGTGCAACAGGCATTGAAATCAAATACTCTTGAGGACCTGACCCAATACTCACTTGTTTTTGACGAATAACAAGATCTGTAATATTGATAGTCAAAGAAGGTACGTTCTTGTGTAACAAACCAGCTGCTTGTCTAGCAATTGACCAGTATTTGGAACGCATTGACTTGATATATACTTCTTCAAGCAAGTCTGAGATAGTGGAATCAAGAGCATCAATGCAATAACTAATAGGTCTACAAGAAGCCAGGTATTGCAATAAATCTAAAAAACTGAAATTAGACTCCTATTTCTTTAGAATGACAACGACTAACCAATTTGGTCATATAAATTGACGGAAGCACCAAGACTTTCAACAGCTTGTTCGAATTGAGAAGAATCGCCAAGGGTCAATGAAAGCATTTCAGAAGGAGATTCAGTTTGATCCTTTTGCTCTTTAGGCACTGCACCAGTTTTGTTTGTGGTTTCTGATGGTTCAAAAGTCAAGGAGGTAGGAGACTCAGATGCCTGCGTCGTCTTAATCTCTTCATGATCCTTCAATTTGAATTCTGGTTCAGAGTTAGCCTTCAAGCTGTTAAGAGCACTTGTCAATTCATCAAAGTAGCTTTTATCCTGCAAACTATCAAGAGGGGATGCCAATGACTTTCCATAGAATGTCGTGTTTTTGCGCTTAGGTGTTCTTCCTCCACTCAAGCTACCTTGACCTTTAGGTGTACGATGCCCCGGTGTACTAGCTTGCGTTTTGCGCTCATTGAATCCAAGTTTCTTTCTAGAAGCATTTCTTGAAGCACTTGCAACTCTGATAATACGCTTCCAGTTGACTTCAGGCTTATTGATCAAAAAGTCCAAAGATTGAATACTGCTTGTGTTAAGTGTCTCGGCCAATCGACAGAGTTTAACGCGCACATTACCCTGGCAAGCAATGCCGTTTCTTAAACTGGTAAAGAAATTGAGCAAATTCTTTTTAGATGGGTCTGAATTGGAAAGTAAATGCTTTTGCTTCTTGGTGCCAAGCAGAGCGTGTGATAACAAGACAACCACGGTAGGACGACCTGGATAGTACCAGTTGTTGTTCGTAAAGGTGAGTTCGCTTTCGAATTCGGACACTAAATAATCTGGATCGGCATTAATATAGAACTCGTTATTGTCCATGAAATGAGGTGTAAATGCATAAGTTTGACCTTGAATTTTGTAGAGGCGTGAAGTACCTAAAACACCGATGGGTCTGTGTAGATGCGTTAAGTTTCAACTATACTCTCTTTGTATGAAATGTTACCTTTTAGGTCGACCACTCATTTCCAACTTGGTGTTCAAGCCCAATCCACTATAGACATCAACTAAAGCATGAGCAGGTAAAACAGTGGTAGTAGATGAAATTTGCTCCAACGTTTGTGTCTCAAGGCCATAAGCTGATAAAGAAGTTTGGAGTTCTTGATCTTCTGACAAAAGCACGATTTGTATCAAAGAGTCTTTTTGTATCTTAGAGCTGTTAAAGCGACGTCCCAGAGGATCCATCTCAGAAGGACTTAACAAACCTTCAGAGATCAAATCGCCCAAGAAGTATAATGAATTAGCCCATACCAATGGCACATTCTCGTTTGGTACGCGCTTCTGAGAATGAGGATCTTTTCTTTCAGCTTCCACAGATTCCGCGGGTACATAATAAAGTTCTGGTAAAAGAGGAACATTAACCTGTTCGTCATCGTCTTCTTGTTCATCTTGATCGAACTGGTCCTTAATATTGTTGATGGTGATGGAAGAACGACGATCTGATGAAATAGAACCAGTGCTTGTGGTAGGTCGAGGTGATACTGCAATTTCGCTGAGTTGATCTTGGTTGACTGAATTTATAATTAATGGTTGCAACTTTCTTCTGTATTCGTCAGCCTGTTCAAAATCGCCTGTAAATAAACCTTCCAAGACCATATAGGTAAAGAACAATGGCCATTCTGACTCAATATTCTCAAACACTTTGAGCTCATTCTCGTTGTAGTGTAAACGGCTTGTATCCTCTACTACAGTTTGATGACCATCTCTCAAAAACCGCTTCATCCCGTATTTTCCCTCTAATTTCTTAATCACTTCATTCCGGGTGCGCTGAATTAATTCTTGATCTTCCACTGCAAATGCTGGGAACCCGATCACTGACAATACTGAAGCGTCAATTTCCTTTGAATTAGATTCACGAGGCAAGAAGCTGTGCAATGTCGTAGCATTACGGGTAAGTTCGTCAGGTAAGACATGGATTATCTATTTCGATTAGACTACAGATGTGTGTAACTAGACTTACGGATGAAGGACCACCACGAGCACCAAACAGATTGACGCCGTTGATAGCACGAAGAGCAGCGACAGCCATACCGATTGATGAAGAGTTGAGTTCCGGTTGACCATGGTTGATCTTGTTTCCTCTTTCCCAAATACCATAATCAGGAGTACGATAAGCACCTATTGCCAAGGAGAGAATGCCAGCTGAGTCACACATCACTTTTCCACTACGACTTACGTTCTATATAAAACACCAAATTTTGAACAAAATCTACTTCATCTTGGCAATAAATAATGTTAAATCCACTCGATGTCATATCAGCCAGTGCTAATAAAAAGAAACTAGTGGCATCGATCTACATAAAAAGAGGGATAAGACAACATAGTCCATGCACATACAATGTTACCTGTAAATGACCCCATTCAAAATCACCCACTACAGTATCGCCTGTTTGTGTATTGTACTTGGCGTGAAGCGAATGTTCTAGTGCCTGTGTCTGCTTAAACATTTCCACTTTGTGTGACTGACGCATCATCGAAAATAGCAGCCCCCGCATGAGTTTGATAACGGAATATTGAAGCTCAACTGAACAAGTTAAAATGGTTATACGATTGATTAAAATGAAACATAACCCATTAATACTTACATGCTCTTCCAGTGTTATCGTCCAATCTTCTGTAAGCAAGAGCAAGACCATAGACTGCGTAAATAGAGTATACATTGTCTCTGTTCTATGTAAGCATATATTGTAGCATTTTATGGACAAATTACCTAACCCAAGCATCTGTGTAATTACCATGGCTCTAAAATAAATGTGTGTAAGCTACTACAGAATATTGAAATACAAACATACAGTGATGGCTGTAGAAGCAGGCATTAACCCACTTGCAGCATTTTGCTTTGATAGAATGGTTTTGTTTATAACATCATAATAATAATTTAGTCTGTCCAAGACATGTTTTCTTTGAGATATTGTCATTTGAAATACAAGGAAAAAAAGGGAAGAAAAGAGAAAAAAGAGAGGAACAAGTTAAATACCCTTTCTAGACCAATTAAATTTCAGTTGCTTTCGTTTCAATAAATTGTTTAGGTATGTCTACCAAAACAACTTACTCGTTCCTAGTTAAACGTATTGTCTTATCTTAAGAGAAATACATGTTTTACCAAGGAATAGATCCAAATACTGTAGATGGCTAAAAAAGTAAACACAATGGAAAAATCAAAATGACATGTATCATATGATAATCATATTATTATTATTACTATTGAGGAGAAAGAATTAATGCTATCTCATCTTGGCTGATACTTTTGGGAGAAGCGCATCTGGTATAAGTACTTGAGAGCACTTCTTGAAGCATTGTTGTAGCCCATCTAACGATATATTAATACAATGTTCTTATTACTGAGTCTGCTTACTTTTCATCCCCAGCATATGGCCAGACCACACGTTTCACAAACTCGATATCCACCTGGATTTGTTGATAAGCATTTGTGTTCATATGTGCTTCCCTTGTCACTTCCAGAAATGCTTTGAGAATGATTAACACTAAGCCTACACAAATTCCAATTGGATTGGGTTCTACTTTTTTATAGATATCAACACGCTCAGCAAACAGCTTGTCAATATTGTTCATCATATTAAAGGATATATCATTTGGACTAAATTGTTGCTTAGTAGGTGTCTCAGATATAGAAGAAGCGGTTGCCAAACTATTGGTAGATTGTAATACATGATGTGATGAATAAGGACCATTATAATCAAATTCTGGCTCTATGGAAGTATCAACAGATCCTCTTGCCTGTGGTTGATACTGAGGATAGACGACTTCCGCTAATCTTTCAGTGTACTTTAAGCGATTGTAAGCAAGATACCAAACTTCTGATACTTGATGTACTGGCTTGGTAAAAGTAGATTCTAAATAAGCCTCTTGTATTCTTGCTGATAGGTAATATCCTTCTTGCATCATGTGTGAGTTCAATAGCTTTTGGCCTATCTTTAACAAACATTCAATAGAGTTGTTTAGGTCAGGAATCACCTGAGGATCAACAGAGTCATCTAAATCGGGAGAGCGATAAGCACTCTTTTTTGTTGTTTGTAAAAATTAGAAGAAAAGACACCATAGATTTGAAAGATGCCGCTATCGGCCAAGTCATAGCACAAACGAGAAGCTACTAACTCAAGTATTTGAAGAGATGATTTGTCAAGTTTTAGCAATGCCTTGATGTTCTTTAAAAACATATTCATTAGTTATTTGCAGTGGTTTGTTTGTTTGCTTTTGATACCTCGAACTGATCTGCTAATTTCTTCCAAACACTTTTGATTCCGGATTGAATCCTATTCAATGTTTGTTTGTTGTTGATATCAAGGCATCCTTTAAGAGGTAACAGGCATGACTTGCTTAAATAGTCCACTAGCCATACTTGTGTAGTTTGAATAAACTCTGTAATGGCATTCGCATTAAATTCACAAGAATAGTTTTCTGATAGAGAAGACTTTTGCAAGGTCTTTGCAAAAGTGCTTGTGCGATCTAAATAACATAAATAAATATATCAATGATATTACATGTTACCTCTTAATCCGGCCAAGCTTGAATCAAAAATGCCACTAATAAGATTATTTTCCCATTGAGCAATGAGTGAGTCTATACGACTATCTAGTCTAGCTACAGTCGTCAATGATGGTGTGGTATTTCCAACAGTTGATTTGAGCTCTGAAAGATAGACTGATTGTTCCAATGGTTTATCTAATGATATGTGCAACTTATAATGTTATGAGAAATGGAATAAGAAAATCCAACACTTACTGGCAATTCAATAAATTCAGCTAGTAATCCAAAGAACTTGTCTAGATAAGGATTGATTGCGGATAACAAGTCTTCTTTGGCTTGGTCTTTATTTTCATATTCCATATCCACGTTAGATTCATCTTCTGTAAGAAACAGGTTCTCGAAATGGTGTACAATGTCTTCTAAAGGTACAATGTAGGCAGAAATCAATTCTGGAATCGTAGTTAGTTGTGAATGCTCGTCTTGTTTCTTGCTAAATGTTGCTAATTGACTGACACAGTATGAATATAAGTTCTCCGCGATTGTTAGTTCTTACATGTCAATGTATTTTTTTCGTAGTTTTTGAGTGTCCTCGCCTAATAGAACGAGAAGTTTTGTTTCCTCTGCCACATTCTGAGGTGTAGCGTTTGGATCTGTCAAATTGATCCAGATCTCTGCCTTCACTTTTTCCATGATTTGCATACAGTCTCTCTCTATACCTTTGAATGCTGCCATATGTTGATAATGATTCAATAATCTGCTTGCTTTTGAATAATATTTGACAGCCTGGCTATATTTCCCCTTATTCAGGCAATGCTGTAATCGATTGGGTAAGTCAAACACAAACTGAAGTCGTTTAAGCGAATTATGCACGTTTGAAAGTTGTTGAATCTTTTGTCTGTTTGGTCCTAGTTCTTGATTGATTGTCTTGGACTGGTTTGAAATTTGTGCGATATTCTCATTTAAGCGGGCCATTTCTGATTCCATACTTTCGACGTTAGACTTCATCTAAACAAAAGTTAGTAAGGAAACCTTTTTTTTTTCTCTCTAGTCAACGTACTTTTCGAATAGTATCTGTTGCACTGATAAACTTGCTATAGTTTTCATACACTAAAGTCTTCATGTCGCCATCAATTTCTCGTATCTCTTTAATCATGTCGAGATCAGCTTACACACATATGCATATTGTTACTTTATTACCTCCAACAAGTTGGTTGTTTTTTTCTACAAGCTCTTTAAGGCTCTTTTCTTTGAGGAGTGAAGCGAAATATTTGCTCGAGTTAAAGCTGTTGCCATCTGACACAATATTCGAGTTACTTTATAGGTCGTTGTCTAATATCTCTTTACCTATATCAAAGGGCCTTGCATTATCCTGAGACTGAGAACTAGAGTCAACAACTTTATCTTTAATCCCATAATATTTTTTTAAGATACTGTTTCTTTCTCTAGGTTGACGCCTGATTGGTGTTAGCGTGTCTTCCATTGTTTTAAATAGGGGAAAAAGAAGATTAATTCAAATGTGTCACAAGCATTAATGTACTGGTGAAAACAAAAGACATATAGCGGCTTCACCTTCCCTCCTGCTCTTCCAAGCTTGTTTTCTAACTTGAAAAATTCACTTTTTTTTTACACAGCTTAAAGTGTGCTATTAGCTATTAGGTAATCGTCTGTCTCATGCTTAATATTAGAGCAAGAAATCTGAGGGTCAATAAATTTTCTTTTTCTTTTTCTTTTCACCACCAGCATGCAAGTGTTCAGAAATGCTGTCTTTTCCAAAACTATAAACGGAAGCCCTTTTCTCTCTAGTGTTAGACATGCACGCTTCCTCTCCAGTAGTCCCGTACGATGGGAACAAGAAAAAAAGAACAAAATTGAAGGCTTCCGTAAGAAAGATTAGAGAAACACGAAATAATTGACTCACTTGTACTGATAGCCTGGTTATTGAATAAGGATAAACCTCGAATTACCGAGTATCCCTATGAAAGAGCACCTTCTGACTGGAGTTTCTTAAATTTATTACCTAATGGGCTTCAGCGTGCTTTAGGAAAATGGTTGGGCACACGCGTATTACAGTTAAATACAGGCCACGATAACTTTCCAGACCAATTTCTTGTAGGAGGTAAGCTTGATTGTATATATGGTCAAATTTTCTGACAAGTCAAAAAAAAATAAGCTAGCTTAGCTACCCGCAAAGCACTTTCATTACTGTCTCAACAATTGAACCATCCTGAAAACAAACATGAAGAACTACAGCATATTTTGGGACCAGATCTTTTGGATCGCTTTTTAAAGGCAGCACCTTCAGATGCAAACATTAATATAGATATACCTCAAATATACGATGTTAATTTGGGTGACATTTGGATCACTTTGGGCAACCCAGCTGCATTTTCAGATGAACGCAAATACGAAGTCTTGAGATGGATGACAGTTCAAGTTGGATTACACAAAGCAGCCGTCAATGAAAACGAGGAGTCCTTTCAAGAATACCGAGAGCGTGTCTCGAAAAGCATTTTAGAGGGTGTACAAGTTGGTGTTGATGTCTTGATTGATGCAGATATTACATACAAAGTGAGTGATAAAGACACTGATGAAATTACCTTGTATGATGAAGGCAGACGTACTCTTCAAGTGAGATTCGCCACACCTTATTTTTCACCTGCTAACAAAATGGTTTCCGGAAGAGATCCAGAAACACAAGAACCTATCAATGACTGGAATTGGCGTTTAGTGGACATAGATCAACTCATAGAAAAAGAATCAATGGATTCGGCAGGAATTTATGAATAAAAAGGAAATTTTAGTTCTATAATATGCAGTTTATTGAATGAAATGGTTTATTTGTTTCCATTTAGAAGTACAAGATGTTGCTTATTTAGTTCTTGATACCGACACAGTAGGCCTTACCGTCATCGAGGTTGTCACAGACGTGCTTACCAGAGCTGTGGAGACCAGCATTCCAAGAGTAGAGTTGAGCGGAGGTGATGCCGTTTCTCTTAGCGAAGGGTTCACACCATGAGTCGCTGGACTTAACAGTGGAGTACTTGTTACAGGTGGAGATGATGTGTCTAACAGCGTTGGAAGGAGCGCTGGCGGGAGTGGAGCTCCAGTTATCACCAGGGCGAGATTGAGTGGCCTTACCAGAGGTCTTCTTGGTGGTGGTGGTGGTCTTCTTGGTGGTCTTCTTGGTGGTCTTCTTGCTAGACTTCTTGGTGGTCTTCTTGTTAGACTTCTTGGTGGTCTTCTTGTTAGACTTCTTGGTGGTCTTCTTGGCCTTCTTAGCAGAAGCAATCTTCTTCTTAGCGAGAGCTAACTTGCTACCAGTGAGACCCTTGGTCTTGTAGAACCAGTTTCTCTTGGAGAGCTTGGTGTTGAGCTTGACACAGAACTTTTCACCTTCAGTGAGAGCACCACAGTCAATGTTCTTGACAGGGGCGTTCCACTTGTAGAAATCTTGGACGGAAGCATTGTGGGCTTCAGCAACAGACTTGCAGGTGTCACCAGGCTTAGCTAAATAATTAATGCAAATGTAAGTATATATGACTTATTTCGATATATATGAATATTTACCAACATATTCCTTAGCACAAGGGATTTGAGGGAGAGCAGAGACAGCGGTGGCAAGAGCAAGAGCGGTAGCAGCGACGGTGAACTTCATTTTTATTAAAGTGAGAGGAATGGGATGGTTTTGTAGAGAAGGATTGGGTTGAGTGAAGAAAAAAAAACACAAGGGGAAATTAAGTCCTTTTATATGAAAGAAACAATTATCTTGCACCACATGCAATTATCTTTGTGCCCACTTGGATCTCATTACTTTTTGAATAACCGCTTTTTTACTGTGACACATTAATAAATTATGTTAATCACACATACTGTTTTCCTTATTCGACTGAACAACCGGTTGTTTTTTCTTTTTTTATATATAAGCTTTAGTACACATTTTTGACAATTCTTGTACCTCTTGAAAAAAGTGGTTACAATTTCTTTGTTTACAATATCTGATCGCAATAGACTTGGTTCGAGTCCAGACCATTGTTGGCCTAGGCAGTAAAATGAGTTGCATAAAACGAGTTTAAATCAGAACAGAGGTATTTCATTTTCCTTAATTGGAAAAGACAAGCGTGCATTTGATTGAATTTGACTCTCAAGCAAAAAGCTCTTTCTGCTATTTTGAGATCAAATGAACATTTATCCTTAAGGAAAGACTATTAAATTTTCTCATAGCATTAGTAGTAACGATACTGCTCAAGCTGTAAAGGAGGTTATACGGTAAAAGATTGCGATTTAAGATGTAAAAATGAAGTATTTGGAATAATAGGAAGCCTTGAGTATCACCCCATTACACGTTATATCGATACAGAAAAACGTCTAAAATTTATTGTTGTCATTGCTCTCAGGAGTAATTTCCAAGAAATCTGGCTTGGCTTTTATTCTACAATGTATCCTTGTCACACGTGTATTTATTAAAGCTTGTTTTTGTTGGACATCTTTTGCGCATAATATGATGATCAATTATAGCTTCTTATAGGGATTGACTAAATTACAGTACCAAAACCCAAATCCCTCGCTTGTATTTCTAAATACATCAAGTCATCGTCATCGGGCTTGACCTTTTAGTATGATATTGTTCAATAAGACAGACGTCTGAGTTCATCTCGACTTGATAAAAACGCATTGTAAGTACTTGTCTTTTTCAAAAAGATAAGCAAACCACTAAAAAAGCATAGACTCGATTTTTTTAATAAAAAAATACCCAACTCGCGTCTTGAAAATTAATAAGATCAGACCATTAAAGGGTAAGGCCTCTCGAAGATAACCTGCCCAAAGTGGCTGGACGGAACCTCAGAATAGAGTAGCACGTTCCTCAAAGGTGGTCGGCATTATCAAAAGCGATCATAAATTAAACTGCGATTCCGCTACCCTGAATAAAGCAAGTGAGACTCAAATTTCTCTCTCTCTCTCTCTTTCCAGTGCAACTAACAAAGGCAAATAGTGCTTCTACTCTCAATTTGCTGAACTTCCGAAACGCCACTCACTTTTTTGAGTGTGAAATTAAATTATCCAGAAAAAGGAGACTATTTTGAAGCTAATTTACCTAGCTTTATGAAAACAAGTTGTTCATCTTCTAAAAAATATGCTGATCAACTTCTGTTCAAAACGATTGTAAAAGTAAGCTTAATATGGCTCTGCATCTAAAGCTTAGGAATCAATTTGTTCTTGTTTCCCTAAAGCTTACGAGTTGTAAAATAGTGTGCATCTCCCTTATACTATACGATTTACAATTTTAAAACTATCTATAACATAAAGAGCAACATGGGTTTTGTGTACATCTTTTTGATTTATATGCTTCTGAAATAAAGAAAAAGACATCACAAAATACGGGACTCGGTTTACTTTACAGCAAACAGCAAACTCTGTATTTGAGAAGTATTTCTTAGTGTTAACTCAGTTGTTCGTTGACAGAACTAATGTTATGACTAGAGTAGTATTGGACCATGAATTTACCGTCGTCAACGACATTGAATATATGAAGAATTACGATAGACGTTGATTAATTCAACTCAATAAGTAAAGCAGTTCATTTTGATACGGTCCAAATATTAGACTACACCAGTGGGATTAACAGTCAGTTCGACACCACACCTTTCTTTTTCATTAGAAAAATTGGTTCTATGCTTTTTCGGTATTTGCTTGTCGTTTTTTAAAAAAAGAGTAGATATATATAGCTGCAATGTAGCATAAACGGCAATAAATTTTAATACATATGCCCTACCGTCTATTGAACATTTTGGTATTTAGACCTACAAAGTACATTGTTTTCTCTGTTTATACACTTCATAAATCTTATCATTAAGCCATCATTGATAAACTGATAACTATACTTAGAAGATATATGAAAAATTAAGAGAGCCTATCTAGGTATGATCTTAAAAGAAATGGAGCCTTGAGTATTGTACTCCTGTGCTCAATCTGTGTAACTCTTTCATACTAATTCAGGCACGCTCCATAGACTGAGTTTAAGTGCACGTTTTGCTGTCTAAATCACAAATTAAAGTCTTCGAATCACGGAAGATTCTAAAAATATTTTATTCTCTTTCGTGCCACTTTTCTTCAGTCCAATTACTTTAGGCATGAAGCTATCAACGTCATGCTGCCAAGATTCTCTGTTTTATGACCTTGTTCTACTCTAACGATTTGAATAGTATATGAGCTTACTCGTGATGTCAAATAAAGATTAGAAGTATATTGTTCAATGACTATTCATCCCTTGATAGTCTATTTGCAAAAGAAAGTATAATTTGTCTTGGAATACAAAATACAATTAACGGTGCCTCTTTTTTTTTTTTGTTCTCTTTACTATTCACTTTCGTAATGCTGTTTAACGTACTAGTGTGCATCATCACATACTTAAATGATGGATCGTAGAGATTTAAGCAAGTAATCTAAAAGAAATAGACCTGAACAGTTCACTGTTTATCGATACATGTTTCTTTCCTGTCATAGCTTATCACTAAACCTTTTTGTCTTCATTTTTAAAGCAATAAATAATAACAATGCTATTGTATACTACTCTTTAAGATGACGTAGTTTATTTATTTTCATATATATATATATTGTTCAATGTAGACAAAGATTGAGTTAGAAGATACTGAAAAAGACGCTAAGACTATGGTTGAATTATTGAAAAGTTTAAAAATTGAATATATACTTCTTGTCATAAAAAGTTGCTTATTGCTTTTCTTTTCTTTTGATATACAGTGTATTATCATGTACAAATATGTTTATAATATATCTCAATCTCTTTTTCTAACGAAAAAATGGCATACCTCGAGTAAGGAATTATTTTATAAAACGTATTCATTTCAATCTATTTGAGCAAGGTAATTATGAGAGTTTAACTATAAACCACCCTTTTTGGTCTTAAGGCTGTTGTGAGATGAAGAGAGAATAGATATAAAATAAGAGAAAGGGTAAGAACACAGAGAAAGTCCGTTAGAACTTGTATAGGCTTTTATTTCCCCCAAAAGAAATATGATCATTTTCAATTGCTATAAAATGTCGAGATATTTATACTTTTTCTTCTCGGTCAAAATATTGTTTTGGGGTTAGCTTCTTGACTACGTATTGATTTGTTAGGTCAGGAGCAATCATGAGAAATGCCTTTAGATGAAGTTGTCAGCTCAGCCAATAGTGCATGATCTGACCTGAACTTGAATAAACTATTACATATTTGTCAAATGCCAATGCTAATGTGTTTGTCAGCTCTAACTGTCACTTTATGAGGGCCATTGATGTGATGATCTGACATTAAATAAGTCTTCAATTACATACTGTTGTGATGTAAGAGAGAAGATAAAAACAAAGAAGTCGATTAGAACTTGTATAGGTTTATTATCCAAAAATATATATGTCTGTCGTTTTCTAGCTCTTCATTCTCTAGATATTTATACATGAAGAGATGTCGGAGTAAGTAGTAGTAGAGTTCATGCAAATGACTGAGTCTCTATTATCATAGACTACTTTGATGTGATGATCTGACATTAAATAAGTCTTCATTTACATACTAAAATATATCATAATCAATTTACATCAGAAATAGACATTGTGATGTTTGGGTTGTGAATGAAGATATAATAGAAGATAGAAAGAAAACAAAGAAATACAGTGAGACTGTTCAGTACTTCTTTATTACAAAAATAAATTGATTGTTGTCTAAAATATATCTTTTCCAGGTTGTCTTTTATACTACCTGATTTATTGACTAATTATGATTACTGATTATTGATTACTTAACACCTTGACAGCGTGTGCCTGGGAATTGATTATATAAATTCTCCTTTAATTCTCCTTGTTACCTAAAAGGTACAATTATGGTTTCCTTATTTGTAAATATCCATATTATCCCAGTTATCGTTATTTACTGTCATTATACAGTGCTTACTTTATATTTATAATGTATAGTGCTATAAGTGATTATTCATTTATATGATGAAAGATTATTTATTATATTTTGTATTGAAAGTGCTCAGATCACCACAGACATAAAAGAATCTCTTGTACTGAATAAGACAATGTATCTTTTAATAGATCAAGACTTATAACCGAAATCCATAATTTACATTATTTAATTAATTTAAAGTAGTCTATGATAATAGAGACTCAGTCATTTGCATGAACTCTACTACTACTTACTCCGACATCTCTTCATGTATAAATACCTAGAGAATGAAGAGCTAGAAAACGACAGACATATATATTTTTGGATAATAAACCTATACAAGTTCTAATCGACTTCTTTGTTTTTATCTTCTCTCTTACATCACAACAGCTGCTTCAAGAGTTATATTCCACATTTTAATTATTTATCTTTACTATTACTTTTTTTTCAGAAAAAAAAGTGGAGAGATGGCCGAGTTGGTCTAAGGCGTCACGTTAAGGTCGTGATCTCTTCGGAGGCGTGGGTTCAAATCCCACTCTCTTCACTTTTGCATCAAAAGGATTAACTGCTTTTAAAAAGCTGGTTGATTCTCTCCCAAGATATTTACAAATTCACATATTTAAACAACGAAAGTAGACTTTTATACCTGAAATATCCTGATGTCTTTCTTCTCTCGATCAACAGGAATTCTTGACTAAAGTAAGAATAACATGTAATTTCTCTACCAGATCTATAGATGTGTCATCAAGCTCTGAAGTTTTGCACCAAAATCAATTGGAGAAATCGTCAAAGTGTTATTGTTTAGAAAACACAAGTCAACCTAGTTACCTTATTGTTTTTTATCACCCTTTTTTTAAACATTCAGGGACGCAAAAAGCTCAATGTTATTTTGTTGCTTTAGTTAAAGAACCATTTATGGGCTCATGTATGGACTGATTAAACTGCTCGAATAAAGAAGATGACCGTTTATTAACTTAAATTTAAATGAAGTTATCAACGAATAGCAGTTGATGTTATGCAAAATCATATTACATGACGTTTTTGAGTCAACGTGGAAAGACCAAAAGATAAGTTTGTTATAAGCAGCACTTTTTTTGGATTTGTGCTTTATCTGAAGAACACTTCTAAGAAAAAACAACAGCAGCAGCTTTTGTTCTTGAGCGATCAAATATAAGAACCGTGTGGTATGCTTTGTTAATAAAGAATAAATGGTTGCAAACTTTACATTAAAGCAAAGGTTTTCACCTCACAAGTTTACTTTATAATTCATACTATGCCCATTCAATCACAAATAAGCAAAACTAAGTACATGATGCTCGGGATGAGCACAAGGATATCTTATTATTATACTACAAGTATAATTAAATTAAGGACTTACAACACATTGCTCAAAAGAAAGCCATGGTGTTGCAATCAGGCTATACTATTATTAGTATCCTATTTATACTTTGCTCGATTAATGTTCAGAGACAGGACTTGCATCGCTTCTGAGCATTTGATTTATATGCATTCAAAGAGATGCTGCCTTCAGCTGAATCTTACATTCTATTGTATAGATCTCAAGACATACTCCTTATGCATGCATAAAAGCAGGTGTGATTTCTAGTCATTATTTAGTTTTTATTTGATCCTTTTAATATGACACAAACTTGTCAAACTACTTGGCACTAGTGAACTCTTTTTTTTTGGGTCTACTTGATATGCCAAGACTCTACATGACAGTCAAAAAAATGATCAAGAGCATAAATGATTTCCATAAAAGTCTATTTTGAATGATATAATATTGTAATTGTGCATTTGTTCGTTCGGATGCAACAAGGAGAAGAGAAACTAACAAAATAATAATACTAATAATAGACATTTTTAATGATTGATTGTACATGTGTAACATTTTTCTGTACATATACGAGGTAAAGAAGTTAATGCGGTTAAAAGAAAGATAGGTCGTGTTGTTTTCTATAAATAAATTTACTTTTGAATATGTTTGACAAGCCATGTTTATTCTTATGTCATACAGAAGCGGGATTACCAACTGTGCCACACTTGATAGAAGTGGAGGAAAATCGTTTTATACATTGTTGCCGATCTAAAAAAAAACTTTTGTTGTCGATCAAACAATTTTTGGAATTTGGTGTTTTGACAGAAGGAAGCTTTAGAAACAATAGCTGGACATGAACCTTTTTTTTTTTTTTTTTTTTTTTGGTTTTTGTTTTGGGCAAGTGGCTGTAAGGTATGGTTTCTCGGCGCACAAACTCCATGATATGTAGCTTCCACAAAAAAAAAAAAAAAAAAAAAAAAAACTTATAAATAAATCGCATGTTTTATTTCATTTTCTACCTTTTTTCTTATTATATAAACATCCATACAATGACACGCTCTATTACACCAACATTAGAAGAAACCACTCTCCATGAAGATTTCACAAATTACAATAAGAAATCAAAGCGCCATGGCCATGGCAAAGATGTTCTTGACTCTAACAACGTTCGACAAGTGGCTGGTTGTTTACCTTTGGACATAAAAAATCGTCGGGTGTTACTCATTTCAAGCAGAAAAATAGAAGGTGCTTGGGTCTTGGTAAGTAAAATTGAATGAATCGTGTCTATACTCATTTGTAATCTTTAGCCTAAAGGTGGTTGGGAAGAAGATGAGACACAAAAGCATGCTGCTCAGCGCGAAACTTGGGAAGAAGCTGGTATCAAAGGCACGATCACAAAACATCTTGGTATATTCGAAGAGCGTACACACAAAAAAAAGCATTTGAAAGCTCATCACTGGATATTCGAGATGGAGATTGAGGAAATTGCAAAGAAATTTCCCGAAAAGAAGAAGCGAGACAGAAGATGGTTTACTTTTGAAGAATCTATCATTGCAACACAAGACCATCGATACATTCAAGAAGCGATTCTCAAATCAAGTCTGAACCCTGCTAATTTTCCTCTCTCTGATCCTCCTTCCCCAAGAAACTCTATTGAAAAAAGCACAAAACCTACCACTGAAATGACAGGAAATGCTCCTGTTCGACGTAAATCGCTTTTGAATTCAATCAAATCTGTATTTCATTAAACCTATTTATTTTTAGTCTCTTTTTTCTTTTATTGGAATATTCTTATGCAGTGTATGATATCAAACTGAAATATAAGGGTAACACACAAACAAGGGCCATAATTCAGTTCGGTGCTCGCAAGTTCCGAATTGACGTTGTCTCTTTGTTCTTAATGAAAATCACTAGAAAGATTCCAATCCTTCCATTTTGTTGTTCATGGTTGTACAGATGGTATCTCCACTTGAATAAGTTAAAGTGATCATTACTGCCATAGAATGTCAATCCTATGTTTTATGCAAGTTTTATTAATGACTATCAAGTAGTATGGGTATCTAAGATTCCTTTCCGAGATCTATATATACATACATCTTAATGTGATTAGGAACGTCTTTTTTTTTTTTATATATACGTATATTTTATTTATTTACAGATGGACCAAAAGACATAAAGTGCCCATTGTATGTGTAAGAAATGTTTGTCCAATTCTATTTAGAACTGTTCATATCATGATGAATGAAAATCTCAGGTACAGTTACTTCATTCTTTTGATGTTGTCTACCATTCATTAATTCATCCCTCTCTTTCTCTGCCTTTTCTGCATCAAAGGAGCCGATGTTTGGTTGAGGTGTAGGGAAAATATGATAGATAGCAATACCCATGATAATAACCACATAAGCAAAAGGATACATAATAGTGATATGGTAGCCAAATAGCCCAATACCAAAAATCAAGCCATAAAAGTTAGAAGTTAACAAGGATAGGTTGTACAAAACTGCGCTTCCCAGTCGAAACATGACTGGAGCCAGAGAGTACAATATAAACATACAGACAGTGTATACCATGACCATACCAACTGCTTCAGGATTGCTTGAGAAAGCAGCAAATTCATTGCGTTCCAAAATCATCAACTGAACAAAATTGATAAACATTGCAAAGAAAGTAAACATACCAATGACTTCATACAAAGGATGTTTACGAGCCATGAATTCTTCGCCGACATTAGAGAAGCCATAAAGAGTGGCACCCAAAAGACAAAACAGATCGCCCTTCACTGCATCAACAGCAGCATAGTCCTTTCCTTCTATTACATCACTTGCAATCAGCATGCCCATGCCACCTAGCGCAATAGCCACACCTAAGCATTGAAGCCAACGATAACGTATTTTCATCAAGAAAAAAGACAAGATCATACATACAGGCGTACTCCAACAATTCAATAACATGGCAGATAAAAGAGAAGTGTATTGATACGCTTTCACTACAAAATAGTTGCCCTCCACATCAATGAGCCCTAAAATAAAATAATAGATGCCTCTTCTCCAAAACTGCAAAAGCCAACCACGAATGCCTCTTTTATAAATGGCATAACTGTTGTATGCTAAAGCTAAAGCAGCACTATATAGAATAATCAGTCTATTTTTTGCTTGTTTGTTTTGATGTGCTTACTATACTAAAAATGTTTGTGTAGTAGGAGCAGAGAAATTATAAGCGTTGTTTAATTTGGTAGTTGTTACATTAGTGCCTGTGATGCACAACGAAAGTACTGCTTGTTTTTGTAAACAGTTAATTATATCTTATTTTATTTAAGCTTGCTTACATTGGCCCAAAATAAGTACTTTGTAAAACCGAGGATCTTTTAGGAAAGCAATTCGATCTCTCCATGCTTTTTTAGGTGTTTCCTCCATTTAAAGAATGAAAGAAAGAAAGAAAGAAAAAAAAAAGAAGAGAGAGAGAGAGAGAGAAAACTCCTCACCTTCAAATGGATCAGATCAGAAACAAGCATAGAAGGACAAGAACGTAAAGAAAACTATTGTGTCGCAACAAATTTTTTTTTTAATTTTTTACATTATATCAATTTTTTTTTTTTCAAGTCATTTATTTAACAAGTTTTGATATAGAATGGGGATCAGTTTGTACATAGAGGAAAATGTGAATTATAATATATTAAGAACGTGTATAAAATATGTGTGTGTGAGTGTGTGATTGTTAAAAGAAGATTATACAAGAATTTTTTTTTGAGTGTGAGTGTGTGCATATTACGTGTGTATGATTTAATCCCAACCAAGCAAACGAGAGAGAGAGAGAGAAAAGAAGATAGTGTGAAAAATAGAGAGGAAAAATTTTTTCTCTATTTTTTTTTTTTTTTTGCTTTTGTTTTCTAAGGCTTACGGAATTCTGTAAGCACAGGATATATAGCTTGGAAGGCTTGATAGATTTCTTCACGGACCTTGGCACCTGTCAAGACAATCTTACCAGATACAAAGATTAACAACACGATTTTTGGCTTCACCATACGATAGATAAGACCAGGGAACAATTCAGGTTCGTACTAAACAAGAAAAAATATGAGTAAAAAAAAAAAGAAACGCGTTTCATTATTACTTACAGAACTAAAGTGACCATGGGAGTAAGCCAAGCCTTCAAGACGAATAGGAAATTTGACGTCGCAAGAACCCACGATATTCTGAATCTTGAAATCGGTGAATTTTGCCTGAAAGCCTAGCTTTTGGATGATACGAGCGTATTTACGAGCAGCCAATTTAGAGTCATCCTCAGATTTGGCACCTGTCACGACCATCTTACCAGAAGCAAAGATCAATGCAGTAGTCTTTGGATCACGAATACGCATAATAACAGCTGCGAAACGCTATGTGTGGTTTAATACACAAAAGTTCCACTAACATCCCATGTGTGTGTTAATATTACCTTTGGATTGTACTCTGCATTACGAGCATGAAGAGCGATTGTTTTGAGATCCAAACGACAATCCAAATTAACAGTGGCAACAATATTTCTATTATCATTAGACATGTTCTCTCCCACCACAATTATTGTGCACTTACTGTAAAGTAGGTGTGATACCTGCCACAGCATGAGGATTTGCTTCCCTACTAGGCGTAGGAGCATCATTGGGAGCTGGCGTAGTAGGAAGTGCAAATGGAGTTGAATTATGAAGTGGAGTAGGAATCGAAGGTGTCTGCATAGCAGGCGTGGTCATGGAAGGCGTAGCAATATTAAAACCAGACATTCTTATATACTTGGAGAGAATATGAAAACAGAAAGTGACTATTGATTCTTTTTATTACAATTGAGGTTTGTGTTTTTTCTGTGTGTCTTTCGTTCTATGTTCTTTTTCTTTTCTTTTCTTTACTTCTTTTTTTTAAATATCTTTCTTTCCTTCTTGCTGTAAGTGTTGAGAGAGAAAAAAAAGAGAGAAAAAAAATTTGCTAGTATAAGAAAGTGTAGAAAAGCGGATTAAAAGGTGAAAAAATAAAATTTTTTTCGCAGTTTTGTTCGGATTACGTCTCCTTTTTATAGTTTTTTTCAAATTCAATACCAGTTGTGACTGTCACCTGACACACCAATTACATTTGAGTCATTTTTTAGTATTTTTTTTTCAACCCTTGTACTGTTTTATTTTTCTTTGTTATTCTTTATCTAAATTTGTGTACATTTCCTTCCCCCCTCCCTTTCTCTCTTCTTTTCTTTTTTCTTTCATTTATTTTGATTGTTCTATGTAAACTATTGTTCTTCTCTTGAATTCAAGGATATTTACTTGACATTTCATGAACGGGGTATGAGTAAGGAATGAGAGATAAAAAGAAAGCTAGAGTCCTTTTTTTTTTTTTTTTTACTTCTCCCCTTTAAACGATGCTAGGAGAATAAAAAAGAATGAGTCTAATTGGCTTGATTTAAATTTAAATAATCTTTCTTTGGCAAGTGATACAAATTATCTATTCTACGTTTTTTTTAGCATGCTATTGTTTTATTCTCTACTTTGGTCTTATCCTCATTGTTTTCAAAAGAGAGATGTATGTGTGTGTGTGTATGTATGTATGTGGTTATCAGCGTGGGAGGTCCTTTTCTTTATCTTCTTTGTATTTATATAAACAATAACAAAATCACATGAAATAAGATGCTATAAGGAGTTTTCTACTCTATATATCACCCTGTAAAAAAAAAAAGACAGCAAATCTCTCTCTCTCTCTTTTTCTCCTTATAACCTCTTACAACAAGTATGGGTTTTCTCAGGCACCAGCAAGTAACACAAGTGCGGGTGATGGTGGTTGTTGGTGTTTGAAATGAAATCATCCTGAGCTATTTTGTACAATCTCCTTACCCTCTTTCTTATGAATGCAGGTGGTCTATCTTCAAAGAAGTATGGTTGTACAAACTATATGTTTGAACATGATGATTGCCTAAGAACAAGGTGCTTGGCATGATAGAATACTTGGCTTTCACTCATGACAATGGTACTTGTTGTCTTGTGAATTTATCTGCCTTTTTTTTTGGACAAAGTAAAAAAATGCCATCTTTTGTTTATCATAAAGAGGAAAAGAAGGAGAGAAAAGAGGGAGGGAAAAAAAAAAAGAGAGAGAGAGAGAGAGAGAGAGAAACGAAGAGGCTAAACGAGTCTTTTTTTTTTTTTTTTTTTTTTTTTTTTTTTTGAAAATAAACAAAGAAAGAAGGTTACGTTCCGAACAATATTTGTAGTCATACGTATGGCAGAATGGTTCAATGACATTATGTGTATATATACGCAGTTTTGTTTATGACTGAACTAAACCATTCTCTCAAAAGGCACTATTTAGTTGAAAAAGAAACGCACACTTGAATAAGGAAACAACAAACAACCATCATGAAAAAGCTGCTGTATCACTTGAATACTACACCTATAAAATAAGCTTTATTACACCTTGATTCGTTTTCACCTCCCTTCTACTTTTTATTTCAAAATGGCTAACGGTCGAGACTCTATTCAAGCCATCTTTATCAAACAAACCGAAACAAGACACGATCCCAAAGCCTATACTGCTTATCGTATTGACGTACAAGCAGCTGTACGACAATGGCATATCTGGAAACGATATTCAGACTTTATCAAACTGCATGAACAACTCTCCCATACATTCCCTCATAATCCAGTACCCGCTCATCTACCTCAGAAACGTATCTTCCCACCTACTTTTAACTCACTGGAGCGTATTGAAGACCGTCGCCAAGGTCTAGAAGACTATTTGCGCACCATTCAAAGTTGCCGTGATGATCGTTGGCGTAAAACAGATATTTGGTATCACTTTCTTGCCTTACCAGAGAACGAACCAAAGGCAACATCAGCAGAAGGATTGACGTTTGGTTCTTGGCTGGATGAATATGATGAGCTCTTGACGATCTCAAGAGAAATCAGGTCGTTGATTAACAGTCGAAACGCGCATCAAAGTCAGCATGAAGTATCGGATGCGATGCAGTGTGAATTTAAGGCCAAAAAGGGGTTGGCGACACTGACTGCACGTTTGGCTATCCTTGAATCAAGTTTGATGGATGATGGTCATGTACAGTTTTTAGCTGAGGGAGAAGAGAGAAGGAGAGAAGATAAACTGAATCGTTTGAAAGTAGAACGTGATGTGTTGCAGCAGTTGGTCAGTGCTACACGTCAAGATGCTCATAAAAAGAAAAAACCAGCACCGCCACCACCATCATCTGTGGCAACCGCTCATTATGGCGATATTGGATTTGATACCAATCATCAAGTACAGCGTGCTGTCACAACAACAACAAGTCTGGACGCTAAACCTAAAATTGGCACAGGAAGAGCATTTGGTTCTGCACTTTTGGAGCAACAACAAAAGAAGAAAATGCTTGAAGAAACGGAGTTTACAAAAGGACTGGACAACAAGGAATTACTGAACTATCAAACACAAGTCATGAAAGACCAAGATTTGCATATTGAACAATTCAGTGAAATTCTAAGCCGCCAAAAAGAATTAGGCATTGCTATTAATCATGAATTAGAAAACCAGATCAGTATTTTGGAAAGCCTTGATGTTCAAGTCGATAATACACAAACAAAGCTTGCTTTTGCTAACAAGAAGCTGGCAAAGATCAAATAATGTGACTGTTGAAAAATAAAAAAAAAAGCTTTATGAAAAATTGTTTACCTTCTTGTTCATATCTATATAACATACACATATATCATGTCCGACCCTACAGACGGTACACCTATTACACCCGGTGTCAAAAAGCAAACAAGAAGATTTGCACCTGTCAAAAGAGGCGGCAAGACAGCTGCTGCTATCAAACGTGAAGCTGCTGCTGCTGCTACTGCTGCTACCACTAATACTACTACTACTGCTGATACGACACAAGGAAGTGAAGCTTCTACAGTAGCAGAAAGTAATGTCGAAACACACCCTAAACCATCTAGTATTGGTACTATTCGTCCTGAAGGCATTGGTTCGGGACGTTTACAAAGTGTCAACGACGGTCAAAAGACTCGTGGTGGTGCAGCAAAGGTAAGCAGACCCAAAAAAAAATTGCTCACATCAACTCAACACTTGGGATAGATGAAATTCAAACCTACAGTTCCTCTCAAGAGAAACAAGAAAGAAGCGTAAGTATACTCCATGTACAATAGATAAGATGCCTAATTGGCTTGAGATAGATCTTCTTCAGCTATTGATGAAGCACTTAGCAAACCACAAAGAAGTGAACGTGGTGGCCGAGGAGGTCGTGGTGGAGCTAGCCGTGGACGTGGTCGAGGACGAGGCTTGATCATTGTTGATACATCCACTGCTTCTGGTATTTTCTCATTAGGTCCTTCTGCTGTATCTCGTGGTCGACCTGGTGGATTTGGAGGTGGTGGATTTGCTTCTTATGGTGGCGATGTGCCCAGTCGGGCAGAAGGAGAAAATGAAAACTCTGATATGGTAGAGATGTTTACCAACAGTATAGATAAAGACACGCCTGTGACATTTAGACATGTTTCTGCCCAAGACAGTGATATTGATCCAGTGACATTAGAACAAAAAATGGGCAAGATCCCTTGGATGACAGTCAAATCAAAAAAACCAGCCAGGACAATCGACACCGAGTTGGACAAAGTCAAGTCAGAACACAATGACGACATGGATCTAGACAGTGCAGAATCAAAGCCAACCAGAATAGAAGAAGAGGAAGAAGAGGAGGAGCCAGTGCCATTACCTAAGGTTTACATGAGTAGCGATTCACCTGCACAAAACATTTTTGCACTTGATGAAAAGCAGCGCCTTGTTTGTGTGGCAGAAGAAGAATTATTGTTTTTCCAGTTGCCTATTGTTGTACCCAAATTTGAAAAGAACAAGGAAGAAGATGTTGATATGATAGAAGAAAAGAAAGAAGAAGGAGCCGCTACAGACGGTTTGCCTCCAGCAGCCAAGAAATCATCATTAGAGGAAGCCATGTCTGGCATGAGTTTGGAAGATATGCCTAGTGGCCAGATAGGTAAATTGGTCATTTACAAATCTGGTAAAATGAAGATGAAATTTGGCAATATCTTGTTGGATGTCAATCAAGGTTTGCAATCTACTTTTCTCGAGAATGTTATGGTGGTGGATCATGAAAGTGAAGAAACAAAGAAGGCCATTGAATTGGGACATGTTGTGCAAAAGTTTGTGTGTGTGCCCAATATGGATTCACTCTTGAACCTTGAAGAAGAAGCGCTGAATAATGAAGAATAAAAGTAAAAAAAAAAAAAAGAATTAGGAATGTAGAAGAACTTTATCTGGCTTTCAAAGAACGCGACACATGTTTATTTCTTTTCTTTACTCTTTTTCTTATGTTTGTTATCCTAAGTTTGATATTTGTCACTTCTTTATTAGTCTATGCTTACTTTAGCTTGGCTCACTTTCAAAAAGTGTTGCCTTTTAAAAACAACATACTTGTCCTGACAGCTCACCCTGACGACGAGTGTATGTTCTTTGGACCTACTCTTACTTCACTTAGGACCTTAACAAAAGCACGCGTGCATATCTTGTGTTTATCTACAGGTAATACTGTTTGTGAAAACATGGCTTATATCTTCAAAAGGCAATGCTGAAGGACTTGGCCATATACGCAAAAAAGAACTGTCCAAAAGCTGTCAAACATTTGGTATTCTACCCAGCCACATTAAATCCATAGATCACCCGTAAGTAAAGCCTATATAGACTGCAACAAGTGAATTTATACATATTAGTCAATTGCAAGATGGCATGCAAAACCAATGGAGTCCTGAGTTGATATCGCATACCTTAAAGGATTATGTGACTAAACAAAAGATTGATACAGTAAGTCATAACTGGCTATAACACAAACTCATTTTAAAAGATCATTACTTTTGATAATCATGGTGTTTCTGGACATGCTAATCATATTGCGTTGTATTACGGAGCCAAGTAAAAGACCATATTGACTCCTGCTCATTTTACTGACTGAAATAGGCACTTTGTACAACAACACACTAATATAACATTGTATTCTCTTGAATCAGTCTCTTTGATTCGTAAATATATTGGGTTTGCTGATCTAATAGTGCCTAAAAAGCAAGGTTCTATTCAACTTGTGTCTCCTCCTATTGCTTATTTATTGACACATAAAGCAATGCGTCAACACACATCTCAATTGGTTTGGTTTCGATGGTTATATGTCACTTTTTCGAGATTTATGTATGTCAATGATCTTGTAAAAGAAGAGTTGTAATTGGAATAAAACAAACAAGAAAATTTTTTTTAGTATTTTTTTTTAGTAAAACCCATCCATCCTTCAACTTTATTAACAATAGCGTTTGTTTAAATCTACCTTTTTTTCTTTTCTTTTCCTTTACTCTCTTTCTCTTTTTTTTTTTTGAAATATTCCCGAATAAAATGAACTTTCAACAACCACAACTCCAAGACAAAAGTAACGTTGATAACTAAATAAAGAAATACTCACTTGTCAAAATTATAAAGTCATAGATAAAAAGCAACAAGAATATAAAAAACGCATTCGAGAAATAGAACAAGTAAAAAAAAAAAAAACCAGTCCATAGCAACGTATTTACATGCGCATATAGGAAAATGAACATATTGGCACACAACTGACTAGAGCACGTCAACATATCAAACGACTTCGTATTGAGCGCATGTAAATATAGCTTGTATAATATATATATATATATATCTAATTCAAATAGTGTCTTGTTGGAAGAAATAGACGAACTGAGACAAGGTCGCTCATCTCGCTTTAAAAAATCTAATGGGATCGGCATGAGTGGAGGTGCTGACAGTGACTCTGAGATGTCTCTTTCTGAATCTATTATGGCAAGTAAAAGAATATATATCTATTTATTGATTGATGTTTATAGTCTGATGTAAAGACACCTGGGAGAAAAAATGCAGCAGCAACTCCTAGAAAGAAGCGAGACCCAAATGCTCCCAAAGGGCCTGGTAATGTCTTCTTTTTATATTGCCGTATGGAACGTGATAATATCAAGGATGAAGTTCCAAACGAAAGCTTGGGTGAAGTCACTCGACTCCTTGGTCAAAAATGGAAAGCACTTACAAAAGAAGAAAAGCAGAAATACTATGACATTTATAAGAAAGAACAGGAAGAATATGAAAGTGCTATGAAGAGCTATACAGCTGCTGGTGGTGGTGCAGAAGGTGCAGCAGCTGTTGAAGCAAATAAAGTCAAACAAGACGAGGATGAATCGGAAGAGTCAGAAGAAGAAATTGATATGCTTCAAGATGAAGATGAGGATGAAGACGAAGACGAAGAAATTGATCATACAAGAATTACTTCAATAATCAATCAACCTGAACCTTACCAATAACCATTATAGATAAAAAACAAGAAAAAAAAAACTTTTTTTTTTTATTGTTATAATTCAACTTTATGATCTAATTGATAGGCTTGATCTATATAGTATAATTTTAGTATATATACACATAATAACTAATAAAAAAAATTTACCTTGAAATGTAATGAAATTAAAGAAAACACAAAGGCCTTCAAGTCTTGAACGAGATAATAGAATGCACGCAAACCTTCAGGATCTTTACTGTCTTGAACCTCAACAAGCGAACTTAGCTTGGAAGTCTATGGATATCTTAGTATGAGTTCATATATGTAATCAAAACTTACTTCAAATGAAATGTGTTCGTTTCCAAGACGAACTTCGATTTCTTGACTTCCAACAACATTCTTTGTAGGCCATTGACTATCGTCTTCTCTATCAAACAAAAAATGACTTAGCAACTGCTTTTTTTTTCGCTTGTCTTTTGTGTTTCTGTTTACTTCATAATCTCACTGTCTTCAATAATCTTTTTCAATTCATCAATAACAGCAGCACTGACATACACTATACATATATGCTTAGTAGCCTGTCTCCATATTATGCATTACATACTCTCTTTTTTGATTAGACTATCATTTCGGTAGTTGGAGTTGTTGGCGTATCGACAGAGACCATCTGATCTAAATTCAAATTCCAAGAATTCATGGCCGTAACGTCCTTTGTGTCCAGAACTTGATTGATGGTTAATAAACGCGTTGTAGAAAATGCTGATCAAAGTAGCTTACTAGTAACGAACGTAGAATTCTTCTTCTCCAGCCATGCTTTCAGATTTTTTTTTGTCTTTAGAGTAAATACGAGAAAAAAAAAATGAGTAGACGCGGCTGTCTTTTTTTCTAGAGTTTGGCAGACTGCAAAGTGCGCTATGAAGATCACGTGACATACTATACTACATGCCCCATGTGAAGAACAATAATAAGGATGGTTAGCAATGAGGATGATGTCTGAAATAAACGAAGGCTCCCATTTCTCCTTCTGCGGCCTAATATTATTTTATTTAAAGAAAAATGCCTGTTCTTTTACTAACACTTGACATTTCAATTAAATAAATTTATCCATAGAATCAATAATTTTGAATGCTATTTAAGCGAAAAGTCTAGCAGTCATTATTGATAACAAATCTGAAGCAGGAAGATCAATGAGATCTTAATTAGGTCGCTGCGATTAACAGTTGGCATATAATATTAAAAAATCTCAACAACAAGGCTTTATTTGCATATACAGTCATCAATTACTTATTGCATCTAGGCTATAGATTTTAATACTAGACCCACTAGACTCGATGGATCAAATGTGCTTTTAATAAGGCATTTTATTTGAATGAACAGTTGAGTGGCGCGTTAGTTCATGTAATACAGATGCCAGACAAATAAATGCTTCAACAGTGAAAAGGAAGACGGCAATACATACAAATCTTCTTCTTCCTTAGACAAACAAAGATGCTTTAAAGCCTGTTTATACACGCTTAGATGCTCTAGATACCTACAAATAATGTTTGCTAACATCCATGGTGCCTTTGGAGTTGCTTTGAAAAAAAAAAGCCGCTTGTAAAAAATGACCAAAATGGCCTTTCGATCAAGAGGCACTACTCATGGAAAAAGCTTAATTTGACAACTTCTGTTCTTCTTTTTGACGTTACAAGATGAAAAATAAAGCCACTGACAGGTTTAAATACTCAAAATGAGCGTCAGAGTCTCTAGTTTTTGGTGAATACGTTTGCTTGCTAACTGTGCTATGAAAATGGCGAGATATGAATAAAAAAAACCTTATAGACAATTCTGCTTACTTGCTCAATATTTTGATACTAGATATGCTGCATTCTTTGCATCAACAGACTTGGAAGAAAAAGGCCCGCAACTTTTGTTATTGCACCAAACCCCAATAACTGCGTCTTTATCCAGTTCTGAGCAAAAACTCGATTTATGATGCGGCAGGAAGAAAAATTGGAGTTCTTCTATTTTAAACTTCGCTACTAGACATCGTGTATGTCCTATGTTCATTTACCACCACTTTTGCATGATAGAATGCCTATATTTCCATTTCACTGTGTTCTTTGACACTTTAAATACCATGAATTATTTTTTTCTAAAAGTTTATTGATAGCATATTTCATATGTCATCTAGAGCAAAAACACTTAAAAATGCTCAGAACACAGCTTAAATACACAGTTCTTTGATGAGTCATTGCTCGACAAACTGGCTATCAAGACAGCCCGTTTTTTCGTTTAAAACATGTTCTTTTGGAACCAGAAATCAAATGGCACCATTGGCTTGGCTGTTATGTAAAATCCATTTCTTGTTTTTGACCATGGAGGATCACGAGAGCTCGTGAAGATCAGAAATTTTTGGAATGACCCAATGTAGGTCTGATCCAACCATTTTCAGTCTGTCCACGTTACACCCCTCTGTAATATGTAACTAAAAAAAAACAAACAAAGTAAAGAAAACGAATTTACCAAGATGAAAAAGATGACTCGATTTGAACATCACCTTCAAATCTGTATTCAACGTTCGTGATACATTGTAGTTAATACAAAAGAGGCTCTTTTTAATAGATATTGGCTATTAAGTAGGTACTTGTTTGTACATCATTCAATACAAAAAATATAATCGAGCAACATTTGTTATAATACAAGATATTTATGAGGCTCAAGGCAGCAACTTTGAGCATAACTAATAATGGATGTCTTATGGAAAGAGAGTTTGGCGTTTCAAGTCTCAATCTTCTTTTTCTAGTGTGCATTCGCTGCTTTGAATAACTGACTTGTAAATTCAGACCCTACTCGCTGACTCTTTTCAAACTCCTGCAAATTGAAAGTCTTATCAGATCCTTAGAAAAAGACCTTTTTTGTGAACAATAACGGTCACCATCATTCTTGATTGACGACAGCATTTATACGCTCCCTCGCCGTAATGCCAGGATCGCCGTAGTCTCTAATCGTAGCAGGCACACTGAGTCAAGTATATACGCTCACATCCACGAAAGGCACAAGGTCAAACAAAGTCAAACAAAGTCTCGAGACGCTACGCTAGAAGCATTATCACAGGAGCAAGGAAACGATACTAACGATGTGTGGCTTTCTTTCCCTATGTGTTTTTTTTTAAAAAAAAAAAAAAGCAAGCGCCCGATACTGTGCTACATTGCAAACCTGTTTATTTGCATTGACATTTAAAAGTTAGACCATTGTGATTATGTATGTTAAGAGAATAGAAAGAATAGCTTTCTTTATTTATTTGTTGTGACTTTATTTGATTTTAAGGATGAGATTTTAAGAGAAGTCGCCAAGTAAAAAGAAAGTGAAGGCAGAAATAGAATTTAAAAGTAAAGCCATAAAAAGAGAGCCTTGATTAACCAGGAAACAAGTAACTAGAATGATGATTAAAAAAAAAGGCTTTCAAGCATATATAACTTACCAAAAGACCAAAGCCATCATGCTACCCTCTAATGTGCTGATTTTCATAGCCCACGCGGCTCTGCGTAGTTCAGAGCCGAATGAACCGGCCCAAACTGGCCCTGCGTAGTTCAGGGCCGAATGGATGCCATCGCCGACAAGAAGAGGGCATTTGGAACATCACTGTACGGAAACAAGTGGTTCCCTATAAGAGAGTCAGTAAACGTGTCTTTTAGAATAATCATCTTACCTCCTTGATGGATGAGAAGAGGCTAGTAGATTTGCATACGAGGCCAAGAGAGTAGAAGAGTAAAGTAAGGTAGGGTAGGTCTTGTAGTAAAGTAGAAGTGGTCTTGAGGCCTTGAGGTAGCGTAGCTTTTGATTAAAAGAGTAGAGCAGATGATAAGTAAAAGGAAGAAAGAAAAGAAAAAAGACAAGGCTAGATCCTTCTTTTTTATAGATGTTGTTTGCTCTTTTTTTACGTTAAAGCAAGCCATGTGAAAGAGATGAAGATAACCACCTTATTTCCAAATCTGACACTATTGTCTGTATGAACTAATTAGAAAAAAAATAAATATAAAAAAGGAAGGGAAGAGAACATAGTCATACTGACATCATTATTTATGCTGATAAAATACAACTCATGTATTTTATCTATGCTTTTATACATCTTTTTCTTGCTCTTTAAAAAGATGCACATGCACAGCGATTTATTTCTTTATTGTATGTGAAGATGGCAGAAAAGAAATAGTCTTTGAGGACATTGCTTGTTGTAAAGAAATAGACAACACCATGTGTAACGCTGTTCAACTGCATAATACAAAACAAAACAAAACAATAAAGAACAATAAAAAAAACTCGCTTGTTGCTGCCTAACCTAAGAGAAACACACATTTAACCAGTTGTTATTTGCTTTTTGATAAACAAAAAGATGGTGATAGGAAAGCAAAGAGGGAAAGAGAAAGCAGCTTCCATAGCACACTGTATATTAATGTTTGTCACATGTGTATAAAATAAGCTTATTTTTGTACTGTCTTTCTTTGACAACCAGACCCCCTTTTTTTTCATTGCTAGTGCTACTTTATCGAGGCAAGAAAGTTTTATTGTTTCAGAAGGATCTTCAAATGGAAAAGGGATAATTAAGGTTTAAAGCCCTCTTTTGTGGAGTAGTTTTCGCATCATTTTTTGAGCTCTTCTCATAGACAAAAGTAAAGAGAGAATCATTTGATCAAAGCATCCATGATGAGCACATAGTCAAAGAGAAAGCTAAGGCAGAAAAGAGACTATATTTGCGGCTAAAGAACAGAAAAGTAAAGTGACAATTACATGGTTTATGCAAATAAACAGGTTTGCAATGTAGCACAGTATCGGGCGCTTGCTTTTTTTTTTTTTTTAAAAAAAAACACATAGGGAAAGAAAGCCACACATCGTTAGTATCGTTTCCTTGCTCCTGTGATAATGCTTCTAGCGTAGCGTCTCGAGACTTTGTTTGACTTTGTTTGACCTTGTGCCTTTCGTGGATGTGAGCGTATATACTTGACTCAGTGTGCCTGCTACGATTAGAGACTACGGCGATCCTGGCATTACGGCGAGGGAGCGTATAAATGCTGTCGTCAATCAAGAATGATGGTGACCGTTATTGTTCACAAAAAAGGTCTTTTTCTAAGGATCTGATAAGACTTTCAATTTGCAGGAGTTTGAAAAGAGTCAGCGAGTAGGGTCTGAATTTACAAGTCAGTTATTCAAAGCAGCGAATGCACACTAGAAAAAGAAGATTGAGACTTGAAACGCCAAACTCTCTTTCCATAAGACATCCATTATTAGTTATGCTCAAAGTTGCTGCCTTGAGCCTCATAAATATCTTGTATTATAACAAATGTTGCTCGATTATATTTTTTGTATTGAATGATGTACAAACAAGTACCTACTTAATAGCCAATATCTATTAAAAAGAGCCTCTTTTGTATTAACTACAATGTATCACGAACGTTGAATACAGATTTGAAGGTGATGTTCAAATCGAGTCATCTTTTTCATCTTGGTAAATTCGTTTTCTTTACTTTGTTTGTTTTTTTTTTAGTTACATATTACAGAGGGGTGTAACGTGGACAGACTGAAAATGGTTGGATCAGACCTACATTGGGTCATTCCAAAAATTTCTGATCTTCACGAGCTCTCGTGATCCTCCATGGTCAAAAACAAGAAATGGATTTTACATAACAGCCAAGCCAATGGTGCCATTTGATTTCTGGTTCCAAAAGAACATGTTTTAAACGAAAAAACGGGCTGTCTTGATAGCCAGTTTGTCGAGCAATGACTCATCAAAGAACTGTGTATTTAAGCTGTGTTCTGAGCATTTTTAAGTGTTTTTGCTCTAGATGACATATGAAATATGCTATCAATAAACTTTTAGAAAAAAATAATTCATGGTATTTAAAGTGTCAAAGAACACAGTGAAATGGAAATATAGGCATTCTATCATGCAAAAGTGGTGGTAAATGAACATAGGACATACACGATGTCTAGTAGCGAAGTTTAAAATAGAAGAACTCCAATTTTTCTTCCTGCCGCATCATAAATCGAGTTTTTGCTCAGAACTGGATAAAGACGCAGTTATTGGGGTTTGGTGCAATAACAAAAGTTGCGGGCCTTTTTCTTCCAAGTCTGTTGATGCAAAGAATGCAGCATATCTAGTATCAAAATATTGAGCAAGTAAGCAGAATTGTCTATAAGGTTTTTTTTATTCATATCTCGCCATTTTCATAGCACAGTTAGCAAGCAAACGTATTCACCAAAAACTAGAGACTCTGACGCTCATTTTGAGTATTTAAACCTGTCAGTGGCTTTATTTTTCATCTTGTAACGTCAAAAAGAAGAACAGAAGTTGTCAAATTAAGCTTTTTCCATGAGTAGTGCCTCTTGATCGAAAGGCCATTTTGGTCATTTTTTACAAGCGGCTTTTTTTTTTCAAAGCAACTCCAAAGGCACCATGGATGTTAGCAAACATTATTTGTAGGTATCTAGAGCATCTAAGCGTGTATAAACAGGCTTTAAAGCATCTTTGTTTGTCTAAGGAAGAAGAAGATTTGTATGTATTGCCGTCTTCCTTTTCACTGTTGAAGCATTTATTTGTCTGGCATCTGTATTACATGAACTAACGCGCCACTCAACTGTTCATTCAAATAAAATGCCTTATTAAAAGCACATTTGATCCATCGAGTCTAGTGGGTCTAGTGAATATAGTAAGTTTGAAGAGTGTGAGGAGTTTAATGAACCGAATTTAAACAGCAGTAAGCTGCTCGATAATTACCTAATCAAAAAAAAAGGACAAACTTGTTTCAAGAAAAATTTGATAACAGTAAATATTAATCACCAAAAACTGCTTCAAACTTAATTACTTATGATGGTTACGAAGAGTCTATGGTAGTTTAGCAGTATCTCTCAACGAGCCTCTGAGGGTTCTAAAAGTATAACGAATGATATAATGCTTCTTAGTTTTGTTTCTGTACAGGTTCTTACCCAACTATCCAGGGCTAATTTTCTTACACCGTTGGTGCCCATGCCAACTCAAGCTATTTAAAGTCCATTCAGGATCTGAATCTTTTCAATCTCAGCATGTTCTTATCATCCACCATTGGCTCAAAACTAAAATGAATTGATTCAAAGGGCAATTTAATCCCCTCGTTCTTTTTTAATATTTTTATAGACTTTCCTTGTTGAGCAATGCAGTCAAAAGAATAAAAGCCCAGCTCATACAGAAAGAAGAATTGTGAGCCTCAATATCTCTTCCTATTTATCAGCCCAAAGATGTATACAAAGCTTGGTAGCTTTTAAAAAGGTAGTACAATGAATAAGACTATGATCTCATACAAGTACTTTAAACTGCGTATTATGAAAGAATAAGTTAACGGGAGGTGTTTTTTTCTACATGATTTAGACCATCTATATATTTTCTACCTAAAACTGTGTTATAAGAAAAGAGAAGTTACATGAGAATATGAGCAAATAAGGAGATCTCCAAGAAGTGTAGTACGATCCTTTGTCTTTTTCTAAAAGTGACACGCTTATACGTCATTTTCTATTCTTGTTTAGCATAGCTAATTCTTGGATTAGAAAATGACGACAAGCTTAAAGCTTCCAAGAAACGACATCTTATCAAAAAATACAGCCTTATAACAATGCTTAATTTATCATTACTATAGAGACCTTGTATAGTCTGTTGGAAAAGTATGATGTAAGGTGCATTGTACCTTACATTGTCATTGGCCTTTTTTTTTTTTTTTTTTTTTTTTTTTGGGAGCATGTCGTAAACATGTACGTCGATATAAAATTTGTATTTTCCTCTGTTATCTCTCTTTTTCTTCTTTTTCATCTTCTTTATTTCGATTCTCATGCTAAGACTACTGCAGATTATCGTCATTGTGTTAATCACAGCGAGCTTTATTCTGCAAATGCTCAGCTTGCTTGGCAATTTCAATGGGCTTCGTTCTGTCTATATTGCACGTATTCATCTGAATTATCCATCCAATACTGGCGGTGGTCTTTTCGACGGCTTCTTTGGTGGACTTGAAAACACGATACCCAATTATTTCTCGCTTGCTTTGTTCATCATCTGTCAAGAAATAAATTCAAGCGAAACCATTTGTACACCACCAAGCTTTGGATTTAGATATGGTAAAATAGTGAGCATATGTATAAAGGCATATACTAACTATGTTTGTTGTAGACAGTACAGGTGTAGATAGGACAGGCATACTGCAGGTACTACAACGACAGTTTCCATCCTCGCTTCAATCGTCAGTTGCTGCCATTCAAAAAGGTGTGTTTATTCCGTCTGTCATTTTATGTTTTGTGCTGTGGTGTTACGCTATTTTTTACTTGTTCTCGTTGTCCCGCCGAGAGAAGCATGCGATTGGTTGGTGCAATAGGATTCTGATTATCTTGTTAGCAGTGATTGCATTCTTGTTCTGTTTAGCTACTTTCATAGCTCAAATTATCGTCTATAATTATATGCAAAATGCTATCAGAGGATTGATGTCCAGTTCACTTGGTAGATACATTGACGATTTAGTCGTGTTGTCAACAAACAAAGGTCCTGCTATATGGTTGTCCATGGTTGCTTTTATTTGTCTGTTTATTGCAACAGTGCTAATTTTCTTTACTGCATGTTGTGGAAGAAGAAGAAAGAGAGGAACAGAAGATGCGTACGAAATGGATCGTGTTTAACAATATATTACTGTAATGTTGATTGTGTTACTCGAACTATAGATTTACATTACACAGAGTTCAATTAATCTGTAAATTTTTGTCTGGAACCCTTTCTCATTTTACTGAAAAGTAAATTGATTATGTGTTTATTATTATTACTACTCTTATTACTGTACACTTTAATTTTCTTTCTCTCTTTCTTTTTTTTCTTTTACTTATACCTTTTTGTAACAATAAATTTTACATTTAAATCCCTTAGTGAATGTTTAATCAACAAGGGCTTGATGTCAATAAGTTGATTTATATCAACGCTGTTGCAAGTAAATAGTACAACCAAATTGTAATGTTTTTTTCTAACGCTAAATGACATAGCAGATGGAACAAGTTCTTGCACACCCATCGATTGTCAAGCAAGTTGTTCACCTAGTTGTGGTAGCGATTATACTTGTGTATTGAAAACGATGACAAAATGCGGCGTTTGCCCTGCATCTGCATGCTTAAGTCGTACTTCTCTGGGTTTACCACCACTAAAAAGCACTACAAGTCAACCGAGTTCTTCAAACTCATCCAATGGCACAGGTGTCTTAGTGGGCGGTATTGTGGGCGGTTTAGTTGGATTGGGTTTAGTAGTCAGTGCTGGTCTATTTTTTTACTTTAAAAAATCAAAACCAAAGAAAGGTCAGCTTCCATTTGCGTTTACAACTGGAAATGCATCTCAAATGATCAGTCAAACACCTCAGCGTGCATTGTCACCTCCTGATACGCCAACTCAACCAAGGCACCCTTCTTTACTTCCCTCCAGTCGTTCCTCTTTAAGATACATGGCATCGGTTTCTTCTGCAGGCAGAACTGGATCTATCATCTCATCAGGGCGAATGAATTATAACGATGGCCCAATCGTATTTAACAACTCTTTTAATGACTTTAATACCACTAATACCACACCTTCTTCTTCGTCACCTACTGCATTTGCCAATTCAACGATTCCTGAGGAATTTGAAGAGAGTATAGCACTTCAGAATAAACGTATTTCACAAATATTGCACAACAATCCTCGCATGTCACAACGATCTTCCTATAATAGAAATAGTGCGCTTTCTTACGCAACGAGTACAGACGACAGTCATTATGATGGGGATAAACGAGACTCTACTTCAACTACCAGCTCACGTGCTCGAGACAGTCAACCAACTCAGCCACAAGTAGCAACAGCAGTGCAAGTAGTGCAAGTGACAAGAGCTAAACCTCAAATCATGCGTGTCAATTCTGTAAGACAGAGTGTGATGAGCAACGGCTTAAGTCGAAGCAATTCTGTTCGTACTATATTAACGCCAGCAAGCGAATCAGAAATAAATCTACCATCACCTTCAAGCGGAACAACAGACGAATTAAACAAGAAGGAAAAAATCGTCGAAGAAGATGAAGGAGAATATGATAATGTTTCTATAGACCAATTCCCTTCTACATCTGATAACCCCTTCAATGACACACATGCTTCCTCTTCTTCTGCTGAAGACTCAACAAAGAAAAAGCATTGATATAATGTTGAATAAATTTATAGAATTAAAAAAAAAAAAACAAAGATGATGTATCATGATGAAATACAGTGCTGATATGAAGTATGTGTTTTGCGAATAATAGAGTAATGATGAAGTCGTATTGATATGTTGCGTTATTATTTCTTTTTGGTCTTTGGCTTTGCACTTTCTTCAGCAGCAGCCTTAGCAGCCTTGGCAGCAGCAATGTTGGAGGCAATTTCGGCCTTCTTTGCTGCTTTCTTGGCCTTTGCTCTTTCCACTTGTTGCATTTGTTTTCTTCTTAATTTTTCTTCTTCAGCCTAATCTTACATTAGACTATGGTCGTCTTGTTATTTCTATCTTTTCTTTTTTACCTCATTCTTTTGTGCTTGAATTTCATTCAAGATTTGTTCCTTAAATGGCCATTCGTTAGGAATTCCAGGATCTTTCTTTGTCTTGTTGTGGTGAGCACTAGGGTTCTTCTTTGCTGCCCTCTTTTCCTTGCGATGGGCTTCCTTAATTTTACCCAAAATTCTGTGTTTACGATGAAGTGTAACACGCTTGCTCTTGACCTCTACCGAGAATAATAAGTATATTGGCCCGAGATCAACTTTGTCTAAACTTACTCTTTGGAACCATATTGAATAAAAGAAAAGAAAAGGGATAATTTTTCTCAGAAAAGAAACAAGCAAGTGAGAAAGAGGAAACAAAAAAAGAAGTCACAAGTGCATATACATAAGCCACTTGATTAATGCATTCTTTTTTATTTAGCCAAATCGTCTGGTAAATCTAAAATATGACCCATCTTCTTGACTTTGACAGCCAAGTATTTATCCATTTCATTTCTTGGTGTGGAAGCACCCGAGGATAACACGGGCGAGCTTGCTAAATCACTATGGACAAATTCTTTTTTAGCTAAAGAAGGAGAAGGCATAGCACTGTTTGTATTGCTACCAGGATGAAGAATGCCCATCAAATTAGACATAACAGGTGAAGACCAAGAACGGGGCACCATGGATTGACGCTTCACTACCTTGATAGATCCAAAAGATTCAAGCTGCTTAATTTTGTCAGGATTGTTCGTCATGAGTTGTACGCTAGATAGTTGAAGATCTTTAAGGATGGCATTTGCAATACCATATGTTCTGCCATCAGCAGGATGTCTCAATAACACATTAGCAGCTACTGTATCATGACCCAAATCTTGCAAGTTGTAAGCTCTAAGCATGTCGTGTAAACAAAAAGCTGATACTTTGAACCCACACTTACTTGAGTTTTTCCATCAAACCAATACCTCGACCTTCTTGTCTTAAATATACAATAACGCCTCTTCCTGCTTCCTGCATCTGAGCCATAGCAGTATCTAACTGTTCACCACAATCACATCGAGCAGAATGAACTGTTTCACCTGTAAAACATTCGGAATGGATACGGACAAGAGGAGGATCGGACAAAAGTTTCCATTCATTTTTGGCTTTTGCTTGTTGAGATTCTAAATACGCTTCTTGATCTTCTGTCAGTTTAAGAGAACGAGATTCTTCAGTCACCACTTCTTCCAAACGACCATAGTATGCACCTCTTACAATTCTGTTCATAATAGTTTCGTTTTCCCACGTTTTGTCCAAGGATTTCGAGCGAATATCATCACCATATACAATAGCCAAGTGTTCCTTGTTGTCTTGGTTATTTTTGTATAAATATAAATACATTTCACCACCTTCTGTGGTAGGAATACGGGCGCGCACTTGACATTGAATCTTTACTTCACTATCAGGCACAAGACGGGGGGTGACAGCACTTGGTGAATAAACTTGATTTTTAAGGAATTCTACGTAGTCTTGGATTGTAGGTGGATGATCTTCTTTTACGGGTTTGATAGAAGGAGAGTCGCTAACGACATTCATGCCAAATAATGTAAATAATGTTGAACTCATACTCTTTTAATTTGATAATTCTAAGTGCGTTTCTATACAAAAAAAAAGAGAAGCAGAAAGAAAAAAGAGAAAGAGTATTTATAATTTCACACAAATGAATTGGTAATCAAACATACCGACGGATTGTTAATTCAACGTGTCATTGATCTGATTGGATGATGCGGATCTCTTTTTAACCGTGCTGTATAGCATTATCACAAAGATGGCAAATAACGACAGCCCTTGTTCAGTTTGATTTTCAAATGCGTTTTGAATTGAAAAGAAGCTTAAGTCGAGTATTTGTTTCAATTTACCTTATATTCATACTGCAGACATAGCTCTCCTATCTGGGTTTGAACAGAATGTCAGGTGCAATTGTACAGGGTATGACTTGTTTTTTTCTTTCTTTTTTCTTTTTACTGCTTTTTGCATAATAAAATATGTCAGTTTCTCGAGCTACATGGTTTCTTCAAGCAAATCTTTCTCGGCAAAGAAACTTGGTTCATACAAGCAACCGTTTCATATCGTGTCTTTCCCGCTCGAGAAACACCACGGCCTGGAGAATTTTGAGATCAGAACAGGCCAATAAACCTCAGTTCACAACCAGTCCTTACAACGAAGCTATGGATAAGATCAAAAGCCAAGCCAAACTCGTTGGAAAAATCACTGGATACACTGTCTTGTCTGTCTCTACAGCCATTGCTTTTGTCTGGCAATTGTCGCATTGGTACATTGAATATGTTATGGAAGCCACACCACCTGAACTTGGATACCAAGCACGTAACTTGCTTCACGGTGCTTATATTCGTGAACACATTGCACCTGACTATGAGGTTGCTTCATTTTATGTGCGAGAAGCACTCCGCATAGCTCTTGAAGAAAAGAAATTAGACGAGACATCAGATACTGTGATCCAACTTCGACTTCGTTTGGCATACAATGAAGCCTGTGCTGGTAACTTGTTGGACAGTATCACTCAATACACACGGTCTTGGAAGCTTATGTTAGATAAGAAGGAATCATCTGTTTTGTTAGTAGAGACAGCAAAACACATTGGTGATTTGTATTTGAGAATTGGCGATTATGAACACGCTGAAGAGTTCTTGGTTTGGTCACTCCATCATTTAGACCAAAAGGACAATGTGTTACAAACAAAGATCACTTTGACTTTAGCTAGTTTGTACGCCATCCAACGCAATTTCGATTTAGCATTGCCTTTATTGTCTCAAGCACTCAAGACTGTACCAGAAAACGAATGTTGTTTAAAGGCCATTATTCAAAATCAATTATCAGAAGCCATGTACGGTTTGGGTAAAGTAGATGAAGCCATGGGTTGGGCTCAAGCTGCTTTAGGCTCAAGTGCTCAAGATCTCAAAAGACAAGATTGTTTAGAATGTGGTGGTGTTGCAGCAAACAATCTCGGCCGAATTCTTGAACTAAAAAGCCAATTCGATCAAGCACTTGAATATTATAGACAAGCCATCACTTATTCTTCATCTATTCATGACAGTACAAGCCATGACCGATATGTTGTCAACTTGGAAAGAGTGCAGGATATCTTGAAAAATAAATCATAGAGTTTAGTATGTACAATAAAAAAAAGGCATGAAGAAAAAGGAATGTGAGCATAAGTTATGATAGAAAAGGGGTATATAAAGGGGATCTTCTGATGCTTAGCGAAGTTCATATTGGTACTGCTCTGTATGATTCAAATCATCCATAATCTCATCCAATTTAGACACAATATGCTATAGAAAAGAGTTAATGTCTTATTGCTTGTTCTGATTCTTTACTTACAGAGCGTACACCTTTTACAGTTTCATAAGTACTGTTGTAGTATTGGTGTGGATCTTGCAGTCTCATTTGTTGATGAGACTGTATAAGTTCATCAATCATCCCATTTACATCATGCTTTAGTTGAACAAAGTCGTTTACTGCTGGAACAGTGTGGGGACGGTGAGCTAGACCAGGTTGGCGTGATGGTGTGGGTTGCATAGGTGCCTGAGGTTGGTTATAAAAATTAGGAGGCAGTGGAGCTCTTCGATTATAATTCGATCTTCTTGAGCCATCAATGGTACACATCAGTCTCTCATCGCAAGAACTTGGGCTATTACTTTTAGGTGACCCATAGTATTTTTCTCGATGAGGAGAAGGTAGGAAAAAGTCCATAGTCTTGACATGATCATCAAAGTAGCTTCGACTACTCGAACTGCTATAACTACCCATGGCATCATTCATAGGACGAATAAAATGTACAGGATCAGAAGAAGGTGTTGTCTCGCTTGAAGAAGAGCAACTACCACCACTAGAAGGTCTAGATATACTTTCAGGCGAGGATGAGTGACGATAATAGTGAGGGAAATGATGTACATCTGTGAACAAGCCATGGATTGAACCTCTTCTTCTTCCACTGCTACTTGTGGACGTACTTGTAGATGGATAGGGATTCGGTCGATTGAATGAGTTGTCTTGGTATATGTTACTACCGCTATAGAGCATTTCTTCTGGCGTGGTTTTCTTTTCATTAAATGCATCAATGAACTGAATATCGTCGCGCACAAAGATTTCAGAAGGCAGAGAGCCTCCTCTTGTATGAGGCTGTGTACTGATTCTTGACGACTTGGGACCACGCATATCCGCCATGTTTTGACTTCGGAACTCTTCCTCCAATTGTTTGTTTATAGTTGCCACCTTGAAAACAGGATCAGGTACATGTGTTGCTTGATCAAGAATGTCATCTTCTTGTTGGTCCAAGGCAGAGTGTCTTGATGGGGAAGAAGATCTGGATCTAGCAAACAGTTTGCCGATACTCATGTTACTAGCGACTCTGGTAAGTGATTTAGATCTAGAGCGAGATCTCGCTCTTGCTCGGAGCAAGTCATCATTCACACAAGAGAATGCTTCAGTAGCTCGAAGTCGGCGCTCATAAAAAAAGACTATAGCAAAGTAAGTATAAGTGATGTTATTTAACAGTACTCACGGTTATTCCATAAAGTGTCAATAAAGTCCAAGGGCATATTGCTGTCTTTTTGACACTGGTCATTCACAATATGCTCGTACTCCATGTCACGATTGATCTCGCGAATAGGAATTAAACTTGTTCTTGCCCGAATAGTAGGTTTATAGCCTCCAGATTTATGACGAGTAAGAAGGATGACAATCCAGACATCGTCAGTTATCAACTTGTTCAAATCAATCATTGTCGATGAATAATCCACATAAACAACCAAGATATGGTTCTAAACAATCTTGTTTTAGCCGTCTAAATCTTGTCTGTTCATCTTCCTTACCTTGTGCTCCATCTGATGGTATGATTCTTCATCATAAAAGTGCGTGTAGGCAGGTAACTTAAATTTATCCTCATAATATAATTCATTTGTTGTATCTAATGACATGAGAATGATGCAAATATGCAGAACTTGAGCCTTACCTTTGAGTTTGGCTACAGCAAACTGCTTTTGGCACAAGGCAATAAATTCATTCTTTTTTTCAATAAAGCAAGCCAGGCTTTGATGTTTAGTAGTGGTTGTGTTGGGTATAATCGAATAAAGACGGTCACTTCTTCTAAAGTAGTCTTCGGTTTCTTTTTCTGTTGCATTTGGATCCAATTCAGGCAAGGTCGTTCTCAAGAAAAAAGTATCAGGACGATCTAATCATGTTTCTTTAGTACTTTCGGGCCGATTTGTTTTTCTTTGTGTAATCTGTGTAATGTGATACCTTTTAAGCCATGGAACATTTCAACAGCCTTGATGTCAACCCATCCTTTAAACTCGAGTGGCAAGCCTGTATAGGCCTCTTTTGCTTTCTGTAGCATGGATGTTGTGGTTGTGTTTTTAACTTTCTCTTCAATCTTATGGAGTACATCTTTTCCTTGTAAATTGTAATTTTTGCGTTTGACAACCATTAATTTATCTGTGAAAACCAAAATAGTCACGGGCCGATTTGACTTTCCCGACAATAACGAGAGTTCGGTTGCATCAAAGTAACCAAGCAATTGACGTGTTTGGATCAAAGAAGCCTACACAAACATTTAGAAAGTTGGCTTGTGCACACTTTTATTTGTCTTTAAACTTACTGGAGCCTCACGAATAAGGTGGTACAAATTTAACAAGGAAGAGTCGCCATATTGCATGTCATTAATATTAGAAACTTTATCTTCCACTTGTTTTAAATATTCAATCTCAATATCATTTGGGTCTAATGCACTTGTAATCACTATAAAAATGTAAATAGACTTGTTATGATGACGAAGTCACCATATGTCTTACCTCCAACTAACAACTTGTATCTGGCCATGCGTTGAATGGGTGAGATCAGGATGTCACTCATTCCGAGGTTACCTTTGATTTCCGTGTTGAGGAGAAATTTGCTGTAGTTTTTATTTTGTTTGATGTTTTGTGTATGGCATGACAATGAGTTTGTCTTCCCCAAAAAAAAGACTCGATAACAATCAAAGGCTTTGACCTAATATCATAAGAAACTTATGTAATACGAATTAAACATACATGTTTCAACAAGATTTGTCCAAAGGATTCAGTGGTGATTCCTTGTTGATATTGGTGTAGTGAATCCAACAATGATTTATTGACTTCCAAAATATCTTCCATATTAATAAAGATTCGGTTGAAAGAGTATTGATCAAGAATAGGCGTCTTGTGCTCATTAGCGATTGATTCTTTAATTGGCTTCATCACTTTGAACACAATCTCTTCAAGTAATTCAACATAGGACTGTTCGGTGTCAATGAATTCTTTGATAGGTTTAGTAACAGCTGATTCAAATAAGTAGGCGTTTTTGGATATGACAGATTTCTTTACAAGTCGACATTAAAAACTGCAACTATAGATATATTTTTTTTTTACCTTTTGCATAGATACTTGTTTATTACTAGCTTTGTTTGATTTCTCTGTTGTTGTGTATTTATGACCGAAAAATGATTTGAAATGCTCCAGTTGAGGTTTTATACCTTAATTGTTTTATGAGTTATGCCCAGACAAGTAAAAGAAAAAGTACTTACTTTTATCCGATTTAGGTATCAAAACGTCAACATGTTGACTCTAAATAAAGTAATGGTCATTAGTTGTCTAACGAAAATTTTTTTAAAAAAACAATTTAATTTTACAAGAGGGTTCTTTGTCATGTTGAGTAAATGCCTTCCAATTTCTTTGCATTGATCAGACACATGATGGTCTTTTAAGATTGGAATCGCACTTTCTTTATAGATATTGCATGGATATCTGAATGGCGTATCAAGCAAAATATCCTACAGTTAAAAAAAAAAAAAAAAAAAAAAAGAGAAATATCATCAGTGATGATTATTCTATTCGCTCAAATGATATATCGTACTTTGGTTGATTCCATGTTTAAAGTTAGAATAAGAAGAAAAAAGATGGAAAAAAAAGAAGAAAAAAAGAGAAAGAGAAAGAAATACTTTATAAGTTCAAAAAAGGAGTTGATGTTTATTGTAACACAATTTTTTTATTTCACTCGGAAAGAACTCTGTATGTAAAAAAAGAAGTTACTTCATGCTCTTGTAAATTTGTGGCACTGTTTGTTTACAAACAATAACAAAATATCCTTGCATGAGTATCATAGCTTAATTCAAGAAAAAAGAAAAAAAAGAAAGAGAGAGAATGATCCATACATTTTGGGCAGTAGTATGACACCAGAGAATTGGTATTTTGACGATGCTTTTACTATTTGATCTATCATTCAATAGTTACACAGTTCCATGATCATGAAAACAAGAGCATGCTGCACAAAATCTTTCTCTCTATGTCATGCCATACATGACGTAAAAGTTATCAAGGCAAAAAAAAAAGCGAATGCATTGACCTTCACAGAGTCATAATGATGTGCCAGTATAAACAGTTACTCAATACCCTCCGCTTTATGTAACTTCGGCTTGTACGGATATTGTCCCGTAAAGCATGTCATATGTGTGCACAGCATCTTATAGAGTCCCTTTCTTGCGTTCAGATAACAACTAGTTTATTTTAAAGTTAAACTTTTTTATTTATACATAAATAGAGAGTCTATGTAGATATATACATGTAGAAAAAAAACAAAATGTAATCTAAGAGAGTGTTATATGTGATCGTTGGAAAAGCTTCTTTGTCTAGTGTCAACTTGTTTAGGGAATGAGAACTGAGAGGTACTCATGGAAGTCTTGTGTGTTGGTCGAGGCTTAAGATTATCTTTAGGCCAAACAAATTCATCTGAATGAGATGTATTTTGAGTTGAGATGAGCTCTTTCTTCAGTTGACTTTCGAGTGGGCTGGACGATGAAGATGAACTAATAACATCTGAGCCTGACATATTCTTGGTCGAGATTTGTAGATCGCGGTGAAATTGTGCTGTTAAGTTAGTGCTACTGTTGCTACGAGAAGATGTCAACAAGCTTGTTGTTTTCTTGTTTGTTTGTTGTTTAACAAGATGACTTAGGTTAAAAATGCTACTATTGGAATCCTCCTGACAATAATGCGAGCCTGGTAAATCCAATGCTTTCGGTTTTTTCCCAATGGCGGCTGTTGTCGTAAGTTTGGCTTCTCCTTGTACAATGTTCAGAAACTCCTTTTCATCAAAGTACTTTAATGCGGCCCAGGTTGGATTCAAAAAGGCAAATGTCTTTTTGAAGTTGCTCAAGCTTTCTATAAAAGTATAAATGAATTAAGGTACAGACAGGAAAATGTACTTACGACGACCGACACCACCACGCTCTTCAATACCATGAAGTGGTTTAGATGGCGCAGGCATGGTTCCCTTGCAGCCTTGATCTAGTGGGTTTTTTCCTTTTTCTAGACGACAGATGTTACGAGCAATACAGACACCTGCTAACGTGGCAGCATAGCCTGTCTTTTCTTCCACAATGTTTGTCACATCACCGCCAGCAAAGATATGTTTATGTTTCCAGTGTTCAACCTGTAGAGTTGGCTTCACTCGAATGCGGCCCCAAGAGTCAAGACATGTCTCAAACCCAGCATCACCATCTCCTTTCAGGATATCACTGCAGGCTGTGGTCCCAGTAGCCAAGAAGACTTTGTCATAGCCGGAATACCGTGTACCACTTGCTCCCAAGTATGAGTTTGTATCTGCTGTATCAAAATCAACGATTTTTTCATTCAAGATCACTTGGACACCAAGACCATCGAAGTATTGAAGAGCATTGGCTTTTTGTTTTGGTGAGCTGCGTCGTACAAGTGAACTATGTGAATCAATAATGGTTATCTTCTTTTTGAAATCATAAGGTGCTGGGTATTTATGGGTAGCAATTTCGCTTGCTAGTTCGCATCCTACTAAGCCACCACCTAAAAAAAAAAGCATGTTAGACTTATGTCTACCATGTCTTTTTTCATTCTTTTACCAATAATCAAAACTGATTTTGCTTTTTTGAGTTGAACATGTTCTGCTGCAAGTTCTGATAATCGATAAAGTGAGGAGGTATCAAATGATTTTAGTTTTGATTGATATGTACTTCCAGTAGCAATCACTAAATAATCAAACGGAATCTAAGCAGGTATTAGTATCTTCCATTATACGGTAATTATTCCTTTACAAATTCATCATTAACTTTAACATATTTAGCGTCATGAGTTATTTGTTCTGCATATCCAATGATAACTCGACCATTCTTGACATATGCGTCATGTCGTACACGAAGTGAAGATGTTTCTTCTGGTCTGACAAGTAACTGAAAATGACATGAATATTTTCTCTCTTTTTTTTCACTTTCTTACTTACCTTGATCATTCCTGGTGTGTATTCAAAGGAATCTATGTACATGAAATCAGTATATGTCAATGTAAGTCTATTTACCTTTAGTATCAATCAAAGTTACGTGAAAACGTGGCATAGGGTCCAGAATTGATGCAACCGTGAAACCCTAAATGTAACACAAGCATATTTAGTTTAATCAAGCGCCTTTTTCTTTTGACTTACAGTAAAACCTCCGCCAATAACAACGACCCTTTTTTTGTATTTGTTAAAGTTTGAGTCATAAAAAATTCTGCACGAATATGAATATACATGTATTTTTTTTTTTTTTTTTAGATGCTTACACTCTTTCTGGCCGATAAAGTTTATCAAATTCAATTGTTTTCTCGGTCTAAATCATGAATAAGTTTCCATAAACTTCTGTTGATTTTCTTACCAAAAATAATTTAACTTCTGCTTCAATTTCTTTTAAATGATCAATTACTTCATCTTTATCCAAGAACCCCCATTTGTGTGATTGGATATATTCTTCAATAGACTCTTTACTCTGCACATTGAGTTCCAAGGGTGCACCTTTTGCTAGAAATGTCTTCCAAATTCTAGTTGTGTTAAAATATACTTAACTTTGTCTTTGTTTACCTATTCACAATAGCTTCTATATTTTGAGTTGATTTTTCATGTTTTAGCTCATATAATGCTTCTATAAAAAGTAGGTTTTCATGAGCCTGCATATTATATAGAAATGTCTCGAAGAATGCTAATTCTTCTGGATTAGACATGATTTCATGTAACCGTTTATTTTCATCAGAATAACAAGTAGATACTGTACGAGTATCTATAGAAGATGAATCCATATCTTGATTATTATTTTTTTAAAAAAAGAAAGAAAGAAAGAAAGAAAGGGAAATAAAAAATTTGATGAAACACGCTTTTATTAATTTTTAGGATACAAAGAGAATGCACCATCACCAAAGTACTTTTCCATTTTCTTCTCTCTAGAGTTTTCAAGGGCAGCTGTAGGATCTACTAATTCCATGCTTTGTGCAGGTGTAAATGCTAAGGAAGAAGCTAAGCCAGAAGTGGCAGTACCGGAAATGCGGTTACTAAAACTCTTGAGTTTAGGTGCTTTGACTAAAAATAATAATAATAAGTATGGTATTGTGCATAGCATAATTTACCTTTGGTTCTTTGGTCAACAACAGAGGCTCTAATTTTGCCTACTTGCTTAGTGGTCATACCTAAACCTTCTGTTTCATCACCATAGCCCACTTCTTCTTCTGCTTCACCAAACACCATTCGATTACGAGCAGCACGCAATTCTGTCATGGCATAGGCTTGGTTTTGTCTTCTGACACGCTTACCACCTCTTCGCTTCTTGGGTCCTTCGTCAGGTACAGGCAAGGCTTTCACTACTTTAAGTGCAGGTGCTTCTTGCAATTTCTCAATTTTAGAATCAATTTCTTCTCTCATTTTTTGTCCATCTAGACCATGAGGGGACCGATGACTAGCATCAATACGTGCTGCCAAAGCTGCTTTGGCTGCCACAATCTTGACAAGCTTCTTCTTCAAATCAGAAGGTGCTGCCAAAACAGGTTCTGAAAAAGAAATATAACCAGCATGTCTATCCATATGTGCTGTTGAGAAACCTGTGTTTGTCTTTTTGTTATTGCCTACAACTTGGACATTGCAAGCAGGGATTTTACAGAATGCAGATAGACCACCAGCAGCTGTTAATAATTTGGCAGCTGTACTGGTACCCACCACATTGGACAGATTGGGTGCAATCACTGTCATGCGAGACTCGACATAATTCATGATCTTTCTTCGGACTGCATCTAATTCAAGTGTCATGTCGCATGCTTCTTCTACTAAATGCCATTCTTCATTTGATAATGGTTTACCGGCTGTTGTAGTTGCAGTGACTGTGATGACCATGATGGTAGCAGAGGGTAAAATAGGACGAAGATCCACTTTGGTGAGCTCTGTTTCTGTACCAATAGCTTTTACTGTGCGTGCATATTCAATTGGATTGTGAACAAGTGTTTCTAATTCAGGAAAACGAGCAGCATAATGATCGCGAATAAACTACACAGTGAATAAGTATAATGTTGTTTGATATTGAGTAGCTTACCTTGTGCACATTCTGTATCTCACTATCTATATCAGCTGTAATACTATTGGACTGCACAATAAGCTTGTATTCTTCGTCTTCTTCAGCTGGGCCCTTTACATCAGTAGCATGGCGATTTTGTACAATGTATTTATCGATTTTCTATAAAAGCGCGTTAGCTTGCTATGGAATTTTCATGGCTTTTGGAAGAACACATACCTGCAATACATCTTGTGTTTGTTTGCTATGTAGCAGCTTGGCTACTTTTCTGACACTGTTTGGATTATCTTCTGTTTTTACTTCTTTGGCTTCTTCCATGTGCTCATCTTGATCTTGTTCATTTTTTAATTTATCTAAAGCTTCTTGTTCTTCATCGACGTCAGATCTTTGTTGTTCTTCTTCGTCAGAAGAGAAGTCAAGATCTGCTGCGAGTTCGTCTGCAAGTGTAGCCATTATTAAAAAAGATAGAGAGAAAAAGATAAGTGCAGGATTCGAAGCAGCATTGTAATTTTGCAGTGTGACTGACACATCTCGGACACAATTCGTTACAATGTATAACACAGATCAACATTAGCATGGTTCGTGAGAGCTGTGGTTTCTACTGTTACTGAGACATTCACCAAAACAATCATGGTCCCTTATGCTAGACCCCTGAATAGCTGCTCCGGTGTACCTGCTTGGTCATCAAGCGGTAACTATAAATAAGGACGTCAAGTAACCTACCAAGGTAGTTTCTGGAGTGCTCAACGATAGTCGCACGTTGCCTTGCCCAGTACCAATCCAGTTTCCTAGACTAAGATAGATAGCTGCTCCACTAAACAAGCAACCAAGAGGCTCCGTGTCTCTGTTTATTGACAATCAATAATTGTCCCAATTGGTCTATTTTAGCCGGTTCTTTTTTCAAGGTAATGATCACTCAAAAAAAAAATTTTTTTTTTGCAACTGCTATTTCAGTTCCATGTTGTTTGACATTTCGTTTGTATTCTGTAAAATTGGTAAAACGAATGGTCAGATTTTGCCTCACAAGTGTCTCTTCATAAAGACAAGCAGGTTCTTGAAGAAAAAAAAAACTCTGCTTTAAGGTGTTCGAGCAAAGCAGGTAGGTATTTCTATTGTATTTGGCGTACAACACAATCTAATGAATCAGCCGCGTAAATTCATGTAATGCATTTCTACGAAATCAATGCTCTTTAGATTAAGGAAGTAACAATTGATGCATACCATAGTCCTAACATTGGTAATCAAATGTTTCATAGGATGCAGACCTTGTACAACGCCTAACTTGCATCATAATGTAGAGTTCTTGTTAAAAATATAAAGATTTGCTGCAATTATAATAATAAAGATAAAAAAAAAAGAAGGTTGCTTCCTTCAAAATGCATGAAAAAATAACACAAAGAAAAAGAAAACACAAAAACAAATAAAACAAACTGATTCCAATGAATATCATAGCCAAAGTAAAACCATTCTAAAGAAATGGTCCAAAAGACATGTAGCAACAAGAAAAAAATGGTTTAAACCAATTGCATAAGTGTGCTTTGATAATTAGGGGAGGTTTCAAACGAATATGTTGTTTATTTCATTTGATCATACAAATGGCATTATAGCTTTTGAGCTAGACGTACTTTTACGGTAGACAATCCCAATAATAGAACTGGAAATGTGACTATATGGTGCTACATTGCAAACCTGTTTATTTGCATAAACCATGTAATTGTCACTTTACTTTTCTGTTCTTTAGCCGCAAATATAGTCTCTTTTCTGCCTTAGCTTTCTCTTTGACTATGTGCTCATCATGGATGCTTTGATCAAATGATTCTCTCTTTACTTTTGTCTATGAGAAGAGCTCAAAAAATGATGCGAAAACTACTCCACAAAAGAGGGCTTTAAACCTTAATTATCCCTTTTCCATTTGAAGATCCTTCTGAAACAATAAAACTTTCTTGCCTCGATAAAGTAGCACTAGCAATGAAAAAAAAGGGGGTCTGGTTGTCAAAGAAAGACAGTACAAAAATAAGCTTATTTTATACACATGTGACAAACATTAATATACAGTGTGCTATGGAAGCTGCTTTCTCTTTCCCTCTTTGCTTTCCTATCACCATCTTTTTGTTTATCAAAAAGCAAATAACAACTGGTTAAATGTGTGTTTCTCTTAGGTTAGGCAGCAACAAGCGAGTTTTTTTTATTGTTCTTTATTGTTTTGTTTTGTTTTGTATTATGCAGTTGAACAGCGTTACACATGGTGTTGTCTATTTCTTTACAACAAGCAATGTCCTCAAAGACTATTTCTTTTCTGCCATCTTCACATACAATAAAGAAATAAATCGCTGTGCATGTGCATCTTTTTAAAGAGCAAGAAAAAGATGTATAAAAGCATAGATAAAATACATGAGTTGTATTTTATCAGCATAAATAATGATGTCAGTATGACTATGTTCTCTTCCCTTCCTTTTTTATATTTATTTTTTTTCTAATTAGTTCATACAGACAATAGTGTCAGATTTGGAAATAAGGTGGTTATCTTCATCTCTTTCACATGGCTTGCTTTAACGTAAAAAAAGAGCAAACAACATCTATAAAAAAGAAGGATCTAGCCTTGTCTTTTTTCTTTTCTTTCTTCCTTTTACTTATCATCTGCTCTACTCTTTTAATCAAAAGCTACGCTACCTCAAGGCCTCAAGACCACTTCTACTTTACTACAAGACCTACCCTACCTTACTTTACTCTTCTACTCTCTTGGCCTCGTATGCAAATCTACTAGCCTCTTCTCATCCATCAAGGAGGTAAGATGATTATTCTAAAAGATACGTTTACTGACTCTCTTATAGGGAACCACTTGTTTCCGTACAGTGATGTTCCAAATGCCCTCTTCTTGTCGGCGATGGCATCCATTCGGCCCTGAACTACGCAGGGCCAGTTTAGGCCGGTTCATTCGGCTCTGAACTACGCAGAGCCGCGTGGGCTATGAAAATCAGCACATTAGAGGGTAGCATGATGGCTTTGGTCTTTTGGTAAGTTATATATGCTTGAAAGCCTTTTTTTTTTAATCATCATTCTAGTTACTTGTTTCCTGGTTAATCAAGGCTCTCTTTTTATGGCTTTACTTTTAAATTCTATTTTTTCAAACCTCTTCTTCAAAATAATTGCCTCTTCCTAATAAATGAAATTACTTACACATCATTAAAAAATAAACAAGTCATTTTTCCTTCTTTTCTTATCATATATAATCATGATAAATCATTAATGTGCTTATGCTTCAGTAGTATTCAAAATTGCTATGTTTGAATTGAATTCGGGTAAAAGCTAGCATGTCTATGAAATAAACAGGGTTTCAATATGAGACAGACCTAGGTGTGCTTCCTTTTTTTTTTTTTTTTTTTTATCAAAAGAAAAGAAGAAAAAGGCTACACAGTACGTTTTTTAATCCTTCTTTACTTTCATCTGCTCCTCTTCTTTCTTAGAGCCATTTGTTATGAAGTTTTTCAACCAATTCACATTAAAAGTAAGCCTTAGCTTTGTGTGATTTAACATGCGAATAGTGAGTCAAAGGATATCAGTAGAAGAAGTATCAACATACATATATATATATGCATAAGCGTTCTCCAAAGGACTTGGGTAAAGTAAGTAAAAACTATAGACCACGATATATCTACTACTAATGATGACAATACTACTACAAGTCAACTCTTTCATTAGATATACGGAGCTTAGAACCTTTGCAAATAATTTGAATCTTTATTTGGAAAATGAATTCACGAGAACTACATGTATAACCAATTAACACTGAAAAAAAGAAGAAAAGGAAGCAGAAGAACATACTAATACTATTGTTAATATAGCCGTGAAGTTGAATTTAATTGCTGGAAATAGACTGAAAAGAACCTTAAATGAGGTGATTAATAACAGCAAAGTATCGTCTTCCACTATAATAAATGGGAGCGGCTACGGCACCAACAAATCCTCTAGTTCAAGCATTTTCAGACAACATAAATTTTCTGATGCTAGCACTTTTCAAGTTGATACTTCTAATTCAACTGACTCTGAACAAACTGAATAGCCCCCCTTTGACATATTCGGAACTAGAGAAAAGGATAATAGCAAAAGCAGACTAAATTCATTCTATGTATCAAAAAATTAAAGAATCACTCCTGGACAAAGAAAACTAATAAGTTGCGGATCATCCTTAATTTTAGATCTAATTGACAAGTCTGAAAACAACACTCACAAGGAATTATCTTCTTATGTTGATTGGAATACAATTGTTTTGGTATTTGAGAGTGATGCACTTCTTCCCTAAGCTAGAGTTTAAGAAGAATTGATGACCAAATGGGAATATGCTGCTGGTTTGTCTTTGGTATCAAACAGTTTCAAAGACTCGCAAGCCTTCCTTGCTTCTGCAGTTGCTATACAAAAGCAAAGTTATCAGCGTGTGACAATCAAACTGCTCATTTCCATTTACGATGTTATACAAAACAACCCATTCATTATGCGACAAGAGTACACCAAACGGAAAAATTATTCGCGCATTTCTGAAAAAAAGATTAGCGCACTTTTAAAAAAATAAATCTCGCAGAGAAAAAAGAAAATTTAGCATAGTATTTGAAAAAAACTTAGCCTATCATTAAAATCAAATAGCAGACTCGCTATTGGCTTCAAATTCAGTGTCCGGCGATGGTATGACTGAGCTGAAAAAAAGAAAAGCGACAGGATTAATTTGCGCCAAGAGATTAAAATATCGTAAAGGTTTCGGCTCCTTTTTTCTTTTATTTAGTTTAAATATTAGAACAAACATGCAAAGCGTTAGTGAATTTATTACTAATAGTGAAATTATTTCAGATAACGATATGGACACTTCATCTGACGATTATGTGGAAGATGACGAGCAGGAAGAAATGGAAATTGAGCATTTCAGTTTGAGCGAAGAATGGATGGAGAAAATAAGACGAATTGGGAATGATTCTCTATCATATATCGAAAAGAATACCACTGCTATATTAGATGAGTTAAAGTTAAAACTTTGTGAGAAATTTGAGGGTCTGAAAATCTCTATTTCTGCCATCCACAAACATTTAGTACATAAGCATAACATTACGTTAAAGAAACTTGAAAAAATACCAGCAGCAAGAAATTCTGACAGAGTAATAGCATTACGAAAAGCGATTGTTGAACAATATAAGAGTGATGCAGATATGGATTTTTCTGAGAATTGTGTTTTTATCGATGAAGCAGGTTTCAATTTGCATACGCAAAGAAACCACGGCCATTCATTAAAAGGCACACCTGCAAAGGGCACTGTACCAACTGGAAAAGGTGTAACATTTACAATTTTAGGTGCAATTTCTCAAGCAGGTATCATAAATATTGGAGTTAAAAAACCAGAATCAGCTTCTTCTAAAAAAAAAGAAGGGCAGATGGTAAGGAAGTAAAAATAAATAGCAAAGTTGGGACAAGAACTGAGCACTTTTTGGCTTATCTAAACAATGCAATGGATACACTAGATAAAAATAATATAAAGGGGCAATATATTGTTATGGATAATGCACCTATTCATAAGCCAAAAGTAATCAAAGCATTGATCGAAGAACGAGGACATAGGTGCATATATTTACCACCATATTCTCCTTTCTTGAATCCAATCGAGGAATTTTGGTCAAAAGTAAAAGCTGGTGTTAAAAGAACACCATTGACGACAGATGATCGTCTCACAGATCGTATATGTGAATCGGCTGGAAAAGTAACAAAAAAAGATTGTGAAGGATGGATTAAGCATTCAATGTCATTTTTCCAGAAGTGTTTGAATGAGGAAAGAAATCTTTAAAATAGTCAGTAGGAGTGCAGCTTTCAACAGACGCACTCTGAATGCTCACTGAGATTTTAACATCATGAAACAAGTACAGCGACTCCACCCCCAAAGTTCGTTTTCCTATTTTATAGATTCGCTTTTGTCGCCGACTGAAATTTTGCTTTGGCATCACCCAAAGTGTTACGTCATAAATTTGAAAAGTCACAGGTTTCGCTCAGGTTTCGCTTAGGTTTCGCTCAGGTTTCGCTTAGGTTTCGCTCAGGTTTCGCTTAGGTTTCGCTCAGGTTTCGCTTAGGTTTCGCTCAGGTTTCGCTTAGGTTTCGCTCAGGTTTCGCTTAGGTTTCGCTCAGGTTTCGCTTAGGTTTCGCTCAGGTTTCGCTTAGGTTTCGCTCAGGTTTCGCTTAGGTTTCGCTCAGGTTTCGCTTAGGTTTCGCTCAGGTTTCGTTCAGGTTTCGCTCAGGTTTCGTTCAGGTTTCGCTCAGGTTTCGTTCAGGTTTCGCTCAGGTTTCGTTCAGGTTTCGCTCAGGTTTCGCTCAAATTTGATAGACTTTTTTTTTTTTTTTTTTTTTTTTTTTTTTTTTTTTTTTTTTTTTTTTTTTTTTTTTTTTTTTAGAAGAAGCTGATTCTGGTTTTTTAACTCCAATATTTATGATACCTGCTTGAGAAATTGCACCTAAAATTGTAAATGTTACACCTTTTCCAGTTGGTACAGTGCCCTTTGCAGGTGTGCCTTTTAATGAATGGCCGTGGTTTCTTTGCGTATGCAAATTGAAACCTGCTTCATCGATAAAAACACAATTCTCAGAAAAATCCATATCTGCATCACTCTTATATTGTTCAACAATCGCTTTTCGTAATGCTATTACTCTGTCAGAATTTCTTGCTGCTGGTATTTTTTCAAGTTTCTTTAACGTAATGTTATGCTTATGTACTAAATGTTTGTGGATGGCAGAAATAGAGATTTTCAGACCCTCAAATTTCTCACAAAGTTTTAACTTTAACTCATCTAATATAGCAGTGGTATTCTTTTCGATATATGATAGAGAATCATTCCCAATTCGTCTTATTTTCTCCATCCATTCTTCGCTCAAACTGAAATGCTCAATTTCCATTTCTTCCTGCTCGTCATCTTCCACATAATCGTCAGATGAAGTGTCCATATCGTTATCTGAAATAATTTCACTATTAGTAATAAATTCACTAACGCTTTGCATGTTTGTTCTAATATTTAAACTAAATAAAAGAAAAAAGGAGCCGAAACCTTTACGATATTTTAATCTCTTGGCGCAAATTAATCCTGTCGCTTTTCTTTTTTTCAGCTCAGTCATACCATCGCCGGACACTGAATTTGAAGCCAATAGCGAGTCTGCTATTTGATTTTAATGATAGGCTAAGTTTTTTTCAAATACTATGCTAAATTTTCTTTTTTCTCTGCGAGATTTATTTTTTTAAAAGTGCGCTAATCTTTTTTTCAGAAATGCGCGAATAATTTTTCCGTTTGGTGTATCCTGATAACATTAGTGAAAGTGAGTATACTGATCAAATCTGGCTACCTATTTTTAAGTTTCTTTTTGCAACTAATGGTAATCTCATTTGAATGAAGAGAGGACAGACTGTACCAACAGACTCTATAATTGAAAATTCAAGTTTCTACAGTACAAACAAGCATATAATAGGCTTGAAAACTCACATCTGATTTATTTTCGACTACAAGGAATCAGAGTTTGACATTAGTGGTGCTGAGGTCTGCCTCCCCAATACCAATATTACCAAGGTTACATACGATGAGGGAAAGAGTATTGCTGATTCCTTCAACAAGTTAGTTCTGGTGATATTTGCTTTTCGTGGATTGTTTAACTTTCGGGCTTACGGGCTTATTTCTCAGCAATCGCCTATGTTGGCGCCTTACAAAACCAAATTGTGTTCCCAAATTGTATCGGAGAGTTGAATGACATTAATAAATCGTTATCATTCTTCAAAGCACTCTTTCAGTTTAGAAATACTATTGAAGACTCTGTACATATCATTTAATCAAAGATTACCCAAACAAGTAAATGCAACCATGCAACCAGCGAAAAATTTAATGATTTTTCTTATTTTCTCTCTCTTCACTTATTTGACCCAGTTCAAATCGATTAATGTTAAAGCAATACACTTCATTTTTCCTTTGTATTGTCAAAAACATGCTTGATTTCAGAAATTAAAGGAAAAGCGCGTTAGGAAGTTTGTGATAGGAATGCTTTCACAAGTTTGAGGTGTCAAAGAAAATGAATGGTTGCGTCGTAAACTCAACGGTAGTAAAAAACGATGGAAAAGCTTTCTTTTTTTAATTTTATCATAAATGTTCTGGGTAATTGAATAATAAAAGTTATCAAAAAGCAATTTGATCATAAGTGAAGCATTATTGAGAATAAATAGGAAATAAGTAATGGATTAATAGAGGCTGAAGAGTATTCTTAAATAAAGGACATAGGATAATCGGAAATGTAGGGAGCGGTTGAGGTAAAAAAGAACAGTATTGTTTACTTAAGAGAATATTGTTTAGAAACAGAAACAGGATACTAGTGTAAGAAAAGTATTGCAGATGCTAAAGAGAACAAAGCAACTTACAAATAAACACACGTACACCTTTCTTGAAGTTGGAGCCAGTATGCTAGACCTAAAATTGAAACAGGTCTCTTGTTGTTCTTGCACTTTATGAACACCATGATAAATCATTCATGTAGTAAGATCCTTTTGCATAATTTCATTTAATTAAGCTAAATCTTTTCTTTATGATAACCTAAAGAGTGTTTGATGCAGAATGAAAAAGAAAACTTAGACCACATATATTAAATGTTCATGCTTACAATAGAAAAAGAAATGTTGTGTTTATACCATAATAAAACAGTGACAGCAACTTACATCCCAAAAAAAAGGCTTAAAGCTAAAGTTTATTTAAAATGTATAAAGGGAAGGATATATGGACGTTTTTTATATATGTATATATGTATATTGATTTCTTCTTTTCTCTCTCTTTCTTTCGCTTATCTCAGAAGGCGAATGTAGATAGAATAAATAATAAATGTGAATGAACTAATATTCGACATCTTCTTCAATTTCAGAGTCACCCAAAGAATCAGAGCCAACTTCTTCATAATCCTTTTCAAGAGCAGCCAAATCTTCACGAGCTTCGGAGAACTCACCTTCTTCCATACCTTCACCGACATACCAGTGAACAAAGGCACGCTTGGCATACATCAAGTCGAACTTGTGGTCAAGACGAGCCCAGGCTTCAGAAATAGCAGTGGTATTACTTAACATGCAGACAGCACGTTGAACATTGGCCAAGTCGCCACCAGGGACAACAGCAGGGGCACGGTTATTGATACCAACCTTGAAACCAGTAGGACACCAATCAACGAACTGAATGGTACGCTTGGTCTTGATGGAACCAATAGCAGCGTTGGTGTCTTTGGGTACAACATCACCACGATACAACAAACAACAAGCCATGTATTTACCATTACGAGGATCACATTTGACCATTTGATTGTTGGGTTCAAAGCAAGAATAAGTGATTTCAGCAACAGACAATTGTTCGTGATAAGCCTTGGAAGCAGAAATGATAGGAGCGTAAGTGACAAGAGGGAAATGGATACGAGGGTAAGGGACCAAGTTAGTTTGGAATTCATTCATATCAACATTGAGAGAACCATCGAAACGAAGAGAGGCAGTGATGGAAGAAACAACTTGGGCAATCAAGCGGTTCAAGTTTTGGTAAGTAGGACGTTCAATGTCCAAGTTGCGACGACAGATATCGTAAATGGCTTCGTTATCAACCATGAAAGAACAATCAGAGTGTTCCAAAGTAGTGTGGGTGGTCAAGATAGAGTTGTAGGGTTCAACAACAGCAGTAGACACTTGAGGGGCAGGGTAGACAGAGAATTCCAACTTGGACTTCTTACCGTAATCAACAGAAAGACGTTCCATCAAAAGAGCGCCAAAACCAGAACCGGTACCACCACCGAAAGAGTGAAAGACCAAGAAACCTTGAAGACCGGTACAAGCATCAGCAAGCTTACGAATACGGTCAAGAACAGAGTCAACGAGTTCTTTACCGACAGTGTAGTGACCGCGAGCATAGTTATTAGCAGCATCTTCCTTACCGGTAATCAATTGTTCTAATAGATTGTTAAGCGTGTTCAATCGACAGAATCAAGACTTACCAGGATGAAAGAGCTGTCTGTAAGTACCAGTGCGGACTTCATCAACAACAGTAGGTTCCAAATCAACAAAGACAGTACGAGGAACGTATTTGCCATTGCCGGTTTCACTGAAGAAGGTGGAGAAGGAGGTGTTGTCGGTTTCGTTTTCCTTGGGAATGAAACCATCGGGCTGAATACCGTGTTCTAAGCAGTACTATAATAAAGGATAAGTATGAATAAAGACGTGTCAATATTGCTCATAATACTCACAAGTTCCCAACAAGCATTACCGATTTGAATACCAGCCTAATAATAATAATAATAAAAGTAGTTTATGTTAAAGGCTATCCGGTATTGCTTTTCACTTGTCTTTTACCTGACCAACGTGAACACTGATAATTTCTCTCATGATTGTATAAAGACTTGTTGTCGTAAGAGAAGAAGAAGAAAAAAGAAAAAAGGAGAAGAGTAAGTAGGAGGAATTATAAAATATTTTTTTAGTGTGCAATATGTGTCTCGTACTGTTGTATGACAAAAAGGAGAGTGAGGGCATCAAAAGGTTATTTTATTCGTCATTTTCGGTTTCCGCTAGTTGATTTAAAAAAAAAAAAAAAAAAAAAAGTACATTTACTTGGTTTATATTAATGAGAGAAAACATTTCGTGTGTTTAAGCGCGCCTATATGTGAGTGTGAGTGCGATTTTGTGTGCATGTAGGTATTCACGTTTTTAAATACTTAAATAGTGTGACACTGGATAATATATGTTGTATTACAATTGTGATAAATTACTAAAATAATTATATTTGCAGAGTAGAAGACTATATGAAATGAGTTTTAGTCAAGTTCAAGTATTTTTTTGTTAACCATAGTGCATATGTACTATTACAGCCCTGAAAACAAGGATAATTGACATTCAAAGTTTAGTTTATCGGAGCTTCTGTCTGGTACAAATGTTTGTTTTGACAAGTAAAATTCTTTTTTCTTCTTTAGATCGAGAATTTGTTCTACACACTCAGCCGAAGATCCCACATACTAAAGGACACCCGAGCCTTGAAACCTTCTTCTCTCCTAGAAATCATGATATTCTACAAAGAATGAGATCATGTCTGTTATGACGATAGAGAAAAATGGTATTGCTGATTCTGTTGTACATTTGCATAGTTGAACCTTTGAAAGAATACTGTTTTCTAGAGCAAAGAACAAGTAAGTTTGCCAACCGTCTGCCTCCTTTTCACGTATTTTTTGGCATCAGATACAAACATGCTTATCATGTTTTCTGTTGTACACTATCCATCCTGATACAAGCATAAATGAAGTTAAGAAAAGCCCTTCTTTCAGTTCCGAAACACCGGTAACACACTGACTATAACTGCTTTTCATATATTTTATTGATTTAATCATAAAATGATATTTCTTGTAGCTATATCTAGTTTCGCAATCATTCCCTTTAATGCTATCAACAACAGCAAACATACTTTCTCAACCACAAGCAACATAAAAAAGCTTGTGACTAGATTTTCACTTTTCAATGTCAAGGTTTTGGAAGTATGATCAGGACATTCTTAGCGCTTGAAGGCTGTGTATCTTTCTTGGCTACAAGAAACACTAACTATTTTAGTATACATCATGCTGTTTATTTGTATGCTCACCTTGATCATCGTACTGACAGACTATATTTATAAATTGTATTATTTGTACAGTTTTTCTTGTAGAATGTTTTATGTTATTTGACTGATCTTACCCTGAAAAGAGTCATGTTATGTTTAGACATCCTAAGGCATTGCAGGAATGCTTTTTTCTCTCGACAAACTTAAAATGCTTTAAAAATAGACCACAAAAATCAATTTCACAGTTGGACTGATCAAAACGAAGAATACTAAGGCTCTTCTTTATAATTTTTTTTCCTTTTGGTAAACAAAACGATTTTCTCATCGCGTGGGCAATTCGGTTTGTGCAAAAAAAAAGGGTCCATTTTCTTTTTCGATGCTATTCTAGGCGAGTATCCGAGTATTCGGCTAATGAAGTGTCTTGACTGTGTAATTCGTATGTTTCTTTTGGTCCGTCTATGTATTCCTGTTTTTCTCAAATATACTTATAGTAACTCATCACAATATGAAAGACATCCTTTTACTCAGAATTGCACTTTTCAAGTATTTGAAAACGTGCATGCATACACAACTTGGAAAGAGCATTTATGAGCTTCTTTTTTTAAAAGTGACTGTACCAAACTGATGTTCTCTTTTCCTGTATCTCAGTACAAATGTATCATAGCATACTGGAGACGTTGTTTGTAAGCAGTATATTTTCTTCCTAATACCAAAAACGAAAAGAAAATACCTGGAGATCGACATCTCGATTCACATTAGCGGATATTTAAATTGTCTCATAAGAAACAGCATCTCTCATAAACATGTGATATGTTTTATTTTCTATTTTTTCTCCTTTTTTCCACTTCTTTATCCATATTATGTCTGTTGTTATTGAACCAAGCGAGCAATTAGAATTTCACCGTAAGTAATAGACCAGTGTCATTTATAGTTCTCTTGGGCACATATCAACCTTGGATTAGGTCCTTTTACGCGTGTATCAAAAGAATCGCTTCACGTAAAGAATCCCGGTCCAGAACCCATTATCTTTAAAGTCAAGACAACTGCACCCAAGCAATATTGTGTGAGACCTAATGCTGGCCGTATTGAGGCCAATTCTCAAATTGAAGTACAAAGTAAGTCTTATTTTCCATATTCTATCATTATTCATTTTTTTTTCTCTTTAGTTATCTTGCAGCCTTTTAGAGAAGAACCACCCGAGGATTTTAAATGTAAAGACAAGTTCCTTGTTCAAACTGCTCTTTTTCCTTCGGGATTTGATGAATCTCAACAAGATATTACATCCATGGTAAGTAAATAAAAAGAGAGAAAAAAGAGAGAGAAAGAGAGAAAGCTAACTTTGTTTCTCTCTTTTTAGTGGAGTCATATTGAAGCCAATGTGAGAGACAGTATGCATCAACATAAAATTAAATGTGTATTCCTTGGTCCAAGACAAGAAGAAGAAACACAGCAACATCAAGAAGTATGAAATCATTGCGTATATTTTATCATTCTTCTAATTTTATATTATCAGGTTTCTCCTATTCCCGAACAGGTTAAAAATACCGAGAAAGTTGCATCATCACCCACATCGCCATCATTACCAAATACAGCTGCGCCCACCACAGTAGAATCACCATCAGCACCATCAGAGTCAGTTGCAGCTCCTGCTGCTGCTCTTGCTCCTGCTGCTACTGTTGGTGCTCTTCCCGTGACTCAACCCAATACTACTACTACTAACAACAACAACAAAAATCCTAATAACACGACTACTAGTGCTCCTGTTCAAACTATTATTGAAAAGAAAGAAGAACCAGTTCAGACAGAACCACAAAAGAATGATACAACAGAACAACAATTGAAAGAGTCTTTGGAGAAAATTAAATTACTTGAGAAACAATTAGCTGATATCCGAAAAGAAGAAGGATTACGTGCACGTAACTTGACAGGTACCAGTGCACGTAAATTGGCTTCAACAGTCCAGCCTCTCGATGCAGTCCATCAGCATTTGGCTGCTTTAGAAACACCACGCCCTACAGAAGGTTATCCTCCACAAGTAGTGATGGGTATTGCTTTATTAGTCTTTGTCTTTACATATCTTTTCTTTTAATAAACTTGATCTATGACACCTCCTCCTAAACACCAATCTCCATCCCAAACAACTACTTGTTGGCCACGTGCAATGGCTCTAATAGGCTGTTTGAAATGCACTTTGTAAACACCGTTTTCAACTGACAGAATCGCCTTTTCAGGTGATTGTCTGTACCTCACTTGAGCGTCCAATTCGACTGTATCTGTTGGATGTTGATGATGAATCCAGACCCAGTCACGTGCAGTGCATCCACTGTGAAAAAGTGCAGGATGATTTGAGCCAGGCACAACCACTAACTTGTTTTCGCTCATGATCTTTTGTGCCACAAACCATTTTTCTGACCCATGGCAAATACGGGAGGCCTGACCAATCGTGTAACCATAAAGGCCATTATGCTCGCCAATCACTTGACCTGTTTCCAAGTTCACAACAGGCCCAGGAGGCTGATCAATGTACTGCTCAAGAAATTCTGCAAATTTTCTTCGTTGGCCTACAAAACAAATGCCCATACTTTCTTTCTTACGGGCAATGGCATCTAGACCAAATTGAGTGGCTAGTGCTTTGACGTGTCGCTTAGATTCAAAGTTGCCTAGAGGGAATAAAGTACGATGCAAAGCTTCTTGAGGCACAGTAGACAAGTAATAAGATTGATCCTTGTTGCGGTCAAGTCCCCGCAGCAATTTTCCATTCTCAGATCGGCAATAATGACCTGTGGCAAACCAAGTATTCTTTGGAATCTTGTCAAGCAATGCGCCAAATTTAATAAAGCTATTACAGGCAATATCTGGATTAGGTGTTAATCCATGAGCATAGTCAGCTAATGTCTTTTCAAACACGTCATTCCAATATTCTTTGACAAAGTCAACATGTTCGCATTCAATGTCAAGAATACGGCATACTTTTTGAACATCTTCCCAATCTTCTCGGGAAGTACAGACGCCTCGTTCGTCTGAAGTATCCCAGTTACGCATGTAAATACCTTGGACTTTGAAACCTTGCTGCTTCAAAAGAGCAGCCGAGACACTCGAGTCAACACCACCTGACATGGCCATCACAACACGATCTCCTTTTTGTGGTTGTAAAGTAGAAAGGCATCGCTTAAATAAAGAAGTGCACTTGGTTGATTGTAGTAAACTCGATCGTAACATACGAAAAAGAAAAAATTAAAGAGAGAAAGAGACCTGACATGATTGGACAAGAAAAAATATGTCAAAGGGTCCAAACTTGACAGTCCATTTTTTTTTTTTTGATTCAGAAAACAACATTTGTTCTATATAAATCAAGAAAAATCATGTTACAAGCAATGCAATGCAATAACAAAGTCTATATCTATAGTTTCACAACAATAACAACAACAACAACAAGTTTATCCAAATTTTAGCCAATCTTTTTTGTGTTCAATACAGATATCAAAGCAATATTTGTTGTGGCAAAGTCACTACGGAAAGAAGATAAAGAGGCAAAGCTTGTTGTCGCAGCTCAAGAGAAAAATCACTCTCTCCTGAATTGTTTGTGGTCTTACCGCGGTCTAAGTTTTTCTGTTTAAGCTCCTCAATTGCTTTAAAATTGATGAGGGAGAAAGCCTTAAATAAAATAAAAAAAAGGGGAAGCAACTACATCATTCCTACGTTGTATTAAACAACAGCATTTTCTTATGTGTCCTTTCTCTCAAATCAATGACAAAACGTACTCTCTGATTTCCAAAATAAAGCCGGAATTACTGTAATTTAAATAACAGGCCAAAGGAGAATGCGTAATATGCATAGCTAAGTGTTACGTTGTGCTTCAAACAGTTTACAGGGGACAGAATCGTCATTTATCAGAGAACTTATCATCCTTTTTGCATTTTGTTTACTATAGCAAGTGATTTTTGACTGAATGATTGACAGCATACAGCTTTATCAATAAATATTTTATATTCCTTTATGGTCATATTAAATAAGAAAAAAAAATGTCTGTGACGCATTTCAGTATCACCAGAGATACACAAAGGACAAAAAAAGTTTCATCCTTCATTTAGTTTCAAGTTTCGTGCGATCAGAAAAAAGGTATAAATTAAACTTGCATTTTATTTTCTTTACTCCTTTCTTTCTCTCTCTTTCTTTCTTAAATATTATTGAATGGCTATTCGTACTTCTATTCCTCCTCTTCAATTACAGCCTTTGTTGTTTACACCAGAAGGATCAGTGCCTTGTAGTCCAACACTCTCCCCTGCTGTTGTAACACATACAAATGCAACCACTCGTCATCTTCATACAAACGATTTAAATGCTGTGGATTGCATTGAATTAACCAAATTACTACAGAATGTCGTTGCCTCCAAGAACCGCAGAAGACCTGTTCAACAAAATGCTTCTACTTCTACATTCAACAGCACTTCTTCTGCAAGCTCAACAACCTCTTCAAATCCCGCTTTACCATCTCAGTTTGTATTCAAGAAACCATTGTACAATCAGCACTATCATCAAACACATTTCCATCATCATACCCCTCCTTCTCCACCACATACCATTACACCTACACCTACACACCACTCACAAGACCAACGTCAAAAAGATCTCTTTTTAGCCTGGTCAGATCTACGAAGATTTTTTGCTCAACAACCACTTTCCGATGACGACCAAAGATTTGCAAATCAATTTAAACAAAATATCTCTGGTCGATATGGTCAATGGGGTAAGTTTGCGCTATTTATTTGATAAATGTCTCCTAACTAAAATAATTGCCTCAAATTTTTTAGGTCGATATATTGGCAAAGGAGCTGGTGGATCTGTTCGCTTAATTAAACAGCATAACAAAACATTAGCCGTAAAGCAATTCCGCCCTAAATTCCCTCATGAATCCGAAAAAGACTATGTAAAGAAAGTTACTGCTGAATTCTGCATTGGCTCTACATTACAGCACCCAAATATCATTCAGACATTAGATCTTGTACAAGAAGATGGCAATCACTTTTATGAAATTATGGAGTATGCGCCCAACGACTTGTTTAATGTGGTCATGAGCGGCATGATGTCGCGAGAAGAAATTGCATGTTGTTGGCGTCAATTACTGAATGGCGTAGAATACCTGCATTCAATGGGCATCGCTCACCGAGACCTCAAGTTAGATAACCTAGTCCTTGATCATATGGGAATTCTCAAAATCATTGATTTCGGTTGTTCAACTGTATTCAAATACCCTTTTGAGAATGCCATTACCATGACAAAAGGTAAACTATTTTATTTATTTATATATGTAATCTGACATACTCGATAGGTGTTTTCGGCTCAGACCCGTATATTGCCCCAGAACAATATGTGCAGCCTGTGTACGACCCTCGATTATCAGATGTATGGTCATGCGGTATTATTTTTGTCTGCATGACAATTAGACGTTTCCCTTGGCGACTACCGCGCAACTCTGATCCTGCCTTCCGTGCGTTTTCTACCAATTGCAATCAACAAAAGTTTCGCCTGCTTAAACTTCTGCCACGTGAATCTAGATCCGTTATGACAAGTATTTTGGAGATAGATCCTTCTCGTCGCTGGTCTTTACAGGCTATTCTCAAGGATGATTGGGTCAAGAACATTGATGTTTGCACAGTGCATGAGCCTGGAACTCGTCATATTCACCATGTTTCTAGTCTAGATACCACTGTTCAACAGACAAGAGGCAATTTAGTGGCCATGACCCCTGAACCTCCAGGCGTAGTAGCAGAAAAAGAAAAAAGAAAACGTCAATTACAGCAACCTCAAAAATCAACTTAAATTATACCATTTCGATCAAGACTAATAGATGCATACATACACGCATTCCCAATAAATCTTTTTCGTTTCTTACTCCTTTTACATTCATTTCTCTTTCTTTTCTATTCGATGGCTACCATTGAGACAGCCTATTATGTACCTACGTTTCTAGGATTATCTACCACATTCGGTATTTCATGTGCAGTCTCTGCCGTCTGTATTATAGCATTCGAAATATGTAAACGACTGGATTCAATGAAATGTCTCTTTTCACCAAGGACGCAGTTACGAGTGTATGTTCTACAATCAATCACTAGTTACTGACTTTTCACAGAAACCCTGTAGCTTCACAACCCAATCGACTATTTGCTTGGATCACGTCTGTCTTTGATCTAAAAGAAAAGGACTTTATCAACAAAGTCGGATTAGATGCAACAATGCATGTACGTTTTTTACGTATGGTGGTTCATTTCTTGATGGTCCAATCCCTCATGATATGTCCCGTCTTACTCTCATTACACTGGACGGGTTCCGTCTCCTTTGATAGTTCAGACCTGGCTACTGAATTCACCACATTTGCCAAGAATGAAAGCAGTCCCAGCCTATTCAATAACACAAATATAGATCATTTCCGAAGCAATTCAACACTTTATTATCTTTCCATTGCCAACATACCCAATCAAAGCCCACTTGTCTGGGTTCATGTGGCGTTTATTTATGAGGTGGTTTTGTGTTGGTTATGGCTCTTGTTTGTAAATCATATTCACCATATTGATCTGCTGCAGCAACAAGACCGAGGATCTTTGCTACATGAACGATCCGTGCTGATCACCCGTGTCCCACATATCTTACGTAATCAAGCTGCTCTTAAGCAACATTTTGAACGTGCACACGTGGGTACTGTGGAATGTATCACCTTAGTGTCAAACACCGTTATTCAATTGGTGGAGTCTATACTCAGTAAACGACTAAAGCGTATTCATGCACTAGAGACCTTGTTGATCCGAATGGCCAAAGATCAAGACAAAATAGACTGGCAGGACTGGTTAAGGCGTATACAGAAACGTGAAGCATTTCACGAACAGTCGCAACAAGTGTGTCTATTACTGGAAGAGATTCAGGATATGGATAAAGAAGTTATAAGGCTAAGGGATCAGAATCGATCTCCTGAATACTATATGCCTACAGGAGCTGCTTTTGTTACATTCAGGTAAGTGTGTATACATAGTGTTTGTACTAAACATGGTTAGATCGGCTCATTCAGCACAGATCTGTGCACAGATAGTCACCTCTTGGAAGCCAGGCATTATGGTGATTCGGATAGCACCCGAACCTAGAGATGTCTTGTGGCGAAGTTTATTAAGGAGAGGAAGAAAGAGCCAAATGATGGGCATTATTCGACAATGGGTAGTTTTTGCTGCTGTTTGGTAAAAAAAAAAAAAAAAAGCAATGTACAAACACTTTAACTTAGTTTGTGATAGGTCCTTGACTATTTTTTGGCTCTTCCCTATTACATTTATTTTAGGCCTCACATCAATACAGTCCTTATCACAGCATTTTTCATTTCTAAGATATTTTCTTGCATCTTCATTGGTCGTCAGATCATTTGTACAAAACATACTACCCACCTTATTGGTAACATTATTTATGAGTCTTTTACCTTGGATTCTTTTAGGTAAACTACTGTTATTGCATAAGAAGATACTTATTTGTTTATATAGAAATATCAAAGCAGCAGGATTTTGTATCCTATTCTGAACTAGAAGATACAGTTCTCGGGCGATATTATCACTTTGCTATCTTTAATGTCTTGATTGTTTTTTTACTCGGTACTACCTTTCTTACCACCATGTTGGACGTATTATACGAACCAACAATGTTGATACAACTGCTTGCTAATGCACTGCCTCAAGGTGCTAATTTCTTTCTCAACTATATCCTATTTAATTCATCTACACACGCTATGGAACTTGTACAACTTGGTTCTCAACTCTTTGGTCACTTGTTACTCACGCTACCTTTCATTTCTCGCACTCCGCGTATGCGTATGCTACACACAAAGCCATGGTCTTTTCCTTTCTATTATTATTATCCTAATCATATCCTTGTCTTGGTGATCACGCTCACATACTCAGTCATACAGCCACTCATTCTAATATTTGCCCTGATCTATTATAGTTTTGCACTCGCCGTCTATCGTCACCAATACATGTATTGCTATCTACGACGGTACGAAACACATGGATCACGACATTATCGTCGAGTAACACGATACACTTCAGATGGACTTCTGATTTTTCAACTGACCATGGTGGGTTTGTTGTATCTTAAAGGTGTCTTGGCAGCAGCCACAACATTGTTGCCTTTGATTATCTTTACTGTCTGGTTTAAAGTGAAACTGAACAGGTTATTTCAAAGACGAACCAAACACCCTTATGTAGGTCGATTTCAATCCACTACCACCAGCCATCATTTACGTATCTATGAACAACAACTCCAGACAAATGGTTGCTGGCTATGGCATCAACTAGACGATATTTGGAAATTCTCTTATATTGGCGCATGGTGGGCATCAGGTCGTTATGCTCAACACAGTAGTGATAATTTATCCACAGTTCATTTAGCGACTTTGGAACAAGTGCGTGCGTCCACGTACCAACCCGACTGTACTACAACAGAAACCAAAAAAGACATCAGCGTGGATTTGTCTGATCTCCCAGAACAATGTCAGGATTTACAGGCCTATCCAGATGATTCCAAATCGGTGCATGAAACATATGAACATCCAGCACTTGTCACGCCTTTGATTTCGGAGCTCATCTTGCCACTCTATCCAAACCTTCATTTTTGGAATCTAGAGGAGTGCGTACATGTACCATTGGATACAATCCAAGCTATTTTCTGTGAATAACACAAATAAAGAATCCTCTATTATCATGTGTTGAGAAGGGTATAGTAGCATATAAATATAGGGTTGTACAGGCTTAAAATAAGGTATCCAAAATAGTCAAATCATCATCAAGGTACAGACATATGATTGGGTGCGTAAAAATACGTTCAAACTTCCGCCACTTGGCCTAATACACGCAGCCCCCTCCTCCGTCTTTTTTAATCCGAGTTTTTTTTAGTTTTCCTTTTTTTCTTCTTTTCTTATTGTTTTATTATTGTTATCATGGAAAAGGTCAAAGAGGTAAGTTGTTTGGTGTTATCTGTATGATATGCTTACAAAAGCGCGTTTATATCAGAAACTCGCTTCCCTTCGTGCTCAAGCTGAACAAGCTACTGCCCTTGCTGAAGAATATGAAGCTAAAATCAAGCAACTTGAACTCGAACATACTTCCAAGGACCATGAACTTTTATCTCTTCAAATCCGTGCAAAGAACTTGGAAGAACAATTAGACAAGACTGAAGAAAAGTTACATCAAACTTCTGCTAGGTAAAATCTACAAAAGGGAGAGAATAAGCATGATTACTTATCATTGTATTTAGTTATAATGAAGCTGATCTAAAGGCTGAGGAAGCTGAACGTAAGGTCCAAACGCTTGAACAAGAGTTAGCTGATAAGGAGCAATTAAATGAAGAACTCCAAGAAAAGTATAAGAGCATTAAATCCGAGTTGGATGAATTGTCTCGCCAATTTGAAGAATTGTAAATTTAGTAATAAAAATAAAATAGTAAGAGACTTTGTTCATACAACGTTATCTACACCAGTACCGCCAAGTGCCCTTGAACTTGCATAGGGTTGGTTCTTGATAGCAGCAATCACTATAAACTAGTAAATACATCTAATGAAACACGAGTCTGGTTACCATAAGAAAGAAAAGTGAGTAATAACGTAACAGCAGGCACAACAAGGACAGTGGTATTGATCAAAGTAGACAAGAACATGACAATAGAGAAACTAGTCCATATAAGCATTACACAATCTTAAATAAAACGGCTTACATGATGTAGACTGCACCACGGAAATAAGCATTCTCAAATCCAGCAATAAATGCATCACTAATGAATGGAAACAATAAGTTCCCCCCCTATCATATTTCGAATTGACTTACAATCTTGGACTGGTAGGACAAAATTTCGTACAAAGTGGAACTTCTATAAAAAACAAGACAAAGGCTATCACCCTATTCTAATTGTAAATATAGAAGAACAATGACTTGAATCTCTTACCAGCCTACAATGGCAAAAATAGGATTACTGGTCAAAGTAACTACACCCAGAGCAACTAATACTAATGAAAAAAAAATAAATGCATGGAAATTGATAGACATACTCTACAAATAATAGAAATTACACCAAGCCTATTACACAAAACAATAAGTATTATTTTACAATACAATTGAAATATACCATTGAGCATAAAGTGAAAAGTTACGTGACTTAAACTCGTCTAAAAGACCCATTTTTTAAAAATAAGAAAAAAGAAAAAAAAGAGAGAAGGCAAATCTGATCCAATCAAAAAGGAAAATGAATAGGGAATATTGACGTCGACGTCAGCTGGTATGTTTTTTTTTCTTTTTTTTTTTCTTTATTATTTCCTTTTCACTCTTTATTCTATAATATCATTATGAGCGTTGCAGGCTCAACTTCCTCACAAGGGACCCACTCACGCTCTCCTTCAAGATCACGCTCACCACCTTATAGTGACGGAAGATATCCTAACAATACACGATATCGTTATGACTACAACTACAGACCTATTCGAAGTGGCATGTCAGCAGCATTGGATGACTATAGAGACATGCGCGAAAGAGAAAGAGATCGAGATAGAGATAGACCCATGGGTCTAAGAGACGACAGATATGCACCGCGTGGTCGCGAAAGGTAAAATTTATGAACCACAATCTATATTCATTCTTTTACGTACAGAGACGACAGATATACGCCTTATTATCGAGACGAACATTATGCTTCGTCATCATCTTCCTCTAATATGCCTCGAGATTATCCTAAAATGCCAGGCAATTTGCTTCGTCGTGATGGTAAACATTCTAACCATAGCAACGCTATTTACACTCATCTATTTTAGATAAACTACCTAATTCCTCTAGTTCAAGTAGTATAAAAGACCTCAAGGACGATACAACCAAACCACCCTCTACATCCACCAGTGCCGATCCACCGCCTAATGCTTACCCTTCCAGCAGGTACATGGACTGGCGTGAACGAGAACGAGACCGAGACCGAGAAAGAAGATACCGAGATGATGATCGCCGTAGAGATTATGACAGACGTCGAGACGGGTAAACTATTCAATACTTTACATCAATTAACTAAATCGTTTTAGTTATATGCGTTATGAGTCTTCTTCCTATGGATCAATGAATTATCAAATGCCTCCATTTGGTGATTCTTACAGACCAGATAGAGACATGCCACCTTCACCTAGTGTACCATATTATGAAAGAGACCGTTTAGATGACCGCGATTTCTATCGAAGAAGTAATGGAGCTAGTAATGATTATGATAGATATAGAACAACGCCTGGTAATAATCCTACGCGACATGTAAGCCGACCTAGTTGGAGTTCAAATAAAGAGCGTATGTTGGACCGTGATCGACCTGAGAGAATAGACATCCGTAGTGGAAGAACTTCGCCTATTAAAGAACGTTCAGAGACAAAACCAGAAGAGAAAAAAGAAGAAACAGAGTCAGAATGTAAGATTTTAATTCATTTCTTTCGTCTTTTAATTTTTTTTCTTTCACAGCTAAACCAACAATCGAACAACAAAAACCAGAACCAATGGAAATAGATACAACAACAACAACAACAACAACATCATCAACAATTCAACAAGAGCAGGACTCACATGAACTAGAAGAAGGAGAGACACAAGACAATAAACCAGCCATTAATATGACACAAGAACAAATTGTAGAACGCATTGACGACATTGAAAACCAAATTACCATGTACGAAGAAATGCTTGAATTAGCTACAAAGAGAGAGTCTAAAAAAGAAAAAGAAAAAGAACAAGAACAAGAACAAGAGGAAGAAGACGAAGACATGGACATGGAAGCAAATAAAGAAGAAGCCAAAAAACAAGCTCTACAGGCTATGGAAAATGAACCTTCTGCTGACATGGTGAATTTTGCTGATACATCTGTTGTGCGAAAACGACCTCAATTGCTGATTAATCAACTACGCTCTAAAAATGATCAAACAGACGATGCATTATACGAGAAAATCTTGCAAGATAATCGTAAAATAGCTCAAAAGAATGCTTGTATGGCAGATGGTCTATGGCAAGGAAAGAAAGAAACAGAGGAGAGTTGGTTAGATCAAGAAAACTGGTCAAAGCCTCTTTATGCTTCTATTCAAGATTATCCTTGTGTTCAAGACAACATTGCCCAGTTTGAAAAGTTACGTATCAGTGTAGCTCATTCACTTTCTCTTCAGAAAACAGCACTTAAGAAGAAAGAACGATTTCTCAAGAATGAATACAAAAGACTACATGAACAATGGACACGCAAAAACTTGGCTTTGGACATGAGACGTGATGAAGAGCGTAAAGTATCTGATCGATACAATAGCTATCGCTCTTCTAGTCGACAACAACGTGAAAGACCTGAAGAATATGTGGACAATGTCATCTTCATTAGTGGTGCCCCCGATGCTTTACGTTTTAAGAATGACGGTGCTTCTACACCCTATGGCCTTTACACATCAGATGCTGCTCGTTCAGAAGCCGAACTGCTAGAAATCATTCAATCCTTGGAAACAGCAGAAATGAGAAACCCTGAATCTCGAGCTAAAAAGACAACAGCCACTATTCCACCTATGATTCTTGATGAGCGAGAACGTATGCGTACATTTGACGATCGTAGTGGACTGGTCAAGGACCCATTGAGCTATTATCACACAGGCCCTGATACAGGTGATGTTTGGAATCAACAAGAAGTCACTACCTTTATGGAATCGTACATGATGTATCCCAAACAATTTGAACGTATTGCCATGGCTGTAGGAACCAAAACAGCATGTCAATGTGTCTTATTCTATTATCGCAAGAAAAAGAAGATTGATTTTAAAGCATTAATGAAAAAGGGGCGAAGAGGCAAAGCCACTAAGCATCGTGATCGTATTGCAGCTGCTATTCGTGCAGTGACCGGCGATTCTGTCAGTCCACGTAAAGCCAAGAGTAAGGGGTCTGCTTTGATGGCAGATATTGGTGAAGCTCAAGTTTCTAGAAAGGCAAAAGAAAAAGATGCTGCAGAACGCAAGAGCAGAGAATTGCGTGATCTTGAACAAGCCAATGCGTATTGGGATGGTGTGGCAGAGCGCAAAAAGACAAAACGGCCCTCGTCTGTAGCTCCTTCAGGTCCTACCAGTAGTGCTTCTGATGATACAGAAATGATGCTTCAACAAATACAGCCTGAAAGACGTCGTACAAATTCAGCAGGTGTTAACCTACAGCGTCGCAAAGGACGATCGCCTCGTGAGCCTGTCATTGCTGAAGCTGTGCTACCTACTGAATCCACAAAACGTTACACAGAAGAAACAATGGATACTGAGGAAGAGATGGATGAAAAGCAATCCATTGCAAGCACCAAATGGTCCGAACGAGAAAAAGAAATGGCTATTGAAGCATTTAAACAACATGGTCGTGACTTTGTAAAAGTAGCTGGTTTGGTCAAAACAAAGACAGAAGAACAATGTCGTAATTTTTATCATAACTTTAAGCGTAAATTTGGCCCTAATGCTTTCCATGAAGAAGAGACAGCTCAGCCGATCCTTTCTCCTCAAGATATCGGTACACTGAGTGGTCGAGCCGATTTGAAAGCCGAAGAAGAAGATGCAGCTGCCGCTCTGGTAGACATGTTTCAAATGGGTGCCAATACACCTAATGAAGCACCCAAGAACCTTGCCTTGCCACCTTCTTCAGCAAGAATTGATGAGTTTGTAACCATTCCACCTTCTCCTGTCACTACGCCTGGTATTGCAGGTCCCTCCTCTCCCTTCAATCAGCAAAAACGCCGTCGTGTGAAATCAGCATCCAGTCGAGCCGAAAGTGTTGAAGACACGACAACAGAATGGGCAAGCGATTCAGACTACAGTAATCCTCGCTCAGGAGGTCGTAAACTAGGCCGTACTAGTACTTTGGCAGAGCCTAACAAGCGTCCTACTTATTCTTCATATTGGTCTGTTTCTGAGCGTAATGACTTTCAACGTTATTTAGCCATGTATGGCTGTGATTGGGACAAGGTAGCAAATGCAATGAAGTCAAAGACAGTGATTCAAGTACGTAATTTTTATGCTAACAATGAAGAAAAAATGCAATTAAAAGAATTGGTGGATCGTCATCGCCAACAACAACAACAATCAACAGAGCCCGCAAGGCCACCACCTGCTTTTGAGAAATCACATTTTCAAGCACTTCAAAGTTTCCCCTTTCCTGCTCCAATGACTGAACAACCAAGCTCAACTTCTTCAAAGACAGTACTATTAATTCCGCCATCGCCTTCTACTTCTTATCCCGTCTCACAATCTGGTTACTATGCTTCTACACCACCACCACCACCACCACCACCATCATCATCGTCCTCTTCTACAGAAGTATATAATAATCGAAATTTTGCTACTTCACGGTCTTCTGTGCCACCACCAACAACCAAGCCATCACAACCACCAGCAGTGACAAAAGTAGCTGACTTGTTAAACAATGATGATCCTGCAGAACCCAATCAAAATAGCTGGGAAACTTGGTTTGGAAGTTGAATTGTATTATTATTTTTTTTTAATAAATTAAGGTTAGCAGTAATGTTCAAAGAAGAGGAGTAAATTAAACAACAAAAAAAGACATTTTCTTCCCTCCCCCCTCCCCCTTGTTTTCTCCTTATTCAGAAACATAAAATAAAAATAAAAAAGGGGGAGAAGAGTAAAGATTACAATCATCTCTCTTTTTTCTTTTCTTTAACTATGGATATTAAAACACCTTCATCATATGGTACACCTCATTTTTCTCGCTTAAAATCATTCTTTTCAGGAAACAAAGGCAACCATGCATCTCCTTATGCTTCTTCACTCACAAGTACAGTTGTTGGGTTTACTATACCGAATGATTTTGGTGATTTAAAGCATGAAAAAAGCCTTAAGAGCAACAGTTGGTTTTCATCGACCATTTCTACAGCCACCACAATTAAACAACACAAGCATCAAAAGAGTGGCGCCAGTAGCTTCGTCAGTAGCTACAGTATTCAGAACAATAAATTATCACCGCCACCACCTTCCTGCTCTAATTATACATTGAACCAGTGTCTTTCCAACAAGAACCTTCACCGCCGTTCTTACGCAGCGAACAGTGTGAAAAAAAGGCAATTAGAAGTAGGGCCCAGTAGTTTTACAAAGATCCGTATGCTCGGCAAAGGAGATGTAGGCCGTGTCTATCTCGTCAAACAGAAGGGCACGGATCGCACGATGGCCATGAAAGTGCTGTCAAAAAAGGAAATGTTGAGAAGGAACAAAGTCAAACGAGTGCTAGCAGAACAAGAGATCTTATCCAGCGCCAATCATCCATTCATTGTCACGCTCTATCATTCGTTTCAAAGTCAAGACCATCTTTATTTTGTCATGGAATATTGTTTGGGTGGAGAGTTCTTTCGAGCATTGCAATTAAGGCCCGGTAAATGTTTACCTGAAGAAGGTGCTAAATTCTATGCTGCTGAGGTTATTGCTGCTTTGGAGTATCTTCATCTGCATGGCTTTATTTATCGAGACCTTAAGCCAGAAAGTAAAGACAAAAAAAAAAGGAGTGTTTAGATTTAATTTAACTTTATTGTAGATATATTGTTGCATTCAAGTGGACATTTAATGCTAACAGACTTTGATCTCAGTAAACAATCGCTTCCTCCCTGTCCACCTGCCATTGTCAAGTCAAATTCACCCCATATTGTAAGTATGAATAAGCTACTGCTTTTTCTCATAATTTGTTAGCCACCTTCCATTGATACCCGCATCTGTATTGCACAATTAAGAACAAACAGTTTCGTTGGCACAGAAGAATACATTGCACCTGAAGTTATTCGAGGCTGTGGGCATACAAGCGCAGTTGATTGGTGGACTTTAGGTGTTTTAGTGTATGAAATGTTGGTAAGATTTTCTCCTGACATATGTATATGTAGTACATTAACCTCCTCTTCATAGTATGGTACAACACCATTTAAGGGGTCAAATCGTAATGAAACTTTTTCTAGCATCATTCGATCCGAAGTGTGCGTTCCTCCTCCTCATAAAAAAAGACCGCAGGCGGTTTCAAATGTATGTAAATCTTTTATTCGTCGGCTGTTAGAGAAACAAGAAAGCAAGCGATTGGGATCAAAATCAGGCGCTTCAGAAGTCAAACAACATCCATTTTTCAAATCTATCAAATTTGGTTTGTTAAGACACATGACGCCGCCTATTGTGCCTGGTACTTCTCCACAACCACAACAGTATTATGGCGTACCAAGAGGTCCTCGTAGCGAAAGCTTAGATTTGGATTTAGAAGATGAACTTGATGTTCATGATTCTCAAGACCCTTTCTCCGAGTTTAATTCAGGTAAATAATTAAAAAAAAAAAAAAAAAAAAAAAAAAACGTCAAATGCTAACACATTTAAAGTAACTTTGTATCACGAAGGAGATTCTGATGCAGAAACGATTGTTTTAACAAGTGACGAAGAATAATGTGTATCATATATTTATGACTGGTATCATCGTTTTATTTTACATAAAAACCTTGACTTTCTTGAATAGCAGTAAGTAACATCTTTTCTAGTTTTTCTTTTGTATGGTATTTGTAGAGTGTGAGTTGATTAAAGCATGTGTGTGCTGAGGGAAGTCGATCACTATCGCCATTGTTACCACAGATAATCTTAAGGTGCAATTGGGTCGCTCCTGTCGCTGGGATACGATCGCTTCCAGTGACAAACATGAGTAATTTGCGTTGAATTTCAGGCTGCATATTCTTCATGATGCTCCAAAAATTACTATTCATCAGAATGAGTATATGGAATTTTTTTTAAAAAAAAATAGTAAGTTGCTAGCTTACACAACAGTCTCTTCGTTTTCGTCAAAACCAATATATTCTGTTTGACCTCTAAGATCATCAATGGCTAAAGGCTCATCGCTACCTCGGACAAGCAATTCAATTTCTTCAGGTCGAAATAAAGACAACGCATTACCACCACACACATAATAAAATCCACGCTTAAAGGCACCAAACTGTCGCTCGACACTTTTGTTCAAGATAAAATCAACATAGAGAGATACAAAATCTTGCCTATTCTGCTGATCAACCATCACTTGTTCTCCATTGGCTATCAGAGGCACACAATGACGTTGTCCAAAGGCTTCTGTTTCGGCTACAAATGATCGACAAAACACATCTTCTACATCGCCCTCAAACGCCAAGAGTTGCTCAAATCCTTTTGCCAGGGCAGGTCGAAATGATCTCAAATCATGTAATCCAGTGGGCAAATTCAACAGCTTTTTGTAACAAGCTGTAGGTAAATGTACATCCAGAATGGTGGAATTGTAGATAGCTAATCCAAGTACAACACCCACCAAAAAGAACTGGTCTTCATTTTCAAAACTAACAGGATTAAACCAGCATAAATTCGAGTCTTCGTCGTAGGTAAACATGCCATACTGAGGATCGAATAAAGAACGTACGAGCAATAAGAACCATTCCTTACGCAAACCACCTGCATCTACACCATCTTCGCCTATAAATTCAAGTCGTAATGATTTCTTCAAATCCACTTCATTTTGTGCCAATTGTCGAAGTGAGTCTTCAATTAAATTGTCCCGAGAAACACGCAAAATAAGGTAAGGGTTGGAAGCCTTTTGATGAAATAGCATGTTAAAAAACGCTTCTCTCCATTTAGTTTCCATCTGTTGTTTTGCGTCTGATTCGACAATCTTCATTTTGGAGCCCATGCTGATCAAAAATGGGTACTGACAGAATGCAAATTTGCCTGATTTTGATTGCCATGATTCAAAATCGCCCATTAAATCAATGTAATCAGCCATTGTGTTATAAAAGTCAGAAATAGGCACTTTGTTGGCTCGATTGTTAGCAGCAACTAGACAAAAAAAAAGTTGATCAGTCTGTGTGATCAAGCAAATTACTTACATAATAAAGCCATGACTCGAGATGCACTGTTGATTTTCCAATCTGATTCATAAGCAGTGGGCAAGCTAAGCTGACTTCGCCTTGCTCTTGATATTCGATGATTAAGAAATGCATGGATCAAATCGATCTTGAGTCTAAACTCTTTGACTGGATAACTACACAATGCTCATCATTAAGGATAGTTGACAAGCATAATATCTTACTTTGCAAACCAATTTACTAGAGCAAGATGGCATTCATTATTGAGGCAACTAAGGAGACCGAATACTCGCTTCAGTAAATTGTGATGATATTTTGTTTCTGCAGGAAAATTGTGCTGCGCTAATAGAGGGTTTTCTAAGATAATCAAGAGAAATCGAATATCAATCATTCTTCGTAATGGTACTGCTGGTCTTTTTAATAGTCTATCAATGGCTGACATCATGGCTCGAATGACATTGACAGGCTAAAATACACAAATAAATAAGTCTATAGACCATAGGTGATTCATACCAAGTTTAAAATGATTCTATAGGCGTCTCTAGTGTCATTCATATCAACTCCACTATCCTCTAATGTTGTTTCTTGACCCTATAGATCGTATTAGGACATAACAGACATATAGTAGGATTTACGTTAGAGAAACTATGGTTTAAGCAAACCCAACTTGCAAATACAGTCTCCACCATTTTTTCAATGGGTTCATATATCTTTTCTCTTTCTTTATCGTCCATAGGTACATTTTTAACTCGTCTTTTTCTTTCTTTTTGTTTACATTCATTCACTGACTTTTTGAGTGATTTTAATGTAAGTGGCTGGTTAGCAAGTTGCTGTCGGACATGTGGTTTAAGGTCGTTGATGGTATCGCAAACAGGGCAACGAAATCGAGATACATGATGAGGGTATTTTAACTCGCTATAGATATGAATATCAAATCTTCATCTTTTTTTCTCTCCTATTTACCTATCGCAACAGAAACATGTTCCAGTAACAGACTACAAAAAGCGTAAGACAAACGCAATCGGGCAAACAACTTACAATAGATTCTGTTTGTCGAACATCTTGAACATCATCTACTGAAAGTTTTTGTAGTTGTTGTAAAGAGTACTGGGTCACTGAACTCTTGTTTTTGAAGGAAGACTGAAAAGCACCTTCTGTGTCTGTCATAATAGATAGAATAATGATAAAAAAAAAACTAAAAGAAGGAAGAGGAGTGTTAAAGAGCTCTCCCTTTTAAGGAAAAAATAGAATCGCAATATTTTAGATCACTTTGTAGATGTGCTAATATAAATAAAAAAAGCTTGTATCTCAATGCCTATATTAAAAGAAGATAGTTAGAGGAAGGAAAAGGAGGTAACTGTCCGTGCGTGATTAGAGAAAGGAAGGAAGGTGACACACAAGTTAAATCTGTAACCTCAACTTACATAATGTATCTGTGGTGTTCATCGACTATTTGAAAGGGATAACTCTGTAGAGTTTGAGCTATATATATCTTTGCTTACAGACTAAAAGAGTAATAATGCTTTGAGCAATATAAAAAAGCTGTCAAATACTATACAAACTCATTTGTTTGTTTGTTTTTAAGAGATGTTAAGTTTTATTGTTTGTGAGTTTATATGGGAAATAAAGCTATAGGGCTTTGTACAGCTTTATCGAAAAATAGCCATCTTTTTTTTTCTTGTTATTCATTAAACAACTTCTTCAAGCCATTACTTTGAAGGACAAAACCAGATAAAGTATAGTTTCGAATTTATTGTCAATTTCATTTCGTTTATATTGAAGTAGCCTTTTATACTACTTGTTTGCCAGGAACAAGCCATGTCACTCAAGCTATCTGAAAATTTCTAACAAAAATAACATCTTTTGTTGATCCTAATTAAAGCACGAACAGCTTCAATCGTTGCAAGGTACATAAAATGCATTCTCTGAACTTATTTCTTGTTCAAAGCCAAATGAATACTAGATGACACTTGATTCCCTCAAATGGCTATAAATGCCTAGCGATTTGTAAGATAGCTTACATTTTTTAGTTCAACATTTCTATTTGGTTAGTCTTGCTTTTATCCTTTCTTCATTACTATGTATACATGCCATAAGCACTTGATGAATTTCGACTCTAGACAGTAAATTGATAGACAAAAAAAAAGCTCTGTGGTGCTTCTTTAAAGAAGCAAAACAACGAATACAGAGTAATTTGATAGTAAAGAGATGAGTTTTATTGTTCTTTATGCAAAAGTATTGATAGTTGTACACTTTATAAATAATATTCCAATAATAGAAGTTATTCAAAACTATTTATTACAGCATAATAAAGTCAAATAATATTTTCATTTTCTTAGTTGTTATCATCATCTCCAGTTACCCGGAAAGGGATATGTTGGCCCTTTATCTACACCAACGACTGCGAACAGTCTCCACCATCCCTACCCTCCCCTTTCTAGGCAAAAGGATCAGATCCGAGCTTACATTCACATCTAACTAGTATAATGTCAATGGGCCCGGAAGAAGTTAATTTGAATTATTTTTTAGAAACAACCCCTTTTTATAGTTTTTTGAATGGGACTGTTTTTATCATATGAAAGTACTCTATACACTTCTTTATGGAATGACTGTTTTTATTTTGCATGAATAGTTTTTTGGACTGCTATCGCCATTCATTATGTCATACTATGAATATATTTTATTTCGTTTATCAGCATGAAAAAGAAAAATCAAGTGAATACAAAAGTATCATAGAACTGATCTGTTTTGATCTCAGACTTTTTGATACTCTTGCATCGAATACCAAAAGTCAAAACATCAGTGTTATCAATCTTCGTGTCATAAACATCTTGGCTAATTGTCAAAAGCTCCTTGTCGTTGGTGCATTGATAATACTCTTCGCTCTCCTGCGTGCAGAGTTTTACATAGAAATAGTCGGTGTATTCTGCTTCGTGCACGGAAGCAAAGATAAAGATATCTAAAGAAGTATCTTCTATATACAAATCAAAATGGTTCTCAAAGAAGAACTCTTGACCATCTTTATCCGACAGGTTACAATTAGCCATTTTCAAACTCTTCAAAGAAGGAAGACACACAAACAATTGATACAGCAAAAGAAAATAACAAACGCCTCCGTTAAACTCTAATTCTTCAACAGAACTATCGGTTATTCCATGGAGATCATAATTGAGGAGGTTCGTATGGCTTAATGGCAGTCTATATAGCTTAAGCTAATTGATCAAGATATTGTTCAGGTAGGCTCCATGTACCAAATAGTGATAGTCAGGATCGTCATATACAAAATCATGAATATCTGTTTGACAGTCAATGACCAAATCAACAACTAGTTTTCCTGATAATTTAAGGAAATCTAACCATTCAAATGTGCGATTTCCAATGTTTGATGTGATTTCTAAATCAAAATCATCTTTACGGCGACTGAACTTTATATGATTCGTTGATGAGCCAGTAAAATTACGTTCAAATGCAAAATTAATAGTGAGCCAGCGAGCAGGAAAATAACAACTGAAGAAGCGTACGATATCAAGCATATTTTCAGCATATATATCTTCAATCGAAAACTCCTTCATACACAATAGGTATAAATAGAAATGTAAAAAAATAAAAAGATTAAGCACCAGTTTATGCTGCATTGCAAATTGCTTGAAGGTATTTCCAAAGGAATTGTTGGGATCCAGGTACTTGAAATTGGGAAATGTGTTCATAACACAAAGAAAAGTGTCGTTTGTGCAAACTATCGTTTCCAGATCCAGTCGAGTCAAATTGTTCATTTGTTTGAGATTGTTAACACTTGGTTCATCTTCGCTATATCACGGGAAATCAGCATATGGAGGTAGAATCAAGTTTAGCTTTTTTAATTGAGTAAATGAGCGTAGCCTGTCAATGAATTCTATCAAAGAAGTGTCTGTACGCTTTACTATTTTCAGTCTTTCCAGTTGTGTAAATCCTTCTAGTCTACTCATCATCATGTCAAACTGATCAGCGCATAAGGGCTCGCCAAAGTAAGATAGTCCGTCGCTTATCAAAGTTTGCTTAATTTTATCACGCATATCCAGTATTGCACGATTGTAACCCTCGATCTCTGTTTCCTTGGGAGAGAAAAAGTCTTGAGGTTGGCGCCTTCCATCATAAAATATCTAGCTATAACAACAGTATAACACGAAAATATACAGCTATAACAAGTTGTTATAGCAATTAAGACTTTTGATTGGACAGTTATTAGCTGCTTGACTTGATATTTTATTGGCTATAACAACTTGTTATAGCCAATAGGAGTCTGAAGTATCTATAACAACTTGTTATAGTCTGTAAAATATCAAGTTGAGCGGCTATAAACTGGCCAATCAAAAGCCTTGCTTGCTATAACAAGTTGTTATAGCAAACTCAGGCTCCTATTGGCTATAACAACTTGTTATAGTCTGTAAAATATCAAGTTGAGCGGCTATAAACTGGCCAATCAAAAGCCTTGCTTGCTATAACAAGTTGTTATAGCAAACTCAGGCTCCTATTGGCTATAACAACTTGTTATAGTCTGTAAAATATCAAGTTGAGCGGCTATAAACTGGCCAATCAAAAGTCTTGCTTGCTATAACAACTTGTTATAGCAAAAAGTACGGCTTTTCATTGGCTGTTTGAAGTTCAATTCGTACATCATTCAAGGTCGAAATAAATTTCTCTCAAGCATGTATTGAGACCTTCGAACATAGAACATTAAACATAAATTGCTGTGATCTTCTTAGTTTTATTCGATAAATATGTGTAAGTAAAATATATAGGTCCAGATTAAAATCAAGTATAAATATGCGAAAGTAATGTTATTTGTTCTTTGATCTTTGAAAGCGAGCGTGGGCGGGATAGGGTGGGAAATTTATATTTACTGTTCTATGTTCTCTTGTCTAAAGTTACATTCAAGATCGAAATAAATTTCTCTCAAGAATGTATTAAGACCTTCAAACATAGAACAATAAACATAAATTGCTGCTCCAGCGTAAGAAACACCAAAAACCTTCAGTAGCATCGAAAAACTCCTGGTTTTCTTCATCATTGTTAGAGCCTTCATCAAGCTGAACCATTGGTAGATCTGTTCCCAGTACTTGGTTGGTAAAATCCACTGTCGATAAGTGTTCCCGCCGGTAATGATTCTGAAATGTCTTTGAATCAACCCAGTTTCCCAGCGTCTGTATATCGTCAAGAGATATTCCTTGTTTTAACGCAATAGAGGATGCTGTTGTGAGATGAAGAGGGAATAGATATAAAATAAGAGAAAGGGTAAGAACACAGAGAAAGTCCATTAGAACTTGTATAGGTTTTTTATTTCTCCAAGAAATGTCATCTTTCAATTGCTATAAAATGTCGAGGTTTTTATACTTTTTCTTCTCGGCCAAAGTGTTGTTTTGGGGTTAGCTTCTTGACTACGGATTGATTTGTCAGATCAGGAGCAATTAAGAGAAATGCCTTTAGGGGAAGTTGTCAGCTCAGTCAATAGTACATGATCTGACTTGAACTTGAATAAACTATTACATATTTGTCAAATGCCAATGCTAATGTATTTATCAGCTCTAACTGTCACTTTATGAGTGCCATTAATAATAACAGAGTCACTAGGTTCATAATCTTTGACTATGAGGATGATGTAGTACTTCTAGTAGAATGAGTGAATGTCAGTGACTATAGATCCATTGCAATTGCCATAGATGTGATCTGGTCTTTTGCCATGATCATCATTTATTGATCTATGCATATGAATTTATATATGTTCACAAAAAACATATTGATGGTGCTTGAGCATTTTGTCTTCCCTTTCTTGATCATAACTCATTCTGGCATATGCTTCAGGCATGGTGGCGGGTGGTTGATGATTGACTCCTTGGATGGCAGGATATCTTTCAATCAATTGCTTATGTTGGTTGTCAGACATTCCTGGACCAATAGTTGCGACAATTCTCGAGAAGGACTCCAATCATGATGGGGTTGTGTCTCAAAAGAATGTACTTGTTGTTGGGTGTTGAAAAGTGGGTGTTGAAAAGTGGGTCTTCTGCTTCTATGTCTTGTTCCTGTTGGCTTTGTTATTACTGTTGTTGATTCTGGAGTTCTTGATTTTGCATGATTTGCTCAATCATTGCTTGTTGTGCAGCCATTTGCTGTTGTAAGGCTGCTAAAATATCACTGTTTGGTACTGCCATTTGAATATAATAATGATGTTTCGGAATTTACTATGAAAAGCGAGCGATAAAAAGAAGATCAAAGAACAAATAACATTACTTTCACATATTTATACTTGATTTTAATCTGGACCTATATATTTTACTTACACATATTTATCGAATAAAACTAAGAAGATCACAGCAATTTATGTTTAATGTTCTATGTTCGAAGGTCTCAATACATGCTTGAGAGAAATTTATTTCGACCTTGAATGATGTACGAATTGAACTTCAAACAGCCAATGAAAAGCCGTACTTTTTGCTATAACAAGTTGTTATAGCAAGCAAGACTTTTGATTGGCCAGTTTATAGCCGCTCAACTTGATATTTTACAGACTATAACAAGTTGTTATAGCCAATAGGAGCCTGAGTTTGCTATAACAACTTGTTATAGCAAGCAAGGCTTTTGATTGGCCAGTTTATAGCCGCTCAACTTGATATTTTACAGACTATAACAAGTTGTTATAGCCAATAGGAGCCTGAGTTTGCTATAACAACTTGTTATAGCAAGCAAGGCTTTTGATTGGCCAGTTTATAGCCGCTCAACTTGATATTTTACAGACTATAACAAGTTGTTATAGCCAATAGGAGCCTGAGTTTGCTATAACAACTTGTTATAGCAAGCAAGGCTTTTGATTGGCCAATTTATAGCCGCTCAACTTGATATTTTACAGGCTATAACAATTTGTTATAAATACTTCAGACTTCTATTGGCTATAAAAACTTGTTATAGCTGTATATTTCCGTGTTATACTGTTGTTATAACTAGAAATTTTATGACGGAAGGCGTCAAATCGTTTAAGTGATTTCCTTTTAATGCTACAACAACGCCTCTCTGCGTCTTTATGTCTTCTCTACACAACTTATACACTCAACTATCAAGCGATCTTTCGTTGGTTCTTAATGCCTAGAATAATTTTTTCTTTAGTTTTTTTTTTTTTTTTTATTAACTATGACAAGCGGAACATATCAATAACTAATGTCAAAGTTCAATTCAAGATGATGACTGTCTTGCTCCGGGAGGTGATGGTAATAATTATGGCAATGACGATGAGGACGCCACTGCAGGTATACTCTGTTGGTGTTCACTTTGTTCACTTTGTTCATTTTGTTCACTTTGTTCACTTTGTTCAGTTTCCTTTTGTTTTTGCTTCTTGGTAGCACGGTGATAAGCACTTTGTGCACTTTTGTACGACTTATACTGCTCAAAGCGGCCCAGTATTTTCCACTGTTGGAATTGAGTTTTCCATGGTATGTGCCCATTTTTGTCCATTTGTTGCTCAGCAAATTCGAAATCGGACAATGGATCCTCTAAATGTCGCTTTTGTACTATTTCATTAACATACGCAATGACATTATTCAAAGTCTTTACGGCTGTTTCAATACGCACGCCAACAGGTTGATCTTGGTCTTCAAGGGCTGCTTTTGCCTTATAGCATTCTAGTTTTGATTGGGCACATACATTCTTTAATACCTGGATAGAGCTTTCGTTGTCATGGATATGATCACCAAGTATATTTTTCATTTTAGTATATAGACAAACTAGTGTTGGGTCATTGCATTGTTCCAGGTCCATGAGTGATGCCTCTTGTTTAATAAGGCAGTGAACAAGTGCAAGCAATGGGCTTAATGGGGCTTCGTTGAGATAGGGTGCAATAGTCTCTGCATTGAACAATAGACATGAGCTGGCCCAGCCAATGCTCGATAGCTGTTTTGCAAAAGGGATAGGAGAACCAGGTGTTTCAACTTCAAGTAGATCTCTGGTTGTCGAATTGATCACAATTGCTACAACAATAGGGAGCTTAGACGCTTTGTGTTGTCTATAAACCGAACGCGAATAGTCGATTAGCCGTTGATAGAAATTCATATCTGCCTTATTTTGAATCTCGATTAGAATACGAGGTAGGTCATTGGAGCAGTTGACTGGCTCGTATGCGACATCAGAGCGAGTGAAATCAATCCACTCAGTTGGAATGGCAACGTATTGATCTTTTGCCTTTGGTCCTACACAAACGAAAAGAATTAGTAGGATGCTAAGAGGCATATTTAAGATCATACCAATAACTGCTGAGACAACAATATTGATAACATCTTGATCAACTAACAACAGCTTGCTCATTAAGTCGGTTCCAGGTAAATACTTCCTTGGGAGAGAAAAAGTCTTGAGGTTGGCGCCTTCCATCATAAAATATCTAGCTATAACAACAGTATAACACGAAAATATACAGCTATAACAAGTTGTTATAGCAATTAAGACTTTTGATTGGACAGTTATTAGCTGCTTGACTTGATATTTTATTGGCTATAACAACTTGTTATAGCCAATAGGAGTCTGAAGTATCTATAACAACTTGTTATAGTCTGTAAAATACCAAGTTGAGCGGCTATAAACTGGCCAATCAAAAGCCTTGCTTGCTATAACAAGTTGTTATAGCAAACTCAGGCTCCTATTGGCTATAACAACTTGTTATAGTCTGTAAAATATCAAGTTGAGCGGCTATAAACTGGCCAATCAAAAGTCTTGCTTGCTATAACAAGTTGTTATAGCAAACTCAGGCTCCTATTGGCTATAACAACTTGTTATAGTCTGTAAAATATCAAGTTGAGCGACTATAAACTGGCCAATCAAAAGTCTTGCTTGCTATAACAACTTGTTATAGCAAAAAGTACGGCTTTTCATTGGCTGTTTGAAGTTCAATTCGTACACCATTTCTTGAACAAAAAATAAAGATTTCATGTTTGAAAATCATAGATTACACCTTTTCTCAAAATGATGTCGCACACTCAAAGTTTAAGTTGTCGCACTTTTCAGAATAAAGATGTCGCACTTTTTTTCTCTTGAAGTACATTTATAATGAACTAGTCGTTTTATTTGAGGATGGACAAGGAAATGTCATGGATGAAAATGGAAATAACCCAATGGATATCACTGGGAATGAAGATCCGTACAAGTTAGAGGAACTTGCATCCTATAGCGCTTATATGGAGGCTAAAGAGAAAGTGATGATGTAAGTTGATCAAGATACAACCTCTTTGGAACACAAAACTACCAAAAATAAAATAAAAAAAAAAAACTGACTCCAAAAGGGACAAAAAATAACATCATCAAGAACAAACGAGTCAGTAATGAAGTTAAGGCACATGCCGTTCACTTGGTTGATATACACTCAAAGAATAGCGCTAGAGCAGTCGCTCTAGACTTGGGCTTAGAACCGAGAAGTTTGCAACGGTGGTATAGTATCTGGAAGAAAGACCCAGACTCTTTGTTCAAAACTATTGGTCGACCAAGAATTATTGAAGCAGGAGGTGAATTAACAGAAGCAACGAAGAACGCTGTTACAGAGTTTTATTACAAACAGCCAACTGCCACAGCTGATCAGCTACTTGATCGATTGACTAGTACTTTTGAGGGTCTATCGCTTTCGAAGTCTACATTGTATCGTTATTTGAATGATCTTTGGATTTTAAGTTTGAAGAAAGTGCAAATGGAGCCTTCAGAGCGAAACACTCCAGAGAGGATTCAGACGAGAAAGAAATGGGTGGAGGAGATGAAGAGTATGGGGTGTAGATTGCATGAACAACTGCGTCTTCATTGATGAGGCAGGATTTAATGCAAATCTGAGAAGAACTCAGGGATGGGCTCCGAAGGGAGAGCCAGCTATTGTTAAGATACTTACGGCAAGAGCAAACTCGATCTCAATCTTGGGTGCTATATCAAATAAAGGCTTGATCAATGTTTGTTTGAGAAAACCTATTCCCCCTTCGAAAAAACGAAAGCTAGCAGGAGGGGCTAAAGCACAAACAAAAGACACCATAATTAACCATTACCTGGGATTTATTGATGATATTCTCGAGGAGATGGATAAATATCCTGAAATGAAGGGACACTACTTGTTGATGGACAATGCTACCATCCACATATCTAAGTTGATTAGAGTTGCTATCGAGTCTCGTGAGTATAAATGTATCTATTTGCCATCCTACTCTCCTGAGCTCAATCCAATCAAACAATTTTGGGCAGTTGTCAAGAGTAGTGTTAAAAGGGAGTTTATTCTCAAGAAGGATACACTTCCTGCTAATATTAGTGAAGCTTGCAACAGTGTATTACCATCATTTTTTGAAGGCTTCGCTCGTTATTCCATGAGACGTTTTGAATTGCCTTCCTATTTAATAAAGATGTGATGCGACATCTTTATTCTGAAAAGTGCGACACTCGGAGATGCGTCATCTTTTTGCAAAAAAGTGCGACAACTTAAATTTTGAATGTGCGACATCATTTTGAGAAAAGGTGTATATTGCTTTGACACATCTAATAGTGCCTGTTTAGTCTTAGTCTGAAGCTAAAAAAGGCTTGTTGATGATTGGAGAAGATAGTTTTGGATAATTCAACGGTAGCACATGATTGGCTTATTGTCACTAAAACCTAGGCTCATTTTTCTATTTTCTTTCTTCCTTTATTCACTATGTCTATTCAACAAGAACAACCATTGAAGTCTTCTAAATACAATATTCATGAAGCGTTTAACTTTGACATCCCAACCAACTCATCACTGATTGCAGATTCAAGTTCAATACATCCTCTTCAGACAACAGATGAAGCATACACAATGGATATTTCTCGATCACCCAAACAACAAGAAGAAGAAATGGGTAGTATGATGAACAATCTTAGTTTGTCCAATAACGATAGTATACAACGACAGAAATCAATGCCTTATTGTTTATAATTCATATAACTATTCATCCTCTCCATATACACATTTCAAAATTTGCATAAAACAATAAAATATAAACCACGCTTGATTGCAGTAATAGTTTAATCTTTATATATATTGAATGTATGCTATGATGATAATCCTTTAGCCTTAAACAAGTTCCGGTAGGAAAGCGGTTTTCTTTCTTTTTCTTAAAAATTTTTATTGTTTATCATGAAGAAGAAATTTCCTTACAATGTAAGCATAGCAAACTAAAGTCATGCCTTACACGTCTTATAGTTTGATGGGTTAACATGGGATGCTGATCATAATAAAAACATGGAAGACAAATACTGCTATTGTGGCAAAGGAATCAAAGAGTGAGTGAGCAAATGGAATCAAATATACTGATTGATTAGAACACAACCCATGATTCGCTGCAATCAGTGTAAACAACTATTTCATCGAGGTATACTATTTTAATGATAAGCATGCAACTCATATGTCTAGATTGCATTCATTGCATGGTGAAGCCTTTGTTGTTTGGAGATACATTTGGTGTTTTTCATTGCGCAGTGTGTAATCGAGGACCAGAGACATTTGAAAGAAAGCCAATGAGTTGGATATCTATTGTTCATTTGGTCATTTACAACTTGATCAAGAATTCACAGATTGAGGATGTCAAAAAACCCAAAAAAGATAAACGAGAGCACTATTATTTTCGCTGGAAAGAAGACGTATGTGCTTTTATTGATGATTACTGGGACTATCTGATGCCTGAGAAGACAAGTAAGTCTATATAGAGCCTATATGCAATAGAATCTAATTGAATAAGGATCTGCTACTTGGAATAACACGATTGCCAGTGTCTTGTCTACTCATGGCAGTATCTTCTTGTCTGGATTAGAGAAACTTCACCAAAGTGGTAAGTAGGATTAAGACAAGTATGAGTAGATTGATGTATGGTTAGCTTGGTGGACATTACACACATTTGAACCACCCAAGAATGATAAAAAGACAAAATTGAAGCCTACACCTAAAAGAACACTGAAACGATCTAAAGAGAATGAAGTGGATAAGAGACCAAAGCGATCTAAAAGAGAGAAATCACCAGCGAAAAAGGAGCAGTCCATAGAGGATGATTTCCTTGGTCTAAGCTCATTATCTGAACTATCATCATCAGCAGAACTTTCTGATACAGAAGAAGATAAAAAGAAGCCTGTTCAACAAGAACCATTGAAATCAGAAACACACATACAGATAGAGAACAAAGAAATTAAAACGCAGGAAGCAAAGGAAGAGACAGAAATACAACCAGAAAAGAAAGAGCCAGAAAAGAAAGAGCCAGAAAAGAAAGAGCCAGAAAAGAAAGAGCCAGAAAAGAAAGAGCCAGAAAAGAAGGATTATGTAAATAATACCAACGATTTATCACAATCTACAAAACCTTCTTTGTCACAGCAGACAACATTATCACCACAGGATGAATGGCTGCTACTACAAAAATTAGAACATTCAAGCAAGAAACTATCGCCTGCTGCATGTCGATACAAGCGCAAATTAGCTGTACGTCGATTAAAGCGTAACTTGGGTATCAAACTGTTTGATATGGATACATACTTGATTCAATTGCTCAAATCATCCAAGCCTATACTTGAACCCATTTCAAATCAAACAGTCATTCAGCCTGCATCCAATCAACACGTAGAACAAACGCAAGATGATCAAGAAGCCATGTTAAACAACATAACCTACACTCCTTATGCCTCTTCTTTTGCATCTCGACTGTATGGTTCTATTCGTCAAAGGAACACAATCACACGGGATGAGCCATGGCTATCTTCATGGAATGGTCGTAAATTGCGCCCATTTATTCGTCGCGATTTTCAGAGTCAACCTAAGCGTATGTTACTCATGGGTCAAATCAAGGCTTGTGCAGGGAAGCCTCATACCAAAGGTCAGTCTGAACCTAGTGGGATTGTGTCAGGTGAAAGCATTGATTATGTCTATTTTCAAAAAGAACATTTATCTCAAGTGAATCACTTACTCAGTCGAACATTTTGGGAAGGCATTGATGTATCTGAATCCTTGTTATTCCCTGAATTCAGTATTGTGGCATTATACAAAAGGCGTGTAATTGGATGTGCTTTCATGACACCAGAAGCCTATATTACTTATTTTGCTGTTGATCCAGGATGGACAAATGCTAGTATTGGACAGTTAGTAGACATATATATAGGTTTTGGCACATACTCATTGATTTCTTCTTTTTTTTTTCTTTTGGTATAGATTTATGCTCTATCATTTATTCCAAACAGCCATTAGTAAAGATATTACATTACATGTGTCTGCCAACAATAATGCCATGGTATGAATACTACGTCGAGAACAATCGCTAACTACTTTGTTAGATTTTGTATCAAAAGTTTGGTTTTAAGCCTGAGGAATTTATTGTCAATTTCTATGACAAGTATTTGCCTGCTGACAGTGTATATAGTAAAAACGCTTTCTTGTTAAGATTAAGAAGATAAAAAGAATGATTCCTGAATCAAAGTGCGTCTTTTCTTTGTATTACATGATAACTTTATTAAACAATTTCATATTACATATTTATTAGTTGGTGTCTGAAAAAAGAAGAAAAAGAATAAAGGAGGTCATGTAGCGTCACATCTCACTGTCAAAAACACATTGATAATGGTAGCGCTATAGAACAGAAGCAGAGACTACACCTAATATGCAATGTAAAAAGAAAACCGGTATTTGAAACACCGAACCTTCCACTTGCATGATATGCATCATTTACTCTTTTTGACCTCAGAAATGTCATGAATAATAGCGAATCTTACTCTCAAACGCTCTGTAAATCGAATGTTATATAAACTAGTACCTACTTATTAGTCAAAATTTATTGAAAAGGGACTTCTTTTGTACTGATTACAGTGTGCAATTAACTTTGAATGCAGATCTAAGGGGAATGCTCAAATTGATTCGCCTTTATCATCTTAGTAAAATCGTTTTTTTATCAGAAGTACCTAGACAGAACTCACCTCATTTCTGTTGGATCAGACCTACATTGGGTCATTCCAAAAATTCTTGTTTTTTTTCCATCTTCACGGACCTCTGTGGATCCTCCACCGGTCAAAAAAAAAATGAATTTCACCTAGAAGCCAACTCAATGGTACCACTCAATTCCTGAGCTCGAAAGAACATGTTTTAAATGAAAAAAGAGACCATTTTAGTAGCCTGTTTGTCGAGTAATGGTCCATCAAAGAATGTCATGCTCAACTTGTGTTTTGGGCAGTTTTACTCTAGATGTCATATAAAATGCGTTAAGAAAAGGCTCATAAAGAGTCATATGCTACTTGGGTTGCTAGAGAGTATATAAGAATAGGAACATAGGCATTTTATAGAGTGAATGAGGAACAATTGAACGAGGGATGTATATAAAGGCTTGTATCGAAGAATGAACTATATGCCATGCGGTTCTTCTTCCCACCGCTTCTAAAATGGCGCTTTTGCTGAGAGCAGCAGAAAGGCACAGATATTGGTCTTTGGTATAGTGACAAAAGCTGTAGGTGTTTGCTTTCTGAGCCTGTTGGTACAAAGAGCACAACAAATAGGCTGCTAAAATACTGAGTAAATAGACAAAAATGTTTATGGGGGTTTTCACTCATATCTCATCATTGTCATAGTACATTTTGCAAGCAAACACATTTATCAAAATTTGGTTCAAATCAACTCTAAAAGCATTATGGATGTTAGCAAACATGGTTTTTAAATATTCAAACCATTTATGCGTGCAGAAACAAGTTATACAATACCTTTATTTGTCTAAGAAAGAAGACAAAAAAAAACTGTCTTTTTGGTTATTGGCACATCTACATGTCTAGTGCCTCTGTTACATAAATGTAACGTACTACTAAACTGTCTATTCAAGTCCTAATTAACACACTTAATCCATTGAATTTGGTGAGCAATTCATCAAAAGGCAGGAAAGAACAGAGGCATGGAAGGAGCCTTTGTTATCATCCTGAATATCCCTCTCTGTGAAGAATGATTATCATATATATAAAGCCCAGAGTTAAGCGGAATCAAGTAGTCTTTACTTTATTTTTGAACAGGACCTAGTAATTCACCATCATAACCATTTGGATTACGCTGTGTCCATCGCCACATATCTTGACACATATCATCCATCGAATAAATAGGATGCCAACCTAATTCCTGATTGGCTAAAGAAGCATCTGCTGTACAAGTGCCAACATCTCCAGGTCTTCTCTGTTCAATCTAAGCCACACATCAGTCTACATCTACTCCTCCTATTTCATGATTACCTTGTATGGAATCTTTTTATGCGTGGCTCTTTCCATAGCTTGAATAATTTCCAAGACAGAATAACCAGCCCCTGTCCCTAAATTATACGCTTTACAACCAGGCTTTTCTTCTAATTTGTTTAATGCAGCCAAATGCCCTGTGGCTAAATCACACACATGAATATAGTCTCTGACACCTGTGCCATCCACCGTATCATAATTGTTGCCAAACACATGCACAAAAGGTAAATGGCCTTGTAATACTTTGACTACATAAGGCAATAGATTATTGGGTACACCATGAGGATGTTCACCAATCATACCTGAGTTATGTGCACCTACAGGATTAAAGAATCTAAACAATAAATCAGCCTGTTTCTCTCAATAGTCTATCTTACCTTAACAAGATCACATTCCATTCTGGATCAGACAGATACAGATCATGAAGGATTTGTTCAGCAAACAGTTTTGTTCTTCCATAAGGGTTTGTAACTGGCCCTAGTCTGGCTGTTTCATTGACAGGCATCATTTCAGGTTCACCATAGACAGTGGCACTGGATGAAAACACAAGTTGTTTTAGATTATGTCGTTTCATGACTCGTAATAGATTTAATGTGCCTGTCAGGTTATTATGATAATAGTCTAATGGAATACGTGTGGATTCACCTACAGCCTATAGGAATGATTGTCAGTCTGATAGGATCCATAGCTTACTATTTTACCTTAATTGCTGCAAAATGAATGACAGCCCAGAATTGATAGTGTTGAAAGATGTCTTCTAAATCAGATTCATGTGTAACATTGCCTTTCATAAACACAATAGGCCTTCCAGCCAATTGTTCCACACGATGCAATGCTTCTAATAGAAATGAGTCAGTTCATCAACACAATGGGTATGTTGGTTTACCTTTATTTGCGTTAATCAAGTTATCCATGACAACAATATCATAGCCTGCATTCAATAGTTCCAAGCAAGTATGACTGCCAATATAGCCTGCTCCTCCTGTCACTAGAATACGTTTGTGTGGTGATTGTACTGATTTCTTTTTAGGAGAAGGACAGTCTGATAATCGTCGACAAGGTAAAAGTGGTTCATCCAAGTGATGCCAAGCGTCTATCGTATGTCTACGTTGATGAAGGCTTTGTCGTTTTGATTTGAACCGATGAGTAGGTTCAAGTACTTTAAGCTGATCTACCACATCGACTGTTCCTGATTTACACACTCTAGGCATATAGATAGATAGATAGATAGATAGAAGAGAGAAAAAAGCTAAAGAAAAAAAAAATTAAAGGGTCACAAAGAATTTCTATGGATGGACTTGTTTCACTCCTTTTTTTTTTTTTTAATTATTATTGATAAGCACTAAAATAAGCAGCTGTGGAAGAAGAAGGCAAGACACTTGTTTTTTTGGCTGGTGTTGTAGGAGCAACTGCAGATGTCTTTTCGCCTAAAGAAGGAATCAGTTGTTGATAAGTCAAGGCAATGTCCGATTGACCTTGAGCTGTCATCCATGCAGCATAATCCTGGTAGAGATCATACAGATCAGCCAATACATAACGACCCTCTGCATCTTTTTCACCTCTGTCTTTGAAATCAATCGCTTTTTGAAACACAGTGATCTTCTCAATCACACTCTGTAGACTGGAAGGATTGTGTCTGTCGATCGTCTGTGTCCATGCTTGCACTAGTTTGGGTAGATTACCAGACACAAGATAGAACAGAGTGGCATGCGAGCACAGTTCAGCATGGTCTGATAGACGCTGACCCATTTGATCACACAGGGCGCCGAATTCTTGCGCAGATGCAAATGTACAGAGTGTCGCCAGAATACAAGACCATTGAGACAGATCTGCCTGGTGTACCATCGACACTAAATCATCATGTGCAATACTCTCGAGTAAACACATATAGCCCACTTGATTGGCTTCAAAATAAGCTTTTCGAGTACGGTCAAGTAATGCATTGCTACTGCAACTGGCAATGGCAAATGCATCTGAGAATCGTTTGGAGGCAAGGCAAGCATCTACAGCAGATTCAAAATCACCCAGCATAATTGCCTGTGTGATCAAGGTATCCACATCCTTTGTGGTCAAGAGATGCGTGGCTTTTGCGGCTATCTGTTCCTTTTGAAATCCAAGGTAGTGGATCATGGCTTCTCTTGCATGATGGGAGAGCAGGATATCAAGGACTTGCCAGTCTTGTTGGTCTTGGCCTTGTTGAATACGCTTCTTGATCAGTGATGCCAGTTGTTCTTCTGTGGCTGATACTAACTGTTGAGAGCGTTGGATGATATCTGAATGGGCTGTCATGGCCTTGAGTTGCACTGTCTTCTTGGTGGCATTGAAGGTGACTAATGTACCATTTGATCCAAATGAGGCACCTATAGGACGTCGAAGCCATGAAGATGGTTGAAAGAGAGAATACACATACACCTATATTTGTCTGGTCAATCCATAGGTAACCACAAGATAGACTTACTGAACCATCTAAAGAAGAAGTAGCCAACAAATCAGGATGAGCACAAGACCAGGCTACTTGGAATGTAGGTTGTGTCTCTGTCGCTATAGTTCCTTGTAATTCACCTGTGTTTGGGTTCCAACAGAGTGTGTTGCCATCTTTACCTGAAGAAAACAACCGATCAGCATCTTGTCTACACCAAGAAAGATCCAAGACACCCTGTGTATGTCCCCTTAGTGTTCTTTGAGGTGTATGAGCATAACGAAGATCCCATAAAGTAATCACAGGAGAATGATCATCATCAGAAGCAGTTGCTATTTGTGTGGCCTGTCATCGATAAGAAAAAAAAAAAAGAGAGAGAGAGAGACAACTTACGACATCAGGATGCCAAGCAATAGAAGAAATAGAGTTTTGTTGCTGACCCACCAATGTCATGACTTCTCGCTTGTTTCTCAAATCCCAAACAACCGTGTATCCATTAGTAGAAGCAGTCGATACAATATGTTGTACTTGACAATTCCATGCTACACTGACAATATGATCCATTTTAGAGGACCTTGCACCAGGTGTAAAAGGTGTAGAAGGATGTTCAAGGTCCCAAATATACACCTATCCATATTATATATGGTTATTATATATATATATATATATATATATATATATACCTCGCTTTGACTGCCTGCTGAAGCCAACAGATGTGTCTGAAGTGTATTGAAATCAAGTGCTTGAAGTGTGCCTGCATGGGCTGAGTGGCGTAGTACCAAAGCGTCTTCTGAACTACCATCACCACATGAATGACCCTATTCTGGGATTTTGTTTCTTACCTGTAAAGTAGGCTAGAAGCATCCCAAAGTTCAAGTTGGCCTGTTTCCATACCACCTGCAATCAGACCAAATGGTTTTTCTTGGGTAATATGGCCCCATGCCAAAGCATGAAAACTACACAACATATCAGCATCTCTCTTTTTTTTTTTTTTTTTTTTTTTTGTTTTTACCGAGACGTCGTGGTGACTTTCTTGCTAGTAGAAACACTCTCGATAGAGACTATCTCAAGTTGACTAGGATGATGATCGAAACTATTGGCTAAAGTACCTGTGGCTAACAAAGGTACTGAATGGCCTGGATACCATGCACATACTGCATTACGACGTATTTCATTCAATTTGCGTGTCATTGAACAATAAAGAAAACAAAAAAAAAGGGGGATAATCGGACTTTTGTTTTATATCATGCAGATGAGAAAGTGAATACATCCTGTGTAACAAATAAAAAGTAGAGAATAGCCTGGTTGTCATATTAAACAAATGTTTAATACACAAAAAAGTAGTTATTCGAAACAAAAACAGAAAGAAAAAAAAACTTATTTTTGGGGAGCCAAATGTTAAAACAAAATGTTTATTCAAAGTAGAATCAGAAAGATGTCAATTCAATGGAGATAGTATTGTTGGCAAGACAACCTAAAAACTTGTTTTTTTTTCTGCACTCAACCAAAAAAAAAAAAAAAAAAAAAAAAAAAAAAAAACTCCGGCCCGGGAAAAACGCGTTCGATTCTCACTTTGTAGAATCCATTTTTTTTTCTTTTTATTTTATTTTGTTTTGTACTTTATTAAAATATTTATTGATCATGACAGGTAAACATAACTCCATGAGGTCAATCTATAAACATGAGTAATTAGGCAATCATCCCAAAAAGTCAAATGAAAGAAGAGACATGTACAATAAACCCAGAAAAAACTCATCAGGTTCGAAGACACATTTATAACAAAAAAGTTCTTATATTTCCTCTTGTCAAGGTGGTTCAGGCACAAAAAAGGAATTCACGAATAAAACGTTGCTCCATCATCCAAAAGCACAACAAGCAGCTGGTGCTGCTATTTTATCAGCTGTGACTTCACCTCAATCATCAGGTTTGATTCAATCACAGCAGCCTGTACTTGGAATGAATGGCTTTAATCGAGGTGAACTAGTCGAATTCTTAAATATGCGTAAGTTGATCTCTGTTTATGTGTATGTATGGGTGATACTCAGACACAGACAACAGGTTTTTCAGATGCATTGACAGCCTATCATGATACCAATTTGGATGCTTCCATGAGACCTGAGAAATACGAAAGTAATCAAAAACCACACACACCTTCTGCTTGGGGACAACCACTACAACATAAAATGGCAGCAGGTATATATATATAGATATATATATATGTAAAAGACAGAGTTGTTATTCATCTATTGACCTAAACACTACTTCAACTAGATACGACGGGTGTTATGGCCAATGGTGCAGATTTTTTAAGTGAGTTAGCAAAGACAATAAAATAAGCTGAATTAGGATGACCATTCAAAGTCCTTTGATACTCTTGATTTCTCTACAATGTATTTTCCTTCTTTGTATTTCTGAGGTTCTTCTAATGCTCTCATGTATTTCCATCCTATTTTGACTTGACATTGATTGCATACAATATCTGCTATAGTATGAATGCCCGTCAATAACATTCTTTCTTCTCTTGTCCCAATCGTAACATTCACCACATCACTCACAAGATAAGCAGGTCCATTCTATGACATAAATAACTTTATCATTGGTTTTGACTTACCCTGCCTTGAAATGTTCTTGATATAATTGATTTTTGATCAAGTAAATGACAATGACAAGAACTACAGGTAAATAATTGGTTTGTTATCAAATAATGGCGATGCTTTTTTCTATCCATAATGAAAAAAAAAAAAAAAAAAAGAAAGAAAGAGATATTATCAGCTGAATAAGAAGACCGGTATCTTATTCGGGTCAGTGATAGACAGTTATGTGTAACCTATACAGTGACTGCAATCATTGTAGATACAGTGTCACTTGAATAAAATAATAATAACAATAAACAATAAAATTTATATATATAGAGAGAGAGAGAGTACACAGTAATTATTTAAGGCGAATGACCATGACACTTAAATTGTCAGTACTAAAGTTAGCAAGAGCATGATCTAATAGTTTTTGACTAGCTAATTGAGGGTCTTGTATATCTTTGATGAGGTCAACTGCATCTTGATCATCACACACATCCCATAGCTTATTTGATTAGTTTATAGATATAGATATGCATTGTACTTACCCCATCACAAGCTAAAATTAAGAAATCATCATTTGCACTTAACTCAGTTTCAGTCGTAAATGGATTACCAACCACGAATTCCTTCATCACACTGTCTCCTAAGGATCGTGTGACAGCCAAGACACCATTGACACGATTATTCATCATAAATCCTCCAAGATCCATAATACGCTTTGCTTCTTGAGAATCAGATCCTTTGTGGTCATACGAAAGTCGAACTGCTTTGTTTTGGCGACTAGTGATGTCAATTGATGTCTTTCCTTTTTTTTTTTTGTTTCTTTACCTTAATACTGCACGCGCATCACCTACATTACCCGTATATAGCATACGCTAAACAGGAAAAAAAAAATCAGTCCTTGATTGGAATGGTCACACAACAAACCTTGTCTCCCACTACTTTCACAAATGCAACAATAGCAGTACAGCCAGAGAATTTACCTTCACGTTGATTGACTTCATGATCGACAGCTAAAAAGGCTTTGTTTAAAATCTCCGGTACAGAATCTTGGCTTGTGCTGGATTCAATCACTTGTGCAAGTACCTATTTTATTTTAATCAGTCGTGATTGCACACACACACACACACTTGTTACTTTATCAAAATTAGCACCACACCATTCTGCTGTTGCTTTGCCTGCGTGTCCATCAAAAATAGCAAAGAATCCTTGGCGAGGTACACCCATGTAATCAAATACAAACGTATGAGCGTCTTCCATGGTTCGACGACAACGTTTATTGCGATCTTCAGATATACCCAGTTCAAAACCAGGTGCACTATGAGCTGCTTTTTGATTATTGGTATGATTCATAGTTATACGTGTATATAATAATAATAATTTATTTATAGAATAAAAAGAAAAAAGAAAAAAAAAAGAATAATATTAATAGTAAAAAAAAAAAAAATTAGACTGAGTAATGATAGATAAAAAGCAAGTCCTCATTTTTATTTTTATTTTATCTTTTGAAGTTTCTTACTAGCAAACTTAAGCTTAGTTTGTGTTCGATCCACATCTGCGTCTAATTCATCCAACACTTGGTTCTGTGTTTCGAGTTCATGTCCTATAGAAATACCCAATTGTTTTTGTCTAGCTAAAATAGCACTAAATTGTTGTACTTGTTGATCTTGGTCTTTCATCAAATCTTGTTGATGAACTAATAAACCTTGATTATCAAGTCCTCGAGTGATTTCTGTCTCTTTTTGTTGTTGTTGCTTTTGGAAAGCAGCACCAAAAGCACGACCATGACCTAAAGTATGAGCTCGCTTTGGTTTTTCTTGAGTAGGTTCATGTGAAGGAAATCCATAATTGACCGTCTCATCCCCATAAAACAATGACTGACGATCATCTGAATACTTATTGGCTGCTGCTATGGCTCGATGATTAGGCTGGTATGGAGTAGGTGTAGGTTGGGTATGCGAAGGATGATAAAGTAAATCTTGTTCTGGCTGTCTTCCTGAATTAGCTAATTTCATCAGTGTATCCTTTTCGTCTTTGAGTGATGTCAACATGTCTTGTCTTCGTCTCAATTCACCTTCTGCCGTAATCGAAGCCAACCCAGTCAGTCCTGCTTCCAAGTTTGACAGCCGACTGGACAGGTTCATCAAGAGTTTTTTCGCTTGCACTGTGCAGTTATGAGAAGCGGAGATTTCATGGCGAGCCATATGCGTCGATTTCTTGTTGATCAGCGATCGAATTTCACGGGCTGTATCGACCATGGTGGTGTATTCATCCAGCCAGCTCTCAGATGTATAGACAGCCGAGGCATCTAGTGTACGTTCAGAAGGAATCGCTAAAAACTCTCGCCAGACATCTGTCAGACGCCACCGGTCGTCTCGACTACTCAAGATACCACGCAAATAATCTTCTAACCCACGTCGACGTTCTTCTATCTTTTCAGGGTCCGAGAAAGTAGAAGGAAAGTATCGCTTTCCCGGTAATTTGGTAGGTGTAGGTTGTTTAGGAAAAATACTATGAAACTGGCTATCGAGTTTATAGAATTCGGAATATCGTTTCCATACAGCCCAGTTTCGCACAGCGGCATGCACTTCGACTTTATAGACAACATGGGGTTTAGGCACACTTCTTATTTCTGTTTCTCTAATAAAAATAGCTTGAATCACTTCAGACATAATTAAAAAAAAAAAAAAAAAAAAAAAAAAAAAAAAAAAAAAGGAAAAGAAAAGAAAGAGGAGTGAAAATGATTGAAACGTTGCGTCAGACAGTATCATTTTAAGCCCGCCAAAAAAAAAAAAAAAAATGAAATTTTTATTTCCCAATACAAAACTGCCCAAACAAGACATCTAATACATTTTCAACATCAATTCTACCTGTGATTCTGCCTAATGCGTTGGCTGCTTGTCTTAGTTCTTCTGCTGATAGAACAATATCTTGTTCAGGCATACCTGAATAAGTAATGAGTGGTTTGTTGATCTAGATAGACTTACTTAGGAATGTATTAAGACAGGCAATACAGTCTTCTAAATGCTCTCTATGTCTTGCCTGAGTAATTAATACTGGATTGGCTACCGAAGCGTCAAATCTATCATTGGCTATGAGTGATGCATAGACATATATAGAAGATTACTTTGTTTGAAGGATATGGATCATTTGATCTATAAAGACAGAAACACCTTGTCCAGTATGACAACTCATAGCCCATACACCTTTAGCCTGTGTCTCTTGCTGAAGGGTCTTGATCATCTCGTTCAAGTTTGGCTTGTCTGTGTCTGCAATCACATCCTGCTTATTCAGGATCAAATAAGTGTCTTGATCAATGGCTTGTTTAATGATCGGATCCAGGGTGACACCATTTTCTAAAGACATTAAGCATATTTTGATGTCCGAAGAAGCGATCCTGTCAAGTGAGATAAGCGAATGTTTCATGCGATTGGGCTTACTTTTGTCTTGTTCGTTTGATGCCTTCAAGTTCAATCCTATCGCTTGATTCTCTTAGTCCTGCTGTATCACACACAATCACTGGATATCCACCTAGATTCAACTTGACTTCAACCACGTCGCGTGTAGTACCGGGAATATTGGACACAATCGCTGCTTCTCTTTTAGCCAATCGATTCAAGAGTGTACTCTTGCCTGCATTAGGTGGACCTACAATAGCCACCTGAATACCATTACGCACCATTTCACCCACACGGTTATCATCTAAATGCGCTATGATAGAGGTATGCAGGGCTTGAATAGCTTGTCTGACATGATCCATCACACCTTCTTCAATGTTTTCATCTTCGCCGAAATCAATCACGGCTTCTGTGGTTGCCATGGCTTCAATGATCTGTGTTCGCCACTGATCATACTGGACTCTTAATCCGCCTTCTGTTTGTTGAAGTGCTAAGCGTCTCTGTACTTCTGTCTCAGCATTCAATAAGTCAGCCAACCCTTCTAATTCAGTTAAATCCAACTTGTCATTGTCAAATGCTCTATACACATGAGAAAAAAAAGCATGAATAGCGTGTTGTTGTTCATCCATTACCTTCTGGCAAATTCACCTTGTTCAGCCATACGAAAATCAGGTAAACTATGTAACGCATCCAAGACGCTCTTGATAACAGCATTGCCGCCATGAATCTGTAATTCAACTGAATCTTCGCCTGTAAAACTGTGAGGTCCCGGAAACCAAAGCACAAGGCCTCTATCTAACACATGGCCTGATAACGGATGCCGAATGCGTCTAAAATATGCTTTTCGTGGATCTGTCAAGCGGGTTGAGGTTGGTTTTAAGGTCATTTTTGAAATACACTAGGCAATTTAGTTTTTACATGTGATGTTGACATGGACATACTTGTTTAGCATCAGGACCTGAGACGCGAATCACAGCAACACCTGCTTTACCAGGTGAAGAAGAAAGAGCATAAATAGTTTGTGCTCTTGAAGAAAGTGAACGGAATTGACATGGTGATCTTAAACATGATCGGATCGAGGAAAACATGAAAAAAAAATGTAATTGAAACAACGCTTTCTTCAAGACCCTGTCTTTTATTGCTTTTTTTTTGTTTTATTTCTCATGTCATTCCGTTTATTTATTCGCCAACAAGCCATCCACTGTCGATGGACTCGATCATGGAGTTCATCGGTACCCAAGAAACCTTCTTTACCAGACACTTTATCGAATCGACAAAAATTTAACCAGATCCAACCACCTGTCAAACTCTATGAAAAACTAGAAAAGTTAGGATTCGGTACTTTACTCAAAACAAAACGATTTGCTGGACTTCATAAAGAGCGCGCGAAACGTGATGCCAAAAAGCTGAAATATACTGAACGTGCAGGGATCGAGCCTGAACCGACTTATAAAGTAAGTAACTGATGTGTATCCAAGCTGACACAGTAGTTTCCTTTGCTTTCTTTTTTTGCAGGTGCTAAAACACCTACGTCCATTCCTCCTGAATCACTGAATGAAATTGCATTTGTTGGTAAGGCATTGGATCACTAGCTCAACCTCATTCTTGTCTAGGTCGTTCGAATGTAGGCAAGTCGAGTCTTATCAACAGTGTGACGGAATCGACCATTGTCAGAACATCCGACAAACCAGGCTTGACGCAACAACTCAACTTTTATAATGTAGGACGATTGTTTCATATGATTGATATGCCAGGCTATGGTTTTGCATTTGCCGATGAAGAAGATAGACATCAATGGCGACATTTGGTAAGTCTATACTTATGTAGGCCTTATGGACTTATATGACTAGATGGAAACTTATATCTCAGAAAGAAAAACACTAAAGCGTGTCTATGTTGTACTGGATGCAAGACATGGAGTTAAAGTAGCCGATGTCGAGTTCCTTCAGATGCTCAATACCAAAAAAGTCAAATTTCAAATCGTCCTTACAAAATGTGACTTGTTGGTCCTGCCTACTTTAGCCAAACGTATTGTGGCAGTAGAAGATCATATCAAACCACTTCGTCATGCAGTTCAAGATGTCGTGGTTGTCAGTTCAAAATCAGGCGCAGGCATCAATCAATTTAGAAAAGAAATCTTGTTTTTGATGGGCCAATTAAAGCCTAAATCGTTTTATGAACCAGTGAAATAAACACAAATATATATTATAAGCCAAATAGGTAAACCAGACCGTATGGCATTAATTGAGAGTAGAAGCAAGTTGCATCATGGCTACGGCAGCATCTACTTGAACTAGATCTTCTTGTGGTGTAAACATGGAACGTAAAGGAGGCAATTGAATGCGCTCAGGTGAACTGGGCATAGGATGGGACTGAAGAGACATGCGCCGAGATTCGTTTAAATGACGGCTATAAGGTAAGCATTCTGCTGACTGTCTTCGGCATGGTTTTGTAGGTTCAGTTGGTTTCATAAAAGAAAGATGCAGAGGTGGTGTTCTGTTACAGTAATAGAATTTATCATATCGGTTTGCATAGCCTAGTCTAGTAGGGTCAGCAAAGGGTTGTCTGTCTAGACATAAAGGATGAGGTAATGAATGACTGGTTGGTATGTCAATGTCCCTTCTTCTTTGTTGTCGGTGATCATTATACCATACATGACCTTGTGGCTGTCTGCTTAAAGAAGGATGGTACAAAGAAGCATGCGAGTGATAATAGGGATGCAGTAACCTTGGATATCCAAACACACGTTCTTCCTGTTGTTGTTCTTCTTCTTGAGTAGACATTTTTCTTTTACGAGAGATGTTCCTGTCAATAACGCTCATTAAAAAAAAAAGATGCATGATTATGGACTTACATTTGTACTCGATGTTCTTTTCGAATTCGAATACGAACGCCTTGATCTGAAAATGACCGAGAAAGAAAAGTAGATTCAAGCATCCCGGGAAATGTTTTGGGAGAATAGACTTGAAAGACATTGGAATAGATCGAACTTAGGTTTGTTGCTCCAACTTTAGTTATTTTAAACATGGAAAACTTTAATCTGAATTGTCCTTCTAATTTGACCGAGAGATCACCAAAAACAAAGAAGCCGCCATCTATAGAAATAAAATGAGTTTGACATCCAGGTGGATAGCATTTACCATGGTTGTTGATGTCTTTTAGTTTATACATAGAGGAAGCTGTTTGGCCTGTTAATATGTTTTGTGTTGAGATAGCCTCTTGTGTGTTTGAGTGAACTAAGGTAACAGACATAAAGAGGTAAGGGTTTTGTAAGAAATCCCTAAAAAAAAAAAAAGTAATTTCTTTAAAAAAAAAAAGAATGGATTTAGGTTCTTCTTTACTGTGTTTGTTGAGCAGTTGAATTATCAAGTTCGATCTGTATAATAGGAGGAGGATCAAGAGGTCTACGGTCTATACTATTAGTCTTTTTTATTCTGGATTGCATATCTACCTCTCTCATTGTTTGTACTTTGACGAGCTTGAATAGGCTGTTGTCGGATCTTGAGTATAAACTGTCTAAAGAGAATAAGACATTCATGAAATGGTTTATACATACATTACTGTGGATCAAGACAATGTACGACTTTGGAACTAGAAGACATGTACTCATAATTATGTGAAACGAGTACCCTACTAGACATTTAATAAATAAACAAATAAATAAGGAGACGAAAATGGGGTTAAAAGAAAGAGAGAAACAAAGATAAAATATGTTTAAGGACAAGATTAATGTAACCAAGGCCCGGTATAATCTGCGGCTATATGACGCTATGGTCTTTATATAAAGGCTTTCTTACTCTATTTTATATGTTTTTTTTTTAAAAAAAAAAAGAACTACTTATGCAAGTAAACTAAATTCATAATGCAATGATCACCCTGAGTTGTTTATAAAAAGATACCATCTAATTTTATGCTGACAAGGATAGAAACAAATGCATGATACACTAGTAAGTTTTCAAAAGTAACTAGGGAAATAAGACAGAAACTTGTTTCCTTGGTGACTCTTTCTTTTTACTGCCGTCATTGTAGCCGAGAAGAAAAGACGATATCCTGGAAAATCCTGAGATAATACTCTATCATGATGTTGCGCCATGATAAACACTAAAAAAAAAAGGTATCTCTATTGGTGCTAGATACAATTATAATACGGCAAAGAAAGAAAGAAAAACATATCAAAGTTAAAGTTGTTTGACATATTCTGTTGAATAAAGTTTATGGATGAGCAGCAAAAGTAAAAAAAAAAAAGTATAATTCTAAGATCAATAGACATGCATTTCCCGGTACCATTGAAGAAACATAGCCTCCTGTCAACATGTTTTGTAGAATCGAATTAATCATCATCTTTCTTTGTTTCTTTCTACTTCCAAAAGAAAGAGAGTTGATTTGACTAGTCTAAAGAATGCCTTTCAATCACTATCACCCGCTCTATTTGTGTATTTACAGAAACACACTTTGAAATAACAGTATTAAATGGTTTGTTATTCTTCAGTATTCTTTGTATTGTAAACCATTCTACGCTAATGGACTTTTAAAAATCCGCCATTACTTATCTTTTTCTCTTTTTTTTTCTCCTTTTTGTTCATTACATACCATGGCAGCACAACTTTACGAAACTACCAGTGGTAGACTATTTCATGCAGGTGCAGTTGCTGTTATTACTGTAGGGTAAGGCACTGTCTACATATAGATATATATATATAAGGTGGGACTTATCCTGTGGCATAGTTTACCTGCTCGAGGCAAAACCCATGCCTCTCGTTCACTTTGTCGTTATATGCGTTGGCTTGGTGTATCCACTAAAGTATTTAGTGTCGGCAACTATAGAAGAGAGCGTCTAGGATCATTATCTGAAGATTGGTTTGATCCTCGTAAGTGACAAGTCCCAAAGAATCAAACTAAATGTTGATAGATAATGAAGAGGCTACAGAGACACGTCTTAAAGTAGCAGATGAATGTTTGGATGATTTGATAGATTGGCTTCAACATGGAGGAGGACAAGTAGCTATTTTTGATGGCAATAATGTGTCTGAACAAAGAAGAAAGCAGATTCACGATAAACTGCTTGGCTGTGATATTCATGTATGTTTGTGTATTGAGTCATTGGCACTGACTTTCAACAGCCTTTATTTCTAGAGTTTATCTGTAATAAGCCTGATATTATCTTAGCAAACATTCGAAGTGTCAAAATTTCATCTCCAGATGTAAAATACTTACACGCATAAAACTATACTCACTATAAACTTTTAGTACGTCGGATGGGATCCAGAAGAAGCTGTGACAGACTATAAGGTACAGATAATTACATGCCCACATTTCACTTATATGTCTCTGTAGCGTCGTATTAAACAACATGAAGACAACTATGAAACAATCACTGATACATCACTTCCCTTTGTGAAGAACATGAATGCAGGTGAACAGTTTATTGTGAACAATGTGATTGGTTATCTTCAAGTAAGAAAAAAAAAGAGAGAGAGAGGAGAAAGAGAATGGCTTATTCTTGTTTATAGTCCCGTATTGTTTATTATCTGATGAATCTTCATATTCAACGTCGAACCATTTATTTTGCTCGAGTAAGTTGACTTACTGAGTCGAGAGATCACTAAACATAATGAACTAGTCTGGTCCTTCTGAAAATGAACATTCTTACAAGGCAGATGCAGACCTATCTGAAGAAGGTCGACGCTATGCTGAAAAGTTAAAGGAATTTATGCTCTTTCAACATAAACAAAAGAATGACAATTTGGCACCTGATGAACGACGTCTTTTAACTGTAAATAATACAAACAAACAAACAAAACCTAACATATACATTTAGATTTGGACTTCTTCACAGAAAAAGGCTTTAGGTACAGCTATTCCATTCATGCAAGCTGGTGTACCTATTCGTCAACAACCTGTCTTGAATCAGCTGAATCCTGGTGAATCTGATGGACTCACACCTGAAGAACTCAAGGCTAAGTTCCCTGATGAAGTAATCAAGGCCCGTGAAAACCCTTATCGTCACAGATATCCCCGCGCTGAATCTTATCATGATTTGGCTGTTCGCTTAGAATCAGTGATTATGGAACTTGAGAGAGAAAAGAATGATGTGTTGATTATTGCTCATGAAACAGTCTTACGTTGTTTGTACGCTTATTTATTTGATAGACCTGCTCGTGTAAGTAGATTGGAACTAAATGTACACTTGAACTTACTTCACCACAATAGGAAATTCCAACTATTTCGATTCCTCGTTCATGCCTTATAGAAATCACACCTTCTGCTTATGGCTGCAAAGAAACTCGTATGGAAATCAATTAGAGACAACAATTTATTAAAATGCAAATCGATTGCCCTTTCTTTGCATATAATTGTATTTGCTTCGACAAGCCCATTCAGATCTTCCTGTGTTTAATTCGTTTGCTACTAGAGGCCATATATTTTCTGTATGTTGAAGTTTGTGTTTCTGTACAATGTCTAGCAACTTGAGTTCTTCTTCATATGACCATTTGCCTTTAGTTAAATGAGGCTGTAAACTATAGAGCCATCTTGATTTACACTGCTTAGGCGATCTGCCTTGAATCATTTTAGCTATATCAGACCAAGATGTGACCTGCCCAAATTCATTGCTGTATTTTTCAACAGCAAATTTAAGAACTTGATCCTCTTGTTCATTCCATGTTCTTTTTGCTAGACCTTCAGGATTCTGTTGTTGATAATGCCACCACTCCATCATTTGCTTTGGTGTACGAGAAGGCAAATAAGTCATACGAATAGCATGCCATTGAGGACCAAACATGTGTACACCTTCTCGAATCAACATCTTTTCTGTTTCTGTGAGTCGTTTGTTCTTTATGATAGCAGGCGTGTCTTGATCTCCAGTTTTGAACTGAAGTTCGCGGTACCATCGATAAGCACATTGGCGCTTGTTTCTCTGAGGCATTTCTTGAACAATGTTATCCCAATGACCTATACCATGTTTGTTGACAAGTGACACTAATAATGCGTCTTCTTGTGCTGACCATGCTCCCTTTTTGATATGTTTGTTTGATAAATGCTCTTCATATTGATATCTACATTGATGTACATTTCTACCAATGAATTCTTTAGCGACTTCTTTCCAGTCTACAGTAGTTTTGTTCTCTAATTGCTCATTGACAGTCTTTTCTAGACGATCCAGTTCTTCTTGACTCCAACTTCCAGCTCGATGAAGCATGACGCTGTGATTGGAGGCTTCTCTTACAGTTGTTCCTCGTTCAATCCATTCACATACTAGTTTAGCTATCCGTGTTCTCCATTCAGGACTGTTCTCTGACCTTTCCTTTTTGATTTGATCGCCATACAACAAGGTGAATTCTGGGTCCTTTTTGACAACAGACCAAAACTTGAAAGAACACATCAAACGCGTTCTACCTGGCAATGTCGCTGCCACCTTGACAAAATTGCCTTGGCATTCAACCATTTGTTTCCAAAACAAAAGTGTTTCTTCTTTAGACCAAGGGCCCTTATTCAATGCAGGATCTAACTGTGTCATCCAGACTTGGTTGCATTGTTCAGGCGTTCTTCCACGCAACCCTTCTGCTACTTTATTCCAGTTCTGACCATATACAATAGTCCGTCGAAGCAATAGATCTAGCTCACTGTCTGTCCATCGGACTTGTTTGATGGTCGGGTCAAGATACGTTCGATAATGGTTTCGTATCTGCATACGAGTACGCCATGGTAAGTACTCGGCTGCTACTTTAGCCCATGAAGAAGGTCCGTGTGCTTGAAGGCCTTGAAGTAACAACTCGTCTTCTTCTTTTGACCATTTCTTCTTTTTGGATATGGTCATGGAAGACCATACGTTTGCTATACGTCGAGCAGATCGATGAGGCAGGTAAGTCTTGCTGATCTCGGCCCATCGACCTACACCCAACTCGGCAACAGCTTGTTGAAGTCGATCTTTTTCTTCTGCACTGAACGGGCCTTGCTTGAGGTCAGGATTCAAGACATCAGACCAACGGGCTTGACATTGTTTGGGTGATCGATGAGGTAGACAGTGCTGTACAAATTCATTCCATTTTTTGCCGTTATGTTTGACATAGTTGCGTAGTAGATCGTCTTCCCAGGGCAACCATTTTTCAGGAGAGTTGGCTATGAGACGTTTATGAAGAATAGGTTTATTAAATAAGGGTATAACATATCGTTTGGTAAGCAGAGACAACATAGCATAGTGTTTATTATGAAAGGGGAGCTAAAAAAAAAAAAAAAAAAAAAAAGGAGATTGAATCAGGCAAGATCAGCTTGACCAAAAGTATCGGATATAATGGTAATAATGATGTTTAGAGGTGCAATATGTGCAGGCAATGAAGGCCTAATTTTGATACATTCTCGAGATAAATCACGTAGAATAGATACATTCTTGGATGTTAGTACAGGGTCAAGGTAGACTAACAGACCAAAGATCCATTGACACTAAGACAATAATCAACAAGAGTCCAAAAAATACGCTTTTGTTTTTACCTTTAGTTTAATGTCTGTATTGTTTTGAAGCCATTGGCAATGAAAATGCAGTAATTTTAAGATGGAATGCTATAAAGACATAAGTACAAGAGATCTATCTTTCTGTATATGTGTGCTTTTTACTTGTGACAAAGTAGGAATCAAGGTCATCAAATCTTGGTTGTCTGTCTTGTAAAGCAGCTTGTATGCTTCATCTATGGACGTGATTTCCTTGTGTTTGTGTGTTGGTTTTTTGTTCTTTTGCATTTGCTATCACAAAGAATGAGTCCAACTCCTTTCTTGTGAGTGAATATTTTACCTTTTGATATGTTTTGAATGGTTCAGTAAATCCTTTTCTCCATGCGTCAGATGCTTGACATTGTGTGTTTGACTCTGAATCAGCAAGTATTTGAAAGTGAGGTGGTAATTCAATCTTCTTTGTCTTTTTAGGTGGTGGAGCAACCACTGTTTTGGCACACTGTTTAGCTTGTTGTCTAATAAAGAGCTTAATACAATATTGTCATGACAAAAAAAAAGACAGATCTTACCTTACAACAAGTAAATAATCTTCGCCTGACAAAGGAATGCCATTCACAAGATCAGGTCTTGACTTGCTAAGAGGAATGGCGGCCTTTGTGTTGTCTAGATTGTTTTCTTCCTCAAACTTGGTTTGCGAAAAGAGTCGCTTGGACATGAGTAAAAGACTAAAAAAATCAAAAATTGTCGATCAGGAAAGTATAAAATGTGTTTATTATATAAGTAAAGCAGTCTTTTGGGATATAAAGTTATAGATATATGTCTTGCACATCTAATAATGTCAAGTTTATAACCAACTTACTAGTATATATTGTACAAAGCTACATTTCTGTTTCATTTGATTCACTTCCCTGTAATTAGCAGTTATTTTGAGTGCCTGACCAAGTCAATAGCTTTCTTCTTAATTACACAAAGTTGTCCAAATTGGTGTTCACTTGCAGGATTCAAGACAAAGATGAAGGTGTCGCAAAAGTTGGTTTCATGAGAGTAAGTCGACTCCAAATGTGTCAATTGTTTCAACATGCACCTATTTTTTTTTGTATCGTGACACATTGCACTGCTTTTTTATTTGGGCAGCACAAATACCAATAGCTTTTTATGGTCTTGGAACAACATAACAATGATTGGGCTTACTATTATTCTATAAACTTTATGATTTTTTTTTCAAAAAGATTACAGCTGACGAAACTAGGTTGGGCCAATAAAAAAAATTGGCAGAGTTGAGAAAATGGGACGCTAATAGGAAAGTGGGACACGAGTACAAATATGGGACAAAATGAGACTAATGTTAGCTCTTTTTATGGAAAGAACCAAAATCAACTCCTTTACTTACCTATTGTAGACATTGAGTTTTAAGCAAGTTGTGTAGTAAATGGCGAAGTATAACCTCCAATTACTAAAACAAAATACTTATACTGTAAAAAGTGTGCGTTTCTTTTTCAAGTGTGATCATTAAAAGGCACATGAAGAATTCTAGCTATGATTTTCTTCGAACAATAATATAGCAGTTTTTGTTGTTCAATTGATACTCAATGAACAAAAACCCTGCATATTTAATAATCTTGAATATCTCCCAAATATAACAGTACATCATAATAAATAAATGCAAGAGACTTCCACGATTAGCCACAACCACACCAATAGATTCGGATGTAGAAATAGTGAATATGACAAGTTTATTGTAACGCTCGCAGGCTTTAGTATTGTATGAATAAGCTAAAGAGTTAATTTATTCAACAATTTTACAACATATATTATCTTTGTCGATGGATTGAAACTCTAGATTTTTTAACTTGACGGTTTATATAGCGAAGAAAAACTGTATTGACTATTTATATGTTTGCTGAAATAATAATGAGACCATAATTGTATACAATTTGTCTGCTACTATTACTTGGAAAATTGACAAGCAACTCTTACTCCAATATTGGAAGCCACGATGAACTAACCTCCTTAACGTTTTACTTCTTCTCGATCAGATGTGCCTCAAACCGCATGCGGAATTTGCGCCTGAACCTGATCCATGTACACTCTTTTACCACTGGCTCATGGAATAAGACATCCGCTCAAAACTAAAAAAAAAAAAAAAGATATTGGTCACAGCCAAAATTAAAATGGACTGAATAGAATGCTTTTTTGCAAATTTTGGTTTTTATTTAGAAAAAAAGGCACAAAAAGGCATATTGCAATGTAATAATAAACAACATATATTCTAATGTTATGAGTGAGTTTCAATATAACGGAAACTTTATATTCAAGATCGAAATAAATTTCTCTCAAGAATGTATTGAGACCTTCGAACATAGAACAATAAACATAAATTGCTACTCCAGCGTAAGAAACACCAAAAACCTTCAGTAGCATCGAAAAACTCCTGGTTTTCTTCATCATTGTTAGAGCCTTCATCAAGCTGAACCATTGGTAGATCTGTTCCCAGTACTTGGTTGGTAAAATCCACTGTCGATAAGTGTTCCCGCCGGTAATGATTCTGAAATGTCTTTGAATCAACCCAGTTTTCCAGCGTCCGTATATCGTCAAGAGATATTCCTTGTTTTAACGCAATAGAGGATGCTGTTGTGAGATGAAGAGGGAATAGATATAAAATAAGAGAAAGGGTAAGAACACAGAGAAAGTCCATTAGAACTTGTATAGGTTTTTTATTTCTCCAAGAAATGTCATCTTTCAATTGCTATAAAATGTCGAGGTTTTTATACTTTTTCTTCTCGGCCAAAGTGTTGTTTTGGGGTTAGCTTCTTGACTACGGATTGATTTGTCAGATCAGGAGCAATTAAGAGAAATGCCTTTAGGGGAAGTTGTCAGCTCAGTCAATAGTACATGATCTGACTTGAACTTGAATAAACTATTACATATTTGTCAAATGCCAATGCTAATGTATTTATCAGCTCTAACTGTCACTTTATGAGTGCCATTAATAATAACAGAGTCACTAGGTTCATAATCTCTGACTATGAGGATGATGTAGTACTTCTAGTAGAATGAGTGAATGTCAGTGACTATAGATCCATTGCAATTGCCATAGATGTGATCTGGTCTTTTGCCATGATCATCATTTATTGATCTATGCATATGAATTTATATATGTTCACAAAAAACATATTGATGGTGCTTGAGCATTTTGTCTTCCCTTTCTTGATCATAACTCATTCTGGCATATGCTTCAGGCATGGTGGCGGGTGGTTGATGATTGACTCCTTGGATGGCAGGATATCTTTCAATCAATTGCTTATGTTGGTTGTCAGACATTCCTGGACCAATAGTTGCGATAATTCTCGAGAAGGACTCCAATCATGATGGGGTTGTGTCTCAAAAGAATGTACTTGTTGTTGGGTGTTGAAAAGTGGGTGTTGAAAAGTGGGTGTTGAAAAGTGGGTGTTGAAAAGTGGGTCTTCTGCTTCTATGTCTTGTTCCTGTTGGCTTTGTTATTACTGTTGTTGATTCTGGAGTTCTTGATTTTGCATGATTTGCTCAATCATTGCTTGTTGTGCAGCCATTTGCTGTTGTAAGGCTGCTAAAATATCACTGTTTGGTACTGCCATTTGAATATAATAATGATGTTTCGGAATTTACTATGAAAAGCGAGCGATAAAAAGAAGATCAAAGAACAAATAACATTACTTTCACATATTTATACTTGATTTTAATCTGGACCTATATATTTTACTTACACATATTTATCGAATAAAACTAAGAAGATCACAGCAATTTATGTTTAATGTTCTATGTTCGAAGGTCTCAATACATGCTTGAGAGAAATTTATTTCGACCTTGAATGATGTACGAATTGAACTTCAAACAGCCAATGAAAAGCCGTACTTTTTGCTATAACAAGTTGTTATAGCAAGCAAGACTTTTGATTGGCCAGTTTATAGCCGCTCAACTTGATATTTTACAGACTATAACAAGTTGTTATAGCCAATAGGAGCCCGAGTTTGCTATAACAAGTTGTTATAGCAAGCAAGGCTTTTGATTGGCCAGTTTATAGCCGCTCAACTTGATATTTTACAGACTATAACAAGTTGTTATAGCCAATAGGAGCCTGAGTTTGCTATAACAACTTGTTATAGCAAGCAAGGCTTTTGATTGGCCAATTTATAGCCGCTCAACTTGATATTTTACAGGCTATAACAATTTGTTATAAATACTTCAGACTTCTATTGGCTATAAAAACTTGTTATAGCTGTATATTTCCGTGTTATACTGTTGTTATAACTAGAAATTTTATGACGGAAGGCGTCAAATCGTTTAAGTGATTTCCTTTTAATGCTACAACAACGCCTCTCTGCGTCTTTATGTCTTCTCTACACAACTTATACACTCAACTATCAAGCGATCTTTCGTTGGTTCTTAATGCCTAGAATAATTTTTTCTTTAGTTTTTTTTTTTTTTTATTAACTATGACAAGCGGAACATATCAATAACTAATGTCAAAGTTCAATTCAAGATGATGACTGTCTTGCTCCGGGAGGTGATGACGATGACGATGACGATGAGGGCGCCACTGCAGGTATACTCTGTTGGTGTTCACTTTGTTCAGTTTCCTCTTGCTTTTGCTTTTTCGTAGCACGGTGATAAGCACTTTGTGCACTTTTGTACGACTCATACTGCTCAAAGCGGCCCAGTATTTTCCACTGTTGGAATTGAGTTTTCCATGGTATGCGCCCATTTTTGTCCACTTGTTGCTCAGCAAATTCGAAATCGGACAATGGATCCTCTAAATGTCGCTTTTGTACTATTTCATTGACATACGCAATGACATTATTCAAAGTCTTTACGGCTGTTTCAATACGCACGCCAACAGGTTGATCTTGGTTTTCAAGGGCTGCTTTTGCCTTATAGCATTCTAGTTTTGATTGGGCACATACATTCTTTAATACTTGGATAGAGCTTTCGTTGTCATGGATATGATCACCAAGTGTATTCTTCATTTTAGTATATAGACAAACTAGTGTTGGGTCATTGCGTTGTTCCAGGTCTATGAGTGATGCCTCTTGTTTAATAAGGTAGTAAACAAGTGCAAGCAATGGGCTTAATGGGGCTTCGTTGAGATAGGGTGCAATAGTCTCTGCATTGAACAATAGACATGAGCTGGCCCAGCCAATGCTCGATAGCTGTTTTGCAAAAGGGATAGGAGAACCAGGTGTTTCAACTTCAAGTAGATCTCTGGTTGTCGAATCGATCACAATTGCTACAACAATAGGGAGCTTAGACGCTTTGTGTTGTCTACAAACCGAACGCGAATAGTCGATTAGCCGTTGATAGAAATTCATATCTGCCTTATTTTGAATCTCGATTAGAATACGAGGTAGGTCATCGGAGCAGTTGACTGGCTCGTATGCGACATCAAAGCGAGTGAAATCAATCCACTCAGTTGGAATGGCAACGTATTGATCTTTTGCCTTTGGTCCTACACAAACGAAAAGAATTAGTAGGATGCTAAGAGGCATATTTAAGATCATACCAATAACTGCTGAGACAACAATATTGATAACATCTTGATCAACTAACAACAGCTTGCTCATTAAGTCGGTTCCAGGTAAATACTTCCTTGGGAGAGAAAAAGTCTTGCGGTTGGCGCCTTCCATCATAAAATTTCTAGTTATAACAACAGTATAACACGGAAATATACAGCTATAACAAGTTTTTATAGCCAATAGAAGTCTGAAGTATTTATAACAAATTGTTATAGCCTGTAAAATATCAAGTTGAGCGGCTATAAACTGGCCAATCAAAAGCCTTGCTTGCTATAACAACTTGTTATAGCAAACTCGGGCTCCTATTGGCTATAACAACTTGTTATAGTCTGTAAAATATCAAGTTGAGCGGCTATAAACTGGCCAATCAAAAGCCTTGCTTGCTATAACAACTTGTTATAGCAAACTCGGGCTCCTATTGGCTATAACAACTTGTTATAGTCTGTAAAATATCAAGTTGAGCGGCTATAAACTGGCCAATCAAAAGTCTTGCTTGCTATAACAACTTGTTATAGCAAAAAGTACGGCTTTTCATTGGCTGTTTGAAGTTCAATTCGTACATCATTCAAGGTCGAAATAAATTTCTCTCAAGCATGTATTGAGACCTTCGAACATAGAACATTAAACATAAATTGCTGTGATCTTCTTAGTTTTATTCGATAAATATGTGTAAGTAAAATATATAGGTCCAGATTAAAATCAAGTATAAATATGTGAAAGTAATGTTATTTGTTCTTTGATCTTCTTTTTATCGCTCGCTTTTCATAGTAAATTCCGAAACATCATTATTATATTCAAATGGCAGTACCAAACAGTGATATTTTAGCAGCCTTACAACAGCAAATGGCTGCACAACAAGCAATGATTGAGCAAATCATGCAAAATCAAGAACTCCAGAATCAACAACAGTAATAACAAAGCCAACAGGAACAAGACATAGAAGCAGAAGACCCACTTTTCAACACCCACTTTTCAACACCCACTTTTCAACACCCACTTTTCAACACCCAACAACAAGTACATTCTTTTGAGACACAACCCCATCATGATTGGAGTCCTTCTCGAGAATTATCGCAACTATTGGTCCAGGAATGTCTGACAACCAACATAAGCAATTGATTGAAAGATATCCTGCCATCCAAGGAGTCAATCATCAACCACCCGCCACCATGCCTGAAGCATATGCCAGAATGAGTTATGATCAAGAAAGGGAAGACAAAATGCTCAAGCACCATCAATATGTTTTTTGTGAACATATATAAATTCATATGCATAGATCAATAAATGATGATCATGGCAAAAGACCAGATCACATCTATGGCAATTGCAATGGATCTATAGTCACTGACATTCACTCATTCTACTAGAAGTACTACATCATCCTCATAGTCAGAGATTATGAACCTAGTGACTCTGTTATTATTAATGGCACTCATAAAGTGACAGTTAGAGCTGATAAATACATTAGCATTGGCATTTGACAAATATGTAATAGTTTATTCAAGTTCAAGTCAGATCATGTACTATTGACTGAGCTGACAACTTCCCCTAAAGGCATTTCTCTTAATTGCTCCTGATCTGACAAATCAATCCGTAGTCAAGAAGCTAACCCCAAAACAACACTTTGGCCGAGAAGAAAAAGTATAAAAACCTCGACATTTTATAGCAATTGAAAGATGACATTTCTTGGAGAAATAAAAAACCTATACAAGTTCTAATGGACTTTCTCTGTGTTCTTACCCTTTCTCTTATTTTATATCTATTCCCTCTTCATCTCACAACAGCATCCTCTATTGCGTTAAAACAAGGAATATCTCTTGACGATATACGGACGCTGGAAAACTGGGTTGATTCAAAGACATTTCAGAATCATTACCGGCGGGAACACTTATCGACAGTGGATTTTACCAACCAAGTACTGGGAACAGATCTACCAATGGTTCAGCTTGATGAAGGCTCTAACAATGATGAAGAAAACCAGGAGTTTTTCGATGCTACTGAAGGTTTTTGGTGTTTCTTACGCTGGAGTAGCAATTTATGTTTATTGTTCTATGTTCGAAGGTCTCAATACATTCTTGAGAGAAATTTATTTCGATCTTGAATATAAAGTTTCCGTTATATTGAAACTCACTCATAACATTAGAATATATGTTGTTTATTATTACATTGCAATATGCCTTTTTGTGCCTTTTTTTCTAAATAAAAACCAAAATTTGCAAAAAAGCATTCTATTCAGTCCATTTTAATTTTGGCTGTGACCAATATCTTTTTTTTTTTTTTAGTTTTGAGCGGATGTCTTATTCCATGAGCCAGTGGTAAAAGAGTGTACATGGATCAGGTTCAGGCGCAAATTCCGCATGCGGTTTGAGGCACATCTGATCGAGAAGAAGTAAAACGTTAAGGAGGTTAGTTCATCGTGGCTTCCAATATTGGAGTAAGAGTTGCTTGTCAATTTTCCAAGTAATAGTAGCAGACAAATTGTATACAATTATGGTCTCATTATTATTTCAGCAAACATATAAATAGTCAATACAGTTTTTCTTCGCTATATAAACCGTCAAGTTAAAAAATCTAGAGTTTCAATCCATCGACAAAGATAATATATGTTGTAAAATTGTTGAATAAATTAACTCTTTAGCTTATTCATACAATACTAAAGCCTGCGAGCGTTACAATAAACTTGTCATATTCACTATTTCTACATCCGAATCTATTGGTGTGGTTGTGGCTAATCGTGGAAGTCTCTTGCATTTATTTATTATGATGTACTGTTATATTTGGGAGATATTCAAGATTATTAAATATGCAGGGTTTTTGTTCATTGAGTATCAATTGAACAACAAAAACTGCTATATTATTGTTCGAAGAAAATCATAGCTAGAATTCTTCATGTGCCTTTTAATGATCACACTTGAAAAAGAAACGCACACTTTTTACAGTATAAGTATTTTGTTTTAGTAATTGGAGGTTATACTTCGCCATTTACTACACAACTTGCTTAAAACTCAATGTCTACAATAGGTAAGTAAAGGAGTTGATTTTGGTTCTTTCCATAAAAAGAGCTAACATTAGTCTCATTTTGTCCCATATTTGTACTCGTGTCCCACTTTCCTATTAGCGTCCCATTTTCTCAACTCTGCCAATTTTTTTATTGGCCCAACCTAGTTTCGTCAGCTGTAATCTTTTTGAAAAAAAAATCATAAAGTTTATAGAATAATAGTAAGCCCAATCATTGTTATGTTGTTCCAAGACCATAAAAAGCTATTGGTATTTGTGCTGCCCAAATAAAAAAGCAGTGCAATGTGTCACGATACAAAAAAAAATAGGTGCATGTTGAAACAATTGACACATTTGGAGTCGACTTACTCTCATGAAACCAACTTTTGCGACACCTTCATCTTTGTCTTGAATCCTGCAAGTGAACACCAATTTGGACAACTTTGTGTAATTAAGAAGAAAGCTATTGACTTGGTCAGGCACTCAAAATAACTGCTAATTACAGGGAAGTGAATCAAATGAAACAGAAATGTAGCTTTGTACAATATATACTAGTAAGTTGGTTATAAACTTGACATTATTAGATGTGCAAGACATAGGCGAAGTTGTAATAAAAACTTTTCTTTAGCGTTGTAACGACTGTACTAGCCGATTGGCCAGAGTAAGCTTATTTTTCAATATGTCATTCATTCCACGAAATCCTTCTCTCTTGTTCTTTTGAGCAAATGGTTTGTTGAAGAATTTCAAAATCAAGAAAGGAGGTAAAAAAAAAAACTACTGAGTTCTACTGATAATTGACACAAGAGTCAAAGTCAAAATTGACAATTTAAGAAATAATCTCGATCAGAATCCGAACTATTGTACATGCAAACGATCCAATCATCTACATTACATCAATAGCATAATAGTCCTACGATGCACAATGTAGTACGTAATGTTCAGGTTGATATACGTGTTTTCGAGTACATAAACAGATCAAGCAAAGCTTTTTGTCTCCTTTGTTTTGACTTTTTTAGGGAATTCAGTGTGTTTGAATACTCCTTAACTCTAATTGACTAGAATATTTTAGCCACTCGTTAAGAGAAGTAAGTCCTTAATACGCGTTTACACGTCAAAGATACTTCTTGTTCCATGTCTAACCCGATTCACAATAACTTACTATACTTGTATGTATGTGTGTGAGAAAAATGTCGCTTTTCTTTCTCACATCACTTGGTTTGTTTAAGTTTTCCTTTCAGGGGAATTTGAAAGGGGGGTTCATATTTTGAATAAAAAGAAGATCACTTCTTTTTTTTCGCTTTTTTTTTTCTTGATTATCCTTATGAGTATTCAAAATACGACACAGACGGATTTCACCGTCTGTTCAACACCAGAATGTGCCAAGACAGCACAATCCATTTTAAGTTTTGTTGACTTTAATGTGGATCCATGCTCTGATTTCTACCAATATACCTGTATGTAATATACTATGGCTTAGCAAGATAGATTGATCATAATTTATAGGTGGAAGCTGGTTAAACAAGACTACGATTGCTGAAGACCGTACTTGTAAGTTATCCCAAGACTTATATAGCATATTGACAATCTCTGACTGAATATAGCTGCAGGAACGCTGGAAACATCCACTGATGTAAACACGGATATCATGCATGCAATCTTGGAAGGTAGCTATCAAGACATTTACTCGCATTTGTTCAGTACAGCAGACGGGTTCCATACAGACGACCAAGCTAAAGCAGACAAAGAAAATTTCGATACAATGAAAAACTATTACGATTTGTGCATGAATGAAAACAAGACAAACTCACTAGGTCCTACACCTATTTATGAAATCATTGCCATGGTTGAAAACAACTTGTTTCCTGTTAAGGACAACAATTCGACAATGATTGATAAAAATGCAACACTTTGGATGAGCCAAACACTCGCCTTTTTGAATAAATATGACATTAGTACTTTGAACAGCATTTCTGTAGGGGCAGATGATAAGCGACCTGACTGGAATGCCATCTGGTTCGATCAAGCTGAACTTGGTTTACCTTCCAGAGAATACTATAGTGACCCTACAGCCATTAGCAAATATAAGACAGGGCTTGAAGATATTTTGTACAAAGTATTGGGTGACTACTCCAACAATACCCAAGATGCAGATATGCGTCGCTTGCAAAGTAACAAGACTGGTTTTGGTCTCTGGACCAAGGAGAAAATTACGGCCAGTGTTGATCGTTACATTGCATTCGAAACACAATTAGCCAACATCTCTTTGAAAAAGTAAGAACAAACATATTTTTGATTGTTTAATTGATTGTCCTTTTTCTTTTTTAGTGATGAATTACAAGACCCAGTCAAAATGTACAATCCTATCAAACTAGAAGATTTTCAAGCCCAAAACCCAACAATTGACTGGACTAGCATCTTGAAAGCACTCGTGAGTGACGATATTACTATTCCAGACACGATTATTGTCCGAACCCCTGAATACTATCAAAGACTCAATGGCTTGCTCTCGAATGGAACTGTTAGCTTATCGACTCTACAAGAATACTTTATTATCCAGTATGTTATCTCTAGAACCTATGCTTTGGATAGAGAATCACGTGCTGCTACTCAAAAAATGAATGGTGCTATCTCTAGTGGTACATCCATTGAACAAGCTCGTTGGCGTGTCTGTGTAGGCTACACAAGTAAGATATTCAAAAACACAATGGGTCGTTACTATACTTTGAGAAAATTTGGAGGTGAAAACGAAAGAAAGAAAGCCGAAGAACTCTTGACTACCATTCATCAAGCATGGTTAGATCGCTTGCCTAACATTGAATGGCTGGATGAGCAAACAAGAGAAAAAGCGATTGAAAAGGTAAAAATTCTCGTATATAGACGGAAAAACTAAGCCATGTGTCTATTTAGGTTAATTTGATCAAGCACAAAGTGGCTCTTAGTATCGTTTCGCCTGATTTGAGACAGCCCAATTCAATCAAGGAGTTTAACCAAGGTCTTTATGTGAACGAGAATAGCTTTCTTGCTACTGAAAACGGTGCTTCTGCATTCTATGCCTCAAAGACATGGAACAAAATTGGTAAAGAGATTGATAAAGATGAATGGTACATGTCACCTCAAACAGTCAATGCCTATTATTCACCCAATGAAAATGAGATTGTCATTCCTGCTGGTATCATGCAAGCACCAATCTATGATGCTGAACAACCCGAGTATTTGAACTATGGTGGTATTGGTATGGTCATTGGCCATGAGTTAACTGTAAGTATATTGTTTTCATTGATCCTTTTTTTTTGTTGATCTATATTATTAGCATGCATTTGACAGTTCAGGAAGGAAATACGACGGAAATGGTAATCTGGTTGACTGGTGGACAAACGCAACGTCTGCTAAATTCGAAGAAAAGACACAATGCTTTATTGATCAATACAGTAAGTTCAATATATCTGGTCCTGATAGCAAGACTGTCAATGTGAACGGCAAGGTAAGCAAAAATTTTTGCGAAAGAAATCGATATTGATATGTAATTTTAGTTGACTCTGGGTGAGAACCTTGCTGATAATGGTGGTATATCTGCTTCTTTATCTGCCTATCACAGTTTCTTAAAATCAGCAAACCATACTGATGCACAACAGAGATTGCCTGGTCTTGAAAAATTTTCACCTGAAGCTTTGTTTTTCATTAATTTTGGAAGACTTTGGTGCCGAAAGCAAAGACCTGAACTTGCTCTTCGATTAGTAAGACATCTTCTACACAATCGTAGTATGGCTAAACGTTTTTTTGTTTAGGTTCTCACTGATGAACATTCTCCTTCTATTGCTCGAGTCAATGGTGTTGCACAAAATAGTGCTGAATTTGCTAAAGTATTCAATTGCCCTGCTGGTAGTCCTATGAATCCCGTAAATAAATGTGACATTTGGTAAACCATCTAAGCTTTTTTCGCACAATGTACTATCAATAAATCATTTTTAATTACTCTAGATCTGTAAAGTATTGACGTAAAAGATGATTCATGGTCTTTGTACATACTTTCAAGAGAAATACGACTTTATGACTTGAAATAAATACTCTTTTTTTTTTAATATTCGAGAGTTGTTTAAGGATTGTACTCAAACATCATCACTTTTTTTTCATATCAACTCATCCAGAATCTTAAACAAACCAATGTTCTTTAAGATGAGTATGGAATACTTGCTTGAAGCGAGTTTTTTGCGACATGTACAGTGATAATGATGACGATGTGTCCAGTAATTTATCAATCAAGATGATATAAATCTCGTTCTTTATCCACAACTTTCTTTTCCTTCTTTATTCGACAATGGATCGCAACAGAAACGACAATCAAGAAAATATCTATTACAGTGATCAACAAAAAAATATACCAATCCCTGTATTGGCAGCTAACAATCACCATTTTGACATGTCAACCAAGTTTCAAGACTATTACGACGATATAATGAGCTACACAAGTGGTAAACAAAACCCATTGCTGTTTTTTTTTGTTTCATTAACAAAGATAGGTTATCTTTATACATTAACAGATAGTGAAGTCTCATTAAATGCATTGTTGTCGGAACATGGCTCACACAACGATCCGTTAAGTGACCCTCAATTCATGGCATTTCTTTCTTCTGTACCTACACACGATACCACTTCTCATGTGCCTCTTTTGACACCACAAGAAGTAGAAAAAAAAACTAAAGGCACAAAAAACCCAATTCATCCCGTCAAGAAATGTACGCCTAAACCAAACCAAAGAAAATCAACATCTACAAAACTTGGTCATTGTGAACATCCTAAACATGTTTACTATCGCCAAGAAAGACATTTATTGATGTCAAACTCACCAGATGAAGCGTCTGTCATGAAAGCTGTGCCGCGACGAGGTAGACCGCCTAAAGGATCGAAATCAACGGAATATGTCTTGTCGACTTCATCTGTTCATTATAGCCATGAATTTAGCTATTATCCATTAGTAGAATTGACAGTTAGGCCATTGCCTAAAAGACTTGAAGCGGTGGTGGGCAAGCCCAACATCAAAGTATGCCTGACATGCCTGAAACGATCAGACACAGATCCAGATTACTTGAAAGATGCACTTTATGTAGGTCCTCAACAACAAGCTTTCAAGCGTAGAAAAGAATAGTGAAAAAAAATGTATTATAATAAAGACAATTTCATGATGTAGGTTCGTCTTCAGGCAGAATAATGCCTTGAAATTTGGTAATTTGAAATTGACTATTACTACTATGAGCAACAGTGGCATTGCTTTTGGTGCTATGATCATGATTTGCAGTGCTTTGATATGTGATGTTTGATCTTGGCCGTTTACTGCTCGATAACAATGAAATAGTAGATGATCTTCTTGAGTTTGGCCCTTCTTGTTCTTCTTCTTCTTCGACTTCTTGCTCGGCTTCTTCTTCAAATTCAGGTGGCTGAATCCATTCCCAAGGCACCATGCAAGGAAACATGGCTCCTAGTTTAGCAGCACGATTGATCCAGGATGGTATTGATTTATGAGTGAGTTTTTCTACAAATTCTTCTGTAAAATGGTTACAATTTCTGGCAAGTAAATTATAAGAAGGGCCGACAAATTCGTTTGATAGCTTAACGAGCAGCTCTTCAATCTCTTTTTCTGTCAAGTGTGTTGTACCCATATCAAATGTTTGTCTATTTGATGAATACGGTTAATGCGATAAGAGAAGGAGGAGGGGGGGAGGGGGGAATTCACTCACTTTAAAGTAAGTTCTGGAATACCAATCTTGGGTTCAACGACAAATACACCCGTAACATGAGGTATTTCATGACCACCAAAACAGTATTCTTTTCCTCCTATTTCTACACCTGAATGAAATACACCTAGTAATCTGATCAATACGCTTATGTTTTGTTAAAAAAAAAAAGAGATACCGCTTACCAACACCAAGTGCATAATAGCCAAATTGAGTAATGTAATTCGGTTGAATCTATAACAAAAAGAAATATAGATATTTACAGTTCTGATTCTTGACCAAGTCTTTTTACCATATCATATACATTAACATAGACTATAAAAAATAAAAAATTGAGTTGACTGTTATGCGAGATTAACAAACACAGGATTACCTTTTAGTTTGGAAGAATCTGAAGCTGTGTTGTTGTTGTTGTCCAGTAAGTTGTATATAAAGTCAAACATAGAAAAAGAAGAGAATGAGTGTGATTTATTAAAAAGAAAAAAAGGCTAAAAAAAGTATATGCGTGCGTATATCTACATATGCTGTGCTGAGACCACAACTACCATATAAGGACTTACTACAAATGTCGCTAATAAATTAATGCTTTCTCGATATCTTTTTTTTAATGGATATATTGGAAACATACATACTGTGTGACTGCTAAGTAACTTTTGATTCCATTTGGCACACACCTAATATGCTTTTGGTCCTCAATTTATGCGTTTTTTGAATAGTAAACTTATTATACGATCTTAGTTTAACAACTCATTTTTGAACAAAATTGATAAGCGTAATAGCACCAAAAGTGTATTATCAGCCCGCTGCAGGCGCAAGTGTTTTTCAAAACAAACCATCATTTCTACTTTCCAGTTCCCTTTTTTTTTGAGTTTCTTGTGTTTAAGCATATATAAATGAACATATTTATGCAAAAATATAGCAAGTTTTGGAAAAATCAAAAAATCGTCATTTTACCTGTGTGTAAGTTTGTATTTTGTACATATCAAAATACAATGCCTCATAGATAGTCATTGTTCCCAAGATAAACTTTATTTTAGTTACTTAAATCGAGCAAGACACAAATAAATATTGAGTCATGCGAATTGAATAAGACATAAATAAATGCCTCTTTTTGAATTAGAAAAAAGAGAAAGTATATCAAATAGTTAAACAAAAAGTAAGCATTTAATATGATAAATTGTGTTGACTTACTTGGCTGCATTAGCAGAAAATACCGCGTATAAATGCTTCATAATCCAGACTAGTCCAAACGTATTAAAAATGTTGTTTTATAGTTCCATAACCCCTCAAATTTTCCCCTTCGCTTTGGAAGAAGAAGAAAAAATAAGATGCTTTAAAAAAAGATAAAAAGGGGCTCGTACAACAAATTTGACGTTTAAGCTATTGCTCTATAGCAATGAACTTCCTCTTTAACTTTTCTTAAAGCATCTTATTCCTTCGAATGTTCATTGTTTCCATGTTGACTCTGAGCCCCATTCATAGTTTGAGATTCAGAGTTACCAAGCACTATAGACATCAAATTTAGTCATGTAGTCTTTTGGATATTGGAGCCTTACATTCATGTATTTTCCTTGGTTTTCTTCTTTCGCTGCCATCAAGTTGTTGAGTATCGGTTTTGTTCTCAAACATACCGTCCACTGTCAATTGTTGTGTCTTTAAATATTCCACAGTACAGAGTAATTCTTCCAGCATCTACGAGTGATGTCGATTGAATGGCATGTTGTGTGATAATTTTTGCTTACCTTCTGTTGAGCGAGAACTGTCCTTTTTAGACAATGGACTTCATTCGATGTTTGATCTAGTTTTTGTTCAAGACTTCCTGCTGTACTTTTTAAATAACTTAATGCTTCCTGTTGACTTGATGAAGGAGGAGTTGCTAATCGAGGTGGTTTATAGATTGATTGAATCGACGTGTCAATGGGTCTATTGATCCCAACGGGTCTGTTCATGCCAGCGGGTGTATTCGTGTTAATGGGCGTAGCCATGCCAACGTGCGTAGCTATACCAACTGATGCATTCATACCAATGGGTACATTCATACCAACAAGAGCACTTGTACCGACGGGTGTATTCATATTCACATTTGTGTTCGCAAGTGTATTTGTACCTCTGGGTGGAGAATCCTCAATATAACTCAAACTAAAATGAGCTTCTTCAGGTGAAGATGCAGTGTCTTGCTCGGGGTCTGAACTACCGTTAGGCAACATCTCCATAGCCTTGGAATAACGTATTTGTGGAATCAATCGATTTCTAGGTGGTTTCCTTCTGATTTTATGTAGTGAATCAATGTTTGATTTGTTGAACCAAGGATGTTTAAAGTCCCAACGTTGAGCTTGGTTATCGACTTCACTTATTTCTTCATCGTTTGTTGCGTTGGCTTCATTATTATCGGTGATCTTGTGAAAATCGTACACTTTTTTGTTTAAAAAAAAGAGATAAGAAACTTTATGAAAAGAAATCAACTTACTGTTCAGTTGTCTGACAAAGCTAGACCAATTACAATGCTTAAAGTAGCGCGGAAGAACTACCCGAGAGAATTCTGTATTATTAAAGACGGTAAACTGATCACCATTGCCAGTCCAGGTAATCAGGTCTTTTGTACTTTCGTCATCTACCATACTGTATTCAATAAAAGTGTTTAGTGATGTGTCATAAGGGTTGAAGTTACTCACGTATATAATTTTGAAATAAAAGCTGCATTACGAGTAGGCGTCACTCTAAAGAACCGTTCTACAAATCCGTGTTTACTTTGAGGTTTTTTGCCAGACTGCACACTTTGTTTCCGATATGACATTTTCTTTTTTTCTTTTGCCAAAGAAATGAGCAAAAAGAAAAAGAAAAAGAAAAAAAAGAAAATATGCTATTAACTAAGTTGCTAAAAGAGAGAGAAAGAAAATGCATATTCTTTTGCGCAAAATTTGTACCTGCTCATACGGTTGTGACTGTAGTCAAACGAGAAGATTGATTGCTTGTCAACCTTTCTTTGTATAACTACGCGCTGGGTGCATGGCTAAGAAGGAAAATTTCGATTTCGGTTGAATTTACGTGTTTGTATTGTAGCGATCATGTTTCCCTTATATTAATGTCGATTATACAGCAAACATTGTTGTTTGTGTTTGTGAAGAATGATATTAGATGTACGGATTGTGGCTTTTGCACATAATCTTTATTTCAAAGAATGACGGAATTCATAAAGTTAAGGATTGACTTTTGCATATCATGCAGGGGAGTTTGAAAGCCTGTAAATCAAGGCAAACGAAACAGAACTAAGAAAAATATTACAAGGTCGATAGAACTTGATGGATCTCTTATATGAATATATTAAGCTATTTAAACTTTAATGGATACCAGGGAGAGAGTGTCGAATCGAAAACAATTTGGTCGGTTGAATCTATACAAACAAAAAATTATGTTTCATGAAACATTTTTTGTTGATAAAAAAAAAAAAAAAAAAAGAATAGCGTTAGAGCGCAATACACTTTACTAAAAAGAAAAAAAAAAAGACGTGATTGTTATTGATAAAATATTCTTTTTTAGCAAATGATAAAATGGTTCAAGCTGTCATTGACATGTAATGCATTGATGCAACATCTAAGAAATAGGATAATTGAAAAAGAGAAAACAAGTACCTTACTAACCAATGATGGTTGATTGATATACATTTACTTGATATAGTTTGTAAGTAATGGAGATGGCTAAAGCTAATGCACGTTTCATAATGACTTCCAAAAAGCTCTAAACCCCGTATCATTGATGAAGCACAAATATACCTTTTTGGGATTAACTGTGGCCTCAGAATGACGTAAAATAAGACACAGTAGCATAAATCCAGTATATAAAGAGAGGTTTTTTTTATGTTCTTTTATTACTTTTTTTTAATATTCAAACATGACACTTTATTATAGTATTGTATTTGCCATTTTGGCTGTTGAGGTAAATGTGGAGAAAATCATGCATGAAAACATATTGTATTTACCGAACTATAGATTTTTATATTCTTCTTGTTCTTGGTAAACAAATAAACACCTGCAGAAAAAGGAGATTTATACTGATCTTTTCATAAAACAGTTACCTATACCAACGCGTTGGCAAAAGCCTGTTTTCCGTTGGCTTGCTACTTCACCTATGGTAAAAAAAATCAAACTATCTGTTAACCTAAACTAATATTATGCTTAAGGTGGCCCATGCTCAATACGTAATGAGAATCGTGTTTGTGTAAGTATAGAGAAAAAGAGTGAGGAGGGGAGATGAGAATGCTGTTTGATTAAACACACGTCTTTAGGTTTATTTTTGTTTTATTCCTCGGTAAAAAAAAATTATTGCATCATGATGTGATGGCATATTAATTTGGTTATTTTAGATGCCGTCAATACACTTCGAGCATTCTATGATGTCGTAAGCGAAGAAGAGAACGGTATTCCTCCTGCTGGTAATACTGATTTTAGAGCACAAGTTGGTCAAGCTGCAAAGAAGTTTTATGCTCAACGTAACTTGTATCTTACTGGTTTCACTATCTTGTTATTACTGTAAGTGTAAGACATAGTTAAGTATCATGCTCATTAGTGGTATAGTATTCTCAACAAAATCAAGAATATGTCATTGGATTACATTCAATTGGAAGATCAATATATTCAATTAGAAGGATCTGTAAGTAAAACTTTTTGTGTATATGGTTTATTAACCAAAGAAAAGGTCTCCACTGATCCTGCTGTAAGAAAAGCTACAAGGGAAATGGATACTGAACCCATTGACACTAAGGTCACCAAGCTTGTCCCTGCTGAAAAACCAAAGCATGAAGATAAAAAGACCATTTAATTTTTGTAAATAAAACCTCTTAATGGATTGTTTTATTTATCCAAAGATATATCTGTTCCTTCAATAATCCCTTCTTCTTTATCTAAATCATATATATATGAATGCTCCATTCTTACAAAAATAGAAACTAACCTTCTTGTTCATACAACATGTATCCTTTCAGAGGAATGGATGCCAAGAAACCGAGGGCACCAACACAAGTAGCAATAATACAAAGTAACCGCATGGCATCATCGTAAGCCAAAACAACACCTTGGTATTGATCTTCAGGTAAAGCAAGCGCATAACTGATGCTTGAAACAATCTTTGTATACTCATAGTTACCATGTACATATTTCACAAAAAGACCAGGCATGATGGCATTCCATGCAGCATTAGCAATAGTTGTACCCACACTACCTGCAACAGAGGCACCTACTTCAAACAATGTGATGGCAATAGCAACATCTAGCAAGAGTGTGATTGATTTGAACATAGCAAAAAAGAGCGGGTTTATGCGTACCATTGGGTGGCACTGAGCCTTGGATGCCTACTAATAAAGGGTAATTGCAAAATGCACAAGCAACACCATACACCACTTGAGAAATCACAATAAACACATCAGGTGAATGAGAATTACGTGCTTTGATCATCAATCCAGGACCAAGGACAGCAGCAGACACACCAATCCAGACAAAAGGGCGCCATTGACGTGTTCTTTTCATCAGATAGCCAATTAATAAGGGTAAGCAAACATAAGTTACATTAAATCCTCTCTCTAGATAAGTGGCTGTTTGTGAAGTGACTCTACGTGTTACTTGTAAATAAGTCAAGAAATATTGAAAATCCATCATGTTGTTAATAATATAGACCAGAAAAATGGTCAAGACAGCCCAGATAGGGTTCTTGGATTCCCAATGATTCAATGGAATAATGGGTTTAGGTGCTAATTTCCATTCCCAAATCATAAACAAGACACATGCGATGCTACCTGCTACAATTAGACCCAGTGTTGTTGCTATAACAGAATTCAATATCCATCATCAACAGCACACGCAGGCTTACCTGATGTCCATCCTCCCCATTTGGTATAGAGATTTAAAGGCAAAAGAACAAGAAACATGGCAGTCATCAGAAGTACACTGCCAATCATATCAACTTGCTGCATTATCCATTGACATTGATGCCAAAAGGAGAGATGGGCTAATGGACTTTTTTTAACAGTAATAAGACCTGCTTTTTGAGCTTTGTACTGTGTATGCCACAAGATAAACATAAGTGGTGCACTTGTGATTGTCATGACAAGTGTAATATGTCCATAACCCCATCGCCATTGACCACTATCAATGATTTTCTGAGCAACAGCACTTGGTACAAACAAATTAATGATCGTAGGAAAGTTATACAAGGCTAGAAACATGGATCGATCGACAATATCTGTCATGTCTATCTATTTGGTTAGAAATATGGGTTTCTGTCTCTTTTTTTTTTCTTGCCTCCAATTAAAATGGGTCCCAAGATATAAGTGCCTGAAAAACCAAAAGCATAAACAACTTGACCTCCCTAACCATGATTTGTTATTTTATACACATCTATGCAAGCATCTCTTTCTTACAATCAAGGTATTATAATCATGAGCACAAGCCATAATAACAAAAGAAAGAACAAAAAACACAATGGAGATAGTAAAGGCTTGAGCACGACCAGTCATATCCGAAAGCTTCGAATACATAGGTTGAAGCGCAGTTTGTAAGATGGATAAGACGGTTGTAAGGACACCCGATATATTGTTAGATTGGAAAACACTTGTGACAGTAGGTGTCAAGGCAACCACAAGACTCTTCTCCCATGTTGTCCCCCACGACACAAGTAATAAACTATTCCTAAGTCAATCTAAAGAGACCAAAAGTGATTTACCCTATTAACATAACCCTATGTTCTGTCCTTGTCATAACAGATTTTGAGGCTTGAGCAATCGTAGCTCCCTTTGATAGTTGCATTAAATGGATAAAAAAGGAGAAATTGTTCAAAAAAAAAAATTCCTGCTTTATATATAGCTTGATATCAAAGGTTACACGTCAATAACAAAGTTCTTTACTGATAACTCTGTAGTAAAAGTGATTCCGAATAAAGCAACAAACAAATAAGATGATTGGTTATTTTGTAAAGTAGATAAGAAGATGAAGATGATAAAAAAAAAGAACACATCGTTTATATCTGATTTAAGTAAAAAAAAAAAAAAAAAAAAAAAAAAAAAAAAAAAAAAAAAGACTACATAATCAGATAACAGATCTGTATAATAAATAAGTAATAAAAGAGAGAGAGAGAAAGACTAATTACAAAACCAATTAAGCATATCTGCTTTCACATATAATACATGGTATTCTTTCTAAAGTAAAATAAACTTCTTGTATTCTTTATCGTATACTGAGTTTAAAGCCTTTAGTGTGCCTTATTCTACAGCCCTTTCTCTTTTTTTTCCTTGACTATGAATAATCCAAAGAAAAACAGTAGGACTATTTTACCTCTACATATCGACACTACCTCTTTTACCAATGTACAGACACAAAATAACTTTTTAAAAAGACTCAACAAGAGACAACTACCTATATTCATCTTGTCGACCATCTTATTCTTTAGTTTAGTTTTAAACATCATTCAGCACAATCACCATGTGATGCCTATCAATACACTCGATCCTTTACCGCCTGTTCCTTTAACAGATGATCATCATGCTATTATTGTTGCTGGACATGCCATCTATGTTGGACCCAATCAGTTGGCGGATATTAGGCAGGATGAAAATTGGATATTAGAACCTTATCAACAAGGTGGACAGGTCAATACGTTTATTCAGCATATACAAAAGGGCATAGATATATTGAGACAAGATCCTAAATCTGTCTTGATCTTTTCAGGGTAAATACCATAGAAAACCGATATATATTTCTTAGTGATACTTTCTAGTGGTGAAACGCGTCCTCATGCAGGACCTCGATCTGAAGCATTTGCTTATTGGCATATTGCTCAACTCTTATTGGATGAGGATGAAGAGGATCAGGATTTACGTGGACGTATGATTACAGAAGAATATGCCCGAGATTCGCATGAGAATCTATTGTTTTCTATATGTCGTTTTTCTGAAATGACGGGTAATTATCCTACTAAAATCACAGTGGTAGGATTTGAATTCAAACGACATCGATTTGAGAACATTCATCGAATGGCTATTGGCTATCCTTCTCAACAGTAAGTTAGATGTGTGTTGATTTGTATTTAATTATTCTAGATTTCAATATGTGGGTATTGATCCACCAGAACAAGATCCTTCTCGAGAGAAAGGTGAATTAGTCAATTCTGTCCAGCCATTTGAAAAGGATTTATATGGTTGTCATGGTTCACTTAGACAAAAGAAAATGTATCGAAATCCTTATAGAAGAAGGTAAGTTTCAATCCATATTGATTTTATGCCAACATAAGAATAGACATGCTTATGCAACTTCATGTCCTATCTTGGCACCTCTTTTAAACTATTGTCCTTCAAACAATGCTGTTTATTCTGGTCTTTTACCTTGGAACTCATAATAGAAGATATCCCCCTCCCCTCTTTATTTTTGTTAGACTTACACTTTATTAAAAAAAAACATACAGTTTCGGAATATCTTTTTTTTTTTTTTTTTTGTATTTTCTCACTTGTTTATCATATTATGGGAGCAGCTCTTAGTTGTGTTGCATTACCTGCTTTATCAACAGTAGGTACTTGGGTGACAGGCTGCTTTTCAGCAGCAGCTTGTTCATTAGCGTTTAAAAGGTAGACAAGAATAAACAAGACAACAATGACTTATGACTCCATAGTTGTAATTGTAACAACTCCATTGCAACTCGTATCGGTTATGCTGTAAGTAATTCATGTTGCTTGAAAATCACTCACATTGCTTGTAGATTATATTCTTATTCAACTCGATTGCAAGTAGATTGGACCTAAAGAAAGAAAAACTAACGCAATCATAGCTTGCTTGGCTCATGTTATCCAACTGGGCTATAAAAAAACTAGAACACTTGACACTGGACTACATGAAATTTGACTGTGCAGAAGGCAGTTGTTATGGTGTAATTGGTGCAAGTATTTCTATTATTCTCAAAAGAGATGTTATTGATCCTATATAGGTTCACCGAGTTTCTTTTGCTCTTGTCTTATTTCATGCTATTTTGGGTTGTTTATTAATAGGTGTGCATGATAGTCGACAAAAGAGAGCAGCTATTCAGAATGGTTGGTGGGGACCTAAAATCTTGGCATGGATTCTCTTGCTTGTGATTTCGTTCTTTATCCCTAGTGGCTTCTTTATGGTCTGGGGTAATTACTTTGCCTTGTTTGGTGCTGCTGTCTTTATTTTGTTTGGTCTGGTCTTACTGGTGGATTTTGCTCATAGTTGGACCGAACGGTGTATTGAGAACTATGAAATGTATGATTCAACACTGTGGCGTAATATTCTGATGATAGGCACCCTGTTGATGTTTGCAGGTGCTGTCACACTCACAGGTATCATGTATGGTTTCTTTGCAACCAACGGGTGTTCTCTCAACCAGTTCTTTGTGACATTGAACTTGATCTTGTGTGTGTTTGTGACCTTGTTGTGTATTTCGCCTCGTATTCAAGAAGGCAATTCTCGCTCTGGACTCTCACAGGCCTCTATTGTGGTGATCTATTGTACTTATCTTGTCTTGTCTGCTGTGGCTAATGAACCCAATGACAAAGAATGTAACCCTCTACGCAAATCCATGGGCCCCCAAACGACATCAATTGTATTGGGTGCTATCTTTACTTTCTTGGCTGTTGCCTATTCCACCAGTCGTGCTGCTACTCAAGACGGTGCTTTTATCAGTAGCAAGTCTTCAGGTAGGCCAAGACTATCCAACTATGAGCCATTGGATACGTCGAGTGCTGTTCCATTAATGCCCAATCAAGTAGAAGCAGGTGCTAAGCGTATGAGTGCTCAAGGAAATGCACGGGAGCATTTGATTGCTGCTGTAGAAGCTGGGTAAGTGTGTGTGTGTGTGTGTGTATTTATGCTGACATGATCATTAAGTGCTTTACCTCGGTCTGTCTTGTATGAAGATGATGATGACGATGATGAGGATATGGGTTTAGTTGATGACAAAGATGATGAAAGATTTGGTTCAGTCTATAATTATTCCTTCTTTCATTTTGTATTTGCAATTGCAGCCATGTATGTGTCTATGGTGTTGACAAATTGGTAAAGTAACCATACTCTACAATGCTATTATTTATACTAGGCATAGGAATACAATTCAATTCAATAACGAAGGAGGACATGATGGTGGTGATCTTGTAAGAATTGGTCAGAGTTATACTGCTGTTTGGGTCAAAATTGTGTCTGGTTGGATTTGCCATCTTATCTATATTTGGTCTTTAGTTGCACCTGTGTTGATGCCTGATCGTTTTGAAGTAAGATGATAGGACTATGTCTATAGTGTATTTATTTATTTTCTTTAGAATTATTAAGCCTTGTTGTGTATATCAAAATAAAGTATTTAAGGGAGGCAAAAGTGTTTGTCTTACCATTTATGATGTCAATTCTTATCCATGCGCTTGTTTAAAATGTTCTACAAATTGCCTAATTTATCTCCAATTACTATGTTTTGACTACACTCAAACCGGATTACCCTCCCCCCTTTTTTTTTCTTTATATATTGCTCCTAAATCATGACTCCTTAAATACCACAATCATATTTTTTCTCTTTCTCTCTTTTTCTTTTTCTTTATTAGTATGCCAAAACAAGCTATTGCAGAAGCCAAACTTCGCAAATTACTAGAACTGAATGAAAAATTAAAAGAACAGCTTGAAATTTCACGTATTCCAGTATCAGAAGCAAGTCGATCGTAAGTCTTATCTTTTGTCTGCCTAAATTAACATTCACAGCATGATTGAATATTGTCAATCCACACAAGATTTTATGGTCCCTTCTGTCTGGGGAAATCGAAGTCCTGATCCATTTGCAGAACCAACAGCTGGATGTGGTTGTATTGTCATGTAAAAATAAATGCCCTTTTATTATTATTATTATTATTCACGAGTCAAAGGTTCAGGATGCTTGGGATCATATTCTTTAGGCAAGTTCAAGCCTACACGATTAGCTGAGAGTTCAATCTTCTTTTTCTGTTCGAGTACAATGGCAGAGTAGATCTCACGCAATTCCTGACAATGTTAGACATGGTCCATCAATTTGCAATTACCTTGTGTTTTCTAGAACTTGTTAAAAAAGTCAAAACATTTTCTGCATTGTTATTCAAAGCAGCAATCTTGGTGGGATCTGTCACATGTTGATTTTTACGATAAATCGACTTGAGTTCATTAGCAAAGACAGGATTGTTGGCCTTTTTAGTATACTATTCAGGTAGATCAATACAGACACGATCGAATAATGATCTCTACTTTACTTGAGTATTGAATTCTCTTAAAAGATTGCGATATACTTGTAAGCTTCTAGACATAATTTTCAACAAGGGGGAAAACAAGGACAAACATAAACCCAGCCTGAAATCCCTACACACAGGAACCACACTCAATGCAACAAAAAGAAGAAAAAAACGAGTCATAAAATGAGAAGCGGTAAATTAAATCAGTTATTGGCATGAGCAAGTCATTTTGCATAATCTCCTTTAAAGTACATTTATTGATGATTTGCTTTTTTTAATTTCAGTAAATGGCTTCGTTTTGTAAATAGAGGTTTAGGGGCAAATTGTCGGTTACCAAAACGATGTAATAAAGTCGGTTCCTTTGGCTTAAGTTTCTTGGGTTCGCTTAGGGGCTCACTGGTAGATTGAGTTTGATCCAAGCTTCTTTTTCTAGGATTCTCTATAACAACATTAGTGATAGACTGTAATTTCTTGAGCTGTGAAGAAGACGAGATAGAAGGATGTGGTGATAATGTTCTTGCTGGTAAAGAAGATCTGGATTTAAGTGCTGTAGACATGGGAGGAAGTGCTTTTGTCTTTTTATTAGGTGCAGGCAGAGAGACATAGCGTCGTTTCATGCCTGTTGTGACAATAGTTACTTTTTTAGATTTCTTCTCGACTGAAGGTATAGGTATGTCTTGTCTTAATTCTAAATTGGTATCAGGTACTTTTAATGCTTGAACAGTGGATTCTTTTGTTTGTTCTTGATCTTTCTTCTCTAGCTGTTCTTTATTCTCTAGCTGTTCTTTATTTTCGGGTTGAGCTTTATTCTCGGGTTGAGCTTTATTCTCGGGTTGAGCTTTATTTTCGGATTGCTCTTTCTTTTCGAGCTGGTCCCTCTTCTTTGGCTGTTCTTTCAAAGTGGAACTAGATAGCTTTCGTGCCATGAGTGGTACACTTGATCTGGATCGCACCAAGACAGGTCGTTTTGTTTCCTTTGTTTTCTTATGTCCAGGAAGTGAACTGGAAGAAGATGATTTACGTGGCACAGGCGATACATCCAAATGCTTTCGTTCAATTTCAGATAAACTCTCTTTAAACTGATTTGATTGTTCAGGCAACTGTTCAGCATAAGCAGCATAACAAGCACGAATAGCGAGTCTCACTTGAGCACTGGAATCAACAGAAGCCACACGAATTGATTTCTCAATATCGACTTGAAATTTGATTAAATGATCTACAGAATTGACTTGGATCAAGACCAACAGACATTCACAAAGACAGGCACGTAAATGCGTATTGTTTTTATGTTTGTCTTTGTTAGTGAGGTACTCAGTAAAGAGTGGAATGCATTTAGGTAGTTTAGAGGCTTGAATAATTTCTTTGTAGTCGTTCAGGACACGTGTTGTATGGACTTTGTTCGTGCTACCGAATTGTTTGATAATGGCTTGTACAAAAGTTGGATTTAACTTGGTGGCAAAACTTGATTTCATGGCTTGTGCGGTTATCTTTAAGAGTTCTGAAGCAGCTGCTGATAAAATAGTACGAGGAGAAGCAAGCTACAGAGTATAAGTAAATAATAATAATAATAATAATAATAAAGCTTACTGATTGAATAATGGGTAACTTGAGATCCTTTATTGATTGTTCAAATGTAGCATAGTGGTGTATATTGTCTTGTGTGATCCATTGACTTAGGTTGTTTAAAGCATGCTTAAATTGTTCCCAAGTCTCTTCAGATTCTTTCTTTTTAAACAGATCTGTGATGCGTTTTATTTCTTTTTCAAACTGGATTTCAGATGTGATCTATTTTTTGTTTTATAAGATGGCTTGATCAATACTTAACTTACGTGTATTGTCTTTTTAGGGTAAACAGGAAGAGGCATCGTAAAGGGATCTATAGATAAATAGAATAATGGTATAAAGAAAAGAAAAAAAAAAGGAGATAATTTTCTAAAGAAACAGAACAGGTACACAACCCAATAAAAAAAAATTGTACGTCACATACTATAAAGAAGTATACCAACTTGTTGTCAAGTCTACCATCAACAGTTTCCTTTTTTTGCCTAAATTTTGGTTTCCATAACAACTTTGTTATTATTTTTTGTGTTGCCTAAAATAACATTCTTGATATCGTTTATTTAATTTCTCTTTCTTTATCATGAATAGTTTTTCAAATATCAACTTTCAAATCCCTGAATTATGGGAAGTCAGAGTACGTATAACATGTAAGAAAATAGGAAACTCATGTTGATTAGGATGTCATCAATAAAGTGTATGCAGATGTCCATAGAATGTATAAACACTCACTGTTTCATCTAGAAAGAATGTTGTTCTAAACTATACAGAAATGGAAGCCAAGGTCCATGAGGCCACCAACAATGAAGCCTGGGGTGCTTCAAGTACATTGATGCAAGAGATTGCACAAGGCACTTTTAACTAGTATGTATGATGCTATGCTCTATGGTTTGTTCACTCACAATCATAGTCAATACTTTAATGAAATCATGCCTACTATCTATAAGCGATTCACAGAGAAAGAGGCTAGACAATGGCGACAAATATATAAAGTAATGTATCCTTCATCTTTTGCTTTGTATTGACATCTGGTTAGTCTCTTGTCCTTTTGGAATATCTTGTCAAGAACGGTTCTGAACGTGTTGTGGATGATGCTCGATCCCACATTTCCATGATCAAGATGATGAAGAACTTTCATTATGTTGATGAAAAAGGAAAAGACCAAGGTATCAATGGTAAGTGAGCTGTGTATTTAGTGATGGCTATTCACCTTGACTAGTACGTAACCGTGCTAAGGAACTGGCTGAGTTGTTGAATGATGTGGACATGATCAAGGCGGAGCGCAAAAAGGCTAAAAAGAACCGCAACAAGTATACAGGTGTTGGTTCAGATGGAGGCATGATGTATTCATCATCTTCTAGTATGGGAGGACGCTATGAAGGATTTGGCAGTGGATCTTATGATGATTCTGATCGTTATGACGAAGACAGATCCAATCGTTATGATACTTATGATGAGCCTAATCATTATAATGATACTGAATCTAGTCCTGTTCAAGAAGAAAAGCAACCCAAGACAGCCAAAGAGTTAAACTTGTTTGATTTTGATGAACCTGTTACTCATACAAAATCGAACCATGATGATGATTGGGGAGATTTTGCTGCTGGAGATGATAACTTGGATGATTTTGATGATTTCCAAAGTGCACCTCCTGCCGCTAATACTACTACTACTACTACTACTGTTGCTAGTACTACAAAGGTACCCAAGAAGTCCAATGATATCTTTGATCTTTTAGGAGACGAAGATACTTTTACATCCACTCCTCAACAACAAAACCTTGTTCTTTCTCAAGGGTTTTCTTTTGATACACTTCAACAACAACAACCTCAACAACAACAACCTCAACAACAACCTCAACAACAACAACAACAACAACAACAACAACCTCAACAACAACAACAAACACCTATGAATGGCATCTGGTCTCAAGCATCAAATCTCATTAGCTTAGATTCATTAGGTTCAACACAACCTAAACCCACTCAACCTACACAAGGTCCTTCCATGAATGCACTAAAACAAAACGCCAATTGGGACAACTGGAATTCTGCACCCAAGAAACCAACCGCTAATAGTTTAGATGACTTGTTATTTTAAATAAAAAGGGCTTCGCTGTTTAAAACACATCTCATGCGCATTTCTTCTTTGTTATGGTAGACTATTCACAAATATTTCAAGCAACATATTCAGGTGTACCTGTTTATGAAATGATATGTAAAGGTGTTGCTGTCATGCGTAGAAAGTCAGACTCGTATCTGAATGCGACTCAGATTCTTAAAGTGGCTGATTTTGATAAACCTCAACGGACACGTATTTTGGAAAGAGAAGTCCAGATTGGTCAACATGAGAAAGTACAGGGTGGTTATGGCAAATACCAAGGTAAGACGGAATGATGCTGGCCATACACTCACACGTAGCATAGGCACTTGGGTTCCTTATGAACGAGGAAAAGCACTGGCTGAACTCTATGGTGTAGATAAAGTATTAGCGCCCATCTTGGAATTTGTCAAGGGCGATCAAAGTCCTCCATTGGCACCTAAACATGCCACAGCAGCCACAGCAAAACCACGTAAACCACGAGAGACGCGTGTCAGGAAGCGCGTGAAGCCTTTAGAAGATGAATTTACATCGGATATCGAGACCCATGCATCGACAGATGATGTGCCTGCCAAACGTCCTCGTACACGACCTTCTGGTCTAAGAGAGAAACCACCCAAATCAAGAAAATCAGAATTATTATCTGAAGATGAACATGTCTCTGAAAAGCTATTCGCACAAGAGGAACAACAACAACAACAACAACAAGAAGAAGAAGACAACGACATGGAAGAAGAGGAAGAGGAAGAAGAAGAAGAAATGAGAAAAGATCATCTTGAACCAGATTCTGAAAAGACATTTGCTCAACGATTATTGAACTATTTCATGTCTGAAAAGACAAGCATTCCAGCCTTAATTGCTCGACCACCTAAAGACATGGATATCAATGTGATTATTGATGATGAAGGCCATACCAGTCTTCATTGGGCTGCTGCCATGGCACGTATTAAAGCAGTCAAACTCTTGATTGAAAATGGAGCTGATATCTATCGTGTGAATTACAAGGGACAGACAGCCTTAATGCGGTCTGTGTTGTTTACGAATAACTTTGACTTGAAGACGTTTGATAGTCTGCTTGATTTATTGCGTACCACTATTTTCAATATCGATAAACGAGACCAGACTGTATTTCATCATACGGCAGCCATGTCAGACTGGAAAGGCAAGATTTATGCTTCAAGGTATTATATGGAATGTCTGATCAACAAACTCAAGCATAATCAGTCTGAATTGATTTCAATCCTAAATGTTCAAGATACCCATGGTGATACAGCCTTGACGATTGCTGCCAAGATTGGCAATCGAAGGTTAATCAAACTCTTGATTGATGCTGGTGCAAGTACAGAGATTGTGAATGAAGAAGGCATGACTCCCCGAGATTATTATACAGACATGGAGAAATCAGTCGTAACTCGCCCTACACCTCCTATCCCATCCTCCTCACCGAGTGAAGACACAGGCAGTATGATGAATGAATCAGACACACGCGAAGTATTACGTGCGCGTGTGGAAGCCATGTTTAAGAATGTGACGCATGATACTCCCTCAATCTCTAAAGTGTTTGATGACTTTGCAGAGAGTTATGAGCGCGATTTAGTCAACAGAGAAAAGCAGTTGGATAAGAAGCGTGTCGAACTTGATTTACATATGAAACGACTTGAAGAAACACGGCGAGTGATGGACACCATTCAGTCTACAGAAGCACAGACATTGATTGAACAGATAGAACAACACAATACAGGCTTAGAACACAAGTATCGACACTGGCTCAAGTTTCTTCAAAAGCATCAATTGATGGCATTCTATCAGGACCATTCTATTCCCTCACCTTCTTGTTCTATGCAAGAATTAAAGCTCTTTTCAGACCAACTGGAGCAATTAAAAGCAGCCAGGAAACAAAAGACAGAGCGATTGATTGAGTTACAGTGTCGTGTGCCACCCAAGAAATACCAAGAATATAAACGATTGATTTCTACTTGTTGTAATGTAGCTTATGAAAACGTCGATTTAATGCTGGGGCCACTTTTAGCTTCATTTGAACAAGAACAACAGACGATGTCACCTATTGAATAAATTTTTATCTTTCTTTTTTCTTTCATGACTCATTTAACAGGAAGTCAAGACTTACTTTCTTATTTTAACCTGATACCCATCTACAATAAAGTAGTCAAAGCCAATCAAGGCATCGAACTGGATCCTTCACTTGCTAAATACATTTCAGATCTACCTGGTACATGACATAAAACACAATTTACTTATCACCAACCTCTTTATAGGTCGATTGGATATTGATTATGATGGTTATCTGTTCAACTTATTACGTGATCCTCAAGCAGTCGAATCAGGTCCTTCCATCAAGACATTAGATGCAGAAACACTCAGAGACGCGTTTTCATTAAAAGAAGGACCTATTCCAGGTGTAATGTCGTGTTGCGAATAACATCATGGACTTATCGTATTTTGTTTAGTTTGATGCTTCTGTATTAGGCACAGATGATAATTCAGTAGGCACTCATACCATGGATCCTACTATCACAGGTAGACACAGATTCATTAAGGTTGGTCTAGACCTCTGATTTCCATCTTAGATATCGATTATAATGGAGAAAGAAAACACAAGAAAAAGGTATAAAGTACAATAACTACTTTTTGGTCTTGACACATAGCATTAGAAAAAGAAGAGAAAGCATGACCATGACCATGATGAAGACCGTCATGGGGATCATAAAAAGAAAAAGAAAAAGAAGAGGGTAAAATCTTACGTTTATGTTATGCTATTCACACTCTGGATGTAGGACAAGGAAAAAAGAGAAGAGAATGAGTCTTTTATTTGAGTCTATAAATAAATAAAAGTAGTCTATAAAAAAATGGTATCTTGTTTGTTTATGCAGTAATGGAAGGCACACGGGCATCAGGTAATGGAGCCACAACAGCATTTCGACGTCGAAGGGCAAATACAGGTAAATGAATAGATTCACCATCATCCAAAGTCATGATAGCATTTGCACTTGGTTTTTGTTGAACCCATTCAGCAATACAAGCAGCAGATAATAACTGAAGTACTTGTTCATCTGTCTTGATAGAAAAGCGATGACTGTAATAAGCGTTGGAAGAATTCATATGTGTAAAATAAAAAGAAAAAAAAAAGAAAGAAAGAAAAAGGGAAAAAGGGGAAAGGATGATTTATATACTCTTTTTTTTTGTGTCACATGGTATATCGGCCACGTTTTTTTTTTTATTATTCTTATTTATTTTATATGTCTCCTTTTTCTTCTGTTTAGATCGCACGTTTTTCATTTTTCCTCCTTAAATATAACAAAAAAAAAAAAAAAAGAATTAGGTCATTTGATTCCCTTTTTTTTTTTTTTTTGTGATCTAACTTTGTTTAGGTCTAAACCAATGAGATATCCTAATTTTTATTTTATTTTCTCCTTCTTTTTCTCTGATTTTTTTTTTATTTATTTTAAGATGCCAAAAAGACGCCAAAATGAAAAAAAGGAGACCAGCAAGAAACAAAAGATATTTCCTGATCCACTCCATCATTTGTTACAAGTGTTTAAACAACTCAATGTGTTCTGTACCTTTTGTCAGGCTCATTTGACAACTGTCATCACATTTGAAAATTTACAGAAAAGTATGCCTCATTTGACATTGGATGATTTAATAGGCATTCATGTGATCATGCCTCATTTTGTGCATGTTCATACCAGTGACCACGGTGCATTTGAAATCGAATTTGGTCAACCATGGATAGACACAACACGATCTCGCATCAAATTACAGACATGGATTGAACAACAAAACACACTGTTTATTCAAGCACTCACAGCATTTGTGGATGATTGTGAAAAGAAGCAATTGAATATCACAGAGCATATTCAGGCTCAAATAGATCAACAGAGACCTAAAGAAGAAAACAAGATCCAACAGACGTTACGCCAAGTAGTGACAGGTTTCAAATCATGTCATTTCTATGACAACCAGCTAGAAAACTCAGATCATCAGATGTCATTACCCAATAAGGAAGCATCGTATGACACAGTCACATTGTCTCCTCAAGTACAAGATGTATTGGATCAACAAGGCATACATCTCTATACACACCAAGCAGAAGCCATTCGCGCTGTATTGGATGGTCATCACGTGATTGTATCCACCCAGACAGCCAGTGGCAAATCTTTCATTTACCAATTACCTGTCCTTGAACGACTGATCCAAGACCCTGCATCCACAGCCCTGTTTTTATTCCCTACAAAAGCATTAGCACAAGATCAAATGCGTGCCTTGATTCAGATGCTTTCTTATACTGCCTTGGATGTGATGGTATCTACATTTGATGGTGATACTGAACATCAACAGCGTACTCATATCAGAAGACATGCCAGTGTTGTCTTTACTAACCCTGATATGCTTCATCATGCTATTTTACCCTATCATTCATTATGGCATCATTTTCTTGTGCATTTGAAATATATTGTGGTGGATGGTAAGTCAATCCCTTGAATGGACAGTCCACTTATGATAAGAATTACATGTGTATCATGATGTGTTTGGTACACATATGGCATGGATCATGCGTCGTTTAAGGAGACTCTGTAGTCAATTAGGGAATCATCAGGTTCAGTTTATCTGTTGTAGTGCTACTTTGGCTGAACCAGAAAAGGTAAATGGCTATCGGATGGACCAGGATTGATTTGATTAGCATATGAAAGCAGTCTTTGGCTTAGATCATGTCTGTCTGGTTGATTCAGATGGTGCACCCCACGGTCAAAAAGAATGGATCGTATGGAATCCAAGCCAAAAGAGTGCTATTCAAGAGGGAGCCAATATACTTGAATACTTGATAGAACATCAGATGAGGACCATTGCATTCTGTAAAGTAAGGAAATCATGCGAGTTATTGACAAAGCAAGTCAAGGACAATTTGATCAAAAAGCAAAGGCATGACTTGGTAGACAAAATTACAAGTTACCGTGGAGGCTATTTACCAGAACAGAGAAGAAGGATTGAACAACGCATGTTTGATGGTGAATTATTAGGGATTATTGCTACCAATGCACTTGAATTGGGTATTGATATTGGGACATTAGGTAAGAATAGAGGCAAGATGATGATGATGATGGTATAGAGCAAAGGAATCATCATACTGAATCTATAGATGCTGTGGTGATGATTGGTGTACCTTGGTCCATGTCTTCTTTGGTAATGTCTTGTCAAAAGTATTAGATTCTCATCACGTGATGTAGTGGCAACAATCAGGCAGAGCAGGCAGAAGAAATGCAGATTCACTCTCCCTTGTGATTTGCGATCAACATCCATTCGACCAATATTATGCAGTAAAGTAGCATTTAGGTAGAAGCAAATCGACTGAAACCCCTTTATTTTAGAAGCATCCACGTGACTTATTTACAAAAAAACCCGATACATTGATGCTTGATCTAGAGAATGTTATGCTGCTTGAGAGTCATGTTCAATGTGCAGCAGAAGAAGCACCCATTCATGCTATCCATGATCAATTCTATTTTGGATCTCAGCTTCCTTTACTTTGTCAGTCTTATTTGACTCCCATTGGTGATGAACGCTATCGTCCTGATCCTCGCTTTCGTCCTTATCCTTCTCAGTTTGTCAGTATTCGTGGTACAGTTCATGAGGAAGACTTGTTTTTCGTGGTTGACATGACCAACCATCGACGTAGCCTACTTGAACAAATCGAATTACGCCGTGTTGCTTTTGAACTATATGAAGGAGCCATTTTTATTCATCAAGGAAAGTCATTTCTTGTAGAAGAATGTAACTTGAATAAGAAATATGCTTGTGTTCACCTTGTTCAAGCGGATTGGACAACACAACAAAGACATCATACTCAAATAGACATTCTCCATACTATATCATCCAAGCCAATAGGATCCACAAAATACCTTGTTTGTTTTGGTAGAGTCAAAGGTAAATCCTGTAAACACAACATACGCTTATACGAGTTAGTCTCGACTGTGGTGTATGGTTATTATCGATTGGATAAAAGAAGCCGTATCATAGACACACATGAAGTGTATATGGATCCTATTGTGATTGAATCTGAAGGTGTATGGGTAGATATTCCTTCTTTCGTCATAGACACTCTGATCTCTTTCGACATTGATCCTAAAGCAGCCATTCATGCAGCAGGTAAAACTACTACATGATGGTTTCTGTTTCACTGATCTTCTTTTGTAGGCCATGCTTTATTACTTCAGTTCAAAGGTGTAAAGATGGAATGCAAACATACACAGCGTATCATGCTGTATGACACATCCAGTAATACAGTAACAAGACAAGTGTATGGTTCTTTGGATAGTTTGATAAACAAGAGTATTCAGTCCATACAAGGCTGTGATTGTCAAGATGGATGTCTTCATTGTAAGTCTGTTTAAACAGTGTTTGATTAATCAATCCTCTTTTTAGGTGTTTCATTCTGTTCAGAACAAAACCCTGTAGGTCATAAACAAGGCGCTTTGATTGTCTTGAATGGAATTCACCGAGTCATCAAATAAAACCCTACTTTATGTTATGCTTTATAAACCCATCCATAGCACCACCACCACCACCACTACTGCTACTTTTTTCTTTCTTTTCTTTGTTATCACAATGGAATTTACTGATATTGTTCAAGATGTTCTGCCTATTCAACCCTTTTTGACAGATTGGCATGTTCGTGCGACATGGATTGCCTTTATGACACTGTGGGTCTTTTGGGGTCTTACTTGGTTTGTTCGTAATGCTTTTGGTGGTGATTCATCTACTCATGCACATAACGTACAATCCAATACACATCAAATAAGTCATGATCCTGCTTTAAACAGTACTGCCGATCCAGAAACTGCTGCTACTGCTAATACTACTACAGATCATAAAAAGGGATTCTTGCCTGCTCCTGCTTGGTCTGTCAAGGTCTTTAATCGTTTAAACCGTGCTCATGATATGCTAAGAGACTTGGTGATTATGTTATTGTCTGTCTTGACACTCAACTCTTTTGCCCGTGCTTCTACCCGTGCTGTCATGATTATTGCTTGGCTGTTTGTTGCCTTTGCCTTTGTTTATTTTGTGCTTGAAGTGTCTGTTGAACATCGTTATCTTCGATTGTTGTATTCGCTTACCTTTTATGCACTTGGATTGGCCATTGTTGGTCTTGCTTATGCTCAAGGATTTTATTAATTTTTTTTTTTTTTAAATAATAATAAACTCTTTTTTTTTTTAAAAAAAAAAACCATGTCAAACTGGTCTATAGATTACGCATCACTTCAAACGTTGAATAGGTAAAAAAAAACACGCTTTTGTTTTCTCTATTGACCTTGGTTAGTTCTAAAGTATCTGATCCTGTTGGATTTGAACCATCTGCTTTAAAGAAATATACAAAAAATGAGGTAAAAAAAATAAAATAAAATAAAGGCAGAGTATGATGCATGTATTCATCATAATAGAAATCACAACGTCCATTGAGCCCACACGATAAAGATGATCAACAAGTAGCTCTTAAAGTCAAAGTAAGAAAAGACATGTGGTTTATGTATAGGCTGATGATAAACATAGCGAGCATGGGATGTGGCTATGGGACCTGCTAAAAGTATACCTATGAATGCCATCATGATCTACATGTCAGGTACTAGTCTTCAAATCTTTACTGTTATGGTCACTGTCATGCTTTTCTTTAACCCTATCAAAGCTATGATGACGGTACAACAAAGTAAGTCCATATCCACAGATGCATTGGTTGACATCATCCATAGCCTTTAGTCGTTTTGAAACCACAGGCGAAGCACGCTCAAAACCTGGTGCTGATTTACTTTTACCCAAACTGACATTTATTGGTCTTCACTTTGTTACTATCTTATTGGGTGTCTATAAGGTCAATGCCATGGGATTATTGCCTAATACCACTTCAGATTGGCTTGCATTTATTCCACCCAAAGACATGGTTGAATTTACACCTTAAATGAAAGAAAATCCTTTTTTTTTATTATTTTTTTTTATTTACAAAAGAGAGAAAGGGTGATGTCTAGTTTTATGATTCTTCTGTTGTTGTTTGATTTGATTCTGTTAAATTTGTAGACCATGCAAGTTCAAGAGATCCTTTTGGATAGTTAGGACCAAGAGACATGGCCTTTTCAGCTTCAAAACGTTGGCTGTATTGAACATCAGCTTCGTTTTCTTTTTGTTCAAATAGAGTCACATGACCAAATTGCTAGAATGATAAAGGGATCAATACAATGATGCTTTTGTTAACATGACTTACCTCAAAATGTTGACGCAATTCTGTCTCGGTAGATGCTTCAGGAATACTTGTGATATGAATCTTGGTAGGTCTGTTATCCAATGTCATTCTTGTCATACCACCTCGCATACGAGGCCAACTTCCTCTTCCTCTACCGTAATATCCTCCACGACCACCACGGAAACCACCCGCTGTATGAATACCAAGATGAGCAGCCTCTGCTTCTAAACGAGCCAGTTTCTTTTTGAGATCTTCTGTTGTTTCAGCAGGCGCTTCCTTAGCATCTTGTTCAGCATGAGCAGCTGCTTGTTTAGAAATATCAATGTCGCTTTGAATCTTTTTGAGTGCTTTCAGAAGTTCGGCTTTTTCAGCAGTAGACATGTTGGCACTGTCTGTTAGTTTGGCTAATAATCGCTTTTGTTCATCAATCTGTTGTTGTAATTGAGTTTCGCGTTTCTTTTGGAGTTCTAAAATATGCTTCATGTGTTCTTGATGTTTCTTTTGCTTTTCTTCTCGAGCAGCAGCAATTTCAGCAGCACGTTTGGCCACAAGTTCTGGATCAGGTTCAGTGATGGCCGGTGTTGTCTTGGGAGGCGCCGTGGGTGTGGTGGCAGGCAACTCAGCACCATGTGTGTCTTCTTTAGACCAATATACTTTCACAAATCGATTGTCGAAAATAACATCAGGAGAGCTATAGGCCTTTTCAGCTTCTGCGCGTGTGCTGTATTGAATGATGGCTTTTTGAGCTTGAGGCTGTACACTGATGTTGGTGATCGTACCAAACTTGGCAAAGTAGTCATTGACAGTAGAGATCTGACAGTTTTCCACAGGGATCTTTTCAACTACCAGTGTGGTGTTTTGTGGGTTTTTGTTTTGATGAAGATGGCGTTGATAACCACCGCGACCCACACCACCACTGCCGCCTCGACCACGTCCACGATGAACCATGCCACCATGGACGTCATGGCCGGGAACATAGTTCATGTCATGACCAGGGACAAGACCAGAACGTTCAGGATCATAGGCATCTGACATACCAAAGAAAGGAGGTTTGGGACGACCCATCGCGACAGACGCATTGGCAAAAGGAACATTAGGGAAAGGTGGGACACCTCCCTCATCCACAATGATGCGATCCATACCATGGTCATAAGGACATAAATCACCTCGCATACAGAATCCCTTTTCTATAGATCGTAAGCATATGTGAGATGACTTCCTCCATCATTGATCTCGCACTTACCGTTATAATCTCTGCATTGAGGTCGAGTTTGTCCACGGCCTCCGGTGGTAGGACGTCCTCCACGCACCGTTCGATGGTTAGGTCCTCGGCGTGCATCATAAGAAGGTGAGTTGTAGCCAGACACGGGTATACTGTTTGGACTAGCACCTGAGCCACGTTGATATTTGGTATGATGATGACTGCCATTATGCTCATAATCGTCCGAACGGCGTTTATAGCTACGTTCATGTTCTTCATCTCGAGAATCAGATCGTTGGCGTCTATGTTTAAAGTTACGGTCACCGTCATCTTCCTCATCAGAATAGTCGCCTCTGAAACGTTCTTCGCCTGATTTCTTTGTGCTGTTGTTTATCTTGGCAAACAAACGGTCAATAAAAGGAATGGTTTCTAAAGACTGGTGTTATCCACACACGCGCGTTTTTTGAAGTGTAGGAACTTACGGTCATCAAAGAATTCGTTCAGTTGGCTTTGAAGATTGGCCTTGAGTGCGTCATTTCTTTCTTCGTTTCCTATAAGGGCAATAATGTACTGTGCTAACACTGCAGGATCGGCATCACAACTTTTAAAAAAAGCACACACACACACACACACGTCAGTCGATATGGGTTTTGATTGTTTCTCAACTTACAGCGAAGCCACTTCCTTGCTAACAAAGTCTTCCAAATCTGCAGGTAACTGATTATTTGCCATTACTTGTGTTGTTGTGCCAAAGCAAAGCAAAGCAAAAAAAAAAAGAAAGAAATTTTTTAACCCACACTATTTCATAGTAGCTTTAAAAAAAATTGAAACGTCATTGTGACTTTGTTTTCAACAAAGCACAGTGTTGGTTCAGCATGATAAGGGAGCGTTTCGATGTCATTCCATTGGTGCTGTGAATATAGAGGGTGATATGCTTCATGTAGGTCCCAAAGGCTACCTTTCATGTGCTAGATAAAGTGAAAGCTAGTTTTCTTATTATGTTGGCGTTACTGCAAGAAAAAAAGGGGCAATTCTTCTTTCTTTGAATATAGGCGGATCAAGTGTCTTTATGATAAGGGATTTAACAAGACATTACTTACTCAGGTAACAGAGACATTGGGTAAATCAATGCTTCAATAATGAAAAAGACTACTCTCAGCCTTTTTGTTAGGCATATTGAGGTATCAAAAAGCCTGTTCACACCCGTATAAATGCTCAAAATACCTACAAACCATGCCTGTTAACATCCATTGTGCCTTTGGGGTTGATTTGGACCGAAAAAAAGGCGACATGTAAAAAAATGGTCATTTTGACTTCAAATCCAAAGGGTACTATTCATCATAATCTTTATTTTGACAACTCTGGGTCTTCTTTTTGACACTACAAGACAAATAATAGAGCTATCGACAAGCTTAAATACTCAAAATGTGCGTCGGAGGCTATAGTTTTTTTTTTGGTGAATGTGTTTGTTTAACAGTTGTACTACAGAACTGATGAGATATGGGCAAGAAACCCTATGGGTATTTTTGCCTATTTGCTCAATATTTTAGCAGCAAAGTTGCTGTGCTCTTTATATCAGCAGATTTAAGATAAAAAGATTTACAACTTTTGTCACTACGCCAAAGCCATACAACTGCGTCTTTAGACTGTTCTCAGCAAAAGCTCGATTTTCTTTTAATTATTTTTTATTTGCTGTACGTATTAGTGGTCTCGAGAGGGACCCACTAAAAGAGGTGCTCGACAATTATTTATTATAAGAGGATTAAGAGAAACAAAAAGGATACTACAATATCAAAAGTACAAAGAAATCAAGAAAAAAAAGAGCAGCTACTGCGAGAAAAGACCTCTCAAGATGAAAGGTCATTTTCAGCAGCTATACGCTTGATTTGATAGCGAGTGCTATGAAAAACAGAGAGATAATGGAATGGTTGGTTCTGCATGGTATGAGCCCAATGGGCCTTCCAGATTTCAGAGAGACCGATCAAGGTTACCATGGCTACTGAAAGAGGACAGTTGGTTTGAGACCGAATCCGAAAAAATTGAAAGATGCAAGTGCATCAGAAACTAGATCCAGAGAGGTGCCTGGCCATAGAAATTCCCTGATCAAGGCATTCCAGAACGGAAATTTTTGGGGGCAGCGAAAGAAGAAATGGTACACAGTCTCCTGATCACCACACAAAATACAGGTAGCAGTAGGGAAGCGAGCAGGAAAAACCTTGGATAGAAGTAAGCGAGTGGGAATCTTGTGAGTCAGAAATCGATACATCACATTTCTCTACAATGTTGTGATAGGTATACACCAAAAGTACTTCCAAGCAGCAGAAGAAACTTCTTGCCGAGCAATAATATCAGACAAGGCAGCTTGTGTGATGACCTTACGAAAAGTATAGTCACCATTTTTGAGGGCAATGAAATCTTCATTGTCAAAAGGCAGTTTTAACATACGCACAAAAGAAAAGAAACCAAAAGACCGCTGGATTGCAGGAATATGCGCAGGATTGTATAAGTATAATGAAGTACGAACAAGACATTGACCAAAGAATGGCTCCAGTTGACAATGATTTTGATTCACTGCTTGAATATATTTTCTGACACTACGACGGATATCCAGGGGAAAGGAAGAAACTGGTATTGGTGCCAAATAGTGACCCTGCGGATGGTACTCATATAGATAGGAAACTGCTACTGTGCGTAGCTTGAGAGGCAAGTCAAAGGTGTCAGATGGCAAAACAATTGAGCGTAATGGCAGTAAAAGGCATTCGATAGGGTTTGGCATGTATGAGTACTGTTTCCTAGGAATAGCATCCATTGTCTGGCAGCACATTGTGACAGTGTTACTTGCCAATTGCCTGAGTTGGCCTGGGCGAGAACGAGGAAAGAGCAGACCCAAGAGCAGATGTTCAGTCTGAAGCAAAGCACGGGTATGTGCTGCTAGAAAGACTTGTATCAGAGAACGTTCAGCTTGAGGACACAAAAAAGGATGAAGCCAATGGTAATACAGTGATTTCTGCTGAGAAAACAAGCCAAGAATGCCAAGGCCACCATGTCACTTTGGTGCAGTCATCGTTTGCCAGCTAATGCGAGGAAAGATTTGCCGGTTGACAAAAGAAGTAATGACAGTTCGAATGGTATTAAGGATTGCTTGAGTGGTAGGGATTACCCGCAAAATATACCAGCATTTAGACAATAAAAGCGAACTGGCAACTGTAGTTCTACCAACAACAGAAAGATTGCGTGAGGCATGAATATCCGCCAGTTGAGTCAGTGATCGAGTGAGGGGCGAAAAAAAGTGAGCGCGCTGGTCCAAGGATTGGATAAGGGGAAAACCTAAATAGATAATGGGTTCAGCATCTGTACGGCACCATATCTTGGGAATGTCAATGGCTTGTAGAATAGTCAGCCATTTATCATCTAGATTGTGGCCAGAGAGAGAGATTGCTCGCACTTTATGGTAGTTAATCTTGGCATTGGATGCTTTACTGTAGGCCTGCAAGTGAAACTGCATTCTGCGAAGGTCACGGATATTATGAAGAAAAACTAAAGTGTCATCAGCATAACTAAGCAATTTGATAGCAGGTAAGGTGATAGCTTGACTAAAATCATTATGTTTGAAGCGATAGCCAGAAAATTGAGTGTCATTCAATATCGACTGGATAAGTGGCCCTAAGGCAAAATTGTACAAAATACAAGAGAGTGGGTCACCTTGTTTGAGGCCTCGGCGCTTTGGAACCAACTGCTTAGAGAGCCAACCATTGATGTTGATACAAATGGAATTATCTCTAAACAAGGTAATAGTGCTGGCAACCAGGGTCTTTGGAAAACCAAAGTGTAACAACACTTGCTTGAGATAGTCAAGGTTGACACGATCATAGGCCTTTTCTTGGTCTAAAAGAATGCCAAGATCTTTGTCTGGTCGGCGATAGTTTGTTGCTGCATTTTCCATGATCATTTGGGTGAGCAATCCATGTTCAGCAATATATCTGCCAGGCATAAAGCCTAGCTGATGTCTGTTGATAAGTGTAGCAGCTACTGTCATAATCCTGTGGTTGATTATCCGAGTGAAGATCTTGTTATCTGTATTCACCAATTGGATAGGACAATAGTTCTCTACCCGCGTTAGATCACCTTTCTTAGGCAAAAGAGTCATAAGTGATAGCAGCCATGACCTTGGTAATAAAGAATGAGCTAAGGCATCATTGTATACTTGTAGAACCAGCTGCCTTAAACAAGGAACACGAAGTAGAATACCTAGAATTTTATATGGCAAACCATCGCTACCAGGACTACTCTGACGAGGTGAGCGTCTACTTGCTTTCGATATCTCCAGCCAAGTGATAGGACTTTCAAGGGTAGATGCTTGCTCTTTAGTAAGTCGTTGGCTGTTGGTACGTTGTAAAAGCGTATTGACATCAGAGGATTGGATCTTGTCAGGACGATATAGCGCCTTATAGAAGGCAACCATTATCTTTGTTTTCCCTTCTGTATTAGTAACCAATCGCCTAGAATTGGGATCAAAGAGCTTTGGTATTGTTCGCTGTGTAGACCTACCTTGTGCAAGTTTTTTGAGAAGACCAGGAGATCGTTCACCTTTTTCTCGCCAAAATTTGCCTGCTTTGAGATGTTCTATTTCGGCAGATTTATCCTGCAAAATAGTAATCATTTTTTCAACCTTTGGCAAAAGAGATGATAGAATAGATGTATTTTTATGATTTCGTAAAATTTTGTTGCGTTTGGATTGAAGCTTTTTCAGAGATTTGGGTCGCCAGTTGTTACGCTCGATCTGGAAGGATCGAGTAAAAACTTTAACTTGTTCTTTCAATTCATCCCAAATAGTTTGAACTGAAGGGCAATCAGGATCCAAACGGTTGATGTTATCCATGTATTGCTCAATATGTGTTGTCAAACCTTTTCTATATGCAGATAGTCGAGCAAGATTAGGATTACCTTTCCAAGGACCAGGTCCAGCTGGAGTGTGTACCAGTTGATAGTTGATAGAAAGAAAGGCATGGTCAGTCCAACTGTAGTTGACAAAATTTTGAGTCATAGAAATTACATTGTCAGCATGAGGTAGAGTGCAAAATATATAGTCAATATGAGGATCAATCATTATGAATTGTTTCATATCAACTATCTAAACATATGGTATAATAATAATTTTATATAAATTTGTGTACTTGATTATTTTTATTTTTAAACTTTTCCTTTATATTAATATTTTATATTTTGTTTAATGAAGTAGTCTTTTATCAAATCTTCGGAGCTAAAATCTTTTTCATTTACCCAAGAATTATCCTTGCTTCCATATCCTTTCCATTTAACAAGAAAAATATAATCATTGCTTTCACTTATTTTATGTTTTATTATATTTTCTATCTCATAGAATTGATTATCTTTAGTTATTTCTCGTATTAGATTAATATTAACTTTTCTTTCACTTTTACCTTTCTTTCTTTTCTTTTTATTTATATTATTATATTGTGGAAAGTCGACAGCTTCATCACTATTTGTAATTTCTTCTTGCTCTACATCATCCACTACCATATCATCACCATTCATATTTAAATCAGAAAAATCGTTTTGGATTTCAGTCATTCTTTTTATTTTATCCATTTGATTAATTTCATTATTTAATACTATATCTACTAACTTATATTTTGTAGGAAAATCAAAATCACGTGACATCCATAGTTTGTGATGTTCTTGAGTTATTATATTAAATGTTTCAGTAAATACTTTTATATTTTTTAATAGAAATGCTACCTTTAATTGTAAATTTACATATTTAAAATCGTCTGTCTTTAAAGTTGCATTATTGTTACTAAATCTCTTATATTTATTATGTAATTCACTAAACTGATTTTCTATTATAGACCTAAAGCTTCCAAACACATCATTGAAATGCTTTTCTTGTACGTTCATATCTATATCTGGTTCTTTTCTAATAGGATAAAAGAAATTATCATCGTTTAATAATATATTTTTATTTTTACATAAATCTTCAAACTGTTTGATAAATAGAGAATAACCACCATCTACTGCAATAACATCTCTTTTATCTATTTTATTATATAGTTTCATATTCAAAAACATCCCACCATCACTACTTATACCACACAATTCACTTTTTGACACATTTATTACCATATTGTTTATATCAGATAAAACTTGCGTTCTTAATCCTGCTGTTTTTAATTTATATGACCATCTCTTTTGTTGTGATACGTCTGGTTTTGAATAATCAATGGTACTATCGTGTCCATCTAATATTAAAGTAATATTTTTAAAGTTTATAGGGTTCTTAGTTTTAGCTGAATAAACTCTTATCTTAATATTTGAAAACATACTTTGTAAACAAATGTCTACATATTTATTTAAATTGTTATAATTTTCAATCCAAAAATTTTTATAAAAGGTATAAAATGATGAGTATGGTAGATTTCTTTTAATATTTTTGCTAGTTATACCAGATACCAAGTGATAGATTAAATATAAGCCCTTTTCTACTTCAAGATATGGTGCAGGATATTCTTTATGAGTATATAATTTTGTCAAAAAGAAAAATACAGCTGTAAATCCTAATTTATTTAATAATTCTTTTTTTATTTCATCTATTTCTTTTATACTTTTTATTTCTGTTCTATGTTTGAAATCATTACATTTTTCCTTCCAATTTTCGTTTAAAAAGCTCCATTCATTTAATATAAGTTTATCAATTTCTTCTTGTAATAGTGATTTATATTTATTAACATCATCATCGCTTAAACTAGTGATATATTGATCCATGTTTTTATTATATACTATTTATTCAGTTTTGAATCACGAAACAAATTGTGATAGCTTTCTCATAACAAATATATATTTATTCATACTCATAATAGTATATCCAAGTATATCAGGTATATAAAATAATCATTGTATAATAAATAAGAAAGTTTTGTGACATTTCCAGGTCCTATATTCTAAATTTGCATACTTTTTTTATATTTTTATATAACATAATATCATTCATATTTCTTAGAATACTTAAATTCAATTTTAACATTAAAAGTATGCATTGTTATTAAAAAAAGATTAATCAAAAGAATATCTCATATTTAATAGTTATTATTTAGTCCCCTATGTGTGCGACTACCAGTGGTACTGACGAATGTAGGAAGAGGATCACTTTGAAAACAATCTTGGAATGAAGTAAGAAGTAGATCATTCCAGCACGTATCAATGTTGAATTTACGGTAAATGTCATAGTTGAAATCGCCAGCAATAATAATAGGCAAAGACGTTGACCGTAAATGTGACATTAATGGTTGATTGGAAGATAATGTGCGAAAGAATGTGGATCGACTACTACGATAAGCAGGAGCATAAATATTGAGGATATACATAAAAGGAATGGAGGGTTCAGAGGCATGAGCGATAGACGCTAAGAGAAAGCGGCCATTGGTAGAATTGATGGTGGGATGTACTGTAATTTTGTAGTGAGATTTTAAGGAAACAATGCCACAGTGTTCTGTCCAAAGACTAGATTTAGTCTGGAACTTGAGATTGAACTGTTTCTGCATATTAAGTGTAGATGCGTGTGTTTCTTGTAAGCATAGAATGTCATATTTAGTTGAACGTAGAAAGCGGATGAATAAGGACTGTTTGTAAGGATCTGAAGTTTTCGTAAGGCCACGACAATTAAGGGTGGCAATTTGCATAGAGTCTTTAGGCATAGATTATCTTATTGAAAGTCAGGAGAGGTACCTGTTGATCCACCTGTATTATGATTAGGCACCACTCTATGTCTCTCATCGTCATGATTAAATTTGATCTTTTTACGCTCCTGGATAAACCTTTCTAAGTCCAAAGCCTCTTGGGATGGATTATTGCTTGGAATAGTTTGAAGATATTCATCATCATCCTCTCCATCGGAGTCAATGATTTCTACTTTACTATCTCCTTGCTCTTTCATTTCATGATCCATCAATTCATGCTCGACTACTGTAATATCGTTTGAAAGTGTTTGAATAGTCTCGGTTGCCATTTGACTAAGAGGAACGGTAGTCAATGCAGCAAGAGAGACAATTTGCTTAGGCTTCGCACTTTGTGCCAGTTGCTCATTGGGCAGGTTGGATCCTGATCTACTAGTCTTGTCTTTTGTGATCCCAATACGATTATTAGGAGGGTGGCCTGGTCCATGACTACGACGAGGACAATCACGGCTGATATGACCACGCTCATTGCAGTTATAACAACGACGAGTATTAATGAGTTCCATGCAATCTGCTCGACAATGGTCGGATTTTTGACAAAAACGACAAAATTGGGGCATTTCATCCCACGTAAGCAGAAGTTCACGATCAAATTCGGGCCAATCCACTACTCGACCAAGTTGCTCAGGCTCAGACTTGTGAGGATTGTTCAGGTCAAGAACGACGTAGCCCTGGCCGAAAAATACAGCACCGTCCATATGAAATTCCAGATCTAGGACTTCACCAAAATGGGAAAAACGTTTGGTTATTTGCTCGCGGAGAGTTGAAAGATGAATCAAGGGGAGTCGTTCAACCTTAACTCGAGCAATTTTCGCATTCTGGGGCAAGCTGCGGTAACCTTTGATAATATTATTATCTTCCATCTGCAAACCGGTGTTGATCAACTTATTGTATACTTCTGAGTTGGTGTCCCAGCAAGTTTCAATAAAACGTCTCTGCAAATACTTGCGCTCAACAAGTAAAGTGCCAAAGAAATAGTACTCTTCATGGGTATTAAGTGACCCAAGAAACTGCTTAAGGCCATTCACATCACGAATGTTGGTGATATCGATCAATACACTATCTTTCTCTAAACCGACAATATAAGGCGTAATAGTGCCTGAAGAAAGAGTGTTGGTACTAGCATACTTCGACTGGGAAGAACCAGAAGTGCGTGCAGATGAAGCTGTGGCAGCCAATGATGACGACTGGTTAGCAGACACAATAGTTCTAGCCGCTACTTGCGACCAAGTTCTGGGTAAATTATCGTTGTTACGACGCCCTTTGGAGGATGTCATGTTGTGGGTTGGCTTGTTAGGCGAAAGAACCATATGTGATGTCTTTCTTAGATACGACGATAACACATTTTGTAGCACATTGATTTCGCCTCGGTTTCTTTTTGGTCAAAAATAAGCTGCAAAACTTCACAAAAAAACTATTGTAGACTTTGTAAATATCAGAACTCTTCGATGAGTGTAATGGATTCACCAAAAAAAAAAAACATTAGCTTCAGAACAATCAGCTAATTCAAACTCCGTTAAAAGTTATGCCGACATGGCAAGTATGCCATTTGTGTACTCAAAAATTATTTTTAGAGAAAAAAGTAGAAACCATTATTCTAAAATAAACAAAAATAATTTATGTAATGACAAAAAGCAAAAAAAGTAGAAAATTTCTGATTTTCTGGTTTTAAATTAAAAAAAAAAAGCCAATTTTTCAATTTTTCTGTTTTGAATAAATAAACGTGTCTACCGGATAGTGATTTCAGTGTTTTGGCTTAAATAAGAGATTTACTGGTTGGTAGACTCGTTTTCTGTCTCAAAACAGAAAAATTGAAAAACAAGCTTTTTCTAAAATTTTAAGCAGAAAAATTAGAAATTTTTTATTTTTTTGTCATTGCAGAAAATGTTTTTGATTTGTTTTAGAGCAATTGTTTTAATTTTAAAATGATGTTTTTTATTATTTCTCAGAAAATATTTTTTTAGTATACAAATGGCATACTTGTAATTTCGGCATAACTGCCAATATTTTTCTTATTTTTGAAAATGCTCTTTTTTTTTTTGTAAGTCCAACACATTGATCACGAAGGCCTTGGGTATACGAGTCTTTCTATTACACTTCGAGCCTTGTGATCTTTGTTGTTATCTTTCTTTTATTGGTTAAATTCGAACTTGTACTATTTAAAATATATACAAAATAAAATAAAACTAAACTATGTATCTTTATCTTCTTTGGTGAGAAATATTTAATTGAAGAAAGACACGGGAAGAGGGGGGTGGAAACAACAAAGATCACAAGGCTCGAAGTGATCTTTGTCGTGCATTCAGAGTTAAAACCTTGGTAAAATCCGTAGATGTAGTAACCGAAATGCGGTAAAACTGTTCAAAGAGTTCCTTGGAGGACCAGTTACCATGGACAACAATATCATCGACAGCGATACCAGATTGAGCAGCCAGTGTGGATCCTAATGCTCGAGCTTTAGGAATGGGATTACCCATAGGTCTTGTAACAAATCGCATGATTGATTGAACATGCTTAGAAATACGTTCATGGCCCATAGCAATAGAGTGATTCTTGATTTTTCGAAAAAAGGCGTTGATGAGAATTTCTGGAAAAAATTGGATGAGGTGTAGATGCCACCGAGTAAGCCGCCCTAAGTAAATATGACTTGTATGCTTGTACAGAAAAATCGAATCAAATAACTCTCGACATTCGGACCTATTGCTTCCGGAATCATATGCAGCTGTCGACGTTATACGTCCCATCCAAGATGAATCCAGCAAATGCTCCGTCACGAGCTCTTCAATCTCAAACAGAATGGTCGATTCCGGCGAAAACATTCAATTATCTCAATCAAATGTGGGGCCCCACCATATCGATCTCTTTTTCTCAGCAAAGCGTCACCATTTCCCGCACTTCGTATCATGGAACTACCAACCTCAAGCTCTGTGGGCAAATGCCTCCAGTCGGCCATGACATCATCTTCCGGGTCGCCTGTATCTAGCTCCACCATGGAGCCTTATCTTACCAACGTTGAAAACTCTCCTTCAACATCGACGTCCTGCCACACTTATCACGCTGAACTGGCCAACGGCACCCTGGTATCTTCTAGCATTACAACTAGCAACCTTCCTACCGAGACTCCGTCAGGTTACGACGCAGGACACAAGCGATCAAGAGCCACTCATCTTGAAGAAGAACAAGGAATGAACTCTACTAGCATGGAACATAGTTTAAAGCGCCTCCGCCTTTCCAAGTCGGCCTACGTGATAGTAAATTCTTCAAGACATTACGCTTACATACAAAACTCATATATAGACTGTTGTCATGAGCATGATATTGGTATTAAAACACCTTCAGTGTTTCCTATCCTGAATTTCCTTGCTGAACAAAAGGTCATTAAGA